GGGGGGGGGGAAGGAAGGAAAGAAAGAAAGAAAGAAAGAAAGAGCAGCTTAGAGGCTCCGTGGTCATGTAAACCCTCAACACCAACGCCGACTTATCCAGAAATGAAATCGAAAACAATTCCCCCGTATGCTTGGACGATAACAGTTCACAAAAAAACGATTCGTCTCTACTTGTGAACGCTGTCTAGTTTGACCATCTAGGAAGAAGAAAATGTCTCGGACAGCGACTTCTTCCTCAACCGCCTCGGCTCTCGCCTCTCGAGCGTACGATACTTCACACTCGGACGACGTGTAAGCAGTTTCTTAATAGACAAATATGACCACGACTCATGGCCCGACACTTCTCGATTACCAGTTCCATAGTCGTAGGAATAGGAACATCCCGATTCGCCGATTAAGAGGCTGGAGGATCGGTGGCCCAGGCTTGATGTTCTGGTGGTGAATGTTGCCGTGTCTCCGTCCATGGTCTTTTCTCTCTCTCTTGTTATCTCTTGCCCGGCCCTGTATATCGCTCCCTGGTAAGCCCCAGGGTGGTGAGGCGATACGTGGCTGGTCTGCAAGGGTGCGTGCTGTTATATACTCTTCGTAATATGTGGTGCCAGCGAAGCAGGGAAGTGAAGAGTGGACGGGACGGGACACACTTCCAAGACTTGTCGAGGCGTTTGTTGTTTTTTTTTTTGGCTTGGCTTGGGATTTTTTGTGATTGGTGGGTATAACTTGCAGGAGAGATAACAGTATACAGCGAGAACAACCTGGAAGTAATTGTCGATGGAAGAGCTGAGGGGTTGACGGTACGAGGGTTGAAGCTAATCAACTGAGATGCCTCAGGCAAGCACGGAAGTGGGCGGATCAGCCATTATCCATCCTTCGTAACGTGTGTCTACATAAAGCAATTGACACTGGAATGACCAATTACAATGCCTGCCTCGTTATTGATTTAACATTCGCAAATTCACCTACCCTGATCTGACTGTATCAAGCATTCATGATTTCCGGGACACACACACACAAAGCACTTGATCATACCACAAAACCACTGTAAACCTATTCCCTTAGTACTATAGAGATAACCACAACTTACATACAATTGCCATAAATATAGCAATGCCGCGCGATATTTATCACTAGCAATCGAGTATACAATATGAGGCTATACAAACAAGACGGGGCATGCCAAGCATGAAGGCGGTGGCAGATCGGGTAGGCTAACTTTAACAAGACTAGTGTATAATCATATACCAAGCAGCAAAATGTTGAAACCCGAGGTAAATCTGGCTATCATTTTCTAGGTATATATCAGTATAAAACTACCTAATCTGAACTGTCTCGACAAAACTGTCTGATGCACACAGCTGTACTCAAGAGTCCGTGTGAAAAAAGCATCGTCCAATGTCTTTAAGCAGATCACGACACAGCTAATTTGCCGGCCTCAAATCGGACGTCCATGGTAGCGAGTACTTGATCCTATATGATTAGGAGTATGGAGACTCGTCGAGTTGGAGTCTTGGTTATGTAAACCACTGGTTTCAATGCGCTGAGGGCATCATACCACGGATGTAATAAAGAGATTTGTTCCGTTACAGAGCTGCATCCAGTATCATGCGACCACTGTACCAGCTCAAGGATTCACTCTCTGAGTACTTTAAGCGTTCCAATTTCGAATGTTGCTCTGATTCAGCAATACATCAGAACCAAATCTTAATCAATTCCTCGCTGACCGCGCTTGGGGTAAGAACACCACCCTCCGTAATCAAAGCCGTGATTAGGTGTGGCGGTGTGAAATCCACTGTATCGCGCCGCATACTGCTAACATTTGGCTGCTGAGCTGGCGCGCCATTCAAAAGAGCAGTCATGTGTTTGGCCTTTTCCTCGGATGACGCTTCTGTCTTTGCACTTGTGTCTTGGGGAGCAACGACAGGTTGGCTAGCGTCTTCTGCCGCAATATCTTCCTCGGTTTTGAAATTGATCACGTGTTGCTCGATGGGAAGATCATATTGTCCAAGCGGGTACAAGCGGACAAACTTATGGCTCTCGGCAACAACGTAAAACGGTTTGCCCATGGCCTTTGCCAACAGACCGATCTGGTAAGTTCCCATGCGCGAGACAACTCCGCCATTCTCGACGACACCCTCCGCACCCACAATCACCGTGTCCACCTTTCCTAGTGAATAGGCCACCGCAGACTCGGGTATCGTAGCAACTGGGACACCCCTAGCTCGAAGTGTGCGAACAGTTTCCAAGCCTTCCGGTTCGGCAGTGCCATTGACGCTGCCTAAAACATAGATGACACGGAACCGGACAGCAGATGCGCCATTTCTCTCGTCTGCGGCCTTTTGCAGCAACGCAGATACCACTCGGGAGCCGCCATTGGTCAGAATAGTGCTTCCATCTCGAACAAAGCTCTTACCGAACGCAGCTACGTTGTTTCGACTCTCTTTGGCACGCTTGATAAATAGTCGTCCGTTAGAAAGCAGATGAGCCCTGATAGCATTGAAGTCACCTGCTGGCCCCAGCTGACCTGGCCGTTGTAGCGTTGTTATGAGATATCGCTGGAACAAATCCGTACCGGCGGAGAGAGCGATGGGGTTGGGGATGGCATTTTTAAGAATGGCCGTGTGCTTTTCAAGTAAGTCTAGAGTTTCTGAGATCGTCGAAGACGGCGAATGAGTCAGAAGAAGAACTAGGGCTTCAATGGCCGCTATTGGCATCGTGATGTCTGGGTCGGACTTGAGAAGGTCATTGTACGTCGACACAATGCTGCAGTTCAGTGATCATCTATTAGTAACAAAGTGTACATGTGTGCGTGGCGAGATTAAACGTACTCGAACGGTGCGGATTTAGCAGATGCCATATCTTGGGAATTCAGTCCACTGTCTAAAGCCCGAGAATCTTTAAGAAAAAATGGAGGAGTGTGGACAATGAATGAATCCATCTCAAAAATGAATTTAGTCATATGTAGATGCCCGCGTTTGCACTGTTTGCATGGCGGCCCCTCGACATCCCGCACTAAGCCTCTTTCAGTCCTGCAAATAAACAAAACATTTCTCTCTTTCATCGCCGCGTCCAGACCGATAATCCCCAAAAACACCAATCGGCCATGGCTTACAATCATAGAGCCAGTCAGCAATTCTATGGCGGCCAACAGCAGAGCCGAAATCGCAAGAAGGAAGATGACAGCGATGCTTTGATGCGCCTGGTAAGCTCGCATCCGTTGCGCCGTATCCGCAACATCAATGCTGACATCACGGAATCTATCAGCCAGACAAGGAAATCGCAGGATGTATAAACGACATTGGCGTTCCTTTTACGGCGGCAGATCTTCTCAAGCCAAACCCACAGCAGATTCAGATGGTGCTGGAATGGTTCGCGGAGCTGCTGATGAATACCACCAGGGAGACGGTCGACCCGGCAATGCGCGCGGCTTATCAGGATATTGCAGGGGACTATCCAGATATTATCCCTAGCGAAACGCGCAATTTGATGGGCTTCTTTCTGAACCTGCGTCGCCTGATGATCGAGGTAGGCATGACTGCATAACTAGTTTATTAAAATGGTACAGTATTGACGATGAAGATCCAATAGTGCGGTGTGAATGATTTCACTTTTTCCGACCTGACGAGACCTACCCATGACCGCTTAGTGAAGATTTTTTCGTACCTCATCAATTTTGTGCGATTCCGGGAATCCCAAACCGCCGTCATTGATGAACACTTCAACAAGGCCGAGCGCGCCAAGGCGCGTATCGAGACCCTTTATGCAGAGAACCAGGAGATTGAAGAACGGGTGAACGAGATACGGGCCAACCAACGGGCCCTCGAGAGCCAAGTGAGAGAGAAGACACAGCGCAACGATGCGCTAAAGGCCCGTTTATTAGTGTTGAGCCGAAATCAGGAAAAGATCGCGGAAGAACTTGAACGAGTGAAGACGGATAAGGCCAAGAGACAGACCCTTCTCGAGGAGAAGGTGGAAAAGGCAATACGAGCGCGGCAGGAAATTGAGAAACTCCGTCCATACGTCCAACAAAGCTCTGCAAGCCTACAAGCTTCGTTAACGGAATTATCCGAGAGCTTGGCTCGCGAAAAAGGTCAAGTGGATACAATGGAACGTCGTTTAAGAGCTTTGCAAACGTCCACGGATACCTTCAATGTTGTTGCGAACGAGGTCCAAGCCTGTGTCAAGGTTCTCGAAGATATTTCCGTCGAGCTTCAGAAGGAAGAAGAAGAAGAAGCAAGGGCCACGAGAAACAAGGATGCGATATCCGAGCGTGGTAACAACGTGCGCGAAGTTGCTCAAACAGAGAAGTTATTACAGCGACAACTGGCACGATGGAACGAGAGGATTGAGGCTCTTCGCAAAAACAGCCAGGAAAAGCAAGAGATTGCACAAGCTCGAATGGAAGAACTTCGCAATACCCAGAGACAACTAAGAGAAGAAAGGGCAGAGAAACAGAAAGCGATGGAAATCAAGCGGATAAGAATCGAGCAAACGGAGAAGAAGGTCAGTTTTGCTCACATTCTAAATAATACAGCGCGGAACTGACCCCAGACAACAGATGGCGGACTTGAAAGAGAATATCGAGAACGAGATCCACAGAGCCCATGACGAGTACTTGAAGATGGAGTCGCATATAAAGCTTTATATCACCGAAATGGAAAAGTCTCTATAATGTTGTTCATTGATTATTATGAAAGTTGAGTCTTGGGAGTTCTGTTGGCTTGTATTATTTGTTACTTTTATACCCAGAGGCATTGTGTATATTTGGATATTTTACATTGAAGTTATGGTAGGGTTGATTGGTATTTCAACGTGTAGCAAATGCATTTTTTTTTATCTCAAGAGACATATTCAACTCAACTCCTTTCCTCAAACTTAAACCACCTCTGCGCGACTCGCCGAATAGAAACATGTCTGCCAGACCGCGCCGATGGTGCATGATCATTCCCTACTCGAATTGTGCCACCATTCAAAAGAGGCACGTGTAAATCCCACAGCCGCTGACCATGGTCAGGATTGCCCACATTCACCATATCGCTACATTCACATAGCATGATAGCCGATTGAGTCCGAGCAGCCGTTTCAACTGCAAGAGCCAGTGTCCGAGACAAACCCTGCGCTGAGAACTCGGTGCTTAGACAATGCATAGCAATGAGATCGAGAATGGCTATCATGGCGTTCCCACATACTGCGTCCTGATCTCTGGTATCGACAGTATTGTTTGTGGTAATTGAACGGAGCCCGAAAACTGACAAATACGCGCGCAGCTGAGCCAGAGAAGAGCAGAATACTAATTTAACCCTTCTAGAATTGGCGAGAGTGGCAATTGTACTGGACAGAAGGCCAAGGGCAGATTTCTGAGTTTCAACAGTCTCAGCTCCAGCGCCTACCAGCTGCGATTGCCCATCCTCCTCGGCATGCTCATTGGTATTGCCATGTGCGTGCAAATTTGCTGTCACGCCAGCAGCTAATTGTTCAAGGAACTTTTCGCGAGTTGAACATACGACTAGAGTTGTGGAGCCGTTGGTGTTGTGCAGTATGGTATTGACAAAGTCTGCGATTGGCACTGCAGGCAGGATTCGTGCGTCAAGCATGAGATGTAAAGTAAGATTGATATGAGGTTTTCATCACATCCCGATGTCCACGGCTGGATTCGTGTGTTGTGTGTTGACGTTATATTTTTTGAAGTCATCACCGCCGTGCACGGTCCACCTCGACAAGTCGGATCGGAATATTAAAACACCCTCATCCGATTCAACCAAAGGCTTTCGTTTTGATTTACATATATATATTTGCTATTACCTTCCTTTTTCTTTGTAACTTCGAAAAGAACTTGTAGAGAGAGCTCGATTTTATTTACAAGGAGCTTGTATGTTTATCCTTCTATGTAATAAAATTGCTGCCCGCTGTCCACCGTCTGTTGGGGCATGAAAAGATGCAGAAGCGATCATGCAGCACGTACGACTATAATTGTTTGGTGATGAATGTATGTCCATACCTTTGCTGAGCACAATGCGGTTGTATGAAGCAGAAATTTCCCGATTGGGCGTATCTTCCCCAAAAAGGAAATTTTCGACCGAGGCATCTCATGACGAGGTTGAAGAAACAATCGACCGATGTGAAATGGTCCTCGAAGTAAAGATTTTGATGTTTGCCATGTGACGGGATCAAAATCAAAACTTTCAAAGCTGTTTCTGCCAGTGTGAATATAGAAAGTGTCTCTAGGCTATATCAAGCTAAAGCTATTGCAATACTGGTTGCGAGATATGTAGAAGCTCTGGGATATCACCACCCACCTTGATACGCAATCGCCTGAGAATGGATAGTTCGCTTAAATGAGCAGGATTTCGCATGACAAGCTATTATCTAATATCAATGCGTAACTAATTATTAACCAACTCACACTGTCAGAGCTACCTAATATATTAAATGCTATAAGCGTAGCTTGTCTCACTGTATACGGCGAGACCCTTAACCTAACCCTAACTGATAACATGGTGGGCAGGCCACGTGAGCATGGCGCGTCGTGATTGGCCGAGTTAGACTTGGGTCGCACCGTCGGCTAGCGCTGAGGTCCCATCTGGAATGGGCGGACTGGCCAATCGAATCTATCAATGCAAAGATCTCCTATCAGCCGCTAGCCAGATACGGCAAGGCGCCGGCCAAGCGTCTGACCAAAACAGCAGGAGCGGGTGGCAATAGATACACAGACCGCTATCGGGCCAATCAGCGCTTGCGTTGTTTATCTCTGCTGTGGGCTGAGGTTATATCAGAACGTGGTACTTACACGGAGTACTCCGAGAGTTGTCTCCGCTTTGTTGCTCGTTACTTTTTTTTTATTTTTTTTTCTTTCTCTTTTTATATCAGCTCGGATTTCCCTCGTTCCCTCTCCAGCCAACATCGACGCTGTTTTCTAATACACTGCCGTGCCGTGGCCGCGAATCGCGCAAAATGGAGTACGACGCTGAAAAGGCCAACGGCATGTCTGCCGACACCAAGCCAGCCTTGAACATCAGCAGTTCGAACGAAGAGTTGCCCTCTCCCAGCGATCACAATGCCATTGGCGGCTTTTTCGCGCAGCTGCGTGCATTCGAAGTGCACATGGACAAGAAATTCGGCATGGAGTCGGAGGCCATCGTTCGCAAACGGCCCGAGGACAAGCGACCAGTACACTGGAGGGAAGAATTGTCCATGGCTTTGCTGTGGGCTAGTGGCACAATGAACATCTCGTGTTTCGCAACTGGTTTCTTGGGCTGGGAATTCGGCCTTAGCTTGCGAGACTCGATCGTGATCACTATCTTTGCCTCGCTCATGGGCGGTGCCTTGACTGCGTACTGTGCCACCTTTGGAGCCGCCACCGGTCTGCGCCAAATCAGTGTCAGTCGCTACTCTTTCGGTTGGTGGCCCAACAAGCTCATTGCTTTGTTGAACGGTATTCAGCAACTGGGCTGGGCCGCAGTTGCATGCATCACCGGCGGTCTTGCCCTGACTGCCGTATCGGACGGTCACGTGTCATTGGTCGTTGGCATCATCATCCTGGCTGTGGTGGCTTTGTTGATTTCATTTGTCGGCCTGAGGTTGATTCTGGTGTACGAGCGCTACGCGTGGATCGTCTTTTTCATCATCTTCCTCATCATCTATGGCGAAACCGGCAAGTATGCAGACAACACAAGCGCCACGTCCGTCAGCGGCATCAATCTTTCTGCAGCTGTTCTCAACTTGCTCGCGGTTGTCTATGGCTCAAGTGCCTCATGGTCGACCATGGTCAGTGACTACTATGTCCACTATCCAGTCAATGTTAGCCGGGTCAAGGTGTTCCTGATGACCACATTCGGTATCGGTATTCCAACTTCTATCGGCATGGTTGCTGGCTGCGTGGTTGCCTCGGCATTAAACAACAAGCCAGAGTGGAACGACGCGTATGAAAACCAAGGAGTTGGATATCTTATCCAGGACATGCTCTATCCGCGTGGCTTCGCAAAGTTCCTGCTCGTCCTTCTCGTCCTGTCCGGCATCAACGTGAACGTAATCAGTATTTACAGTTCCGCCATCTCCTTCCAGCAGCTGTCAAGACCCCTAGGCAAAATTCCCCGCTTCATCTGGACATTGTTCTGCTTCGCCGCCATCTTGGGACTTGGCCTGGGTGGTCGTGAGGAGCTGAACACATATCTTCAGGACTTCTTGAGTTTGCTGGGATATTGGTGCACCAGCTACACTATCATTCTCTTCGAGGAACATGTCATTTTCCGAAAGGGCAACTTTGACAATTATGATTTGGAAGGATGGAACGATCCGTCCAAGCTGCCCCATGGTATCGCTGCATTAACCGCCTTCCTCCTGGGTGTAGTTGCTTGGTGTATGGGCATGGACGAGACATGGTTTGTGGGACCACTGGCGAAACTGATTGGAGATGGAGGCGATATTGCAAACGAGTTCACTTTTGTGGTGACCGCTCTGAGTTATCCACCGACTCGTTATTTGGAGCTCAAGTACTTCGGACGGTGATTTAGTTTGGGGGGGGGGGAGGTTTAATATCATCTGTCTCCCAGAGTAGACAAATTTAATTAATGCTGTCCAATTACTAGAATTTTTCTGGTATAGTCCGGGCCTAAGGTATTGGGTTTGCAGAATCCACTGCATCATATTCAACCACAACCTGTGTAAGAAGCACTTGGGGCAATGCACGACAACTTCAGAATCGAAGCAAGAAAGCCGACGGATTCATATCAATGGATAAACATAACTTGACTACCTACAAGCCTCGGCATAAGCTTTTAGGTCACTGTTGAATTGATTATATTGACCCAGCATCTTCCTCCCCAGCAAGGAAGGCGTCATGAGAAACCCAAGCGGCCCTGTAAACACCTCAGTCTGCCTGAAAATGGTTGACCTCCCATCATCGGCGGACTCAAAATGGAAGCTGTGGAGACCAGCAATAAGCCCGAGCACAGGCGGGCCTTGCCATTGAAACAGAGTCTCCGAGTTTGCCTTTTTTTTTTTTTTTCGGTGCTGCTGTTAGCCTGTTTCAATTGCTGAAGAAAAATATTCTGGAGGAGCTCTTTCTAGTTCTAGCTCACCGTGATCTCCGCCACAAACTTCATGCCATCGATGTTGCACTTGATCTTGTCGCCGCGTGCGAGTGACGAGAGCGACTTGGAGGCGTCCTCGGGCTCGAGCAGCTTGATTAATGTCGTGTGCCATTGTGGGTATTTGGCAAAGTCGAGCAGCTGCATGCCTTATTGTTATCAAGCCTGCATCATTGCGCCAGGAAGATATGTAGGGGAAAGGAGGACGCACAATCTGCCGCACCTTTGCGGGCGGTGCGGCAACCTGGATTTGTGTTTCAATGGCCATGTTGATGTCTATTCGACATTTCACCGGAGGGGGGGGGGGAATATATAAATATATTTATGACTCCAAAAAATGGGGAGCGGGCAAATCCAACTCAGCCTCGGATGCATAGTTGTACCGGTAGGTAACCGTACGGTCTTTTTACGTTAGCGGTATCTTTCTCGTAGTCCTGCTTCGGTTGTGATTGGCTAGAAACCATCAACTGTATCGTTCCGTCCGTTTCTATACGTCCTGCGTATAATCAACATGATACCAGGTATACAGAAGAGATTGACGATATGTCTGTATAACAACAACCTTGGAATCGTCAGTCATACCGTATAGTCAGTCTATGCCATGTTCAGCGGAAGAAGACTCACATCACCTCCGTGGATGCCATGGCCGCACGATATGATTGCAACAACCATGCTTATCTCAAGCTTACACAGATGCTGAAGGATACCAAAAGGCCGAGATGTGGACGAGCTCGCCTTTCGTGACTTTAGAATCACGTTTTGTTTTATTTGTTTGGATTGGTGTGGTCATAGATTCTGCATGAGTGATAATTGCAACAATCATGAAGGCCAAGGAAGAATAGTCGCCTCACTTTGTCGGATGCGGCATTTATATGTATAGCTCAGTGTATAGACGATATGCTTCATTCATTGTTATCATCTATCTTCCTATTGTCTGCTGCTGACACGGAACATCCCGGGTTGTCGACTTGCAATGGTTTTTAAAATCACTCAGTCTGGGGACCCAGCCTTGTCTTGGTAATTTCTTCGTTATTCTCTTTTCCCCCAGTCAGACTCTCTCTCTACACACTTCTGTGACTCGACGTAGACGCCCAGGACGGGCCGCCAGTCTGTATATACAAGATACAGATACAAGATACAAAATCCAAGTAACAAGCGAGTCCTCTGGAGTCTGCAATGAGGGATGTATCTGTAGGTGTAGATAAAATATAAATGCTCCGAACCCTGGCAGTGGGCTGTGTCTGTAGATCGCGCTAGACGGCTTCAGCTGCTCGTTCTAGCGTCGTTCTACGGGCCTTCTATGCAGGACAGACCCTGGTCGACAATGGGCGGTGTCTGGTAGGTTGAATTCTTTCACTTGTCCCCTTCATTTATTCATTTATTCATTTATTCATTTATTCATTTATTCATTTATTCATTTGTCTACTATTATTTTGTCTATTTTCTTGTCTCCTTGTTTGTGGCTTGCGTTATTTATCTCCCTCACGTGTGCAGCCAGCCCGCCAATAAGAAGGCTGAATTGCCCTCGCTCTCTTTCTTTCTTTCTTTCTTTCTTTCTTTTCTTCTTTTCTTCTTTTCTTCTTTTCCTCTCACACAAAAGATAGTCAATCATCTCTGCTGGCCTGTCAAAGCCATCAGACTAAAGCATCATCAACCTGTGTGGTGTTCACACACAGATTCTGGAGCGCGCTGTCCTGTACTGTGCGAGATGGTATGGTATCCCTCATTATGCACCCAGGAGCACTCCCCTGCTTGATTGTGTATCTTTTATCATATATTCTGAATCACTCCTCTTGGTTGTGTGTGTATAATTATGTATCCTGGAGGACTCCTGCTGGATTATATACCAATTCTTTTCGCCTGATCTGTATCCATCAGTCCATACCCAGGAGCACTCCCCTGCCTGATTGTGTATCTTTTATTATGTATGCACCTCAATGTGTATCAGCATCTGCATCTGCTAATCAACCACAGGAGCCCTTCCCCTTCGACTACACCCAAGCCATGACGTACTCGCCATCCGCTCAATCGCTTTACTCCTCGTCCGCAGACTCGCACCTGGACTCCTACGCCCCGTCGCCCTACGACGAATGGAGCGCCATGATGCCCTTCGGTTTGCAGGGATGCTTTCCACTGCAGGGACATGCCTCACAAGGAGTGGCCTCTTCGTCCTCGATGGGCCTTGGAACTCGTCCAATTGAGATTCCTCGCCCGCATGCCCACAACGGCGTTGACATTGCGCACCTGGGCTTTACTCCGTCCTACTCGAGCTCTTCCGGCATTTCTTCCTCGTACCTGGGCTCGCCGGTCATCTCGCAATCATCCTCAATGTCAATGAGCCTTGGGGACATCAGAGGCCCCCCCAACCATGTCTCGGGGGCCCTCCACATGCATTCTGCACCGGTGATGTCTGGCTACTCGATGGCACATGCAGCTTCGACACCCGCTCCACTGCTCGTGGATCGACCTAAGCGTGTGCCCCCCCGCCGCCACTCTGAAAGGTAAGCCCTAGCAAGCCTGTTGTTCACACAGAATCATGGGCATGGGCATGGGCATGGCTAATTGTGGTCTCCAGACAAACACGCTCATTTGACTGCAAGAAATGTGGCAGATTCTTCACTCGCCTTGCCGATGTCAAGCGCCATGAAACCAGTGTCCATGACCCAGTGCCCATTGACTGCCCAGTGGAGGACTGTTCACGCAAAGGCCATATTGGCTTCCCCCGCCGCGACCATCTCATTGAACACCTGCGCACATTCCACAACAAGAACATCCCCAAGCGTGCAGTGACCAAGAAGCGCAAGGCCAATGTCACAGCCAATGCTAATGCCATGCTCTGAGGATGATGCTGCAACCGCATAGAATGACTGATGTTTATGCCTAATGACTTATGACTGGGGGGGTTGTCAATATCCCTGTTTACCTCTTCTTTGTATCCGTTCTTTCAGTCAGGCTTTTCTTTCTTTTCCTTGCCTTTGTTATTGACTATGATACCTTTTTGCATCTTTCGTCTTTCAGTCGTGGCACAGACATGATACAGATACCTACATTCTTCTTAGTAATATCAGACCTAGGATGCAAGCGCCTGATTGGTCAGTTTGAGTACAACCGGTCGACCGCAAATATTAAATAAAAAAACCCCCATCCTGCCAAATCACTCAAGTAACTTTCCTGCAAATCAAGCGATTGTCAAGTATCGACAGCAGATAGAACGAACATGGCGTCCTCGACAGACAAAACACCATCGGCAGACATCAGCAAAGCACTCGCGCGCATCAAGTCGCATCCAACGCTCACCCCCTTCCGCCGGCGCGTCTACCGCACGCTTCTGTCCGTGCCAGCCTCGCGATGGACCACCTACGCTGCCCTGGCCAGGCACCTCAGCTCCAGCCCGCGCGCAATCGGCGCCGCCATGAAGAGCAACCCCTTTGCGCCGGCCGTGCCGTGCCACCGCGTGCTGGCCGCCGACCGGTCGCTGGGCGGGTACAAGGGCGCATGGAACAACGGCGGCGAGTACGCCGTGGAGAAGACGAAGCTGCTGGTCGCGGAGGGCGTGCAGTTTGACGGCGATGGGAAAGCGATGGGCGTGTGCTTCGTGGATTTCATGGATGCCCAATAGTGCGTGTGTACTGCATACATACATATCAACCAGCCTAATAGGAAGCCGATCCCCCGCACTCACTTCTCTCCTCTTCGTGGACACGCGCTCGTCCCTAGGCATGATGCCGAGTGGAATGTCGTGCTACATTCCCCTCGCCAGCAAGGATGGATGCTCCTCCGGCTGTTCCCTCTTATATGTACGGAGAATTCACGAGTCACGTACCTACAGTCCTGCAAAATGCGTCTCTGCTCGTCATTGCTTCTGATCTTTCTGGCCTCGCACGTCGCGGCCCAGCCTTCTCCGATCGACTACTCTCAATATGTAAACGCATTCATCGGCTCCGAGGGCCCAACCCCAGGACAAGCGTTCGGCGGCGGCGACATCTTTGTTGGCGGCGCGCGCCCATTTGGAGTCGTCAAATTCGGCGTCGACACGACTGCTGCCAACTGGACCCTGGCCACGCTGAACGGCGGGTGGACTCCCGACGGCAATGTGACGGCTTTCAGTGAGTTCCTCTGATCGCCCAATATGGCTTCTCTGCTAAGACAGACATGCCAGCGATGATGCACGAGAGCGGCACAGGCGGTGCGCCCAAGTACGGCATCATTCCACAGATGCCATTGACGTCGGTCGATGCGCCCGTCAATCTGCTCGAGAATCTGACTTATGCGCAGCCGAGGGTACGCTCTACCTCTTACACTCCATGATAATCATCTGACTGCGGCGACTAAAAAGGTCGGCAACGACACCGCCAGTGTCGGATACTTCAGAACCACGCTGCAAAATGGAGTTGTCGCAGAGCTCTCCGCGTCTCGACATGCCGGCATCATTAACTATTCCTTTCCAAGCGGGGAGAAATATATCTTGGTTGATGTATCTCATGTAGGCTACATTCCTTGACAGTAAGATATCAACTAGTGCGTTGCATGACTGATCTGTCTAGTATCTCCCCGGCTCGCCTGGAGACACTAGCTCTCAGTTCTACGTTGCCGGCGAAATCAAAATCAACCGGGAAGAAGGTTCGTATGAAGGATACGGAACCTATGTTGGGGGGTTCAACAATGGTGAGTCTATTATTCCCAAACACCAAGTTGGAAAAAAAAAAATGTGACAACTTCATCTCAGGCGCCCCATACACGGTATATTTCTATGGCGAATTCTCCCTAGCTCCCCAGGAATCAACCACATTCTCCGGAGCAAACACCAGTCCCATGCCGCGATACCAAAACCTAGCAAACGGCGGTATCCCCGAGCCCGTCTACGGCAACCAAAGCACAAACAAGGCAACTTCGGGGCCCTTGAACTCGCGTGTTGGCGCTCTATTCCGCTGGAACAACTCTCCCGAGTCCACGCAAAACATCACCTCCCGCATCGGCATCTCATTCATCTCCACGGCCAAAGCCAAATCGTATATTGCCTCGGAAATCCCTAGTTGGAACCTAAATGATACCGTGGCCGATTCCGTGCATGAGTGGAATACAGATGTATTCAGCAAGATCAGGGTGCCGGTGGATGATGACGTTTCGACCAATATCACGAATTTGAGACTCCTCTATAGCTCGCTGTACTTCATGCATTTAATGCCCTCTGATCGATCTGGGGAAAATCCTTTGTGGGTCTCTGAAGAGCCGTTTTGGGACGATTTCTATACCTTGTGTAAGCTTTCTGCTTCTTTTTTACATGTGGGAAAGGTATGCTTACTGGTTTGTTACATTATCTAGGGGATATATTCCGTTGCACGGTCAGTCTATATCACGTTTTGCAGCCTACGTACTACGAGTCTATGATCCGCGGTATTATTGATATCTTCAGGTGAGTACGAACCCTCACCCCATCTCTTCTATATCATGGTCATGTCTGATAAACTGCCAGACACCAAGGATATCTCCCTGACGGCCGATCCGGAAATTGGAACGGCCTGGTCCAAGGAGGCTCTGACGCCGACAACGTCCTAGCCGACGCATACATCAAGGGTCTACGAGGCAGCATAAACTGGCCCGACGCCTATGCCGCAATGCTCAAAAACGCCGAAGTCACGCCCTACAACACCTTTGACCCCACGGACCTCACAGGCAGCACAAAGGAGGGTCGTGGTGCGCTTGACGACTGGCTGGAACTCGGCTATGTGGCTGTTGACCACAACTCGCGCTGCATCTCACGCACCGTCGAATACAGTCTGAACGATTTTGCGTTGAGTCAGGTCGCGTCGGGAATTGAGCCGCGGGATCAGCAGAAGTATCTCAATAGATCTGCGGGATGGCAGTTGATTTGGAATCGGGAGGTGACCAGCTTGGGGTTTACGGGGTTTTTGGCTCCGAGGTATGCGAATGGTTCGTTTGAGGGGAGTGCGTATGATCCGCTGTACTGCGGGGGATGTGAATGGAGTTCTATCACGTATGAAGGCGTTCCCTGGGGTGTGTCTCTCTCTCTTTCTCTCTTGTATGCCTATGTGTAGGATAATAGTGCTAACCGCTGGGAGAATACTCGTTTGTCATTCCTCACGACGTGGAGACTTTGATTGAGTTTATGGGAGGGTCATCCACGTTTGAGTCAAGGCTGGACTTGATGGTATGTCTGCTGTCTCAATCTCTCTCTGCCTTGTATCTGATTATTTGGGTCAGTTCGTGCCAGGCGTCGCGAAGCAGGATCTCGGAGCCAACGGAGCCGGCATCACCACCCTCATGAATATCGGGTAAGCCATGAAATGCATCTTGGGGGGGAAAAAAAAAGAAAGGAAAGGAAATGCTGATTATCCAGAAATGAACCCGACTTTGCCACTCCCTATCTGTACCATTACATCAACAAACAAGCAAAATCAGTCCAACAGAGTCGCAATCTGAGTAACACATAGTAAGCTTTCCCCCCTTTGTTTAAATCGCCAAAAAAAAAAAAGACTTAAGTTGGTGGAAAACCAGCTTCAAAGACGCCGCCTACGGAATCCCCGGCAACAGCGACGCTGGCGCCATGAACTCCTGGCTCCTTTGGCAGCTCATCGGCCTGTATCCCATCGTCACTCAGCCAATTTACCTCATCGGATCACCTTGGTTTCCCGATATCAACATGACGGTAAACGTTAACCAGACGTTGCGCATCACTGCGTCTGGTTTGGACTATAATCGGGGCTCGTACTATGTACAGAGTGTGCGTGTGAATGGCCAGGCTTGGGACAAGAATTGGTTGACGCATGAGGATGTGTTTGTGCATGGGGGGAGCATTGAATTTGTCCTGGGCACGAATATGACTGCTTGGGAGACTGGGGGTGTGCCCCCGTCGCCTGGGCATGTTACCTTGTAAATAATACCTCAATGCTAGGAACAGAGCAGTCTCAAGCCATGAATGTCGTGATTTGTTTTTTTTTTTTTTTTTTTTTTAATTTCTTACCAGGAAATTATCTTTGTCTATGTTCTATATGCGAGTAAAGCTCAACTTATCCTTAGATCAGCCAGGAAACGCGCCCGCTTTCGCCATTTTCTTCGCATGCTGGTCCCGTCGATGGTGATTCGCACCTCGTCCACGCCCTCCTCGTCCTCGACCACCCCTCCCGCGGCCTCTGGCATTACCGCGATCACCAACCGAAGAACTGATATCACCCTGCACATCCTCAGCCTCATCCAACGCCGCTTTCGCGTTCGGTCTCCGATACGCAGTAGATGCAAGCGTCGGCTGACCCGCCACACCTGCACCTGTACCCGCGCCCTCCAACCCAGTCTCAAGAGCCAACTTCCTCTCCAGTCGTGATTGCCTCTTTGCATCACGCTGCAACATCACCGCCCAGCCCTCAATAGCTTCATCGGTCATGCCAGTCTCGCGTTTAAGCGCATCCCGAGGCTGGGAGCGTCGCGTCGCGGAGTCGCGCGCAAATTGCGTCGGATTCGATTTCCATATCCGGTACAGAGTCATGTCGAGGTCAGAAATAGTAGTAGTGGTGTTTTTATCCTTCTCGTCGCCAGCGCGTCTTCCCTTTTCCTCGCCTTCGACTTCTGTCGCGCCTGTGGTGTGGATTGCGTCCACGGTGCCACCGACATCGGCGATATCGTATGTATCGTCTCGTTCGTCATCGTCAGAATCAAAATTCGCCAGCGCCGATAGGATTGCTGCTTTGTTTGCAGCGTGCTGGCTTCTGTCGGCTAGGATGCTGTCGGCTGTGGAGTCGATGTTGGCCCTGCCAAAGAGGAGTTTCTTTTTCTTGTTGCCTTCATCCCTTGTGAGAGAGGCTTGTGCGGCTTGGATGATTTCGTCATCCTCCAGGTCGATGTTCCGTCTGTACTCTGGTAGAGGGGATGACAGTTGTGCCGGGGTGTGATGAGGTTCCAATGCATCATGCTGGATATTGTGAGTGGGTAGAGGCTGGGTTGTGTCAAGTGTCTGCAACTCGGGCGCCAGCGAGTTTTCAAGTAGATGCGCAACTATTGTTTCGACGTTGTCGTTATAGTAATCAAGTAAACGGACAACATATCCGTCCCCAAGATCCGGGAAGAGATCGCGGATCTGCGTAACTAAAGACAGCTTGTGGGCGTGTACACTCTCGTCATCACCTGCAGCTGCTTTGCCTTTGCCCTTTCTCTTCTTGTGCCGCTGGTAGTGTCGATTGTGATACGATTTCATTTCCTGCTGATATTCCCTCAACGAGCTGATTAAATCTTGGCCGCGTTTCTGCGGCGCCGACACCAAATACCGCTCGATCCGGATCAGGATATCCGTGCTGCATACCAAGTCCGACAGTAATTCTGGAGTCCGTCTATTTCTTCCGGAACTTCCTACCTTTGAGGAAACTTTGAGCGTGAACAGTTGGTCAAGCAGGAGCGACAGATTCGGCTTGGGCACTTTGAGCAGCGAAGTCAACCCGACATAGACATTTGCGACCAACGCATTTCTCAGCTCTTCCCAACCATCCTTGCCCGTAGAGAGAGTCGCTTTGTAGGACTCATGTAAAGAATCGAGATAATCAGACCCAGTCATCAGCAAATGCCCAACATGCGGTAATGCCGAAGCGAGAATGCTCATTCTTCGAAGTTCAAGGACTACATCAGCTGCACTCCGTGATACTGCCGGTTTGGAACCAGTAGTATCTGACAGTCTCTGCATGATCTCTGCCTTTCCTTTCTCGACACTTGCTGAGATCTTAGCTTCATATCGTTGCCATACTTCTAGTAACAGCTCTTTCAGCGTCGAGCTTGAGTGATAACACTGGCTAAAATCTCCGAGGAACCGCCAATCCAACATCGCATCTGCGGTAGGAAGGACATCTAAAAAGTACCTTCGCGTGAGCAAGAAGACTGCTCTCCGTAGCTGCCTTGTCTTCTTACTGCTGCCCTGCACGCTGGAGGACCCCCCGTGCAGGCGAGCATCATCAAAGGCAGCGAAATAAGATGCCAGAAACGTGGCATTGAATCGGTCTGCATGCGCGCAGTCCCCGAGATCTTTTTTCGACAGGTGCAGACGCAACTCTGTGAGAAGAATCCATGCATCCAGCGTGGCTCCCCACTCTTCGTTTGGGATGGTCTTCCGCACCGCTGAAGGCGGGACGGGAATGAGGAGGGGGAGGTCCATCGCGATGCTTTGGTGTTATTGTATTGCTTCTCTCCTCCCCTTTGATTCCCTCGTTGCTGCAGAGTCTGGTGGATGTTTGGGCGATCACCCGCAGCAGCATTTGCATTCCATCTCTTGGAAGTTGGGAGACAGAGAGATAAACCCAACCTCATTGGCCGAAACTCGATCTGCTTAGTCATTACCCTCTGCCAAGCCTCCGGGCACCAAATCCGGCCTAGCGCGTCACTAGGCGAGAAGCAGCGCGCCAAGACTTCGACTGTGTGCACAAATCGTATCTTATCGCCGTTTTTTCTCCTTACTCTTCTTCTTCTTCACATCGCCTTTCATCACATTACCGAACGAATCGACTGTGTTCAGGTCTTGATTGGCACCTTCGCTCAACAAAAAAAAAATTCAACAAAAATGTCTTTCCAGAAGCCAGAGAAGGATTTCGGCGAGGGCCCGGTATGTGTGCGCGGTTTTGTGACTGCAATCAAATATGAATAAATATTCAATGCGCGATTGAATTGGGTGTGAAATTCGAGTCGCAGCCAGCATTGTTCGATGCGATTTCCGAGCAATTCAATTGCGCATGGAATTTTGAATTCATACACAGTCGGCAGGCAAGAGCCATTGCTAATATATCTCTGCAGAAGGTCCACCGCATCCGTATCACCCTGACCTCCCGCAAGGTCGCTTCTCTCGAGAAGGTCTGCCAGGAGCTCATTGAGCGTGCCAAGAGCAAGTCGCTCACCGTCAAGGGACCAGGTCAGTCTACTATGCGCAAACTATGGAAATCGATCGCTAATACACTGTTCAGTCCGTCTGCCCACCAAGACCCTCCACATCTCCACCCGTAAGACCCCCAACGGTGAGGGTTCCAAGACCTGGGACATGTACGAGATGCGCATCCACAAGCGTCTCATTGAGTACGTTTCCTCCCCCCTTCTTCCATTCTCGACTTATATCCATAGTGGCTACACATTACTAACTACATCTTCATAGCCTCCACGCCCCTACCGAGACCGTCAAGCAGATCATCATCAACATTGAGGCTGGTGTTGAGGTCGAGGTTACCATTGCCGCTTAATTATGTCATTTTGATTATTGTCTTGGTTGTGTGCCGTATGGATTATGATAAGGACCATGATTTTTATATGATGACCAGATGCAGCAATCTATGCTACCTGCAACAACAAAAGATAGACAAAATGAATGAAAGAAAAAAAAATGGTAAAGACAACGAAAGAACAAAAGTCTAGACTTCTGTTTTCAAGGTACAATATGACGAGTAGATCACGCGGCAGCCAGTGCGCATTTTAATTCTTGGGTAAATATGTAGTCAGAAATAAGAAGAGGAAGAAAGCATTCATTCCATGAACAACACCCAAGCAAAAGACCGTCAACCCAACTCCAGAAGAATACTACAAGACCGTGACATGACATGACAGCTTCATCAAATCCCCCGCCCCTATCCATTCCAAAACACTTTAAAACAACCCGCTCCTACGATGTATAAGCAGGAATGAGAAACAACACCTATATCCAGAAGCGCATGCAATTATTATTATTATTATTGGGTTGGTGCAGCTGTCGTTGAGGTTGACCGGCCCGTGATGTAGTCGCGGTTCTCAACAGTGACACTCTTCGTCATATGATTGACCTTGTACACGCCAACAAGGCGAGCAGCGAGTTCGAACTAGCATTGATGTTTAGTATTCATTGACTTGTTCGCAGCAGTCATCTTGATGACCACTCACCATATTGTTTCGAAGAGAAATGACGATAAACTGCGCATTCTTTGTTCTCTCCTTGATATATGATGCAACAATAGAAACCTTGATTTCATCAGTCAGGTTTCCACTCTCCAAGTCTAGAAAATATATTGAGACTCACATTTCGGAAATCCAGAGCAGCGTCAATTTCGTCCATGACGTAAAGAGGAGTCGGCTTGTAATGATGCAAAGCGAATACCAACGCAAGACTGGACAGCGTCTTTTCACCTCCAGATAAATTGCTGATGTTCTTCCAACTCTTCTTTGGCGGCATCACAGAGAACAGAATACCTTCTGAAAAGGGATCGAGAGAGTCAACAAGCTCCAACTCGGCATTCCCTCCCATCGTTATCATTTGGTACATCTCCTTGAGACGCAGTGAAATTGTGCTGAAGCCCTCCATAAATCCTGTAAGCCGAGCTGACCGGAGGCTATCCAAGCGTGATTTTGCAGTATCCCGCGCTGATAGTGACTCGTTCAAATCTGCCGAGCGAGTCTCGTGCTCAGCAACACGGCGACGGTACTCCTCAATGACAGACAAGTCAACCGAAGCGTTCTGTGTCTTTTCTTCCAGTGCCGCAATGAGTGCCTTCAGCGATTCCTTATTCATGTCGGCAAGCTCGTCTGCAGTAAACGTTTGCAACTCCGCCGTTTCCTGCTCATCGCCAAGATCGCTGACATTTTGCAGAGCTAGCTTGGACAACTTCTCTTCCCAATACCGACTCCGTTTCTGGTTTTCTGCAAGAACTTTGTGGTTCTCTTCCAGCTTATTGCGCATTTCAATCTCTTGGGCGCGGGTTTCGTTCAGCTCCGCTGTCTTTTCATCCAACTCTTGCTTGAGGGCTTTAAGTTCACCTCGCTTCGTCTCCAGGGCCTAGAAACTTCTAGTTAGCATTTCGTCTCTTTTGTAAAAGGCACATCTTAATCACCTCTTGAGCTTCTTCGGCCCTTTGTCTAGAGCTCGACGCATCACTGGCTTGTTTCTTGACGTCATCATTCAAATGCTCCATTTCTGCATCAAGCTGCTCGCTCTCTTTTTGACTTTCCAAGTGTGACTTTTCGTGCTTCTTGATGAGTTTTTCATTTTTCGTTTTCGCAACTTCCGCATTGGATATCTCTTCCGAAAGAAGGTTGATCTGTTCTTTCAGCCCATCCACCTTCGCTTTCTGGCTTCGCAGACGGACACCGCCGACTTCCATAATCTTGGACTGCAGGGATTGTATCTCCCCTTCAATGCCGGCCATATCCTGCCGCAGGCTCTCGACTTCCTCCTGCAGGCTGTTCATCTGTTGCTCCAAAGCTTTTGCTCGGCTTTCATCGGTCTTGGATGGCTTGTGCTCGACACTAAGCTCCTTGATGCGACGTTGGGCATCCGCAAGACTTCGTTTGCCGCTCTCTATTTCAATACCAATTTTCTGAATCTTAGTATCCAGTTTAGGGATCTCCTCGGTCTTCTGTCGAAGAGAGGTCTCCAATTGGCGCTGTTTATCCTGGAAGAGCTGAAGCTTCTTTTCCAACTCGTCCCGATCGTATTCCAGTTTGGAGACTTGCTCTTTGGAGGTGTCGGCCACTTGTTTCGAAGACATACCGCCTTTAGCGACGCGTGTTCCTCCACCACTCATAGTACCAGACAAATCAATGAGCTGTCCATCGAGAGTAACGACCCTCCAGCGTTTAGCACCATAAGCTATCCTATTTGCTTGTTCCAGGTCCTTGGCGACTAGAGTGTTCTGCAAAACGCTATAAAACGCTGGGGCGAATTTAGGTTCCTTGGGTTTGATCAAATCGAATAGACGCGGCACGCTTTCAGGAGTGTAGATCGTTGACATGTCTCTTTTCGGTAGGCGATCTAGAAGTATGAAGTTCGCCCTTCCAAGATTATTCTTGCGAAGATAGTCGATGCATTGCTGTCCAGCCTCAACTGTATCGACCACCATGTTCTCAAGTTGGGGGCATGCTGTTGAAATAGCGACATCATATTTCTCTTCGATGGTTCCAAGGTTGCCGAGTCTGCCATGAAACCCGTCTATACGACCGGACTCCTTAAGTCGCATAAGACCGGAAAGAACACTGCCCTTGTTCTGGGTGCTGGCAAGGCTAGCTCTGGCTTCTTCGGCCTTCTGTCGTGCATTGGAAACGTATGACCGAAGTTCGGGTTCCTTCTGAGATAGCTTGTTGATATCTCGTTTCAGGGATTCGACTTCATCTTCAAGCTGGGACTTTTCCTTATGCTTCTCCTCGAGCTCTGCTTCCTTATCTGCGAGACTTTCCTCGATTGAGGTAATTCGGGTTTGCGCTTCTTCCAAAGCCTTTGCGCCCGCATTGCTTCTTTCATTCAGAATATCAAGTTCGCTTTGGGCAACGGCGATTGCAGAGAGTTTCTCGTTAATTTTAGCATTCCATGGCTCGAGAGATTTCTGTTTGGCGGCGATCTGATCAGAGAGTCCTTGTGTTTTGCCCTTGAGGCTTTCCCGGATCGAGGCAAGCTCCTCTTCCTCGGATTTCATCTCATTCTCAAGTTGGGCAATTTCGGCCGACTTTTTCTCGATATCAAACGAATGCTTTTCCACCAAGCTTGCGCACTCAGACGATGCTAGCCGGCTAGTCTGCAAGGTTTTCTCTAGTTTTTTCTGCTTGCCAGTCAAGAACTTCCTTTTCTCTTCGAATTTGACTGTTTCCTTATCGTACTTGGCCATTTCCTTGACCATTAACTGCGTTTCCTTCTCCATACCTTCGTACTCCTTGGCAGCACGCTTGTATGTCTTCTCAATCTCCTTGATGCCAGATTCATTGCCTTCATGTTTCTCTAGTTCCATGTTCAACAACTCTTGCATTTGCATGATAGCTTCCTCTGTGACCTTGGTGTTGTTTTCACATTCTGCAATGTATATTTGATAGAGAGCAGACTGTTTTATCATCAGATCATTTTCATCCCGTATGTAAGCAAGGGCTTTGTTCTTCTTGTCTTCCAATGCCGTCTTCTCCTTTTCAACATGCTGAACGCGATTGTTCTTCTCGACACACACCTCATTCAATGTTTCGACCTCGGTGGCTGCTTCATCGATTGGAGTCTTATATTTGGAAGTACCAATAATATCTTCAAGATACTCCAGAAGACCATCTTCGTGTTCATTGGCAGCTTTGGGTTTCATCTGCGCGATTGACTCAACCTCGCCCTGTAGAATCAGAAAACGCTTGTGATCTAAATCAATTCCGCGATCCTTGAGAAACGTAGTAACGGTGGTAAAGTTCGTCTCCTTTTTGTCCATATAGTATTTGCTCGAATTATTTTTGAAAGCCCTTCGCGAAACTACCAATTGTGAGTCAGGAATGACTTTGTGTGCGCCGCCTGGAAGATCCATGATTTCCTGGAAATGGACTTCGACTTCGCAAAAAGACAAATCGGGAAACCTAGCTGAGTTGTGGATCAAGGCAGAGACTTTTCCTTGACGCATCTTGCTGGCGCGGAAGCCGAAGACGAAAAGTAGAGAGTCGATAACATTCGACTTGCCGGATCCGTTAGGGCCGACAACAGATGAGAACGAGACATGGAAAGGGCCGACAACCTGTTTCCCGGCATAACTTTTAAAGTTAGTGAGCACTAGGTGAGTAATTACCATGCGCGCGCGTGGCACTTTGGGCTCCTCGACAACAGGAACGCCTAGCGACCGCGACTTCAGTACAATGTCCATGGGCTTTTCCAGGTTGGTCGACATCGGGTTAATGATCGAGATCTGGGATTTCTGTTCTTCGGTATCGGCCTTCGTCGGCGCCGGCGATTTGTTAACTGCGGATTGGGTAATATCGGAGAGCGGGCTGCTAAATTCTCGGTGCGATCGCGACGACGCTTCGGGCGAAGCTGAAGGAGAAGGAGTAGGAAGTGAGGACAGTTCTGCTGCTGGCGTAACTGAATCACGGCTCTTACGGGAACTTCCTGCCCTCTTTCTCTTCTGGGCTGCCCGAACCTTCTCGGAAGGCGACTCAGGCTCTTCCTGCGCTTTTATGGTCGATTCATCCCTATTGTCCTCCGATTCCACCGTCTCTGCAACAGCCGAGGGTTCTTCTTCGGGCTGCGGTGTTGGTTCGGCGGTCCTTGCTCTTCGGCCCACTCTTGTCGGGCGCTTTGCAGGTTGGGCGGGTGCCTCTGATGCTTTTCGGCGACCACCTCGCCTTGGAATGGGCTTCTTAGCCACGGGTGTGTTGTCGTTTTCGTTTTCTTCTTCCTCATCTATATTGGAATGAGACGGCGTCGGTGTGACGCTGCCTGGATCCTCTTCCGAGGCCTCCTCGATATAAGAGGTTCTCCGCGAAGCTGCACGGCGCGACGGCCTGCCTCGTGCGATGGAAGCCATTTGTGCGGTGGTGAATGCGATGGCGGGTGGTTGTCGGGAAGATGGTTTCTGTTGGCGGCGCCGCTTTGTTTTTGTTTATTCCCCGCCAAAAATGGCAACGCTCTCTTTTTCTGCCGGCCACTAGCACGAGGTGGCCGCTGGCTGGACTCACCGCCTTTATCAGGAAAGAACATTCGCCAGAGCAACTTCATGCAGCCATTCGACAGCAGGAACTACAGTGGCTGAGGGCAAAATGAGTTCCTGGGAGAGCTTCGACCTCACCTTCCAGTTCAATCGGGATCTAAGCTACGACAAAAAGCTCATTGATCGGATCAATGGCTACCGTCGCTCACTGGAAAATCAGCTGTTTATCGACCGACTGCTAAGGCTGATGGGCGTCCAAGCAGGTATGTCTATGGCCTCGACTGCCAATGGCCGGTAGCTTTGCTGATTACTGGCTCTGAGGCAGTTCACGAGATATATCCCCCCAAGTCCAACCAGGATCTCCGAGAACTCCACAGGCAAATTCTCCGCTCTTCATTTCCCAACCACCAAAAACAAGCAGTGATCTATTATCTTCTCCAAGATTGCCGCGGATCCAACGAGGCCATTAATCAGTTCGTCAGGCGATGTTCTCTTCCTGAAAAGTACCAGCTGTTCATCAGTGGTCTGTGGCATTTAGACCGACTTGAATTCCGGGTATGTTATCTTCCAGACCTATCATTCGAACGTGGACTAATAACCTTTTTCGTGCTATCATAGCTGGCCCTCGAGTTTCTTACCGAACCCTCACTTATTCCCACATTCCCTGATGAGATTCTCTACGTCTTGACGCTTGAAAAACTACCAAGGCATGATGATTCGCTCGCGATAGCTTATTATATAACCGTCTCTCCACCGCTCGAATCAGAAACGGTCCAGCAGTCATATTTTGAGACACTCTGTCGAGCGAGCATTACCGAGTCATTTTACTTTTCTCGACGGTATGACGATGACCGTCGACGGCGATTCCTCGAACAACTCATCTTTTTCGTCCACAAAACAACGCCTGGGAACACGAGGGGCGAGCGTGCCATCGAACTGATCAACTTGCCATTCGATGAGCAGGAGGAAACATGGTTCGAGGACTATCTACTTAACGGGAAGGTTGCGACGCTTTCGGGAGCGAAAGACACGGTGTTGATGCGGCGACTGGCGACCGGCAAAACGCGAGATCTTCCAGCTAGCGTAAAGTCGCTAGGAGGGCGCAAGATCGATGGTATTAATTGGGATGATCTTCGACAGACGTTTGATCGAAGCGATACCCTTTAGCCCGAAAATAAGTACGTTTCTTCTACGGTGTTTGGCATGGCTGGCATGGACAGCGGGTTTTTAGCGGCGTTCGAGGGAGGCTCTTTTTCAATGTATGCAATTATTATGGTGTGTGCACACCAGGCTGTCCAATGCGATAAAAAAAAAGAAAAATTTGTAATTAGCAAGTCTTATTGTGAATCGGCGTTCTAATCGAGGAGGCTGGATCGGAGTGCATCTTCAATGATCTATAGTTTATTTTCAACCGTATCATGGAATTTGAATAAATACGAGGATGAGACAGAATAATCAAAAAACCAAAATATATATATATATATATTCATGTGGCAGTAAAACTGCACATGCGCCAGTGCATTAACGTGGTTGATGTTGTATCGAACAAAAGCGGCTGATGGATTCGCTGGTTGCGCGGCCATAAAAATTGCTTGGCTTCGGTGTTTCTTGCCGCGCGACTATCAATCCGCCAAGTTGGGTACGATCACCTCGAGGACCTCTTCGAAAGGCTAGAAACATCGCGATGGTGGTTTGTCTTTACTTTCAGCAAGGTCGTTGCAGATATGGAGGTATGATTGCCGTACGCAAAAGTCCGGGCATCTTTGTTAACGGGTACAAATAGATCGGTGCAAAAATGAACATCCAGGTCAAGTAACATCTGGCTCATCTACGAATCGTTTCGGTGTTTTGGGCACTAATCCACTTGCATCTGCAAACACCTCTGGTAGGCTTTTTTTGTCTTTCTTTTCTTTTTGTTTGATCATTCGGCGTCGAATCTGCATGGCGTGCCGGCGGCTGCAAACAATGACTCCCCGCCACTTGTTCAGCAAGCCACTTCGCATCTCTTTCCTAGGAGGGAGACACCAGACGAGCTTTTGGATGAGCATTGACTATCTTTTCTTTCTTTTTTCTACCTCTTTTTTTTTTTTTTTTTTCCCCAAGTCTCGACAAAGATGGCTTTCGTTAACAGGTCATTCTATCATTCAGGAAGCACGCAGCAGCAAGACAAGTCTACCAAGTAAGTATATCAGAAGAATCCAACTATCTTTATCTGATGCCTGCCAGCTAACTTTCGTCCAGCTACCACGTCACAGCTGATGGCATCCAATCGGACCTTACGATAGGGAAAGACCGGCCAGCCTGGATTTTCTCTGCATATGGCCCTGGCAAAAATGCACCCAGGCAGCTCTTCGGCGGTCCGTCTCGAGAGCAGAGTTTTGAGGAGATGCGGTTGCGTCACTACGAAGCCACGGCTGCCGGTAACATGAATCAGGCTATTCAGGAAGCTCAGAGACTACACGAAGAGACAACAAACCAAATCCAGGTGATTCTGAATGACCTTAATGGCGCTGTCAAGTATGTCCTTGATGGACAAAATGAACACCCGAATCGCATCGATATCGTTGAGGGAAGGTCCTCTGTGCAGCCAGCATTTGGTCAACAGGCTGCTGCGCCTTCATCTGCTCCAGCTTTCGGGAAACCAAGTAGCTTCGGTGCTGCAAGCCAGGGAACTTCCACTCCTGCTTTCGGACAGCCATCTCTTCCTGGGCAGAATCAACCTGCGTTCGGGAAACCCTCAGGATTGGGTTCAGCAATGGCTGGTCCAGCTTTTGGCAAGCCCGCCATGCTCGGATCGACGCAGCCTGCTTTCGGCAGACCTGCCTTTGGTCAGCCTTCCTTCGGTCAACCTAGTTTTGGGCAGCCTACAGCCATCACAGGCTCTGGGTTTGCCGGTGCAGCTGCTGGTCCCTCTCCGTTCTCACAAGCTACGCAGCCGAATCCCCTTGCACAAGGCAACACATCAGCCTTTGGTCAGCCCTCGGCGTTTGGGCAAGCACCCAGTCAAACGACTGCTTCTCCTTTTTCTCAAATTAGAAATCAATCTGCACCATCTGCGTTCGGACAACCGTCGTCAGTCGGTAGCGCATTCGGCCAACCATCACAGACGACTTCAACATTTGGCCAGCCTCAGCAGCAACAACCATCGTCAGCCAATCCGTTTTCCCAGGCACAAACTGTCTCGGCTACTCCAAGTGCTTTCGGTCAACCTACTACAACCACAGCGACCACGACATTTTCAACCACTGCTCAGCAACCCAAAGTGACGAACGTTGCCAGGGCGTCGCTTGGACCCAAGCCAATCATCAAGGCCGACCCGGGCGAACTAAACCCCATTCCCGATCTTACAGGCAGCACAATTCGAGATCCAGCGACGCGGAAACTGACCAGTTGGAAAGGTCGACCAGTGCAGTACAAGGATGGAAATCCGCGATATCTTCATCCTAGTGACAACAAAACCTGGGTCCGCATCTTCTTTCCCGACGGGCCGCCGGAGGTCGCTACACTTAGGGACTGCAGCGACAAGGATGAGAATTATACAACGGAGGTTACAGAGCAGTACCAAGACTTTGTGCGCAATGGATTCTTCAAGGACAACATTATTCCCAGTGTGCCACCCAAAACTGAATGGGTTTCGTTTGATTTTTGAGGTGTTCTGGGACTCTTTGCATGATTCGACAATAGGTAATCGTGGCTTGCGATGGGAATGGAGTCAAGCGGTGTTTGGGGTGTATCTATTCTAATTTAGTATCTTTATATGGGCTCATCCACAACTACCATAATAGCATTGATAGCAACGGCATTGCAACTGAATAGAAATTGAAGACACTGTTCATTTACACATCGGGGAGATACAGAGATGTATATATATATATATATGTCTATCCGGACCAGAGTTCATCCGCGGAGTTTCGACACACCCGGGCAACCCTTGAAAGTTAGCTAGGTAGAAGGCTTACAGATATATTCGAGATGACAGAGCGCATTTACTTGAATACCAAGCTTATAAAAGTGTATGTCACACGGAAATATACCCCGAGGATTATGTTGATGCCTACGGCGAAGACTCGTGACACGACTTGATTTCAGCCAATCAGGTGGGAGTTTTCCGTATAGATCACCATCATTCTTCAGCGCCGAGTTGCCTCATATTCCTTTAGTATAAACACTAACTATGTAGGGATATACTAAACAGAATTTCCAAGCCAAATAATGAAAATTATAATGCAAATAGAAAAAAGGATGTTGCAAGTACCTAGCAAATGGACATGTATTATTCGTATTTTATCCTTCAGTCGGTGTCATCAAACACATCGACAAAGCTCCACGAAATCCGACAGAGCCTATGAAGAACGGAGTTCGGAGGGTGTCTTAAATCCACCCCATTGTGTCAGAGAAAGTGCCGATATGCAGAGACTTACGTACTCCTTGCAGCGGTGGTACACGTCAGCCATGTTAATGATTGTACGACAATTTGCTTAGAATATTCATAACCTCCGTATGCCGTCCACGGGTGTTATGCCGGCCCCTTTTTTTTATACTGATTTCCATGTCTTTGCTGGCCTCCCTCGCCAAAACAGAGGATCTCGACAATCACTTGGCCAGCAATCAACCAGCCATCATCAATTTAGACTAACTAGCTGCCTTGAACCTAAAAGTGCTGTGCCCAAAAGCCCCCAAGATCAGCGAGACAGCCGACGTTCCACGGCCTTCTACTGCTGGCGCTAGGCTCGTTGTGGTTGGCGGCCGGCACAACAAATCCACCCTTGATCCAACCCCAGCCCAGTCATTCTCCCTGTTTATGTTCTGCGATTCTCCTATTCTCTTGTATTCTTCCCATCACGACCCCGTTGTCCATCGATATCCAGCGCTTTCCTCGTGCCTTGGGCCCGTCCTGGCTTGATTCGTTTTGGGATCACACCCTCCTCGATCGAGGTCGGACAAGACCACCGCCCGACACTTTGACGGAGTTAGATCGTACTCAACCCACACCCTTCAGGGGGCTGCCATCCATCTCCTCATTGATGAAATGAGTTCCTCGCCGAAACGCATCGAGACCGGTTTCTCTGCTTGAGTTTTCATCATGCGGTGGAAGGTGCCTGGTCGGCCGACAACGCTGCCGGCCAGCGCCGCTCTTTTACTCCTCCCCTCGCTCCTCCTCACAGCTCCGCAGCAGCTGTCCTACGCCCAACAGCACGATGTCCCCGCCGTCTCATCTTCTGTTTATGTGACCTCGCGCCCAACGAGCGACCCTATCATTGATGAAAGCCCCCACACCTATTTTAGAGATACACACACACATATACCGCCGGATGTGAAGAGAAGCAATCCGGACAACGATGTGAGCGCCCTGGCAACTCTGGCTCTGGCAGACTCTGATAGCCATGCCGTACGAGCCCCTCCTGCCCAGCCGAGCAGTCCTACTGCCGGTTTGGTGTCGCAGCTTCAAGCGCGGTCCCTGCAGGACTGGGAGGTTGAGGATTTTGTTTTGTTGGCGACCGTCGATGGCACCATCCACGCTCGAGACCGTAAAACGGGCGCTCCGCGATGGGCCTTGGAAGTACCCAGTAGCCCTATGGTCGAGAGTATTTACCATAATCGCTCAACCACGGGGTTTGACGCAGACTCCTCAAACCAGGACGATGACTTTCTATGGATTGTTGAACCTAGCAGGGACGGAAGCCTTTATATATTTAGCCCTGGCCAGCATGGCGGACTTCAGCAGCTGGGACTGACAGTGAAAGATCTCGTCAACGAAACCCCTTATTCTGGGACCGACCCAGCAGTCACGTATACTGCTCGTAAGGAGACTACACTTTATACCGTCGATGCCCGGACGGGGAATATTCTCCGTGTCTTTAGCTCTCGAGGCCCGATTACCACAGACCATCGTTGTAAAACCTCCGGGCTAAGTTCTACCGATATTCTGGACGATGACAGTGGTGAAGACGAAAACGATGACCCCTGCGGAGGTATGACAGGGACACTGACCATTGGTCGGATCGAATATGCCGTTGCCATTCAGAACACCGAGACTGGCGAGCCAATATGTACCCTCAAGTACTCTGAGTGGGCGCCAAACAACCGAGACATTGACCTTCAAAGCCAATACTATCAGACGATGGACCAGAGCCACATATATAGTATGCACGATGGCGTCGTTCTAGGATTTGACCATTCACGGATGGAACGCCCCCGCTACACACAACGCTTTTCGTCACCTGTTGTACGTGTATTCGATGTGGCGCGTCCAGTTGATGTCAATGCCAAGTCGCGAGATTCTCCTCCACCCCTTGTCTTGCTGTCTCAACCACTTCAACCACCTGACCCTGACTATGCTGCTGCTCCTGAAACTCAGGACCGGGTGTTTATCGATTGTACAGAGGCTGGTGGCTGGTATGCTATGTCTGAAATAACATATCCTTTGGTGACAGGCCGCGCCGGTATAGCTCAGTGCTATGACAAGGACTTTTTCCGGGATAGTCGTTCACTACTTACCCTGGATCTTGAACGTCAGCGGAAAGCCCTAGCTGGCGTCCACTCACTTCATTTCCATTCCTCTAGTCACGGCAGTCGCCGCAATAACATACATAGCATATCAGGCCCGTCAGCCATTGGGGGGGGTCCAAACAGTACACCTCGTGATGTAGTCAGCTCTCCGTCATACCTCGCATCTCCTCCCGCCCTCAGGCAGAGTGTTATTATTCGCACTGGCTGGGAAAACCGCACGGACATATTTGTATTGGTGATTCTTGCTCTTTTCGGCTACTTTCTATGGGTGAACTCGGCGCTGTTCCAAGAACAACTCAAGCAAAAGCTAGATTTGAAAAACATACTGGCTGCATATGACCAGCAAATATCGACGCCTCCGACATCTCCTGCTGTCAATTCATTCCAACAAGATTCGAGCCCGATAGATATTCAGCTTGCAACGCCTAAAAAGGAACCCGTCCATCTCGATGATCCCGATGTGGACTCATTGTCAACCCCTCGACTAAAGCCGAGCTCTCCTCGGTCCTGTGACCCAGATTCGACTCCACGAGTGCGGATCCGCGAGCCCTCACGAGGACCTGAGGACGAAGGAGACGAGCTGAATTTGCAGGAGCCTGTTAAGAAGAAGAAACGCCAACGCGGTCAGAGAGGCGGCAAAGCCCATAAGCGGAAACCGAAGCCGGGTTCGGAGGAGGATAACGCCGTATCGCAAGCAGTCGAACAGGCCAAGTCGCTTGTACCACCATCAAGGTTAGAAGCAGATGTGCAACTTGTTCGTCAGGTTTCCAATGAGATTACGGAAATTGACAGGGCTATCCGCATTGGTCAGCTCAAAGTATACACAGATACTGTACTGGGTCACGGTAGCCATGGAACAGTTGTGTACAAGGGATCTTTTGATGGCCGAGATGTAGCTGTGAAGCGTATGCTAGTCGAGTTCTATGATATTGCGTCACATGAAGTTGGCTTGTTGCAAGAAAGTGACGACCATACCAACGTCATTCGATACTATTGTCGTGAGCAGGCGCCTGGCTTTTTGTATATCGCCCTCGAACTTTGTCCCGCATCCCTGCAAGAAGTGGTTGAGAAACCGCAAGACTATCCTCAATTAGTTAAGGGAGGCTTGGATGTGCCTGACATCCTACGACAGATCACGCTTGGAGTAAGATATTTGCACTCGCTGAAGATTGTGCATAGAGATCTCAAACCACAAAATATCCTGGTCGCGACACCGCGAGGTCGCAGCATGAACAGCCAATACCCTGCTCTGCGACTTCTGATATCCGACTTTGGACTGTGCAAGAAGCTCGAGGATAATCAGAGTTCCTTCCGAGCAACTACTGCACACGCAGCAGGCACATCGGGATGGCGTGCACCAGAGTTGTTAGTGGACGAAGATCAACAGTCGGCCATCGCGATCAATGGTGGACATTCGAACCATACTGAGTCGTCTGAACCGGCAGTGGTAGATCCACAGACAAACCGACGGGCGACTCGTGCGATTGATATATTTTCTCTGGGCTGTGTTTTCTATTATGTTCTTACGCGTGGCGGGCATCCGTATGATAAGGATGGCAAATTCATGCGAGAGGCCAACATTGTCAAGGGCAATTACAACCTAGAAGATTTGGAGCGTTTGGGCGATTACGCGTACGAAGCGGATGATCTTATTCGCAGCATGCTTTCATTGAATCCTCGCACTCGGTGGGATTTCTTTTCTTTCACTTTGGCTGATTGTGACTGTCTTGCTAACTTTGATACTAGGCCCGATGCTACCACTGTCCTCATGCACCCATTCTTCTGGAATGCAGCTGAACGGCTCAGTTTCCTGTGCGATGTATCTGACCACTTCGAATTCGAGCCTCGCGAGCCTCCTTCTCCCGCACTCCAATACCTCGAATCTGTCGCCCTCAACGTGATAGGCCCAGAGATGGACTTCCTCAAGGCTCTCCCCAAAGAGTTCAAAGATAGCTTAGGCAAACAGCGTAAATACACAGGATCACGCATGCTCGACTTGCTGCGTGCCCTACGTAACAAACGTAATCACTACAACGACATGTCAGAGCATTTGAAGGCGCATATTGGAGGGTTACCTGAGGGTTATTTACGGTTTTGGGCAGTCAGGTTCCCGTCTTTGTTAATGAATTGTCACGCGGTGGTTGTGGAGTTGGACTTGTGCAGATTGGAGCGGTTTAAGCGGTATTTTACACCGCCGGAATAATTGTATTTTATGTCTCATAGTGCCTTTTTGGAAGGCATTGATTGGCTATTGCATGGATGCATTCGATATTTCATCCACATCTTTACTTTTGACTGTAGGAAAGGAGTAGGACTGAAGTGAATAAATTGATACGTATCAATCTCTTATTACAACAACAACGACGCAACCACGCTTGAGCTTGATCCGGACAGCATCGAAAATAGACTAGACCCGTAGTCATCATAGGAAAAAAAGGGGGGGGGGGGGGGGGGGGGGGGGGGCGGGGGAAGAGTGATGCCGAAATAAAGAAAACTCAATCTCATCCATAACAAATTAGTGGAAAAGACAGTTTGAAATCCCAAGAAAGGAAGCCTAAAAAAAAAAAAAGAACAATACCCTACTAGCTCCACTAACTAGGTGGATAGGGAGGAGGGTATATCATCTTAGGGCCTCAGTTTCCGCATATATCTCATGGTCAAATAGCAAGCATATGCCGTTGTATAGGTGCCCGCGAAACCAGTAATCCAGATAGGTCGATGAATCAAAAGGGATGTTTGGAGGAGTTCTTTCTTTGGTTTTTCTAAATGGAGTAGTAGGTAGGGCGTGTGTCAGTAGATCCTGGCCAAGGGATGGGGTAAAATATGCAAGAAGAAGAAGAAGAAGAAGAAGAAGAAGAAGAAGAAGAAGAAGAAGAAGATAGAAGACAAACCGGTTTGCCAGACTCGACCCCGCCAGCTCGAGCCTACTTGTTCGCGGGCGCGAGTGGGGATTTTGATCATTTCTCGCAGGATCTGGCCTGCTTGGGAGACGACGGCGGAGGACATGGTCGTTGTATTTGGTTGTGATGGATGAAGCCAAGTCAGTCAGTCGGCCGAGGTGGCACTGCGCTCTTTCTTTGCCTGGCTGATGGTTGGTGTGAGAGGACTCTGTCTGGTTGCGAGTAGGAGAATCAATAGCCGTGACCGATGAGCTTGTACGATGGATGAAATGGAAGATGGAGGATGAGATCAAGGAGGAGGTCCAGAGGGCAGGCACCACCACATGATAGCGTGAGAAGACAGCGTCTGGCCTACCATGGCCGGAGAGCGGGGGTGGCTCTGCTTGCGTGGTGATGGCAGCCTGCTAGAGAAGACGTTTTTTTCTGCGTGAGGCTACCCAGGGAGTGGTGCTGGATGCCTGACCCATCAGGAGCCGACATGCAGTGGGCCTGAGGCCAGTGGGGGCAGCTAAGCTGCAGGAAAGTCCGGGGGTGGAGCGAAGCAAATCCGGGGTCCAGTCCCCACCTGCCAGTTTCTCTCTCTCCCTCCCTCCCTCACTCACTCACTCACTGATCCATAGCCATGCTACCTGCCACCATTGGCCATCTGCATCGGCCCCCTGGCTTCATACCGTCGGGCGCATTGGACGGGCGTGGGCGCTAACACGGACAATCGTCTCAGCTTGCCAACATATAGCTGACAATGAGGCAATGGGCTGACTGGAGATGCAACCTTGGGATCACCCTGGGACCTATCGACGACCTATTTGGCACTACAGGCTCGTCGTACACGCAAAGCCAAAGGAGAATCACAGAATTCACATACTATCAAAATATCTATGAACCTGCCGACTGACCCAAGCAGATCTCTCGCTAATGTCAGCAACGCCCTTGACACCATCGTCGGTGATATAAGCGTCGACCAAGCCCGGCGGCACCCATTCAAAGTAGATGTTTCTCACTGTGCTCCTTCCCTCTATTACATCAGCCCCCTTGACCCCCGCCAGTCGCCAGCCACGCACAACCTCTGCTGGATCGTTGTCCTCGTCCTCTGCATGTCTTTCTTCGGCCCCAGCCACCTTGTCTAGTTCGCTTAGCACCACCACTTTTATCTCGGGCGACACGTGTTTTGCTGCTAGAATCGCGGGCAAACTGCCCGTTTTGTTGCTCACCGCGCCGTCGGTGGCGATTTGATCGGCCCCGACTAGCAAGATGTCAGCATAGCGAGCTGCTATTGCTGACGAGCTATCGGGGTAGAGGGTGACTTTAATGTTGGGCTTTTGATTTTTCGTAACATGATCGCCATTTCCTGAGGGTTGGATCGACGACACGATGGACGACGCTAGAGTCACGCCTTCAAAGAGGGGCCGCGACTCTAAGACGTGCAGCTCGACAGTCTGGATACCAGTTTCCTTGGCAGTCTGACCGAAAAGATGTAAGACGGATTCCCGGATTGTGGAGCTTGCTGACAGCGTGACAATCTTCAGAGATTTCTCCTGCGAGCCCTTCTCCACGAGTACATTTTCGCGAATATACGACGCAAAAGACTCACAGAGACCTCTCGTCATGGCCGTTCTCTTCTCGATCAGTGACTCGATCAGACGATCGATGTCCTCCTCTCTAGCCCTGTCCTGATACACCCGCTCAAGATCCGCCATAACCGACAGCAGAGCACTGGCGATGGCTGCACCCATCGACTCTCTCCCGTTCGTCCACAGATGCCACGCGATTAGTCGTACATCCTTCCACCATACCTCCCATTTGTCCTGATCCCGACTTTCTTTCATCTTCGACGGTCGTACTTCCAACAAAATCTCTTTCAATATGTTGAGAGCAATGGCAGCGAGTTCTCTCGCACCACTCTTATGGTCGTCCTGCAGTTGCTGCAGACCTTCCCTCAATCGTCTGCCCGCCGTAGATCCTAGGTTGTACTCTGGATACACACTGACCAAGGAATCGGCGATCCGGGGCACTAGCATCTGTCCACAGACTGTAGCATTAGACCCGTCTTTACCCAACCGAGAAAGAACCTCTTCCGGATCATGCCAATTGTAGAAGTCATGCTCCCAGTCAAGCACAATACCATCGCCCTCATGATCGGAGCCAGTTTCCCTTTCAGGTGTTTCGTGGTCTGTCGGTGGCTTGAGTAAGAAGGCAAAAGGGTAGATAGTCCACTCCCTGCCCACGGCCTGATCTTGAAAAGAGAACGGCCGTCCCTTTCTCCATAGTTGAACGGTAGAAGGTGTTAGAGACGTTTCTTCCTTTAATTCTCTCCAAGCCGTCTCCACCGGAGTCGCGTCTGTTTGAGGATCGATACTGCCGGAAATTGGGGCTAGATGGTGCCTGTTTGGGGGTTTCACTGTACGTCAGGGTATCCATACATTTAAACAAAAAGATGACAAGAAGTTGCACGCACTGGTACGTTCGGACCTTGTCGCTCCGTCGGAACAAGGCCACCTTGGTTGCACGTGCTTCAGCATCGCAGAGCTTGAAGAGAAAGCTGGACACGACGTATCGCTTTTGCAGTGGTTTGCCGCCGTCTGTCTGCTGCATTTCTGCGCTTGACATTTCCCCTTTCACTTGCGAATTCTGTAGAATACGCGCTGTAGACTCGATAAATGGCAGTTTTTAATAGTATGATTCTGAACGAAAGTGCCAGCGAAGTCGCGAGGGGGAAGTGACATCACGCTAGGTATCCAGAAAGGTCGGATCCATGGATGTCTCGATCCAATTCAGCCCAGCTCTATTTGTTGCTGACAGACTGCTGGCTCTCTAGCAAGAAGCAAGCGAATACAGTCCACAGGGCATCCTACCGTACCGTAGGCATTCGCATCTCTCTGTATGGCCGTACGCAGAGATAAGCTCGTGCTTTCTTTGCTGATAAGTCGCGGGTCCCACTTGGCGCGGCCCGGACTTTCCTCGCGCGAGCGACAGACACTTTTTCTTCTTTGCGGACCTCCCCGTACGTGCAGACCCAGGAAGAGGGAGAAACTCAAGGAAGAGAGAGGAAGGGAAAAGAAACAAGGCCTTGCGATACTGCATGTCTGTGAACATTGGCCTGCCCGCCCCCAGAGTCAGCCATCTTGCCCCTCTAGAAGGTCCTGTTCCTGAAGCTTTGACTCGCGCCCGAATCGTCTTCCCATCTTTCGTTCTCAACCTCGAATTCGCTTTCATCTTGTCTGCGACGACGAAGAGACCAGGAGAAACATTATCGTTAAACCTGCTTCTTGCGCTTCTGGTCGATTCCCTCAGCCTTGGGCCGCCATACGATAACTTGCTGCTGCCCCTGGCGGTTTTCTTTGCTCCGTCGGTCGTCACGACATGTCCTCCATCGCACCATGGTCTTCTTACGCTTGACTGTTAAAGTACTCCCCCGGGAGCGACTGCTCGAAGGCTCGCAGTCTTCCAAAGTGACGCCTTCGACTACTGGCAACCATGATAGAAATGGGGTGGTCGTAAATGGGGCCTCCACACCTGGCAAACCTATTATATTGATGGTTCCTGTTGAGAACCCTGAAGAAGTCACACTGGGTGGTCTTGCAGGTTTAATACAGGACATGTGGGCGAGGCTCCGACCGAACTCTGGGTAAGTTTTGGATGCTTCTCTTGTTCGTCAGCAATCTAACCCCCTTTCTTCTGTTTTTACAAAGGCCTCTTGAGATTAAGAAAATACTCGACGCCGACCATCCCGACGAAAACCTTGATATTCAGCTTACTGTCGCAGACGTATTCGTCCAACATGGGAGAGCGGCCACAGACGGACAAGACCAGCGAGCCGTTGCGCTCGTCATCCAAAAACCTACGACGCAGCCTATATTCGACCGCGAGGGCTCAGTCGTCCAGGATTGGGCAGGTGCAGCTGGTAGGAGTTACACGTCTTTCAAGCAGCGAATGCAGTCTTTGCGCCGTCCTGAGTCTAGAATCCCGACCATCGATGAAAACGAACAGCTTTTCAAAAATGCTGATAATGGCGCGGACAAACCTGATACTGAAATGGAGGCTACCCTGCCTCCTTTGATTGACGTTAGCCCATGCGATACACCTGTTAAATCGGTAGAGCGCGACGAGACTGAAAAACCTAATGAGCGTCCGGAATCGCCGCACTCTTGGGGCGAGTCAGAGAGCATTGACGATAAGTCTTCATTGCGCGGCCGCGAGGCAAGTGAGGAACTGGGTGTTTCGCCTATTCATATCCGCCAGCAATGGACCTCTCAAGAGGATCCGTTCGTGAATGAAGGTCAAGAAAATCTTATCACTTCAGAGCATTGTGCACCACCAGAAGAAGTAGTTGACAACGGAAATGAACCGGTCAGCGAAATTCAGGCAGCGGACAGTCAGGAGAAGACACCGACTTTGCATGCTCAACCAGCAACCAAGCCACAACAAAATGGTGACCAGATCATGAAAGATGATGGAGAGGAAAATGCTGTGTTTTCTGACACAGATAGTGACGTCGAGATGGTGAATTCGATGCCAGAGCCAGTTCCAGAGAAGCGGAAGCCTGGAAGACGCAGTGTCCCGATTGTCTTGATTGAAAAGAAAATTGATCACGGGGACCAGAATGTTGCAGCCAAGCGAAAGAGGAACAGTTTAGGCGAGTTGCCACCGGCAAAAGAGCTTCGATTGGAGCCAACACATATCCCGTCCACGCCTCTCATTCAGAGGACTTCGACAATGGAACATCAAGGCACTGCTTCGCTAGCACCAGACATGCCTCCCTCATTTAGGCGACGTCCATCTTTCTCAAGTCCACAGAGGCCTTTCGATCTTGCCGATCGGCCTCTCAATGTGCCAAAGGATAGCATGGGATTAGGGATTACCAGAAGCCCGAAGGCTCATCGATCGAGAACGTCCAACGGAAAGAACGAAATACATACAGAAGAGGCTAGGAGCATGCCCCCGTTATCATCAACCAACTTCAACCCTATTGTTAACCAGTTCGTGCATGCCACACCTTCAAAATCAATCGAAGCGCCTTCGTTCGACTCATCCTCTAAGTTACGATCTGCATTGCGTAAAACCCCGCCGACAGATCCTAGTCGCTCCAGACGCTCGGTTTCTTTCGTCGAGAACGGCGCAAACAGAGACCACTCGCCCAGTCCTACGAAAATGAAATCCCCAGCGGCAGCCATATCTATACCGAGCGCGGCAGTTTCCTCACCTGCACCGGCTTCTTCTGCGCCTTCAAGTTGTAAATGGCCGGATTCCGTGTCAGACGCTAAGATTTTGAAAATTCGCAAGCAAATACAGATGGAAAAGGAGGGAAAGTTGGACTCTGAGCAGAATTCTCAGACTACTCCTCTCAATAGAGGAGCAGAAAAATGCTCACGGAGCAAGAAAAAGAAAAAGACGCTTACACCTGTTTCTCTCAACGCAAGTGAGGAGAGGCCTGCACCGCAATTGAACAACAGCCCAGCTCTGCCACCTGTACAGAAGAGTCCAGCTCCGCAGCCTCCCTCGCAGCAGAGATCTCAGATCGATCTCAATAAAGGAGTAGAAAAGAGCACAGACAGCAAGAAACAGAAAAAGGCAAGGGTTTCTGGTCCTCTGGATGAAAAAGACGCACAACCTGCACTACAATCGAACAACAGCGCGACACCACCTGTACGACAGAGTCCGGCTCCGCAGCCGAAGAAGAAATCTCAGACTTCTGATCTCAACAGAAGACCAGAAAAGGGTATAGAGACCCCGCTAAGTGTTGTTTCTCTGAACGAAGGTGACACGGAATCTGCACAATTGAACAAGAACACTACACCACCTCTAAAGAAAAAGTGTCCAGCTCCTCAGTCCCAGTCACAACTGAAGCAAAACTATTCGTCTACCTCCCTCGATAAAGGAGCACAATCCAGTACAGAACATAAAAAGCAGAAACAGACACAAATCCCTGTTTCTCGTGATTCATATGACAAGGATCCCGCATCGCAACTGCACAAGAGCCCGACGCCCCTACAGAGAAGTCCAGCTCCGCAGCCTTTGTCGCAGTCTCAGTCGAACCAGGGTTCTCAGACCCCTGATCACAACAAAGGTGCAGGCAACGTCATACAGCATATAAAACAGAAACAGACACAGACTCCTGTTTCGCTGAACGCACGTGACAAGCATCTTCCACCACAGTCGAACAAGAGCGCGATGCCCTCTGTACCTAAGAGTCCAGGCCTGCAGTCACTACTTCATTCGCAGCTTCAGTCACAGCCTCAGTCGCAGTCGCAGTCTTCTGAGGTCAGTCTACCGCCAATTGAAAAGATACGCACTGGATTGGAGGATCGCCCTCATAACAACAAGGAAAGTAAAAAATCGGTTACGAAGAAGATTACAACAACTCGCACGATTTCAGCGATGGAAACGAGTGAAGACATGCATGCTCTGCCAGATGTGCCACCTACAGAGAGTCCGAAATCGGTTCTATCTCAAAATTCCATGGCCACCAGACAATTACATTCAGAACTCGAGATTGCCGGCTCCAACTCTCCTACCAAGACTGAATCTTTTCCTCCTCCGTCAGATCCAGTATCTTCTGGCGCACCGCTCACTGCGAAGCCTGCCAAGAAACCAGAGTCTTCCTCGTCAGAATCCTCATCCGAATCCTTATCCTCATCTGACTCAGGTGACGATATCCCCGCTGGCTCCTTTGCGCAGAGAATAGCTACCGCCCCCAACACCAGTTACTACTTTGGCGCTCCTAACTGGAACCCAGTCAACGCAAACAAGAGACATACCATCCAAAGTGTCAGAGAGGAACTGCGCAAGGAAATGGAAGCCCAGGCAGCCCGCGATGCCGAAAAAGCAAAGGCTAATACTCAAACTAATGGCACTACGAAGCCTAAGAAGCCAGCATCCACTCGCAAGGTCGACAAGGAGCTTTTCGATATGACGTCCAGTGAAAGTGATGAAGATGACGAAACGTCGAGCAGTGAATCCGACAGCAGTGACGACGACGATTGATCTGAGAACGTTCTTGCTCCAACACGGAAATGCCTGTAAATTTACAATAATGTCTCCGCTCGTCTTGTTTTATCATAAGAAATAAGAAGCGTTGAACATCTCGGTAGTTTCGAAGCATTTCTCTGACGTCATCCAGAAGAGGATTCGTTGAGAATGATGTTGGAGAAGTGTTTGATTTCTTTGTACTTGTTTATTTTATTGCCATCATACATATGTCGTCAAAATCAGGAGTTGAGGCATAGTGATAGTGGCGTCTGTATGTACAACAAATGGTATGTAATCACCTACCTGGTCGAAGGGAATTGTTAATATGAAATAAATAAAGTCTTTCTTTGATACCCTTTGTTATCTACATTGCTTGGCGTGGACCGAAATATGAAGCACCCAAAAACTTTTATTCCCCTGGTTTTTTTTCCTGTATTCTTTGTTCCCCCTATGCTTGCCTTCAAAAAAGAGTTTACGGAACATTTGTCCCATTCACGTCCTGCTGCCCACTCACAAGCCCCTTTGGTGGCTCCGTAACGACGAAGTTCCACCCAAAGCGATCCTCCTCAACGCCATTCTGAATGCCCTTCAACACCTTCAACACCTGCGCACAAACCTCCCCACCACTCTCCTCCGCACCCCCAACATTATAAGTAAACTTATCATTCCTCGACTTCATTGTGATCGACTTGATAGGCACCAAAGCCGCAGCAGTACCCGCAGCAAACACCTCGTCGAACTCGGGCAATTCCTCGTACGGAATGCGGCGTTTCTCGACTTCGTATCCAAACACCTTTTCGGCGATTTCGTACACGGACGCCGCGGTGACAGAGTCAATGACGTTTTTGCTATCGGGGACGACGATGGTGACTTTTTTAGAGACAGGATCCTTGCGGACTCCGATAAAGGCCGAGGTTGAGAATTCGTCAATCTCGGTGCGTGTCTTGCTGTCGAGGTGCAATGTAATACCGTAATTCTCGGTGTAGGCCTTTTGCGAGTGACGCAGCACGGGGGCATAGTTGCCGCCGACTTTGGCTGAGCCAGTGCCCTCGGGGGCGGCGCGGTCAAAGTCCTCAAGAATCAGGGCGTCGACGGCATGCACACCATGATAAACGCCCGTTGGCATCACGAACACGGCAAAAGTGTATTCGTCCGGCGGGTTCAGGCCTAGCTGGGCACTCGAGCCCAAAATCAAGGGACGAATATACATGGCGGCGCCGGTTTCGTGCGGAGGGACGAACTCTGCATTCGCGCCGACGGCCAGGTTGACGCACTTCAAGAAATGGTCCTCGGGGACACGCGGGATGGAGACGAAATCGGCTGAGCGCTGCATACGGCCCGCATTGCGGTTTGGCCGGAAGATTGTGATGGCCTTATTGCCGGCGGAGCGGAATGCTTTCATGCCTTCGTAGGCTTGTTGGCCGTAGTTGAGCGCGGGGGCCATGCCGTGGATCTGGAGATGGGGGGAGGCGACGAATTTGGGTTCCGACCATGTTCCGCCGTTCGAATAGCTGAAGTGCGATTCAATGTGGCCGTTGACTATACTCAGAGATGAATTAGTATGATGAACCAGGATCCTGGGATTTCGATGGACATGCCTTCGCGCACTTTGAAGCCGACATTGCTCCAGTCTAGAATTAAAAGCGGAATTCATCAATGAGATAACGATTCTCCAGTCAAAACAGAATAGCAATCACGGCTCACCGATGGTGTCGACTGGAGGAGGCGGGAATTTTGCAGCCATTCTTCGGATGACTCACTCAAACGCACTGAGAAAGAAATGCTGGTGTTGAAATGCTCAATCTGCAATCTGCAATCCGCCCCAGAGCAATTCTTTGGCAGAAGCAACAAGCCGCGAGAACGAGAGACTCAAAATCACACGATATCACACAGAATGAGGTTTGGAAACTCGGAGCGAGCGGTGAGCAGATCTTTCCCCCCACGAAATTCCCCGAAATTCCTCCCCCCCCTCCGACCGACACCGGCTCCACTCCTCCGATGGCGGAGAGAATATAGCCCTAATTCTAGCCTTAACTCTAGCCGTACATGCTCTGCTCTAATCCCTGTATACATCCGCAGAGCCTCGTTGCACTCACTATCTTATCGCATCACGCTGTCATATTGTTTATGGCCATGGATCCCTTATTCAGGTCCCTGTCTATTCTGTTATAAACCATATACATAAGGACATACAAACAATTCAGTCAGCTGGCTTATTTTGGAACCTCCAGCAATTTATCTACAGAACCTCCCTCCAACCACGTATCCATGGCCTCATACATCTTGGTATAGCCTTTGTTGTTCATCGTTGGCAAATTGGTAAGACACTTATGTCCCAGCCGTTCCTGAGCCACGCCCAAATGCCGGTATCCATAGGGGTACTTGCTGAGCTCCTTCTCCTCGAATTTCGGGACATTCTTCCCATCAACGGGGACCACACGGTCCTTCTCATAAATGACCTTGTAGTAGACATGCTTCCACTCGCCCTGCGCATTCTTCTTGCAGAAAAAGATGAACCGGTTGTCGCAGTCAATGTCGAACTCGAGTCCGTCCCAGTTGAAGCGCTGGGTGATGGTTGTCTTCATCTTGCCAATGGCTCGTCCGGTTTTTTGGTTGAGGTCTACCAGGGTTCCGCACTCGCGATGCATGATGAAGTCGCCATTGGCGCGGCCCTTTTTGGAGACTTCGATGAACTCGTCGATTGTCACGCCGCCACTCCATGCTATTATTTTGACCGAGTGGGTTAGTCTGAGAAGGTTGAGAATATGAAGGCATGCTACTACATACTAGTAAAGATATATGCGTCATCCGTGAACAGATCCCGGTAATGCACCCATTCCGAGGCATCCCGGTAAAGTGGCCAGCCCTTGCAAATCTCAGCCACAGCAAAGCGATCTAGGAGCTCGGATTGATTGCCATTGACATTGCTCCAGACCTTGGGCTGGACTTCCTTCTCAGTGACGTTGTAGACCATTTTTGGTGGAGTATTATGTATTAGAAAATGTGCTTGGATGTACGACGAGTCGTTGTATATGTAGAGGGGGTCGAGGAACAATGACATCATTCATGATCTGAGCATGCCAAGCAGTGCCTTCATCATCGGCAAGCCGGTCGGCAAGTACAGCAAAACCTCATCCTGCTCACGGAAAATGATGTAGAGGTGCCGAATCCGAGAGCTAAGCGTGAAGTCGTGCGTGGATATCGCGTGTTGTTTGATCTACGCATACAAGGCCGGGGAGCTTGTCGGGTGAGACTTTTGCCGGTGCTTTGCCGCCAGTCACAGTGACGTACCAACCAGCTTACGCGGAAATCAAGAGATGGGAAAATAGATCAAATAACAATATACAGATTATCCTATCTACACAGTGAAGGGCAACCTAGAAAGAAAGCCTCTCGCACTGCTCAACCGGCTGCAGCCCGAACGCCTTGCTGCCAGCCATCCAACTTGTCGCAAGTGGCTTGCGTGCAAACAGGCGTAAGTTCTGCTCGTACTCGGCCACCAGTCCATCCAGACTCTTTTCGCAATGGTGGGCGTCAACTAATCTTCGCGCAAGGTCGCTGGCGTCTCGCAGTGCCGTATTAACACCCATACCTCCCGTGGGTGGCATGGCATGGATTGAGTCACCAATAAGTGTCACGTTTGTCGAAGCCTGCCAGTCCGGAATCGCAGGGTCTACCGAGTGGACTCTTAGCGTCGCCGTTTGGCTTCTATCCTGATGAATGACCGCTGGTTTGATGCTCGGATGCCATTTCTCCGTCAGGGATAGCGCAAGATCGGATGATTGTTCGTTGCTTAGACTGAGCAGTTCCGCATCAGGAATGGATAGATCATCTCGTCGTACTAATAATACCCAATAGATATAATCCGTTGGGAGGTTGATATGTTCGATAGTAGATGACGCCTTGGGAAAACGCATGGCCTCCAGCAACATTGTTTTCGGCACGCCGTTTGCCTCGTCTTCCTTTAATAAGCACATCCCACCCAGGAGGTTGTCTGAAAGTTCCGCCTCAACTTGATGGGTGAGCGGAGTCTTGCCGTAGATAATCCTCGATCCAGAGTCAAGGAAGGGGTAATCAGGTAAGAGCTGTTTGCGAACTGTAGATTTCACCCCATCAGCGCCTACAAGGAGAGCTCCGGACTCTGAAGTGCCGTCGGCAAAATGCACTGTTACGCCAGTCTCATTCGATTCGAAATGCGTGACATATTTTCCAAATTGCGTCTCGTCCTCGAGCTTGGTGAGCAGCACTTCGCGCATCGTTGTGCGATCCACTGTGAATGGCTGTAAGCCTCCACGAGCTCCCGGTGGCGGGCCACCGGCGGGAAGAGGCTCAGCTGTGAGCGCATCGAGGCGCCCCAAATGGCCCAGACCAAGGATTTCGGCCGATGTCTTTTCGAACAAATTCCAGATCTCGGGGCTCAATGCATATTGCAGGGCCGTGATGCCGTCCTCTGATATCCGAAGACGGAACCCCTGAGCGCGAAAGTCTTGTTTGAAGTCCCTCTCGAAAATCTTGAACGGTATCGAATGCTTTTTCAACGCCTGGGCGAGGCAAAGACCGCCGAGACCAGCTCCTGCGATGAGCACTGGGTGGCTAGCAGAGATGCTGCTCATGTTGCGCGAAGTCGAGAAAGAGTTGGATAAGATGAAGGTGTTGGAATGGCGTCTTTCAATTTGGAGATTTGAACCATGGCGCAGACGCGAGTATTTATACCACGATCCTCGGGCCAGGCGAGACGGCCAAATAGGAGACCGCGAGCACATACTGCTACACTACAAGAGAAATGCCGAAGCCACCGAGGAAAAAGGTCAAAACATGCGGCAATAAATTTGTTGTTTTCAGCTGGCCCCTTTATTCTCGGGCCCGTCCAGTAAGACAACGCGGGGCCGACCTCGATCGTCGCCGAGTCACCAGCCTTTCCGAACCCTAGCCCTAACTTCTAGTTGTTTACCTCGCTATATGTACAAGGCGCCATGGCAGACATATCATTCGCTCATTTACCATCGAATTGTCTTATACATAAGCTATTTTGCGTATAATTGGCGTCCGAACTCCGTTGTAAGACACACTTTCAGTCCCCCGGGAATCTCGTGCCGAGAAAACAATCGGTAGTCTTCGCTGATATTTTCGAATTCATCTAGCAGTTTAGGTCCAGTCAGTAATGCATTCACAATAGCTGGACTACACTCTCACCGTCGTATGTGAACATCCACGACGGATCATATTTGCCCTCGACAACCAGGTTGAGCAGATGTGGATAGTACTTGGCACAAAAACGTACGTTAGCCTGATCTCCAGCCCGGAAACAGAAAGGTAGAGATACCTTTTGAGCAAAATGCTGTCCACCTCTGACAGTAATCCCCTTTTCCATCAGCATGCCGATGGGGAAGTCATTGGTACCCCAGAAAAAGTCGCCAATAAGTGCAATATGACCGCCCTTCCGGGTAGATTTGAGGACTGCATGGACGGTGTCACCACTATCTGACTCGGCTTTCAAGTACCGCATGGCTGCATGTTTGGGAGTGTTGGTACTGCGGAATCCGCTGGCTTCTATGCCACAGTCGAGCCCATGAGGCTGCAGAGATAATATGTAGTCCGATACATTAGGATGCGCAGCGACATCAACCGGCACCATGCCAAAGCTTTTGGCAATTTGTAATCTGGTCTGATCCTTATCCACCGCAAACACCTTACTGGCACCGCGCAGCTTCGCAAGCCGCTGGATCGAGAGTCCCACAGGTCCACAGCCCCAAACGCCGACAATATCCCCCTTTCCCACCTCCGCTAGTTCGCACCCATGCCACGCCGTCGTGGTGACATCTGCTAGACCCAGGAGTTTCTTTGGCGCAATATCGTTTGATGCTTTGATGCATGTCAAGTCTGCATTGGGGACGCGGCAATACTCCGCCTGATCGCCGGAATAGCCGCCCATCAGATTCGAAGAGCCGAGGATACCCGATATGCGATGCCCGTATTTGGAGTTCATCTCCTTGGACGAGTTGGTGGCATCGCAGAGTGAGTACTGCTGCTTCTCGCAGTACCGGCATTTGCCGCACGCGATGATGGGTAGGATGATCACGCGGTCACCTACCTGCAACCGACTGACGGCGCTGCCGATTTCTTCGACGAAGCCAATAGCTTCATGTCCCATAATTGCCCCCTTGCGCATGGACCTGTCTAGGTCGCCCTCGTAGATGTTTAGGTCTGAGCCACAGATGGTAGTGTGCGTGATGTGCACGATGGCATCGGCTGGTTCCGTGATGGACGGTTTGGCAACCTCGTTGATTTCGATTTTCCGTGTGCCCATCCATAACGCTGCCTTCATGGTCTCTGTTGGATGGGGCTTGTATTGAGGTGTGGAAACGGGTCTCCTGTATGGTGAGTGATGAATTACATTCTCTTGTGCTTGGTTGATGAACGGGATCATACTGTTGGGTCTCCATGTTGGATCCTGTGTCTTGATATCCGATCTGTTCAAGATTTTACACAGAAATAAAGGTTGTACCATTGTAAACCTCATCGGCTCAAAGTCTACTCATAGAAGGCCCTTTGTACTTTAGATTTGCAGTTGAATCATGGCATCGGTGGCAAGCGGAAGTTGAAGCCGGCGGATGATTTATGATTTGCATCATACCTAGGTACATATCCATGTGTTATCTGTACTTATAAAATGCAATTGTGCTTCAAGATGATAATATCAATTACATTCATATCGACAGATGTGGACTACATGCAATATCCGAGATAACATTCGCAATTAATGATACAGGAGAGAAGCGCAAGTGATAAGGCTATTTCACAACAATAATAATACTCAGACAAAAAGAAAAGCCTTGTCCAAACATAAACTATATAAAATTGAAACAGCGGCAATCTTCTTATTCCTGAAGATTCTCGTGTCGAGATTCGCACGCCCAACAGTCATAGGACGCTGGGCATCAATTCGGTAAATAAAATCGCCCCAGTAGCTTACTCTAGATTTCAATATAAATTATGCTACATTAGAAACCAGGTACGACGTACATGAGTATACGACACATACAACATGGACATAATAGTTAGAAACGACGTCCCACTTAGTTGCATACCACGCAACATGCAAGATGAACGACGGAGGCGTCGGCTAGCTTTCGCAATGCTACCTATATACATTTAGCTCTCTGGGCACCGGACGACGATATACCATAAAGCTACTACGAGAACGACGTCAGCATAGGATCTGCAGAAGACGAAGGTAAGATGAAAATTCATCAGACACACTAAACTATCGAGCAAGCAGAACTATCTCGAATCTAGACCTTGGGATATTCACGTACATTAGATAACACAGTATCGGCGCTTTAGCTTCTGAATCGCCGCCCCCAAACTCGAGTCCGGGTCCGTTGTGCGATCCGATGATAGTTTGCTCCGTAGTTGAGTTTAGGCGTTTTAGTGCTGATGATCAGTCTACAATATGATCGCCTAGAAATTAATCATTTGGTTTTTTCTATTGACTGAGCTGTCGCTGAGGTGCCTTGGTGATGGCTCCGCTAACGTTAGAAAGTATGTTATGTCGTCGACCCGACTAGAAATTAAGTCGTATAGCTAAAAATTAATATCCTACGACTACTACCTAGTGCTGTAGCATTCTGGCCCCTGAGTACTCCTCTATAATCAATAAGCGTAAGCATCACCTCGTCAGTGGCGCCCAAGCACGGGTCATTTTGGTCATTTGGCCATTTTCGCCCAGGGATCGCGAACATCAACCGTGCATCACAGCATACCACCAGCGAATCAACAAAATGCATCAAAAAAAAAGAAAAAAAAAAAAAAAAAAAAAAAAAAAAAAAAAAAAAAACTCACCCTGGTCATCTGTTCCTCCCCTCCGGCGTTTACGGGGAAGTCGAACGCTCGGGGTAAAAGACTTTGTCAGATGTCCAAGGATTGTCAAAGATGGGTCCTATCAGAACGGAGACGTTCTCTGCATGCGACATGGATTGAAGCTGCATGTTGACGGCCAGTAACGCTCGAAATGAAGGTACAGACCAGGAACCGACATTTCACCATATCCCAATGTGACCGTAGACGGAGCATATTAAGTTGAGAATGCTCGTTGGCTGAATGCCCCGCGTGAAAGTGTCATTGCACTTCCAGTCCCGACGCCACAATGCCCCAGTGCTAAACCTGATGAAGCCAATTATTTCAGACTCAACCCTAAACGAAGTTACCAACGCTGTATTCCATGTCCTCAAACCACGATGTCACCATAGAGCTCCACTTGTTGGCCTGCTGACTGAAATTGGAGCTCCTGTCGAGGTAACTGATGAGGAGTTCACGTAATTCGGGATGGTACAAATGAGCGTGATACACCCCCCCGGGTCTCCGGAATCATGTTGAAGACGGAAGTGTAAGGACGTAGAAGAAAAGTAGGAGCGAAATGCATTCTCTCGCTTTGATCGCGTCCAGCGTTCTCCTCGCTAGTGCGAGTGCAGAGCAATTCGCCATTCCGCAAGTGCAGAGCGCAGTTAACGCAGCTCTCAACAAGTACTCCGAGTACGTGAACTACGATGGCCCGACAGGCACAGCAACAGCAGCACTTGCTTCTGCCACTGCAGAATCGCATGGCTTAGAAGCTGCGGCCGTCACTGATCCGAGCTACTGGCTGGCCGATATTACCCATCAAGGCAATGCGCCATATGCCGACAGTGGCTATGTCGTCTTCAGAAACGTCAAGGATTACGGTGCTGCTGGTACGCTGCGTTTAGTCTCGAAGATGAAAAATGAAGGAAGCGGCAACTGACATGGGGTGTCTACTTAGGTGACGGTGTGACTGATGATACTGCGGCTATCAACTCTGCGATAAGTGATGGTGGTCGCTACAGCCCTGGCTCTGGCGAGACATCTTCGACAACACCCGCCATTGTTTACTTCCCTGCAGGAACCTACCTGGTGTCTACGTCGATTATCGACTACTACTTTACACAGCTGATTGGAAACCCCAATTCTCCAGCTGTTCTGAAGGCCTCTGCTGACTTCACCGGTCTTGGTGTGATTGATGGTGACCAGTACCAGTCCACCGGTGAACAGGGCTGGACATCAACCAATGTCTTCTATCGCCAGATCCGAAATCTAGTCTTGGACCTCACTGACGTTCCGGCAAGCTCTGCAACGACTGGTATTCACTGGCCAACCGCTCAAGCGACTAGCTTGCAGAATGTCGAAATTCGTCTCAACTCAGATTCCGGTACACAGGCTCAGGGTATTTTCATTGAGAATGGTAAGTACTCCGCCACCATTTCGAACAATATAAAGCTCCTTTTACGACAAACTTTTAAATTGCCCTCAACTAATGCATTGGCTTCTACTTCAGGCTCTGCCGGTTTTCTCACTGACGTAACTGTCACGGGTGGTCTGTATGGCCTCAATGTCGGAAACCAGCAGTACACTATGCGCAATGTCACTATCTCCAACGCCGTGACTGCCATTAGCCAAATTTGGGACTGGGGTTGGACTTGGTCCGGACTTAACATTAATAACTGCACAACTGCTATCGACATTTCGCTCTTAGCCACGGATGGCAGCCTCGAAGACGGGTCTACAGTTATAATCGACAGCACCATCACTGATTGTGACACATTCGTCAAGACTGCCAGGTCTACTAGTTCTACTCCTGCGAGCGCGGGTAATCTGATCATTGAAAACGTGGCATTGAATAATGTACCTACTGCAATTCAAGGGCCAAGCAGCGTTTACTTAACTGGTGGCACCACCACCATCTCCACCTTCGGTCAAGGTCACGAATATACCCCTACAGGACCGAATACTCTGGACGGTACTTTCACTGCACCTTCACGTCCTTCGGGCCTGCTGGCAAGCGGATCATCCGACTACTTCACCAAGAGCAAGCCTCAGTATCAAAGCTACGCAACCAGCAGCGTGGTAAGCATGCGCAGTTCAGGAGCAACCGGTGATGGTACCACGGATGATACTGCTGCGATCCAGGCCGCTCTTACCTCTGCAGCAGCTTCAGGCAGTATTGCGTTCTTCGACTACGGTATCTATCTTGTTACCGATACTATCTATATTCCTCCCGGATCTATTGTCGTTGGCGAGTCCTACCCCAGTATCATGGGCAGCGGCAGCAAGTTCTCCAACAAAGAGGCACCTTACCCTGTTGTGCAGGTGGGCAAGAGCGGTGACACAGGCACAATCGAGGTGTCCGATATCATTGTCAGCACCCAAGGTGGTGCAGCAGGTGCCATCTTGATTGAGTATAACCTCGATGGAGACCAAGGATCCGGCCTCTGGGATGTTCACACACGTATTGGCGGCTTCGACGGCTCTGATTTGCAGGTAGCTAACTGCCCGACAACCGCAGCAGTCTCTGCTGACTGCGAGGCGGCCTTCATGTCTCTGCATATCACAAGCTCAGCAAACAACGTCTACCTAGAGAACAACTGGTTCTGGACCGCCGACCACGACATCGATAGCGCCGATAACACCCAGATTTCAATCTACACAGGCCGTGGCGCTTTGATCGAGGGAAGCAACATTATAATGTGAGTTTATCTTATTGCTGGTTTTTATGGATTCTGCATTTGACTTTGCCTAATACTGCGTTGCTAAACTAACGCAATTAACCATTTAGGTATGGTACCTCTGTTGAACACCATTCTCTCTACCAATACGAGTTCTCGGGTGCGACGAACGTCCTGGCTGGATACATTCAAACAGAGACCCCATACTACCAGCCAAGCCCAGACGCCACCTCGGGTCCTTACGCGTACAACGCAACGTGGAATGACCCAGACTACAGCACCTGTCTGTCAGGCAATTGCGACGCTCTAGGCTTGTACGTGACCGGCGGTGATTCCATATACATTTATGGAGCCGGTCTGTACAGCTTCTTCAATGACTACAGCACATCCTGCTCCGACTACGGTAATTCGGAAAACTGCCAGAGCGAGATTTTCCGTGTGGATGGTACTGTATCCGCATTGAGAGTATACGGGCTCAACACTGTGGGCACTACTAACTTGATCGAGGTGGACGGCACAAGTGAAGCGGATTATTCGGACAACATCAGTACTTATGCTGATAGCATTGCGCTATTCTCATACAATTAAAGCATGTTGCTTGGACGAATTCACGACAAGAAAGAAGACAATCAGCGAAGGCTGCTAGAGAACTTGCGTGGTATATTTATTCATTGTACATATTTTATATTTATCTATTTGACAAGGCACCCAATAGGTTCGCAAATGAAAAAGTTTCATTGTTTTATAGTTTGCATTCTCTATCAGCTGTCAACTTCGTAATCATTTCTGCCATGTTCTCTGAGGTTGTTAAGGCATCAACAATTCGAAACGAGGATTGCGCGTCGACCACCTGCGATGGTTCTAGACCGGGCCCACAGCAGCAGCGCAGACTGTCAGGCTGCGACCTTTTATATGGATCAGTTCTTGGTTCACCTCGGAGATTTGCCAATCCAGTTTGAGTTAACCCACGGAAGACTTACAGTTTTGCGTCTTTATCGCCACGGAATTCGTCACAGCACGTGAGTCTACCCCAGTTTTTGTATACTCCGGTCGATCAATGAGAGATCTTCCAGCGCAAACTGGCCAATATGAGGTGTTCTGGTGGAGTCCCCGCAGCGCGTTATTTTAACCTTATTTGCAGGGCCGGTGTCAAGGTGGGCCCTTTGAGTGGGTCCTTTAGTCGTCAAGGACTTTTAGAACGTGTGACCCTCCATGAGTCCGCTCTGCGCGGTTTTCTTTCGTCTTGCCGGTGCCATACCATGGTTCGGTCACCTCAGGGTCCCAATATGATTTGCGACTCACGCCAACGCAATGGCCTTGCCTTAACCCGCAGCTAATCAGCTTGTTTTCCATCGACTGGTCAAAATCTAGAGCCATGGGCCCTTCCCTCTGTCGCCTTTGCCCCGATGGCTGGACCATTCTGGATCAGGCACAGGCACAGGAACAGAACCACTAAAATGCTGTTCGCTGGGATATCTTTGGCTGTTCATCGGCTAAATGTCGACGAGAACGAAAATTTTTTATTTCTCACCGGCTTATCGTCGGAGGCTTGGAGGAAATAAAGGTTATATAAGGGAGCCATGTGCCTATCTGACTGCTTCTCGTTCTTTTTCTATTGCACCTCATCCACCAGACAGAAGCTCTCCTTGTAGAGTGTTCATTCATTCATTCACATTCAACCAATACATTCTTTTCGTGAGGCCAACCTTTTGAACAACTCTTTGACAAGAGTAAACATCACATTCTCTATAAACAAATTATCTTTTATAACCAACATTCTTTACAACATGATGTTCACCAAGACCCTCGCTGCCTTCGCCTCCCTTGGCGCACTGGCCTCTGCTCTTCCTACGGCCATTAAGAGCCGCGACACCAACAGCACCTCTGCCAGCACTGGCGGTGGTGTTACCATCGTCAATAACATGGATCAAACCATCTACCTCTGGTCCGTCAGCAATACCGCTGACAGCGAAATGGTTACTCTGACCGCCGGTGGACAAGATTACTCTGAGAACTGGCGCCTCAACCCCGACGGTGGCGGCATCTCCATCAAGATGTCCACCACTCCCGACCAGTCAGATGTCTTGCAGTACGAGTACACCCTCGTCGAGCCCACTATCTACTGGGATCTTTCTTGCATCAACATGGGCGGCAACTCCACTTTCACCACCGCAGGCTTTGCTGTCACCTCGAACGATTCTGGCAACTGCCCTTCTGCCACCTGCAAGCCTGGTGACACTGCCTGTGCTGACGCTTATCTCTTCCCCACTGACGACCAAGCCACTCACGGTTGCCCCGACACTGTCAGCATGACTTTGAACCTTGGTCCTTCTTCTGCAGAATAAGCTGGCCATTAAACTTTCCTTGCCAAAAGTCAAGTTAAAAAGTCTCGAAACAAAGTCTCCAAAAACCAGTCGAGACTTAACTCATTACGCTCTATAGATTTCTTTCATTTTTCTTTGCCACATGCTTTTTAGCGAGCATCCATGTACTTCAGCGACTGTCTTTCCATTGTTAATATTAATAATGAGGAGTATGTTGGCTATGTTGTGGTAATCCTAAGGAGCTTTTTCTTTGTTACTTGATGATACCATTTTCTGTTTGACGATACCCCTAGGGGTTATTGTATACTGTAATTATATGATGGATCACCTTTATACACAAAAAATTCGAAAATTGAAAATAATGAAAATTCTAAATCTATCAAAAATTCGAACTTCTCTTCCAAAAAATCCTTAACAGTCGTTCGAGTAAATTCACCAATCAGAAGCGAACAGATTGAAGATGACGACGACCACTACATAGCGGTCTGGCCAATAGAATTAACAGTGCCCCACATTTCCTTTTAAAGCCCTAAGAAGTCATATCGACTCGACACAGGGAGGTACTCGGAGTCGATTGTAATATACTGGTCCAAAGAGACGGTAAGATGGTGAGCAGGGTTTGACCTATGGGTAATAGAATATAGTGGGGTATTTACTGAACACCAGCAACGGATCAAATCTACGGACTCCTGGCGTGAACTCCTGTCGTGCAGGTCAGAGCATCATGATGCGCTGAACTTATAAGACCGACAGATAAACTCATGCCTAGTAATCAATGAATGGAACCTGGTCATCTTAACTCATACGACGCTCGATTATTAATACTACCTAGTTACTATCAAGACTACCAGTCCTCATTCCACAGCAACCCTCTCACATTCCTTAGATATAAGCATTGCAGTAAACCCAAGCAAGTGACCCGCATCCCGGTGAAATTTACCAATGGATCAACGCGGATGTAAACTACGCATTTCACCCCTACGTATAAATTCTCGATTGGTCAATATGAAGCCCTAATCTCACGCTTTCGGCCCGTCTATCCGTCATACCAGCATTCCGAACTTGGTTGACAGTTATTATAACCAAACAATTCGGTTTTGACCTAATTTATTTTCGAGCTTGAACTTTAAAATCTTGTGGTTATTTTCACATATTAAATGAAACAGGCTATTATGATACTATTCCCAAGTCGCGCCGAAGCTACGAGCGAACATAGAAATTGCTCACGTACATCTTTAGTGCTAATTTATCGACAGAATTATGGACCCCCTTCAAGCTATGACAACAAAAAGGCCGGGACTTCATATACAAGACAACTCTGGTTCTCCAGCTGTTTCCAAGGAACCAACAACCCTCGTCGCAACTTATCCCATAGCCTCACAGAGCACTCTGAACATTGAGAGCAACAACAACGACAGTACTGTTGAACTTCAAGCTAGCGATGCGGCAAGTGATCAAACACAACAGCCATGGATCTCATATTCCAGTGAATTGGGGATGGTGGGCTGTTTTGCCCTTATGGCTATGATGGTTTCACTGGACGCCGTGATATTGGTCCCAGTTCTACCTGTAAGACTCCTTTTCTATATACTTTTCACTTGGTTCATGCCCTAACTTTGATAGGATATTTCCGAGATATACCATGTCAAACCAGCCAAAGGCGCTATTTGGCCCATTACAGTCTACTTCCTGGCAAATGCGGCATTTCAACGGGGTTATGTTGCTATGACGAGTATATTCGGCCGTCGATATCTGCTCATGGGAGGTATATCTACCTTCAGTATCGGCTTGATACTTCTCTCCGCGGCACCGTCGCTCTTCCCAGTGCTCCTTATTGGGCGTGGCGTCCAAGGAGCTGGAGCTGCATCGATGGTATCAATTCCACACTTAATACTGAAAGATATGATCTCCGATAAACGCAGACCATTCTACAACTGCATCATACTTTCCAGCAGCGCAATAGGTGTGAGCGTGGGACTGGTTCTAGCAGGCGTCTTCTTGAAAAAGCCAGCTGATTGGAAATGGGTCTTCTACGTCTCAGCTCCTTTCTGCTTTCTGCTATTAATTTCCACCCCATTTGCCGTTAAACCTGTTGGCGAGCGACTGGACTCAAAGATAAGGATAATGAAGGTCGACTGGACGGGCATATCGATGTTCGCTGGTAGCATGGCCTCGCTGCTTCTTGGACTTACGTGGGCATCAAGTCTCCAAAGGGAGTTGAAGTGGGAAGTACTTTTGGCGCTTGTTGCTGGGGCTGTTGGAATGATAGCTACGGTCCTGTATGAGAGATCAGGTGCATCAAGACCTTTTCTGCCCCTTCATATTCTCAGGATCTCTCCTGTCACGTATTTCTGTGTCTTTATCCAGAGTATTGTGGTATGTAACTTTCTTCAAATAAGGGTATTTTCCGCTAACCGACATTGGTCAGATGGCTGTACAAATCATCTATATCCCGGTTTACTTGCGAAGAGTACATGGTTTATCTCCTACTTTGGCCGGGGCTATCCTTATTCCTATGGTTTCAACTCTCTTCGTGTCCACTTCTCTGGCAAGTCTAATACCTGCAAAGCTATGCCACTTTTGCTGGATACTTTGGCTTGGTTGGGCTTTGAATATCATATCATCTGCTATTTTCACTACTTTCGACACCAGTACAAAACGCGGAGTCTGTGCTCTTGTTACCCTTGTCACTGGTCTGGCCCACGGATTGACAATATCTGCTACCCATAGAGCATTCCGAGAAATGTCAAACTCTACAACTGCTCGAGATGCATCTCTGATTGCTGTTTTTATTCGAACATCTGGATTTTGTCTTGCCATTGCCGGTGCTGAGTCAGGGTTTCGTACTAGATTGGCGATTCATAACTTTCATTCGACGATACCGCGAATATATGCCTTGAGCTTTGACGACTTGATGCGTATTCTGACAGCTTTGGCTGGGTTTGGGGGCTTGCTATCTTTGTTTGTGGGATGGAAGAAGAGGAGAGGATGATCTTTCTTTTTCGCCTTTCTGTGCTGTTCACTAAATATGAATTCTTAATCAATTAAAACTTATAGAAAGAAGTAGTAATGCCGTATTATTGTGTAAACTGTTATCTATGAGGCTTTCCCTCTTAAATTGGTGGCCTAGGATTAAGACCTCGGAAACATACAAATGGCGCAGTTACAGACTGACGTTACATTAAAAAACAAGACAAAAAATAACCATTTTACTCGTGAAGATCCAAATCATCATATAGATGACTGCGAATTTGCTCCCCCAGGTTGTTTGACTGACACTATAAACATGTGCACTGTCATAAAGGAGAGCAAAGTTCACAAAACTGGTGGAATACACGGCATACACACACCATGGATGCCGTTTCCAAGGGGTGCGACTTGTGAATAAACTTACAGCGTTGCTTCTCCAGTTCGTTCTCACCGACCGGAGACATTGTGAAATGTATTTTGGATACGTACCCAGGGGTGTTTCGACAAGCGCATCCTCGCAACTTTGAATTTTGATGTCTCAGCCGTGTTTAGTTTCAAAACAAGTAATGAAGTTACCATCGTCGCAGTTGAGGGGCCCGAAAAGATCGAAGAAAAGGCGTTCATTCAGGAACCCACTCAAAAATTCTTCAGGTTGCAAGATACTGGTGCGATGTGCATAGGACGACCTGAATTAATAAACATACCACCGTCAAGAGCGTTAATCGCTCTAACGTCGAAGTTCTGCCGTTCCAGGTAAGGCACCGAGCATATTCCAAAACAATGTAGCGTTGGAGCCTTTTTCAGTGCGGATCACACGTTTATTAGTACCAACTGCATCTACTTTGGGGTCTTCAAAGACAGCTAAAACCGTGGGCATGAAGTTGGGGGAATGCTAGAGGACGTGGTCATCGAAATTAGCTGTAATGGTCGTTTGAATGCTGGGAATAGCGCAGGCTATCTGAATACGTTTGTTAGCTACAGCAAGCATTCCAGAGCACTGTGATGGGGGCTTTGTGTGATTGAAGTCGTTGCGTAACCAATATTTCATCAGCGTCGCAGGGCTTGTATAGCGGTTTGTCTTGGATGACTGCAGGGCGATACAGAAACCAAAAGGATATAGTGCGGACAATCAATCGCAAGTAGCGGAATATGAAGATTGATATGATTAAAACGTCACCCTGTGACAAAATTGACCAAACTGCTGATGCTTGTCGTAAAAGGAATATGAGAACTTCCACAAGAGTAAGAGTCAAAGGAGCGATTTTCACTGAAATCATTGTTCTCGCGTAATGTTGGACACAAAGACCTGTCCTCTGATAGTAAAGAAAAACCTATATCATAAGATTCGAGGAAAGGGAAGTGAATGTCTTCCATGTGCGTAGACCATATATATAAATCCTATGACACGACAATGTCACTCTAGAATTGCCACGGAATGGAGAGTCAATAATTGACTTTGATGAACATGCTTTCTTTTTGATAGATAATTTTCCATCTATTTCGAAAGCACTTTATTTACCTCTCATTCTTGAGTAGATATCGCGAACCCTGGGAATTGGCGCATGAGATCAGATTACGTGATATGTGTGACCCGCGATGTTTGTGGTTGCCTAGGTAGGTAAATAGTCACGAGGAGAGAAAAGTCATTTGGGAACTTGATGGTGACTGATACCTAAGTATCCATGATATAAGATAAGACATACATTTTGCTGCTATGCGCATTTTTGGTAATCAAAGATGATGCTTCATCTAATGATGACTTCAGGAACTTGAAACGTACAGACCACAATGCCTTTATTTTACAGAGGGTTCTACGAATATTATTCGGACTCGGCCAATATGTTGAGAGAGAAATCAAAAGGATAGCTAAAATTCGAAGAATTCTATAGATAATTCATAGATGTAACCAATCATCAGTCAGATGACTCTCTACATAGTTAGCATACAGCCAACCTTTTGACATACCTCCATTCACAATTATAACTGGGTGCTTTTGAGTTTTGAAAAGATTGTTATTCTTCAGGATACACCATCTTCCTGGTAACACCTCCATCTACCACCATTTCAGTCCCAGTGACGAATTCGGCCTGTGCTAGATATTCGACGGCTCGCAGGATATCCTCCACTCGACCGACACGACCCGAAAAGTGCCATCGGTGGTCGTCTTCCGATAAACCGTCTTCCCATTTCATGCCATTTTCATCGGCCTCTTTGCATTCATTGGCAACATTGATCCATCCTGGAAGGATTGCATTGACAGCTATGCCATCCGGAGCCAAGCTAGCAGCCATTGCGTGCGTTAATCCTATTAACCCAGCCTTAGTTGCAGCATAGCCTTCGGAGTGAGGCTCGGATTGACGCGCACGCGTTGAAGACATATGGATAATGGAGCCTCCGCGCTGGCGATCGGCAGTTTTCTTCAACAAAGGGAGGCAGCCTTGACTCATCAACATTGATCCTGTTAAATTTGTCTGTACGCTCTTGTTCCATGTCTCGAGGCTAAGGTCCGCAAAAGATGCGTTTCCAACGCCAGCGGTATACGCGGCATTGTTGATTAGGACATCGAGGTGGCCGCTGAAGAATTCCCCAGCTTTTGAAATGGCTGATTGAATCTCAGATGGCTCGCACAGATCACATTGTGCCCGGGAGTAGCTGTCTTGTGGAAAATATTGAGAAAGTTGATGGATTGCGTGCTCTAGTTCAATACTATTGTTGTCGATGAGAAAGACGCGGTGGCCTTGCTGCAGCAGGAGTCGCGACAGGCCACGGCCGATGCCTCTACCAGCGCCCGTGATGAGGAAATTTTTATGCATGCTGACCCAGCCTATCGAAACTGTGCATGAACAGCTAAAAATCTGTGTATTGAGAAAGTTAAATCTTTTTTGTACGAAAAGCAGCGACGTATGAAGTTGTCGCAATACACTATTCTAATTAAAGTTAGTCAATAAACCAGTTTCTGCCTTGCTAAGCAGGCAGCAACACGTTGACTCCGCGATCTTTGGGACCTTGACTAACTAATACACATGCTATGTCATCTTTTAACGTGCTCATTTGATCAAAGCAATGGCTGGGTATTTAATAAGTAGGGAAAAGCTTCCTGCATAGCCGACCACGCAAACACACTGGGCAATATAATGCCGTCGGCAGTGGCTGCTTGGGCACAGCGTAGGCGAGAGCTGTGGAATAAACAAAGTATAGGTAGAGAAAATAACGATGCTGTATTGCACAAGCTAATGGACGAGAAATGACAGAGCGAGTCTTTCTAGACAGGCGAGCATAATTTAGCCTGGAAAAAAATCCGGGTACATAAGGTCACGTGCTACAATGCAAAAAATTATTGTAAGTTACCTAGCCGATATGCTCGGCTATCAATTTTTTTTTTTTTTTTTTTTTACTTTTGGAATTCATATTGCCAATAATTGCACTAGCTCGCTATTGATATATGCGGTATATAATCGAATCTTGACATGCTACCATTCAGGCTTTTCAGAAAACCTGTTTCATGTTGCGACGCAAAATTCGCATGGAAAATTCAGCCTGGAATTAAGAAATCATAATGGCAGAGTCAGAAGCCAAGGTGATAACACCAACCGCAGCAGCCAGTATAAGCCCAAAGAGGGACGCTGCGAATAGAGTCTCAACCAGCAACATTGACAACGAAGACCCGCCTTCCTTTGGGCTGCCAGCATGGCGCAAGTATCTGATTCTTTTCTCGGTCAGTTGGATGACATTTGTCATCACGTTTTCAAGCACTGCATTACTTCCAGCCATGCCCGAAATCAGCAGTGAATTTTCGATATCTAACGAGTCCGTTGCCGTCACCAATTCCGGCGTTTTGCTCGCTATGGGATTTTCGTCCTTTCTCTGGATCCCCATTGGTCTACTGATTGGGAGGCAGCGAGCCTATAACTTGGCCATTTTCTTTCTCTGTGCTTGCTCGTGTGGCACCGCCGTGGCAACAAATATGGCTATCTTTACGGCCATGCGTGTTTTGGGCGGTTTCACCGGGACGTATTTTATGGTGGCTGGTCAGACCATCTTGGCCGACATCTTTGAGCCGGTGAGTATTCTGTTCTCTCGACCACATCGGGATTGGCTGTTTATGATTATGAAATAGGTCGTTCGGGGCCGGGCTGTGGGGTTTTTTATGGTGGGATCCGTCAGTGGCGCTGCTTTCGGTATGTAGAACACATGCAGAAGTCAAGGGCGAAGTGTTAATTCGATAACAGCACCATGTCTTGGCGGCATCATTGTCACTTTCACGCATTGGCGCATCATTTTCTGGGTTCAAGTTGCAATGGCTCTGCTTGGACTTACGAGCTCTCTGGTCTTCATTCCCAATATAGATAAGATGAACAAATCCACTCAAGCCAATTCAGAGGAAATTGAGAAGCCCAAGAAATCGATACTGTCTCGTTTCAATCCCGTGCGAGTCTTTACTTTGCTAATTTATCCGAATATTTTCCTCGCTGTAAGAAAGAGTCCTTTCAATGCTTTCACAAATTATTTTCCTGTAAATGAGACTGACCTGCAATTCAGGATTTGACGTGTGGCCTCCTATCTTGGTTTCAATACAGCTTGTTAACCTCGGTTCGCGACGTATTTAACCCTCGATTTAACCTTACTTCCGCCCTAGTCAGTGGCTTGTTCTATATCGCCCCCGGAGCTGGCTTTCTATTTGGGAGCGTCATCGGTGGCAAACTGTCGGATCGCACTGTGAAGAAGCACATCGAACTCCGCAATGGATTACGTCTGCCTCAAGATCGACTCAACAGCGGAATTTCCATGATTATGGTTGTCTTACCAATATCCGCGCTAATATATGCGTGGACGTTGGAAGAAGGAGTCGGCGGTATGGCTGTTCCCATCATCAGTGCGTTCTTTGCCGGGTTTGGCTTGATGGGGACATTCAACAGCTTGAACACGTATACAGCAGGTATGATTATGTCTGCGCTCTGGAATGGAAAAGAGAACGAATCCGAATCTAACGCCACATATAGAGGTTATCCCTGCAAGCAAAGCTGAGGTTATCAGCAGTAAATATCTGGTGCAGTATTGCTTTGGAGCTGGCGCCACTGGCGCCATCATGCCTTTGATCAGTGCCATCGGGGTTGGCTGGACATTCACAATATGTGCGTATCTCTTTCTTTCTTGTGATCTTCAACTTTATTGGCACTAATTATCTCTCTTATCAGCCGTTTGTATGTGCTTTATTGGCGGTGGCTTCACATTCCTCGTCAGCCGAAAGGGTCTAGACATGCAAAAATGTGTCATACAGAAGATCGGTAAAAGGTCGTAACTACTGCATAGAACTTTGGTTTTGTCAGCACTGCATTGAAGCATATAGAGCATAGACTAGAAACTAGATAGAGTTAGCCTCCAGGCATTCCTCTGCCGTAATCTGAAGAAACTGGGTAGAAGGATGTGCACATGACTATGCGCTCAAACAAGATATAAAAGACCTAGAATAATTACATCGAGATGATAAGCGCAACGTTGAATATCTTCACTTGGGAGATAGTACCTCTTGGCTTACCAGCCTTACCTACACAAACCACGTGCCAACTTGACTTTCAGTCAGCCAAATCAGCCATGTGCTTACTGACCGCTTACCGATTGCTGCCTGAATGTCTTGAGCATTCCTAAACTTATTTAGTGGAAGCCGGAGTGTTACATCCCCGGCTCCGGGCCTCGCCGCGCTATACTGAAATAAGTACAATTGCCTAATCCGGTAAGTTTGCTCACTAAACCCTAACTAAACCGTGCAGCTGAGCAGAGTCAGCAGACTAGTCGAACCCACGTTGTCACTATCGCTCCGTTTCTCGTTGAAAATAACAGCCACCGACGTTCGGCACTTGACCATTGTTAAAATGAAGACATCTACGCTGTACAGCCTTGAGACTAGTTACGCCATTCATTATGGTATGGGGAGCTTATTAGCCATTATATGGAACTGTAGTACATGCAAGCGTTATCTGATCTTCACAGCTTGGTCGATATGGGGTAACAGTAATTAAATTATCTGATACATCTGAGCAGATAAAGCGCGGAATCTGTTCTTGCAAGGGTCCTGGATATATCGCAGATATGGAATCTCCATGGATAGATTCAGGTTATGTACTGGGTGAAATCGTCTTTAGGAATACATACGGCTACTGTGCTTTTAAGTTCTTAGTTACCAGGTTACCTTGATGCTACCACGGAGTACTCCGTACTCTGCTTACAATAACTAAAACTCAGGTCCACCAACGATAGTTTCAGTGTCCGCAACTTACCTGGCATTCTAGTTACCTGTGCCTCTCACGCCCGGGCCCGGCCCCCAAGTTTAATGTACGAAAATGGGGGCCCGGTAGCGAAATGGCAATCCGCCTAGTATACTCGAAGAGTTGACTAGTGGACTGGTGCCCTTGTCATAACTATATACAAGACCATGTGGTTTCGAATCCTTCGCGCCTCACCATGCCTAGAACACAGAATCGCTGCCACAGTTAAAGCCTAGGTCAATCGCTGCCATAGTGAATGAGAGATTCAGTCAGTTACTGTATAAAGGGGGAAATTAGGGATAATCGAATGGGTTTATACGGAGTACAGCGTGGTTACTGCTAATGTTTGGTTTCCAAGCGCCCTTTTCCTTAGTGCTTACCTATCTGATTGCTGATATCCCATGCAGGAAGTATAATTAAGATCAAATGATGTCTCAACTTTAAATTACGGCATTTCTGGACATACTCTATGAGACTTGGCATACTTAGGAAGAACAATGCTAAAACCAGACAATAAACTGGAAATACTTGAAGACTGCGGAGTACTACTACTAACGTACTGTAATTTATGCTACTTTTGTGTTACTACTCACAAAAATTGCAATAGACAAGCCAAGAAATGTTAGTTCTGTATCACCATATTAATTATATAGCGAATCCTAATAAGAAAAGAAATCCTAAGATTCTGGTAGGCTGGGAGACGTTGAGCAACTTGGGGGTGGCGCATCCACACCGTCACAAGAGGAGCGGCGCGAAGGCATGGGTAGGTACCGTTACTACCATAGGTTGTTCCTAATGACAGAACAACGCAACGCCAACCGAGCCGAAGTTGAATAGATCGAATAGCCGGAATTTTCAATTTATTTTCGGCTTTTCATATCAGTCGGCCCGCTCGAAGGACGGACAATGAATATAAATACTACGTTCATGATCCCAAAAAACCAACAACACTTTCTTTTGTATCCAGTCATCAATACACCATGACGGTCCTCTCAAAAGCCTTGCTTTGGGGGCTCTCTACTCCGCTCCTTGCCTCTGCATCAGCCATCCGGCAGCAGCGCCGTTCCGTTCAGCAAGGATGGTCTCTACAATCGAGTAGCTGTCCAAGCGGAACGGATTCCTGCGGCGGAGGAGGATGTTGCCCGTCTAGCTTGTATTGCTTTGCGGCTCTGAATGATGAAGTGGCTTCGTGCTGTGCTTCTGGTAAGAATCCGTTCTGTTTCAGATGTGAGGCATGGAAACAATCGCAACTAAAGGTCGATGTGTGTTGTTGAACAGATTCCGTCTGCGTGGGTGCTATCGAGGGATCTGTAAACTGCGCTGACTCGAGTTGGTCACTATGGAAGGGTTTCCAAGGCAATGGGTTCTGCTGTGAAGTTGGTTTGGTTGGTGTGTATGATAGTTCCGGCAGCGTTGCTGGAACGTGCGTCGCGTCTGAATCTGTGGGAAGCTCGACCACCGCTGTCCTGGTGAGTTTCCTCCCTCTCCCCCCTTTTCATTTTATTCTTTTTTTCCTCTGCACGATGTACTCAACCAGGCGACTGACATATCGCGGCTGTGATCAAGATGACTACTGGCACCGGAAGCGCTGTTACATCCACTGCGACTACTACCACTTCAACAACTAAGCCTACCACGACCACCACTACTACCGGGCCTACGACTACCACCACTTCAACAACAACCGCTCCTACCACAAGTACTACTACTACCACCTCATCTACGACTACTTCCACTAGCACCGCGTCTGCCAGCACTCGTGGAGTGTTTGCTCACTACATGGTAAGTCAGATGCACACTACGCCCCTGTGGCCCGATACTGAACAATATTCGAATAGGTTGGCTCCATGACTGCTGCAGAGGCTGTAACGGATGTGAACGACGCTATTGCCGCAGGATTTGATGGATTCGCGTTGAACACTCACACGATCAGTTCAAGCGACACATGGAACACCAACGCGCTAGACTACCTGTTTGAAGCTGCCGCTGGAACGGACTTCAAGCTCTTTATCTCGTTCGACATGAGCTGGGGCCTGGATGTTTCCAGCCTCGCAGGATTCCTTGCCACCTATGTTGCCAAGGAAGCGTACTATTTTGTGGATGGCAAGGCGTTCATCAGCACGTATACGGGCGGCACGATCTCCAATTCAGAGTGGGATAATGATTTCATCATTCCTCTCCAAGAGACATATGATATCACCCCATATTTCGTGCCCAACTTCGGTGACTATTCCGGCTACCCCACTGGAGTATTTGATGCCTTTCCTATCCTCTCTGGTGTATTCACTTGGGAGTCGGCCTGGCCATATTCAGGAAACACCCCTGAGAATGTGAGTGACACCGTGGATGCTGAAGCACTGGCTGAGGCACACGCAGCTGGAGCTGTGTATATGATGCGTAAGTGCTTGGAATTACCCACTGTATCTGGTGAAAATATACTGACTGCCTTGGGGGTACTTTCTAGCTCTCTCATCCTTCCAGTTCAAATATCTCGGCTCCGGCCAGGACTGGTACCGCATTGGTGAAGATAACTTGCCCCAGCGCATGGGACAGATTCTGAACCTACAGCCCGACTTTGTCGAAGTGCTCACCTGGAATGACGCAGGCGAGAGCCACTACGTCGGCGACTTCTGGGCCGAGCAAATCGCTGGCACCGATGAAGGAGCGTACGCCGATGGTTTCGATCACAAGGGCTGGCTACAGATCATCACCCCGTTCATTGATGCCTATAAGTCCGGTGCCACGGAATTATCTCAGATAACTCCTCCAGACAGCACCCCTGTTGGTACGCTCTGGTACCGCACGCTTCTGACGACCGCGAGCTGCTCGTCCAGCATTTCTAACTACGAGTCTGCCCTCGATGCTGTGAACTTTGCCGTCATCCTGCCATCTGACGGTTATACAATCAATGTTTATAGCAACTCAGAGTTAATTGGTAGCTACGCTGGTGTCACTGGTCTGAATTACAACAGCGTTCCCGGCCTCCAGGTTGGCAGCGGCCAGTATATCCAGGTCTTGGATAGCGCAAGCAATGTCGTGGCAAGTGCGACCGGCACAAAGGATGTGGCTGCAGAAAGCACCTCTAGCGTTTGCAACTGGAACTACGAGGTTGTTGGTCTATCTTCATAACAACATGATTGAGTTTAAGACCAGAATGGGCTCCTCGGAGGGATGGAAGGTTAGGCACCTATAAAAAAAATCTGCAATGAAAATTTTCCTCTTCATAGTTTGTACTGATATTGTTGTTCGTGATCCGAAAAATCGAATTTGCAAGAATCCACTCCAGTTCCCATTATCTGTTGATCTTGTTGCATGAGAAATAAACATAGGTACATGTATATATACATCTCGGCGCATAAATGATCTAGCCGAGAGGCTATCTGTTGAAGGGGGTTGAGTGGCTAAACAGTTTCTCTTTATGATCCTGCGGCATATTCCTAAAGGTTCCTCGCCTCCGTGAAACTTTAAAGGGGGAAACCCCAAAGAAACCTTAAGGGTAGGTGGTCCACTTACCCCGCAATATCGGCGAGTCTAGAAGGGCCTGATTGGGTCACACGCTCGGCATTAGCCGTTGTTGGCCGGGGAATCAGAGTATTATAAGACCCACGTGGTGCCCCTTCTAGATCCCCCCAGTCCTGCATATGCATTTACCCCAGCTGCGTTCCATCATGCCGTCGGTGCCGTGCGATGCATGCGCACTTCGGCGTGTCAAATGCGATGGCAACAATCCGTGTTGGATTTGTATCAAGAATAACCAGCCCTGCACCTTCCTGAGAGTCCGCAGGCGCAGAGGGCCTAAAGGTCCTCGGAAGTCAACCAAGGCTAAACTGGAGCAGCTCTACGCACAGCTGTCACTACCCCGTACAGATCCACCAGATCAGAAACTGATTTCTTTGGGGGCCTACTTCAAGTATCTCGACGTCTACAAGCACGCGTTGTACACGACCTGGCCGATCGTGTCCATCGATTTGCTGAAATCGCGACTGAAAGACCGCCGGACCATCGACTTCGAATCATATGCGCTTGCTGCGGCACTCAGTGCAGCGACAATAGTGCAGTTGAAGCATTGTCAAAGTGAACCCGTGACCGAAGAACTCGTAATGGAAGGGGAGAATTTTGTCAAGGAGTGTCTACGGCATCGTAACCAATGCAATTTGCATAGCACTATCACCATAAACTTACTGCTCACCTCCCTTTTCCTCCATATGTACTATGCCAACACCGGGCAAATGAATGCAGCGACCTTCGCCCTGCGTGAGGCCATCACCTACGCCGATCTCCTGCGTCTCGGAGATCCAACCACATTGGGGTCTCTATGCAGGGATGAAAGAGAGCTGCGACTTCGTGTCTATTGGGTACTTTTCGTGACGGAACGGTAAGTCGAGTCGTTACATTTATTTCATCCAAGAATGGCAATTGATTTCGTAGAACATTCTGCATACAACATCGCATTTCCATAACCATGCAGAAAATCAACAGCTTCCCCACCTTCCTCGACGCCCACGATATCAATCCACATTCCGTTGGTGGGTTCTGTGAACTCGTTCGTTTGTTCACTTACGTTGAGACTGCATTGGTGGCAATCGAGCAAGCTCCGTCGACATTATCGTACAGCAAGAAGGAATTGCAGTGTATTTCCACTGGCCTTGACTCCCGCGCCCACCACCTGGATTCGCTGGGGGACCTGCAGATTGCCGACATCGAAACCACGCGTGCTTGGCTGAGATCGCTTCTATGGCAACATGCTGCCTCGCGATTCATGCTTGAATCAGACGCTCAAATTGTACAGTTTACCCCGGAGTATCCGTTTCATCTCGCAAGAGATTTACTGTCGTTCCTGTCCAAGGTTCAATCAAACTCAATCCGCGCCCATGCTTATTCCATGGTAAGTATGCCAAGTAACTTGAGTCATTCTCCATATTCTTGACACTCCGATAGGAAGTCAAACTTTCCCAGATCGCACACTCCCTTCTTGACACTATCGCTGTCGTTCCTTCTATCGGACAAATGCGTGGTCAGCAACACGGACCAGAGCATGCTGTCCTTGCGCTCGAACAACTGCTGGCTTTCACGGCAGGCGGCAAGTCAGAGCACCTTTCTCTTTTGCATACCCGCATGAGCGAGCTCGGGGTCGCGAAACCCTCGCGGCTGTACCTCACTCTAGAAGATCCTACCTCTCCGCCACAAGTTGAATCCGGCGCAGATGACGAACCGAAGTCAGGTTCCGCGGGTGATAGGGCCCAAATTGCGGGGTCGGAAGAGATCGATGCATGGGTATTACATATTATTGGAATTGAGCAATAAGAATTTATTTATTTCTATTTTTATTTTTAGCTGCAGCTTCTCATTATCCTCATTAAGTAAATATCGCAGCCGTTCTCCACTCTCGCTGAAATTCTCGCTCTAATTTATAGAGTGTGGAGTAGAGCAAAGAGTACGGGGAAACGCCCCGGCAAGCACGGGTTAGTCAATTTTCGCGAGAAATACACCGAGCCCATCAGCGCAACTTATAATGAGCCCCGTTCTTTTGCTCCCGATTTTCTTTCTTCTGAGCTGTCACATACTTTCATCATGCACCGCTATTCCTTTCCGAGGGCACCAGTTGCGCACCCAGAAGCGACGGTTGGTGGCGCAGGAAAGTCTTATCGATTCACCGTTCTGACGGACGGTCTTCTAAGATATGAGTGGGCAGATGATGGGTGCTTTGAAGATAGAGCTTCTGTGTTGGCAGTTAACCGTCGGCTACCCATCCCTGAATTTCGCGTACTGGAGACCGACACCAGTGTGCAAATAATCACGTCTCGATTTCATTTGACCTACGATAAAGGGAGCTTTTCCCCTAGCGGTCTAAGTGCCGCTATTAAAGGATTCTACGGGCCACACAGCAGCATCTGGCGATATGGTAACCCTCATAATACCCTCGGTGGCACTGCACGAACGCTCGACGAGATCAACGGGAGAATCGAGCTCGAGCCGGGCATTGTCGCTCGTCAAGGCTTCGCAACCTTGGACGACTCAAAATCTATGCTATTCGACGAGAACGGGTGGCTCGCTGTCCGTCGACCGGGAAGTGGCCGTGTGGATGGCTATCTCTTCGCTTATGGACATAGTTATCGGGAGGCGGTCCGCGCATTCTATGCCTTGTCAGGTCCCCAACCGCTGCTCCCACGTTGGGCGCTAGGTAATTGGTGGAGCCGGTATTACGCTTACAATGCCGAGGAATATCTGGAGTTGATGGATCGGTTCCGGGAGAAAGGGATCCCACTTTCGGTTGCTGTCTTGGACATGGACTGGCATATTGTCGATGAGGACTGCGTGGCTAAGTCAGGCGTGACTGGGTGGACAGGATATACCTGGAATAAAGCGCTGTTTCCTGACCCACCACATTTCTTAGCAGAGCTACACCGTCGGGGCCTGAAAACGTCTCTGAATGACCACCCAGCAGACGGAGTCCAGAGTTATGAGGAGCTCTATGGCGAGATGGCGAGAGTTTTATGCCATGACACCTCACTGGGAGATCCCATTTCGTTTGACATTACAAACCGCGCGTTCCTTGACGCCTACTTTGACGTTTTGCACAGGCACTTTGATACCCAGGGAAATGATCTCTGGTGGGTAGACTGGCAGCAAGGACCCCATTCCCGAATTGCCGGGATTGATCCACTCTGGGTGTTGAATCACTTTCATTTTTTGGACAGTGCGCGTGAGAGCAAACGTCCGTTGACCTTCTCACGATACGCGGGGCCAGGAAGCCATCGATATCCAATTGGGTTTTCAGGAGATACATTTATCACATGGGAGTCGCTGGATTTCCAGCCTGAATTCACGGCGACAGCGTCGAACATTGGATTTGGGTGGTGGAGCCATGATATTGGCGGGCATATGCACGGAGTGAGAGACGAGGAGTTGCTGGTCCGCTGGGTTCAGTACGGAGTCTTCTCGCCAATCCTGCGTCTCCATTCTTCCAATAATCAATGGAACCTCAAGGAGCCGTGGATGTTGGATGTAGGATTCGAGCGGGTCATGACCAAATTCCTCCGTCTACGCCACCGACTCATTCCCTACCTCTATACCATGAACTTCCGGGCAGCGCGAGAAGGGCTCCCGCTCGTGCAACCCATGTACTGGGAATATCCAGAGAGCGAGGAAGCCTATCGGTTCTCTAACCAATTCCTCTTCGGCTCGGAGCTGCTCGTTGCACCGATTACTGCACCGCTAGACGCAAAAGCACGCAGATCCCTGGTACGGGCATGGTTTCCCCCAGGTCGCTACGTTGATATCTTCACAGGCACGGTGTACGATGGCGACCGTGAACTTTGGCTCAGCCGTCCGCTGGCATCATACCCAGTTTTTGCCCGTGAAGGCTCCATCATTCCGCTGGACGGAGCTTCAGAGCCTGCTAATGGCGGCAACGACCCCAGCGAAATCGAAATCCTTGTTGTCGTCGGGGCTGACGGCGATTTTGAACTTGTGGAGGATGATGGCCAAGGTGATGAAGTCGATCAGATCACGTTTCGCCGAACGCCAATTTCCTTTCATCATGGGACCGGAGAAATATGCATTGGACCATGCTCGGGCACTCAGACGACGACTTCTCGTCAATGGAGCGTCCGGTTGCTGGGTTGTTCCTCCCTCCCGGAACAAGTGCACGCCTTGGTCAATGACGTGACGAGGGTCTGTCAAACGGAGAAGATCTCCAATGGAACTCTGATCAAGCTGGGCTCATCAGGACCCAAGGATACTGTCGTGGTGAGAATGTGTTCGCAGCCACAGCTTGACGTCCACTCGCCCACCACGCCCATAATGGAGTTCCTCCGCGACGCACAGATTGAATTGGACCTGAAAGAGGAGATTTGGAAGATCGTAGCGAAGACAAGTTCCACAACAGTTCGTGTGGGACAACTGCAGGCACTTGGCCTTGATCGAACTGTGCTATATCCCATCTTAGAAAATCTACTAGCCGACTCACGCCCAGCTCGTCCGTGACGCGGGGCTGGAGACGGTGGCGCTCTTGCGCCTCGTTTTAAACGCTTCCGTGAATCGTTTTTTAGACAGTGAATATAAAGTCCATTCTTGTAACTACGCCTCTCGCTGGACTCTACGTAACCCTGCTGTCAACAACTATGAAGTAGTAAGCACGGCAAGTGTAAGTAGAAGTAAATTTGCTGATTGCTCTTCGCTTGAGGGGTGTAATAGCCCAAAAAAGACATCTTGGTCCCACGAAGGATTCCCCGCGAACGCCAACAGCGGGGGGCACTCCACAATATACAGCGCCAATATAGGCGAACCAGCCAATGGCTAATGTAAACCTTCGGCTTAGGCTTTCATTGGGAGAAGAAGAAAAAAAAAGCCAAATAAACTGCGGTAGTACAACGTAGTCCCTTTAATCGGACGGTCTTAAATTGAGCGAGAAAATCGGCGAGCAGGAAAACAGGGTGAGGCTTCATATAGAGGCCACTATATAAGATGCTTGTTTCATCCCCGGACTGTATTCCTCTCCATCTGCATTCGCTGTCATCTCTCACATTTACTTTCCCTAGAATAGAGAAACATAGGGAAGGCTGGTTGTCATCATGGAAACCAAGGTCGTCCATGTCGAAACGAAGTCGTCGTCCGTCCAGGACGCCGACACCCTGGGTATCGACGATGAAATGCTGCTGATGATGTCGGAGCGTATCCCAGAATTTGCCGCAACAATGGCCAGCGCAAGGCGGGCCTCCAAGTTCGAGCACGGCCTTACTAACTGGGAAGCCTTCAAGCTCTACCCCAAAGCCATCTTGTTTTCCTTCGTTCTTTCGCTCGCCATCATCATGGAAGGTTACGACACTTCCCTATTGGGTTCCTTCTATGCCTATCCGGTATTTGCCCAACGGTTCGGCGTGCTAGCCGACAATGGTACCTACCAAGTTACCTCCAAGTGGCAATCTGGCCTGCAAAACGGCACGCAGGTCGGTCAGATCCTGGGGTTGATGATCGCTGGTCTGATTGCAGACCGTTTCGGATACAAGAAGACAATGCTTGGTGCCCTCATCTGTATCACTGCATTCATATTCCTGCTTTTCTTCGCCCAGAACATCGGTATGCTCTTTGCTGGTGAGGTCCTTTGTGGCTTGCCATGGGGCGCCTTCCAGACCTTGACAACTACATATGCTGCCGAAGTGAGCCCTACTATCCTGAGGCCCTACCTAACAACCTACGTGAACCTCTGCTGGGTGACAGGTCAGTTCATCTCCACAGGTGTCCTCCGTAGTCTTCTCGGCCGCACCGACGAATGGGCCTGGCGCATCCCCTATGCCATCCAGTGGGTTTGGCCTGTCCCTATCATCATCGGTGTCCTCTTCGCGCCTGAGTCCCCCTGGTGGCTCGTCCGCCACGGTCGATCCGAAGAAGCCATTCGCTCCCTCCGCAGCTTGACCTCCTCCCGTCGTGATTCCATGGGCTATAGCATGGAAGACACCGTCGCCATGATGCTAGTGACTAACACTCAAGAAGAACTCAGTCGTGAGGGTGTCTCCTACTGGGATTGCTTGCGCGGCGTGAACCTGCGACGCACTGAGATTGTATGCTGCGTCTGGATGATTCAAGTATTCTGCGGGGTCTGGTATGGAGGCAACGTTGTGTATTTTCTACAGCAAGTTGGCTTCACCTCCGACCAGTCGTTCGACTTTGGACTCGGCACCAACGCCATTGGCTGGCTCGGTACTGTGTGTTCGTGGTTCATCATGCAGCGCGTCGGTCGTCGCACGCTGTACGTCTCCGGTCTGGCCATCATGTTCACTATGCTTTGCCTTGTTGGCTTCATGGGCATCCCCTCCCATCCATCATCAGCGATTAGCTATGCTTCCGCTGCCATGATGCTCATCTTTGTGTTTACTTATGACCTTACCGTTGGGCCTGTTGGATACTGTTTGGTCTCGGAGATCCCCTCCACCCGTTTGCGCATCAAGAGCACTGTTCTTGCGCGCAACTCGTACAATATCGCCAGCATCATCGCCAACTTTCTCAACCCCCCTATCCTCAATCCTACTGCTTGGAATCTCGGAGGCAAGGGCGGCTTTATCTGGGCTGCCTTTTGCCTCTTGTCTTTTATCTGGTGTTTTTTCCGTTTGCCTGAACCCAAGGATCGCAGCCCCGCAGAACTTGATGTCCTCTTCGAGAAGAAGATCAGTGCCCGCAAGTTCTCCGGAATGCGTGTCAACCCCTTCCGTGCTGATAACTTTGCTATCACTGCCGAGGACGCTGAGGGTAAGTAGGAGAGAGTACGTGAGAAGATCAAACGCGGGGAGAAAGCACTTTTATGTATCTATTAGCATGAGAATTATTCACTCAAAGGCAAAAATAAATTTCTTTCCTCGCTAGTCTTCGTACCACTTAAGTAGCATAATCAAGGGAAGAGGAATGATTAATCAGCCCTTCACTAGTTAGTTACGGGGTCTCGCTAGGCTTGCTAGGCTCATGTAAACGAGACTCCGAAATACCTAGGTATAGTGTAGGGGTCGGTTAATGTTTTCAGCAGCCTATCTCATAGTTCCTAGATTGTCAACATACTTCTTCATAAAATGAACTATAAGATGTAGGAATTGACTTATCTCAGTGAGTCCGGCCTTATTTCAGCACATGAATATTTGACATTGCGTTGATCAACTATATTGATCTCAGCTTTTTCAAGTTCAGTGATAAGATTCAAATAGCGCATCAAATAAAATTCTATGGCTAACTATATGATAGAGTGACTTCTAAGTAATTATTCTTGGCGATTGTGACATGGTACTAAATGTTTTTTGAGTATTCTCGTGCTTTTGTCTAGCCATGTCATAGCCATGACAGATTGAATCTACGCAATACTAAGCTCTAGCTACGCAGACAATTTCAAACCTTAATGGAATAATATAGTATCTTAAATAGTATCAATAGGTAGCTTGAATACTTGACTATTATAGTGCTTAAGACGTCTGGGATACTCCTGCACCGCCGGAACGAAACAAATCTGGTCGTGAGTGCCTCTGCACACACACACACACACACACACAAAAACACACACAAAAAGCGGTTCAAATCATGCAGTCCGAATATCATCTTGATCTTCTGTGAGTACCGACTGCAGGTTTTGATGACTCAGGCTAATTGACCATTGACCAACAACACCAGAAGAATTAGGGAAAGTGACCATATAGTACTCAGCATGAAGTAGGAGAAAATGACAAGACAGAAACTGGAAAACAACCTATGCTTTGTCCAGCACATCCAAATTATCCCCCAACCGACAACAAGCTTGTAATGAGTTCTTTCCCACCAAGTAGGATTTAAGAGGCTGTTCCAACGCTCATGTAGACTTTTATGTCTGGTCTTCTTATAAGCATCATGGGAATTTTTCTGACTTATTCGCATATTCCAAAATTCCGTGAGTTTCCCATTGTCATAATAGGGCTTTTCCCTAATAAGCCACTGTCGCCATTTGTCAATAATCCTGTGCGCTTCGTCCACGTCAACCATAAACCATTCCGTGCGTACGTATTCTTTGCCCTTATCGAAGTCGATCAGATTGTACCGATGATTATGCAATTCCAAATGAACTATTTGCTCCGCATGATAAGCGTTGAGAAACCTGCTTTGAGCGCCAGGTGTGACATCGACCTCATCTTTAACAGTTCCGTTTTTGCCTTTGGGGCTAACGTCGCTGTCCCGTGACTTCATAGATCTACCGGTATAACCAATTTTCACGTAGCCATTGAATTCCTGGAGTTCAAGGGTCTTTACGTATATCGCCCCTAAGGTTTTATTGTATCTCTGGCCTTTTGGGCCACTGCGTAGCTTCTCCATTAACTCAACGTCTATCGTGGTATCGTCTTTTCCGGCCGAGTCGTATTTCTCAAAACGCACACAAGTCTCGGTGTTACTGGATGGTTGTGGATTTGACTGAAATTCTCGAACTGGAGATGTCGCGTGCGACTTGTTGCGAGAACTGTCGTCTCTCCGTCTTGTCCGTCGTCCATACGACGGGGAGTTACGGATTGGGGAGGGTGTCTGTGAATCCCTTCCGATCCCATTCTCGTTTTCATCCAGGGAAATATTGCTCTCCCATTGAGACTTTCGAGCAGGAGTCGATGGCAACAAAGACGACGATAATGAGAATGAAGATGCCTCCAATTCAGGGCGATTAGGCGAAGTCTCTGTCCATGACTGTGTGTTACAAAGTCGTCGACCACTGACACTGTTCCTCGCTGGCGATCCTCTCTTAGCTCTAGAGTATATTGAATGCCACTTTTGTAGCCTTTGTCTGTTCGAGGACCGGCTGGGCGAGGGTTTGTTTAGTTTTGATCGATGCCGGTTGGAGATCCTGCCATACAGCTTCTTATTGGCGAATCTGCGTAGGGGATGGGGTACGATGGAACTGCTGAGGCGATCACTGTTCCCGTTACCTAAGGATAGAAAATTGAATGCTGGTGGCTCGATCATGTTGAGACGATCCATTGCAGAAATTACGAAGCACTAGTAGTAACTTCTGCCAAAACGAACAATATGGCAAGTAATTAGGCTTCTGGGGGAAAATATTACGCACCAGGCAAGATGGGACGCATATATAAGAATTTTGAGACAAACCTATTCTCTTCCTTGCACACTATGTCATTTCGTACTAAAAATATTTAATTGCTTCTGCATAGGAGGCATGGCTATTGCATCGTTATCACCTTGGAAAATGCGCCTGGTGTGGCACAGTCATGTAACTAAGGGATAACGTATTTCCCTAGTAAACCGGCCACCCGTAATCACCGTACAAAATAGCCATTTTGACCACCCTGTAAACTCCACAAATTTATATATAAATAGTACTTCAAAAAGGTTCTATATAATATTTATATAATCTTGTTCTATATATTAGATTTTTGATAGAATCTATCAAGTCAATTTTAAAAAATAAGAAACTACACTAGTAATTATGGTATTTTTCAATACAGAAGGGTTCTTAATATTTTTAAAACCTTTTAAAGCTAGAAATATATTCTTTTATATATATTACAGTATATATTCAATTTATAGATATAGTTTATATATAAAATTGTGGGATTTCTAGGGGGGTAAAAAATGTTATTTTGAATGGAGATTGCGGGTGGCCGGTTTACTAGGGAAATACGTTAACACTGCCTCCTTTATCACGCTAACACCTGCACTAATGCACTACGCCACGATTAGACCACATAGAACTAAATTAGCATGCATTCTGTTATTCTGTTCTATTAAAGTATTTGATACCAACTACTCTGCATACCTTGGTAGCATTGCTCTACAAGGATCTCATTGGGGGCTAAAAATAGAAACAATGCATCACACCATGACACGCATAGATAATGATAACAGTATCCATCCATCACTTGCTGTTTTCTATCATGCTTTGCGACCTGGATTAACCAATTAGTCCGCAAACAAGCATTAGATGGTTATCCAACTGATACTAAGCTGCTTTTACCTTATTCAATTCAGATTTGGTGCACATTAAGCTACTACTGAAATAGAGTCTTGGATTGCGACTACTCAAGCTTGCTAACCGACATAGGAAAATAACGAACACTGGTTGCTTCTCAGATACATATCAGTTTTAAACCCTAGCGTTTCCTCCCCTGTCTGTAGATGTAGCACGGCATGCACATCATTCTTTCCATCGGTATCTTCATTTCGCTTCGAAGATATTATTCACAGCTTTCTTGCACATAGACAGAAGCATTGTACTCTGACAGGACAGTTGAAGGGCCCAGGCAATGACCACACCTGTATTTGCCTAGGAATTACACTATGTACCGGGAGATGTCCCCCATTCATTCAGAATAAATCCGGTGAAAATTTATGTCTAAACAAAAACCAAACATGGCCTTTTGATCTCTCTTATTTGATCAACTAACATACAACAACGACGGATCCTTACAAAGGGCTCGACACAAAGTTGCGGTCCAGGAACTCTATTGAAACGCGGCTGTTCGCCAACAATAGCAAGAGCCAGAGCTCATCTCAACGGGGCATCGACACAGACGGGCCGAACCTTAAAAATCTTCGACTCTTGATTTGACTACATCGCGAGGATGAAAATCATATGCAATCACGAAATATGAGCTTGTATTCTGACAAGAACTTGGTTATTATAATTCAGTAACCATCTTCTCTGAATGGTATTAGCTCCGGCCTAGTATCATGTAAATTAGTTTCGTAACAAGGCATTTTTATGTCTATGATCGCCGGCGAATCATAGGTTGTCAAAGGTTCCGGAATTCATGCATTGCTAGTAGTAGGACAGAAAGGATATACTATTATTACTATTAGCGTAGTGTGGCGGAGTCGTTAGAAGGATGTCTGAGCCACATCAGGCTGATATTCTCATATTACATAGTACCATTGAAAGTCAAAAGGAACAAGATCCCCAGCACTGTCAGTAAAATTCGGTGATGAATACGGAGTAGCATCCTGTGACTTTCGCCAAATGCCTCTCTCGAAGGAAAACCGACGGATATTTGAACAACGCCGTAGAGAGTATGGCATCGTATTTATTGACTCTCTTCACCACAGAAATGGCCCGCGGCCCATGCCGAGGTGTTCACTGCAATTGCAAAAATACAGGCCAATATGATGCCATGCACGACGAAGAGGCAGTAACCCCCTGGAAAGGCCAGGCGAAAAGGCACACGAGAAAGCTCATCGAAAAAGCGCAACTATGCGTCGCAAGAAATGAATCCACCTGGCGTTTCGCTTGTGAGCCGTTGGTAATTAGTCGTTTGAGCTCCGAAGTGGCATGGTAAGTAAGGTTTGCTTCCCGAAATTCACTATCCAAGATTAGGAGATGTATTAGATGCAAATCACACTGACGACCGTGTTCATGAACAGCAAAACTTGCCGCCAACGAGTGTGGCGCTCGGAAATCGAGGCCGTGCTACACCATGAGAACTCAGCAGCTCAAAATCTTATATGATATATATCACGTGACTAATCATGCTTCCATTGCTGCAAAACGATGAACTATCAACAAGAACAGTAATTGTTAACTGGGTAGAATATGCGATTTTTTGAAAGCTGCTCGAGATCTAGTATCTTGGAAGAGACAGTTTTCAGGAGGCTCTTGAGCCCAAAGTTACTTTACTTGCGGAAAGACCCCAAGTATAGAGCTAGAAGGAACTTTGTTGATGGAGAAAGATGACAGTAATATGAAATTACAACTCAATTTAATAATTGTCATTCTCAAACCCCCTAATATCGAATGCGTTTCCCCATCATGGTCACTAGTTGAATCCGAGAAACCCGTTCATAGCCACACATGCCACTGACGAGACCTAACTCGCGATCATTTTCGCAGCTCGGAAGATTATGTGGAACACCATGATCAACATCTTCATACGTTATGTCATAAAATTCCTCTAGCTCCATTGTCTTGCGAAAAAGCATCGTTGCTACTGATGAGACCGTTCCCCCATTCTGGAGAAAATTGCGACTGTGATTAGGCCATACATTTGCATTTCGCACCAGGAGAAGAATATTCGCCTCTGTAGGAAGCATGTTCTTCCTGAGGCATGAAACAATATGTTTCCATATCATAGAAAACCCTATGATCATATCCTTATTCACTGCGAAACTTTGAATGATATGCTCTGGCAAGTATCTAAACACGTCTTTGTTTTCCTCGCACCAGGCCGGGCCATCCAGTGAAACTCCATCTGTGTAGATGGAGTCAAAGGTTATTTCTGCAGTAAATATGAGCCTGTCATGCAATCGAGGACTGAGGAAGCCGCCCAGGCAACTCCCACAGGTGCATCCAAACTTCAAACGTGAGATTTCGGCTTCTGACAGGCGTTCTGGTGTAAGTCCCTTTAGCAAAGCAAAGCAAAATATCGTAGCTTGATCATATCCTGAAAATCGATCAGATATATCGGTACGTTTAGCCATGTACTGGTCGATTCTTCGATTTTTGTTCATTGACTCTTCCATAGCATCGAGTGGTGTGCTTCCGTCAGCATTCAATGCATGGCATAGTTTCGGGTTGCTGAACATTAGCCATCGTGTGCACTCTATCTTTGACGAGCATGAGACAAGGTGAAGAAGGGTGTCTCCGTTATCGTTCCTAGCTTCCCATGTGATATCATCAAGATGTATGTCAACGAATATATCTTTTAGCCGTCTGAGACATTCTGTATCATCAATTGTCGGAAGTGCCATGGCTAAACTGTTCATTTCCAACGTGAAAGAAGAGGGCTTAAAGGAAGGCAAATCAAAATCCTGCTCTGGGTCTATTTGGTGACTTGGATGATTTCGATCCGGGGTATAACCAAGCCAGCGCGAGGAACCGATTCTTCTAAAACCAAGTCTTCTCCAGAATTGAAGAGCATTATTCAAGAGTAATTTCTCAGATTTCCCATCGTCTGAGTCATTATGGGACTTCTCCTCGTGATCGACTTCACTAACAGTCATTTCAGGAGAGGTTACTGCAAAGAATCCCCGGCTCTTTTTCACCGTTAGCTCCAGGATTGCGTGGGCTAACTTTGAACATATTTCTTTACGTCGATTGCATCGACGTACTCGAATATCTTCAATGAGAAGTATATCCCCGTAATTGAGCTCGTCTTTCCAGATCCCGGAGCCGCGCTTGATCGGGTGTTCCTTGAACTTGGGTTGTAAACAGCCAAATCGATCAAAGAGCTCAAATGCCAGATCGGCCAGTTCCTGCTCTGGTTCTTCCATGTCATCCCAGAAAGTATCCGCAATCCGGTCCCTTCGAATCAGATAGGCCTTGCAGTCCGCAATTCGTGTTTCCTGCGAACGACGGTCTCGTTGAAATCTAACTTCCCCATGGATCATTTCCAACCAACTGAAGTTCGGATAAGGATCTACATAATCTTCCCAGTCTGGGATCTGAATCTCTAGATCGGATGTCAAACTTTCGCAATCAGTATCAGAGCGTTGATCTGCTAATATTTCCTCTCGCAGATCCTCGTCAATATCCATCGCGGTCGCCATCGTTAATGTGTAGTTTGGCGAAGACCTGGTCGAAGCATGCCGACGGGGGTCCCATCGGTCAGCCTTAGAAGGCGAAAAAAGCTTCAAGTGCACTTTTATTTGTACTGCGGTGCCATTTTTCTTTTCGGTCCCGGTCCTTCTATTGTGTTTCGTTTTATCGAATCTTCCTGGCTGTTTCCTTGAGCGTTCTCGTGCGAGCATGCTTAATGAGACTGTTTCGAATACGTATGGTATAATAAAGCTGATTAAAAATCAGGTTTCCGAAATTTCGAAGCGTTAAGAATTCACTCAAGCGCCTTTAGGTTTTTATTTTTATAATCATTGTCCTAAGCGCCGTTTTTCCTCATTTGGCCATCTCATGTGGCGCAGACAGTAGGCTTAGCATGGTAAATGCGCCTTGCTGACTGGTTTCAGCCTTGCTACAGAACCGTCCCCTTTCCCTCTTTCGTCTCTGTCTATATACTCTTTGCTTAAGTTTTTATTATTACCACGCTTTTCTTTTTCCCTAATTATCGTGTCGACCGTGACGGACCCAATTCCTACCGCATGAATAAAAGTGATCGGGAGACGTGGATATGGACATCCCCATGACTGAAGCCGACCGGACAGCGGCCATCGACCAGCTTCGAAAGAATGTTTTAAGTCGTACATCCCTCACTTTTCTCCCTCGTCGTCAAGATCATTTTATGGAAGATTATTCTAATCTTCCGGGAGCAAAAAGCATGTCTATTCGTAATCGAATCAAACTTATTTCCGATAATTACAGGAGGAAGTTTCTCAGACGTGTTGAGACTGTAGTCCAGCATTCCCGGCAGGCTGAGTTAGATCATTTCTCAGAATTCAACTGGGAAGCCGACGCCTGGAGAGATATTTTTGGTAGACTACGAGATGATGAACGACTCCGCATGTAAGTATCAGATTAGCTTCCGGGTTCCCTCGACAATAACGTGGCGGCTTATCTTTCTTTATCTCAGGGATAAGCGCGAATACAATTACAAGGCGACTATCCTCGATAATGTGCAGACTGAAATGAGTCAAGATACCAAATTGATATATATGGGGAAAAGAATTCCGGACATCACTTTTGGTCTATCCGTGTACGAGTCTGGAGACCCAGAAGATGAGGGTGTTGATGAGCGGGAAAGAAGGATTCGAAGATCCCTTCAGAAAACTCGACTGGGCAATAATATCTGGAAACTCGATGGATTATCTTTGGTCACTGATCCAAAATGGGGTGAACATACTCTTCTTTTCCCATTTGCAGTATACGAAGCCAAGAAGGATCAAAAGTCCGAAGTTCAGGTTAAGCTACAACTGAAGCTTGCATTCAATACCTATCTTGAAATGTTAGACAACCTAGTTCGCCAACCTGGAGAAAAGGAGTACCAATCGTCTGAAAGCAGCATATTTCCCATATTTGGCTTTACTTCCAGCGGCAGTATGTGGAAGATGTATATTGGTTATCTGCCTAATTGCGTTCAAAATGATCCGGATGCGGCCGATGATCCTCTTTGTGATGATGATAGCGTGAGTTAAAATTCAAGACTTTGATATGTCATCATTCCGGCACTGATTTTATCTTTGGTCCTTAGCATATGAAGTTGATATGGTGGGGGGACACGTGTAGTCGCCAACATGCCGGCGAGCTCATTGACATAGTTGACCAAATACATGAATATGCAGTGACTACGCACCGACCATTCGTGGCCAGCCATATCAAAGAGTGGAAAAAATTCATAGAGCGCCTCTATCTTCAATTGAGGATGTCCGGTGATTTAGATCTAGCTGTATCGGGGAAAGATGTGGAACCCGGCTGGTATTCGATAAAGAGCAACGGGATGGGGGTACGCAAATTACTGAAAGCCAAGCGCAAAAAGGGTATGGTACTCACAGATGATGATTTGAAGCGGTCAGTTCTCGAGGCAGGCTTGAATGAAGCCGAGAATACCAAGACTGGAGGGTCTCCCAGACGACGAGGAAGACCAAGGAAGGTGCAGAAAAGAAATGAACAAGCAGTGGCATAGCCGAGTTGATTAATCCATCCTTTAGTTCGTTGGGTAGATTCCAAGGGTTTCATAATCAGCTTTCGATGGTTGACTGCTTAGTTTCCAGCGTTACAATAGGAACCTCACTATAGCCTGCTCACTATCATCGTATGAAACCTAGGTCTACGTTGTCTAACCCTAAGCCGTGCCGGAATCTTCAAGCAAATATCCCTGATTGGTAATATTAAGTAGAATTTGGTGGTATGTATATAAGAAAAAATATAGCCAGCCATTGCTTTGGAGAACGGGAACAGAAGTGGTAGGTCGATAAATGCCGATGTTGCCGCGTAAATGGTTTTTCTGCTTTTGTATGTGTGATATGCGATATAAAACACTTTGCATTTTCTGTTTCACACTAATACTAGATCGTAGTAGAATTTTGATTCAATAATGCCTGTGATCCGAGCGTATATGCAGTCTGCTTTCAGTAGGTGAGTATTCGAATGGTGGAAAATCCACGGGGCTATGTCGGAGTAAACGAGGACCGGTATCACTTGCATAAAAAAAAAAAAAAAAAAAAAAAAAAAATAGAGGCTTATCCGATTTGTGAAAAAACTGGACATTATTATTTTGCATATGTACTTTTCCCAGTATGTGGGTGTTGGCTGTTATACGAATCGAAAACGTGACTTTGCACGGTTGTATGTTTCAAACAACCAGACAACGTCAACTCGACAACTGCATTGGCTGACAACTCACCTGAGCGCCAGCATTCCATGATACCCGAATAACTCTTGGCCGCATGTAGAAAACACGGAATCAACCTTTCAACGCCTTTTGTTTTTCTGGTAGCAAATAACGTGTGATCATGACGTCATGGACTGATGCTTCTGCACCACAACTATATAAACTAGATCAATAATCAAGATGTCTGTTTATTGTCCATAACCCAAAGACAAAAACTGATACCACTCGTTTCCTGCGCAATATTAGGACACATAAACCATCATGTCGATCCCAGAGCTTCAGTGGGCTCAGGTTGCCGAGAAAACGGGCGGGCCTCTGGTATATAAACAGATACCTGTTCCTAAACCAGGCCCTGACGAAGTTCTGGTCAACATAAAATATTCCGGTGTTTGCCATACCGACCTGCACGCCCTGAAGGGTGACTGGCCATTGCCTACCAAGTCGCATTTGGTAGGTGGGCATGAAGGCGCTGGGGTTGTTGTCGCCAAGGGTGAATTGGTAAAGGAGTTCGAAATTGGAGACCACGCCGGTATTAAATGGATTAATGGAACTTGCCTTGCATGCGAATTTTGCAAAAACGCCGACGAATCTGTTTGCCCGGATGCTTTACTCTCAGGGTATACCGTCGATGGAACTTTCCAACAGTATACCATTGGGAAAGCTGCCCACGCCACAAAGATCCCTAAAGGCCTAGCTTTGGATGCTGTTGCTCCGGTCCTGTGTGCTGGTGTCACCGTCTACAAGGGACTCAAAGAGTCTGGGGCGCGTCCAGGACAGACGATAGCAATCACCGGAGGTGGTGGGGGATTGGGATCCCTCGCCATACAGTATGCAAAAGCAATGGGCCTGCGGGTAATTGTCATCGATAGTGGAGATGAAAAGAAGATGATGTGTGAAAGTCTTGGTGCTGAGGTAAGCAATTGCTTGGTTTTTTTGTTTTACATGATGGTCGGCACAAGTATCCTGACTAAATGGATGACAGGCATTCGTCGATTTCTCAAAGTCGAAAGACGTTGTTCAAGATGTCAAGGCGGCAACTCCTGGCGGGCTAGGCGCCCATGCTGTTCTTCTGCTCGCTGTCGCCGAGAAGCCATTCCAACAAGCTACCGAATACGTTAGGCCACGAGGGTCCGTTGTCGCGATTGGTCTCCCAGCTGGCGCATTTCTGCGAGCGTCTGTTTTCAGCACCGTTGTGCGGATGATAAACATCAAAGGCAGCTACGTCGGTACGCGCCTGGATAGCGAAGAAGCTGTGGACTTTTTTGCAAGAGGCTTGATAAAGGCTCCGTTCAAAACGGCTCCTCTGAAAGAGCTTCCTCAAATTTTTGAACTAATGGGTATGTCAATCCAACGTCTTTTCTTGAGTATGCTTCTGACAGGACGTAAACAGAACAGGGCAAAATCGCTGGAAGATATGTGCTCGAGATACCCGAGTAGCCAGTGGTGGCTCAGGAAGCGTGATACTTGCAAACGGTTTTACTGTTCGAACCGTCGTTGGGAGGAACAGAATTGGGCGCATAAGCACTGCCCAAAAGACGAGATGACGCTCTAGTTAGTGAAATTTTGTAGTTAATGTAGTTTCTAATCTTGTTAAATATTTAGTATGGCGATAGATCACGTGCCCGCCCCCAAAGTGCTTGAGACTTGATTGGCTGGAATAAGCTTTTGCCACGTGACGCGCGGCATCTCATTGGTCCACTGGAGTAGAACGTGGCCCGTGGGGAAACTTGAACGTGGTGCGACGCATGCGAACTAATCCGCATTTGGGGAAAAGGACACTGGGGAAGCTGCGCTCGGAGCTCTGAACTTTTGCTCACGGAGTCACTCCCCTCTTTTATCTCCGCTCAATGACTTCTTGCATAGATAGCAGGAGTCTGTAATCCGCTGTGGCACATTGAGCGGCAGAGGAGCCACTTCTCAGCAGAATCACGACTGTCATCATGTCGTCGACTTCAACAACCAGTGTCGCACAGGCGGGCATTTTGAGTGGCAAAAATCCGGCTGTGTACGACTCTAGCAATCCGATTTTGATGTTTATTATCCAGGTTTGTTGTTGTATTCCGAGCGAGTGCGACGCGGGTGCGATGCATGACTAACTGCGCGTTTTCACAAGGCCGGCATTATCATAATCTTTTGTCGTCTTCTGCACTGGCCGCTGTCCAAAATCCGTCAGCCTCGAGTTATCGCTGAAATTATTGGGGGGATTTTGCTCGGCCCATCGGTGTTCGGTCACATACCCAACTTCACAGACACCATCTTTCCATCAGCTTCAATCCCAACCCTAAATGCTGTAGCCAACTTGGGACTCGTGTTTTTCTTGTTTTTAGTTGGCTTGGAGACAGATCTGAGATACCTGGTGAGTAACTGGCGCATCGCAGCCAGCGTTTCAATCGCAGGTATGGCCTTGCCTTTTGGGCTCGGATGTGCAATTTCGTACGGCCTGTACAACCAATTTCGCAATGACGCCGGCATCGTGCATGTGGATTTTGGGATCTATCTACTTTTCATCGGTATTGCCATGGCTATTACGGTAAAACGGCACGAGACAGACTACAAGCTGCAAATACAGATATGACTAACAAATCTCAGGCTTTTCCCGTTCTCTGCCGCATTCTGACAGAGTTGAAGCTGCTTCATACGAATGTTGGTGTTATTGTGCTTTCTGCTGGCGTTGGAAACGACGTCACCGGTTGGATACTACTTGCGTTATGCATAGCACTTGTTAATGCGGGCAGCGGAATCACAGCATTATGGGTGCTATTAGTTGCTGTCGGCTACATATTGTTCCTTTTTTGTGTACTGCGCCCTGTCTTTATATGGTATCTCTGCAGGACTGGTAATCTAGAAGAGAAGGGCCCCAGTCAATCTGCCGTGACAGTGACACTGCTGTTGGTAATGGCATCCGCATTTTTCACTCAGGCTATCGGCATCCATGCCATTTTTGGCGGGTTTGCTATTGGGCTAGTCTGTCCGCATGAGAGAGGATTCGCCATCAAGCTGACAGAAAAAGTGGAAGATTTAGTCGCAGGTATTTTTCTGCCTTTGTACTTTGCTCTTTCCGGTCTTCAAACAAACCTGGGCCTTTTGGATACAGCAATAGTATGGGGTTACGTGATCGGAATCATTGCTATTGCTTTCTTTGCAAAGGTGGCTGGTGGCACCCTTGCTGCTAGATTTACAGGTCTACTATGGCGCGAAAGTTTTACAGTTGGGGTATTGATGAGTTGCAAGGGTCTGGTTGAGCTCATCGTTTTGGTAAAAATCGCTACATCTTGACAAACATGAGGACAATAGTCTAATTAACCTATAGAACATCGGTCTAAATGCGAAAATTCTCAGTCAACGCACATTCACCATGTTTGTCCTGATGGCCCTTGTGACAACTTTCCTGACAACGCCGCTTACCTTGTTATTGTATCCTAAATGGTATCAAGACAAGGTTTCGCGCTGGAGACGGGGCGAAATCGACTGGGATGGCAATGTCATAGATCAAGCACCTTCAAGTGGATCCTATGATGGAGCAAACAAACCATCACTGAGACCAATTGAAAAATTAACTGTCTATCTCCGCCTTGACAGTGTGGCCAATGTCTGTACTTTCATTGGGCTTCTTGGAACTGATGGCAAACCAAGTGAGAGTACTCCCCGCGAACATTATTCAAAGCGAACAGAGCCCAAAGTCGAAGACCAACACGACGCCGGGGAAATCGGAAAACTGCCACTTTTGCATGCCCACGGGATTCGTCTCATGGAGCTTACTGATCGTCTGTCCAGTACAATGCAAGTCTCCGAGATAGAAGATTATTCTTTCTGGGACCCAGTTGTAAACGTCTTCCGCTCATTTGGTCAAATAAACAACATTCCATCAGAAGGCCGTGTCTCGGTTATCCCAGAAACTTCATATGCGGATGCAGTGCTTGATTTGGCTCGTGATACCAACTCAAACCTGCTTCTTGTTCCTTGGAGTGCCAGTGGTGGCCTGAGTGATCGCCAAAGTGTATGGCCGTCCGAGAATTCGTCAACTACTACTGATTTCCCCTATTCCTTATTTGTGTCCGATATTTTGCGAGGTATCACCTCCTCAGCACAGTCCGGCACGCATGTTGGTGTTTTGGTTGACCGAGCCCTGGACATGCCGAGCCAGGAACGCCATGCCCTTAAGCGAAGTGCTCACACAAGGTCTCTGCCAAATATCCGAACAAATTTGGCTTCTTTGACTACTGGAAATCGTAACCAGCATATTCTGTTTCTTTATATTGGCGGTGCGGATGATCGGTTTGCTCTCCGTCTGGTCCTTCAGCTTGCTCGAAATCAACTGGTTACGGCAACGATTGTGCAAATTGACGTCCCTTACTCAGCAAACTCTTCAAATTCGACAGAAATTAGTGACAGGGATCCCCAGAGCTCTACGAATTCGGACAGTTTGCTCAAGGAGAAAGAGATAGACAACAGCTTCTTCACCTCTATGCGGGATTCTCTTTCTTCAGAATCATCTTCTCGTGTTGTCTTCCGCACGGTATCATCGGTAGATTCAAGTTCCAGCGTAGTCAAGCTTGCACTCGAAACTGCCAATAACGAAGCCAGCCAAGCCCATGGCGAGACCAACCTACTCATTGTTGTTGGGCGCCGCAACACAGGAAGCGATCCATCTTCAACTGACCTTGGAGACAGATCAGATACCCGTTCAGTGCTTGGCGTAGTTGGCGATGCTGTGGTTCACGACGGTCCCAAAGCTAGTGTTTTGGTTGTGCAAGTAGCGGGGAGTACATAATAGTATTGAGATCTCTGTATATACGATGATATATTTTCAATGATGATTTAGTTGGAATAAGATTCTGAGTACATATGTTAACCAGCATTATACTTTATAAAATCTCCTAGAATACGTGGGAGTTCTATTTTCTCTAAAGGCCTGAACCTATTAAGCCAACCAACAGAATATTATATCATGCAAAGAATGCATTATCGACGAAGATACCACAGCAGCCACCTCCTTCCCGATTCAAGTACAGAATTTGGGGCTTACTAAGGAAGACTTAGGAACAGGTCCTTCAGCTTATTGAAATTTGGAGAGCCGAGACCAGTGGCAGGGTCCCAGCCGTCAGCAGCTTCGAACCCATGTTCTGTATCACAGCCCAAGTTGGTACCGTTCGTGATGTCGTTCAACACCCACGGGTTAGCGTACAAAACCGGGTTAAGGAAACCAACGGTTGATTTTCCTACTGCGAGGCGCTCTTCGTTGAGCTTTTAATGCGAGTTAGTTACGCCCTAACCAGAAATAACTAAAACGAAAACGAAGAAACGAAGGACAGGGTATGGACTCACGAGAGTGATAACCGAAGCCCACAATGGACTCGCCAAACTTGAACCAAAGAAATGCACAAATTCTGCATCCAAGAAAGACGGGAAATAAGCTCCATTGGCAGCCACGTCGGGAATTCCACGGCCAATACGATTGTACAGACCCTGGGTCGTGTTGACATCAACGTTCAGTTCCTCATAGTATGGATAAGAAGGATTTGCAACCCGGAAGTATTCTTCAACAGCTTCCTCCTGGTACCAAGGCCTGGCGAAGTAGTTTGAGAATCCACCTGCAGAGGAGAAATTGGCTGCAGTGCCACCCAAGTTAGCGCACATCACACTCTCTGGATCCGTGACATCCTGGCCTGGGTAAAGCATTGTACCGCCGACAGACGTCACATAGGGACATCCAGATGGGTATTGCGGGTTAAAGATGCGGGCGTCTGGTCCCAGACAGCCGTTTGCGTTGGGCCCATCGTTGGCGAAGGAGGCGACGCCATAGTCACCGGCAGCAAACAAAAGCGTGTGGCCCTGTAAGCCTAGTTTCAAGAATTCGTTGCATTGGCGTTCGACGTATTTCATTGGAAGGTCCTGTTCACTCTGTCCATACGATGCCGAAATAACATTGGTGGGTTGGTAAACACCACACTGCAGCTGACCTGGTTTTCAAATTAGATGCGTGAACCTAACGGGTGCTGACCAAGTTCCTGATAATGGATTTGTATTTACCTTGATATCCACCTGCTTCGTCGTCGGGATACACAGGGTCGATAGAAGGATCATCGCCAGTTTCACCGTAAGCACTGTATGTGCAGTAGGACTTGTTGCGAAATTAGCCAAAGACAAATTCGACAAAAAGGTAGGAATGTAATCCAATGCAATAAAATGTATACATACCCCATCCAAGGCATCCAGGAAGGTGTTGAATAAGTTGGTAGTAGCAACTTCTGCAGGCTCGTACAGCTGATCGTCGACCTGGTAAAGCACAACCTCCTGTGGGTAAATCAAAGAAAACCTATGTTCAAGAGAAAGTAAGATTCTGCAGCACTAGATCTACTCTTGTTGTCAACAGACAAAGTTTGGGGTGATTAGAACGTACGCCATCTCTATGTCAATGTTTGATTCTCCCCCATTCAAAGAGCTGTATGCTGGCACGGAGTAATTGGCACCATCAATCAGCTGGGGCTTCGGGTAAGTGCCCTCAGGAACCTCATTGTAGATGTATTTCCAGTAGAGGTCTAGATCAGACTTGGCAAAGTAGTCTCCCTGCTCGTAGAGACCGAGGGCATTGCCTGGGTTCGGCTTATTGGTTGGCAAGGGAATATCATACAATGCCCGGATGCATGGAGGTGTCATATTGTAGCTGCAGCTTGCAAGATCAGAGCTTGGTGAGCCGCCAGGATGGTTATGTCCTGCCGGGTTGCCCCAATGAGCTGGTGCATAAGCTGAGGTGCGAGAAGAATAGGCGTTGCTTGCTCTCTTCTCTTTTTTCACAGTGCGCTTGACTGCTTGGGTCATCTTGATTCCCGGTGTGATATAGTCGACGTGCGGTGCAATATGTTCAGGGAGATGGTATCTGTGAATGTGCTTAGTAACCTTCTGTTTTGGTCAAGTGACCGTAGCCTAAGAAACAACAAGAAGAAAGCATATCAACCTACTCATCGCAACCTACACGAACTCGATCACTCTGAGCGTGCTCGTGTTCATAATACGTGGTCTGGAACAGACGTTCGGCTTCCTCGGTGGTCGCATCAAACGCCAGCCAGCCCTTGTTATCGGAGTGGACGATTCGCGACTTATCAATGCCTGCCTCGTGCAGCCAATGTCTAATAGAGTTGACATTTTCCTCCGCCGGGGCAAACAAGTCATGCACTTCTTCCATTGAGAAATGCTTGCCATATCTTTCGGAGGCCGGGTCCGATCTGTAGTCCGCATATACGAATGTATCAGTTTGCGCGGTTCACACCAATAAATGAAGGGCCAAAGAACAAATAGCGTCAAGTCGCAAGTCCTAGGGTTCACCATGTACTTACACCATCTCTGATCCATGGTCAGTTATACATCGGAGACAACAGTCAAGGGCGGAATATACATCACATACTTAGGTATTCAGGTCCCTGATGCAGGTTTGACTGCGTCAATCCAATTCGGATCGGCAAAATTGCGGACCCTTCGATGCGCGTACCCTTCACCCAATCGGTCGCCGGCTGCTTGCGCTTTTCATGAAGAACATGTCTGGAGGACGACGGCGCGGCGACTGCGAGAGCCGTCAGCGCAGAGACGCTGGCAATTTTCAAGAAGAACATGGCGTGAAGTGCTGGATTCTGCCCTCTTCTTTTGCTGCTTCCTGCCCCTTGAAGTTAGCCTTCGTGTTCCTGGGTGACAGCGGGTTTTAGTACCCTCAACCCTTGCTGGCTCGAGCTTTGTCTCACGCCCCTATCTCGTCTCCAGAGATAAACACCACTGATCTGTCTGTCCATGGAGCGCAGGGCCGGGGCCCGTTTCATATTACACGATAATGATTATCTTATTTCACTGGGGTTCTTATCAGTGGTAAAATTATCGTCCTGTCCTTCCGGGGTGTGTTTGGCAGCAATTTACGGCACCCTTTCCTGATGATGTTACATGGCGCTCGGAGCTGTGAAGCTTATCGGTGCCTGATTTACCTGTCTCCACAAAATTTACACTCTGCTTCTCCCTCGGCCAGTCCTGATTGCCGGAGTTTGACGGAACACCGTTATGTTTTAGGCAGGTCATCGCCTAAAATTGGGCGCCCTACAACCTAGCGTTAACTTAGACCTCGTACAGAGATGATGTGCTCCGTACCTTGGCGACAGCCGAGGAAGTTCCTGTCCTTATAGAAACTTTGATCACAAGTTGCGTCTGACTACAAATGTCGCCATAGGCCGACTAATTGTTGTCCCACTAATCTTCCGCGACAAGAGAGAAGCGCGTAGCGGATATGTATACATATGCCATCCATAGGGCGCAACTAGTTGGTGGATCTACGCAAGACTAGACGAGATAGGCAAATACGACAGCAGATGTAAGCACGTCCACAGGAGAACTAAGGCATCTTACATGCGTCTGACTTGCGTCAGCTACTGCTGACAGTGAGGAAAAGTAATCATAATGAACCAAAATTCTGGAATATGAAGACGTATAAGTAAACCCGAAATACCGCCCGCACCCCTGCCTGTTCAGGGGAACCACTGCATTGTTTGCTACCATCCATTTCGACCTCAACAACCTTATTAGTACGTCAAAAAAAAAAAAAAAAAAAAAAAGGAAAAGAAAAAACTACCATGGCTTCAGTGAATCCGTCTGTGCAACAGATTTCTCTGTCGCTGAGTCGCGAGTGCAATGCCATCGCATCCGCCACATCCGCGAGCAACAGTCGCCTTCTACGGGATCTAGAAACAGTGCGCGACTACGTTGTCCCGGTGTTTGCGCCAGCTAAAGTACCAATACCGCTCGACCAACGACTGTCACCTTTCAATGTCTGCATTACCAAGGAGTTTGCGCATGACCTTGAATCTCTGCATCGCCTACTTGACAGAGCTCTGGTCGACATTGTACAGCGATGGTTTGCTGACAAACAATCGGATTTCCCGTCTCGCATGCCTCTGGAAAAGCATGAGGAAGATTTGCTTCAGTGGATTAGCACCCAGGAACAATTGTCGTCTAACATAGTGCCGAAATTCAGCGAACGGTCAGGCATGTGGCGAACGGATTTCTTGATTGAAGGGCAAACGGGTCAGGAAAAGACGAAAATTTGTGAGATTAATGCCCGCATTCCTTTCAACGGACTTTATATGTCAGGCTTGCATCAGGAAGCCACAAAGCCTTTTGGAGCGGCAACTCGAGGTTTCGATATACCTACCGATTTTCAGGTGCTACCCCCTCCCTTTCATTTCACTTCTATTTCTTCACCACAATGGGCTGAAGCTGAGATACTTTGTAACATGCAGAACACAAAGGAGACGATTATGAACTGCTTCAACCGGAGCAAGCCGCTTTACCATATCCACAAGAAGTGGCCGGGAGTTGACTCTCGTCTGTTTGCCTTGACTTACAAAGAAGCAACCGGCAAGGACGTGGTAGACATTCAGCCATCCCAGCTGCAGGTGGAACAAGACAGCAGTTCCCCTACGGGTTGGACCTTGTATGCAAAGCTCCAAAACGCCGATGGAGAGAGTCGGGCCAAAATAGATCAGTGCGCAGTGGAGCTTTTCCAGGAAGAAATCGGCGAGATTGATCCCTTGGTCTTGAAACAGTTGGCATCATGCAGTGTTAATGACTTCCGTACTATCTTATTATTACACGACAAGAGAATTCTAGGCGTTGTCCAGCAAGAGATACCCAACTTAATAGACCGAAATGTGCTTTCGGCAGTGGAGGGAATGGCTCTTCGCAACGGTATAGCCGAAACCGTAATACCGGGATCGAGTGAGGCTAGGCGGTTACTTGAAGACGCTAAGCAAGACCCCCTAGCCAAAAATCAGTATATTATTAAACCGGTACGCGATGCATCTTGTAACGGCATACGGTTCGGTGAGCAGATGGATCAGGATGACTGGCTGTCGTTCTTAGAGCGGATGGCGAGCCGAGCCCTTTATCCGGCTAGTGATGATGATGCATGTGTCATCCAAAGACTAGTTGATCATGCAAGGTACGACATAGTGCGCCATGATGTGGACGTCGCCAAGACAGAGCAGTTCCATCTGATCGGCTCTTGTCATATGATTAACTCGCAGACGTTCGTCTTTGGGCCCTGGAGGATCGGCGACAAGGTGCATGTTGGCCTAGCCCCGGGGGCCGGGGGTATCGTGATGAGCTGCGTCTTACGGCCAGCTGATCTGAATAATCTGGATGGCAGGAAGGAGGAATGACTGTGGATGGCTGGATAAGGTCTTGGTATGCATAAGTATGGTAGCACTAGCTGTGGGAATTATTAATCTGCAACCAATTTGTTGTCCAAACATGTCCAAACATGTCCAAGCACCAGCATTATATAGATCTGTCCCGGTTTTCTTTTATCTCCCAAGCGGAGTGACTCCGAGCTAGGCCTTCTGTCGGACCTGAAACCACTCTAGTGCCTGATACACGTTGATATATACATACATACCCCTGGATCTCTTTGTGTTGGTTGTACATTGCAGCTATAGTCGGCCGCCGCACGAGCAGTTTTCAAACATAGACTCTAATTTTTATTCTGTTTGGTTGACCATCGCACATGCATCAGAGACAGTGCATGAAATTTGCCCTACATTCTTGGATATAACCATGCTACGCATACATCGTACGTAACAGAGGAGTAGCAAACCTATCCAACTCGCTCTACAAGGAGAAGCAAGATCACATTGCTATCTATATAACACCGGACACTAGTACCAAAAGCTACATACTTACGCACAAAGTTGCTGCTTGAAAGTCATGATAATGAATACCTCTAAGTTTTAGTAAGGGCCATCATAGATATATATCTCCCTAAGCCCATACCAAAGCATATCAAATTATGATGCTGAGAAAAATTGATACGATCGGTGAGCTTAGAAAATCAGAATTAAGCTTTCCTCTTTATTATTAGTCAAATGCCTTATTAACATGATTTAGAAGTGGGGAATTTTACTTGCATTCTACATCTCATTGGATGTGATTCCATGTTCAAATTGTACCCAGCAATCCCAACGCATTGTTCGTTAGCTCCTCATTTTAGGCATAGATAATTTTCCCGATACAAACAGACAGGTATGCCACGTCATTGAAATATGAATCAGAAGGAGAAGCCGGGAGACTTGTCTTCCCATGTATGAGTTGCACACAAGTCTTACGCCAAAAACGCATCTAAACAGTAGCCGATGCATGGTAGCTCTACAAACAGATCTTGATTATTGGACAAGCTTGGAATACTGTCTATGACCTGCTAGTGCCGGTTTTTCTCCTTTCTCATCATTAGACGCATGGCTGGGACCATCCTGCAATTTACGGCGGGGGAAAACAATCAGGTATTGGCTCAGTGGAAAGAAATGCATGTAACTACCTAGGTAATCTTTGAGCTTCCTGGTCTACGGAACTAATATGAGTCTCTGTCCTACAACTGACTAGATGCAGGATAAACACACTTTCAAGAATCATTGCCTTACATTTCAATATAAAATACATTTCAGTCAACATCACATTTACCCCTCGGCGAGCCAAATAACTCCAAGCCCGCAGATTTAACCGCATTATGCTATTAGCATAAATTTTTCCGCGAAAACTGGGGGCGGGGCTGAGGGGGGACAGTGTGGTCTAGGTTTTCAGTTATGCACCGCTCAGAGGCAATTTAAGGACAAAATGAAAGAGGAGAGTCTAGGACTCAATGCAGTGTTGTATGCAGGCCAGCCACCGCGTCGATATGCAGAAACGTATGGATTCCGGGACCTCGACTTTCATATTTAGCGCAAATGCGGATCCTGTTTTATAGGTTGGATGATCATAAGCCACAATTTGGCGGTCTACTTTCAAATAAATCTATACGTAATGTTATTGCTCTCAGGTTTCGGTTCTAAGTCTCACAATATTGAACCTAGGGATAGTATTTTGATGTCGGCCATATATACCTAGGTAATTCGGTAACGAACGCCTCTCAGGCGCGCACCTTTCTGAGATTTCCAAAGTAATCCATGTTACCTATCAAGGCAAACCTAAGCAAAATTTCAAAAATAGTATCGCTGGAGGAGTCAATAGTCTGGATGTAATGTCGATCGATCGCGATCACATGGTGCTCCAAGCCCCGACGGCTGAAGGGATTGCCAAATCGGGAAATTTTCCTCATCTGCTGACTACAGACGGCGTGCTTCGTACAGAGCCCTAATCACAGACCAAAGAGAAAACGCGCAAAAACTAAGCATATTTACGATGTATTTCCTGTGCTAGTAGTTATCAAAGCAATGTCCTTACCTTTTCCATGCCCCATAGTCTCTGTGCGGGGTTAAGCTATCAAGTGGGATAGTTAGGCACCTACTTGTAACCAATGGTCAACTAGTATACGGAGTACGCTGTTCACTAGCTGGCCCATTTTATCCAGAAATTAACCACGGCAATGCCTCTGAGAGACCGCGGTAATATGGGAACAAGACGGATAATATCAGTATCCCGAAAATGGATTTCTCACCAAGACTGTCAGGAAAACCAATAGTAGTAGTGATAGTGAGTAGGAGAAAACCAATAAATCAAAATAAACCCACCTTCTTAAATGAAAAGAACAGCAAGGAACTCCTGCATGGTACAGAATAAGTCATTGCATAGATACAGTGGCGTACGGTCATTGTAGATGATATGCAAACTGCACAATGTTTCAATAATGAATGCTAAGGCGTCAAAAGACACTTGTCCTCGGGAACACTTATCCCAACCAATGAATTTCTTTCGCAACTTTGGCATCTTCTTAGCTTATAGTATTTGGTGGGCTGTTTTCATTTTTCACTTTTGCACTACGAAGCTGAGGGGCGCGAATAACAGCGCTCCCGAAAAAATACAACCTTGAATCTCTTAGACTAGTTACATCTGATATTATTCTTGATCTTTATACAATGAGCACTCGCTGAATTTCTAAGCTGACTACCAGACAGCTGGCTCCATGGCAAAGATCCAGTACAATACGAGCCTCCGTAGTCGACCGCTCTGTATCCAATTGATGGGCGTGCAACTATTAGTTGCCAGCAAGTCATCAACAAGATTCCTCGTGATAAATCCTTTCAGTGGACTAGCATTTATCCACTGGACCAATGAGATCCAGTATAAACTCGTGCTTGAGATCCCCGACATGGCCGAAACGAGTGGTCATCCCAGTGGGCTTGGCATGATCAGCAACAGCCTCAGCAGACACTGGAATGTATGCTCTCGGTGTTGTACTTGGGTAATGCAACTTCAAAAAGTCCCGAAGGGCCTAGGATATTCACTAATTGATCCCCACTATCCAATGCATGTCTGCTGCCCACGATCAAAATGTCTTTCCTCTTCTTTGCCGGCCGAAGACGTCATCAACATGCCGCATTTCGACGCATATCCACGCTTTTTCTCGCCCATCATGATTAGTAAGTGATGCTAACAAGCCATTCTCAGTATCTGTCTCAACTATATACCGCTGTTTTAACGGAATACGTATTGCTCCGCCTATCATCTCCGCACAGTCATCCCTAAGTGCGTGTTGTGGGACAGCGGGAATGGGGCCGCGAATGCGTACAGCTCAGATGCGGTCTAGTTGGCTACCTTGCTATAGTCTTCAGTCTCCTCTACGACGAAACAAATATTCTTTCCGTGTTGTTACAACTTCGTGCAGTAGTGAGCGCCCAATTCGTTAGAAGGCATCTTTAGCGTTGCTACATGACATGAGGGGATTGGAAGGAGTAGCATACCCACTGAAGAAAAAAATTTCCTTGAATATGTCAAAGTTGAAATGAAAGCAATTATAAATATACCAGTGTATGCCACGCCACCTACCCGGAGAATCTCAAGATTATCGTGCCAACCACTGGCAAAGGCAAGCAGACCAGGATCTAGTCCTCCGTTCTGCATTTCTTTTGTATATACCCAGGTGCTCCAGTCTACTCTGTGGAGTTAGTGCCCATCATTAACTCTGGGATTCATCACGATGAAGGCCACTAGTTTGATAACTATGCTGGCATCACTGGCCTCCGTTATGGCAGAGTCGACGTTCACCCCAATCAAACCACCTTCTCAGCCATTAGCAGTTCGGTCACCCTATCTCAGTACCTGGCAGGCTGCTGGCAGCGGTGGTGGTAATGACGGATACCTCACTGGCCAGTGGACTACCTTTTGGAATGACAGAATTCTTGGCTGGCAAGGGTTGATTAGGGTTGATGGCACTGCGTACAACTGGATGGGTGCCATGGGTGACAGCCCTACGGCTGCTACTCAGACATCCTATGAATACACTGCCACGCGTAGTATCTACACTATGACTGTCGACGAAGCTGTCGAGTTGACTATCACCTTCCTTTCCCCTATTACTCCCGATGATTGGAAACGTCAATCTCTTGTCTTTTCGTACCTGAATGTATCCATCGTTTCAATCGATGGTAAACCTCATGATGTGCAGTTATATGCCGACATTAGTGCCGGTATGTTGAGTTTTATTTTTTCCATTGCGGGAACCATCATTTTGCTGATCGTGCACTTTTAGAATGGATCTCTGGTGATGATTCAAGCATTGCCGAGTGGGAGTACGGGAAAACTGTCGATGATGTTGTTTACCATCAAATTTACCGTCAGACACAAGAGGCTTGGTCTGAGATTTCTGACCAAACTGAATTTGGATACTGGTATTGGGCATCTACGTCTCAAAACGGCCACTCATACCAGAACGGCGAAGATGTCGTCGTCCGTGGCCAGTTTATTGATAACGGAGTTCTTGCCAACACTCAAGACACCCACTACCGCGCAATCAATGATGACTGGCCTGTCTTTGCTCATGCATTTGACTTAGGAGCCGTTACAGATACCCCGGTCTCTCGTTTGTGGTCCATCGGTCTGTGTCAAGATGAACCCATTCAATTCACTGAAGTGTCCGGTGTTATCCCGCAGACTTCATATTATCTCAACTACTTCGACAACCAACTTGAAGCTGTAAGTCATCTTGGCCCATTGCGTTGTCTCTGGATTTCTGCTAGTAAATCATGCGCATATACTAACACAGGTTTTTCATTCCTAGCTAAGCTTTTTCCAAAACGACTACGCTACAGCCCTAGAGCTATCCACCGCATTGGATGACCAGCTTCAAGCAGACTCCGTCAATGCCAACGGCCAGAGTTACGCAACCCTAACCACCTTGGGTCTAAGGCAAGCTTTTGGAGCTCTTCAGTTCACTGGCACAATTGATTCACCACTTATCTGGTTGAAGGAGATCTCTTCCGATGGCAACATGAACACTGTTGATGTCATTTTCCCCGCACATCCGGCTTATATCTATACCAACGCGACCATCCTGAAGTATTTGTTAGAGCCATTGTTCATAAACCAGCAATCAGGTTTATATCCGAACTCTTACGCCATGCACGACGTTGGTTCCCACTATCCCAACGCTACGGGATACCCTGATGGCAACGACGAGGCTATGCCACTCGAAGAATCTGGCAACATGCTTGCCATGGCCTTGATCTATTATGCGGTATCAAAGAACGTGACTTTCCTCGAATCATACTATGACCTGTTGGCTCAATGGACCGAATATCTGATCGAGGATTCTTTGGTTCCGGCTAATCAGGCATCGACTGATGATTTCGAGGGTGCCCTCGCGAACCAGACCAATCTCGCCATCAAGGGAATAGTTGGCATTAAGGCCCAATCAATCATTGCAAACTTGACCGGACGCTCTGCCGATGCTCAAAACTACAGTGACATTGCTGAGAGCTATGTTCCGCAATGGATCAATTTCGCCAATGACACTACTGCCAATCCACCGCACTTCGAGTTAAATTACAACAATGTAGGTCCAGTTCCTTTTTTTTTTTTCTCCTACTTTTCTTGTTGTTATGACAAATGATAAGGAGAATGTTAACATAGCCGAATAGGTGAGCACCTGGTCTATCCTGTACAATACATTCCCAGACAAGGCAATGAGCCTAGGGATCGTCCCTCAGAGTGTCTATGACGAGCAGAGCAAATTCTATGCTACAGTACTCCATGACTTTGGACTGGCACTTGACACTCGCCACAATTGGTCCAAGAGCGACTGGGAGATTTGGGGAGCTGCCACCAGCAACAGCGACACCCGTCAAGCCATTATTGACGCCGTTGCAGCCTATGCTGCCGATACCTCTGAGTGGCTGCCCTTTGGTGACCTTTACGAGACCTTAACGGGAGAGTAAGTTACCAATACTTCTCTTCTCTTTTGTAATTTCTGCCTATACTGACATCTTCGTAGCTATGTTCCCGGTGACCACTTCGCCAACCGACCAGTCCAAGGTGGATTGTTGGCTGTTCTTGTAGCTAACATGGGAATTACTGTCTAGAGAAGACACATAATATCTCTCTGTTGTACATACATCAGCCTTATATAATCATTTGGTTGACTTTGACATAAGGTTGTAAGTATCCAAAGTCGTATACATAGCCTCATCAAAATGTCTTCGTCTTTTTCTTCTTTTTATACACAGTCATCAAAGCCCGGGAGACCTAGAATTAATGTAAATATAGACCTCAACTAAGAGTATATTCAAGTCGTCCAGCCTACGTATTACCTAAGGCATTTCCATCTAGTTATATAGACAAGTTGTACGTAATTGAACCTGTAGAGAGTTTTCATAAGACAACCCATACTCATATTCAAGTATCTATATCCTATCTTTGATCAAAACGTGTAAAGACCTGAGTTCAAAGAAACTGCATGCGTAAATATACACGGGTGTCTTTAAGTAAAAGTATTAAGGCCATGAAAACGCCCCCCAAAATACCTAACTACCTACACCTGTGAATGTTTATCCGCCGAAGTATCCTCAATGATTTCCACCTGACTTTTGTTGCTATCAAACTCGCGGTGCTCTTTGATATAACTGCTTTCCGCAGCCTGACGACCCGCGACAATATCTCGGAGCTTCTGCCGTGATCCAGGGCCAATAACCCATCTCCCGCTGGTTTGGAACAAGACATCTATATCTTCCAAAGCCGCTTTGGACGTTTCGGGTACTGTTGATATGTTAGATAGGAAGTATTATCGATGGGATCCGCAACTGTTAAAAATCGTGAAAAGTATCAATTTTGTTAGGAAACTTACTCAAGAAGTAGATCAGTGGAACAAAGCATAGATTCGTTCCACACCATAGAATATATGTGCCATATTTAATCCTATCAATCAGGACCGGAGAAATCATGACAACGAAGAAGTCTATAATAATTGTCTCGTCAAATTTCATGATTCATAGCCTAACAAATAGATGAACCAATGGACTAAGACTCACTGCATAACCAGAAACATCCCGTTGCAATAGCAACTGACTTCCCTCGAGTTTGCAATGGTGTAAGCTCAACCGGCAGCAAGAACGGAATTCCATCGAAACCAATTCCAGCAAATGTATTGAATACAAATAGGCCGACTGTAGCGACATAGCCAGCTGGTTTGCTGTTTGGGTACGCAATGCATCCAGCCAAGACAGCCATGGTGATTGTCTGGCCAATGGCGGAGAAAAGCATGATGCGGCGACGGCCGACGCGATCGATGAGTGGAATGGGAACGAATGTGGCCAACCAATACTCAAGGCCGTTGAAGCCGGCCATGAGTAGACTCAAATTCCGTGACATGCCTAGAGTGTCTTGAAAGATGACCGGCCTATTGACGGTTACTCTTTAACGCTCCATGATATGGATGAAAAGGGAGAATATGTTGAAGTGCAATAGAGGATAAGAGTTGGATGGACGTACGCGTAGTTTGTGATTAGATTGAGGCCACTAAGTTGTAACATGCAAAGTGACATGGTTGCTAAGACTAAACGTTGAAAGTAGCGTCCTTCGCCTTGAGTGAACACATCACTCCAGCTAGTCTTGTTTTCGGTGTTTTCTTCTTCAAGTGCATTCTCGATAAGGGACAGGCTGATGTTCTATTTAAGGTTAGCAATTCGCAGTACTATCAACTGTAATAGTCCTTGGTGTGAATTCCTACCGTGGCTTCGGCCCGTTTCACAGGGTCTATCTCAAGTGACAGCATGTCAATGACGTCTCGAGCTTCGTCCACTTTGCCCTTCCGTACTAATGCCCGAGGAGAGTCTGAAGTACAATCAGTACCCAGGATTCTTTGCCTTCCGATATGGAGCTATATCAAACTGACCAGGCAAGAAGAATGAGAAGATTATCGTAGCTGCTGAGAACACAACTTGCAGTGATAACGGAAATCTCCAGGACCAATCCGTGTTTCCAGTCAACGATGACTCGTTGACACCGTAGTCTACCCAATACGCAATCGCAATACCGAGCTATATAGAAGCCAAGGTTAGCACTATAAAACAGCGATTAAGAGGGGCACTTACAATATTGACGTTGAGCTGCCACAAGACTGCTCTTCCGCGATTGCTTGATCGTGAACACTCTCCATTCCATGTTGGAAGAACGGCAACAGCCATTCCATTACCAACTCCGGCTAATCGAAGGGTAAGCCATGGTGCACGTATGTAAGTTTGGAGAGAACTAGGCACTCACTAACTATACGTCCAACGATGAGTTGGGAAAGGCTATACGACGTAAACTGCAATATCGCGCCAATTATAAGAATGGTCTGACCACACATGACAGTTACTCGTCGCCCGTATCGATCACCACCAAAGATAACACTGAGAGCCCCCACGGCACATCCGATTTCATAAACCGCAACGACGAATCCCTGAAGAGTCGAGTTGCCCCCATCTGACGAGATAGAGGGAAATCTATCTTGCTGGTGAGACCTTGTTGTACCAAAATGCCCGAGGGTGGGCGAAGGGGAAAAGGGCAATCGAGAACACCTACGTGTTTGCGAAGGATGTCGACGTCAAGAATCCACCCATCACCCCTTGGTCATAACCAAAAAGCATGTTACCAATGGCACATGTTGCTGTAATTGTATATTCTATCCATGCAGTCTTCTGGCCTCGGTTTCGTAAACGATCCGTAAATACGGCGTAAGGTGCACTAAAGGGCTTCATGATCGATCGGCTTTGGGCGTAGCTACCTGGAATGTAGCGATAAACGAAATGGACCTATAGAGAGGAAGCCCTATATGAGTGAGGGAGGATTAGACACCTCTCGGCAACGATTTTCTTGTCGCCCTCGTTACTCTACGACCATCTTGAGGTTATATACACGGAGGATGTAGTCACGTGAAACCCCGGAGTCCAGCCCGTTTGAGGCGTTTCCGGGGGAGGGAAAGCCTGGGGAAACCGCTGGGAAAACGCTTGGCGTGACTCGTTGCGAGGTCTGGCAGTTAGGCTGCGTCCCGATCCGAGGTTTTGTGGCCGTTCATTGGCCGGTCCCAGCGAGTATTCGTTGCATGATGTCACAGGCATGACGAGGCCTTGTAAGCATCCGCTCAATAGACGAGACAGTAATATGATATTTCCTACGTCTTTGGCATTGCAATAAACAGCTAGATATTTTAACTTCTTGAGTTTGCGAATTGCCAGCGAAAACCGGAAGATATGGCTGTTTATCTGGACTACAAGATTGTCAAAATGTAACAAAATGCTACGTACGCATGGTATAGAAGTATCAAAGCTTTAGAAGGGCACCTTGGACATGCTCGCCGATTTTCACTCGCCAGATTCGGTTTTCGTTGAGCAAGAACATATCTCCGTTTCGCCCAAAGCAGAAGTTGGCTACGAGGCCTCCGACCATGATTTTTCCAAGTAGTACTCCACCAGGGGACCAGACGTGCACGCCATCACCGCAGCCGCTATACACATTACCTTCCATGTCACATTTGATACCATCCGGAATGCCGCTTTCCGTCATAGCAAAGAGTCGTCGGTTTGCTAGGAAAGGTTCACCGTGCCTTGTGATTATATCAAAGGCATATCTGTATGTAATGGTTAGTGGCGAGGTTTTTTACGTATTCTTATTCAGTGAAGAAGAGAAGTAGAGAAATGTACAAAATGGAGGCGCTGATGGAAGGGAGAGACTTGCATTGTGGACGCCTTCTCGTCTGACGTTTTGCCGCTCCCATGCAACCAATCCGTGTCGGTGACATAAAGGGTTTTTTCATCCGGCGCAAAACACAATCCGTTAGGATGCCCAAACCCATCTGCCATGGCCCGTATGTTTCTAGTTATCGGATTATATCGGTATAGCTGAGGAGGCAGTCGTAATGGTGGGCGATAGTTCTGTTCGAAGCCGTAAGGCGGGTCTGTGAACCAGATTGAGCCATCTTCATGAACAATCACATCGTTGACAGAGTTGAAATCACGACCGTAGAAGTCGGAGATCAGCAGTCGCACATTATATGGCGCGGTGGCACTCATTTCATAAAGCCCACTCGGCTTGTCATAATAACCTTGACCGCAGAACAATATTCCATCCTTGTAATTGACGCCGCCGTTGCCCATGGGGATAGCACTCGAATCAATCTCCTCGCATACACTTTTGGATAGATCGTCGTCATTGATGATTATTTTTGAGATCTGGACACGTTGAAGGTGGCTAGGTGTATCTGGCTTGTCACCGAAGCGGTTGCTTGTGACGAAAAGCTCGTTGGTAGATTTTATATACACACCAGCCTCGTGTGCGAATGGGTAAACATTGTTTTCAGCAAGCAGTTCTATCTTCGGAGAGCCGCCGAGCAATTGATTGAAGCGCCCGTCATGGGCGACGAACCGCGAAGAAACGCCCGACATCATACGAGCAAGTGCGAAGATTCCCAGATATACAGAAATATAAATGGTCGTGGAAGTGAGGTTGTGAGACTGTTTTGAAGCCAGAAAAGTAAGTAAAAGGCCTCCAGAGCTTTACAATTAGCGTGCTTGTATTTGTCTGTTGACTGGTGCGGGGTATGGTGTGCCCTTCGGGCAAAAGGCCGATAGCTATTATAGCACACAAGCATGGAATTCATTGTTGAGCAATTTACGGATCTTTGATTTGATTGCATGTCTATGTCCACGCTATATGCCGTCTCTATGGCCCTTACCACTGCTTCCTACAATATCCATCCAGCGCTCCGTCTCCTTCGTGAGGATCTCAATGCCTTCTTGCATGACTTGAGTGAGAGGTTTGTGGATATTTCCCTCGATATGTTGCTGCCACGGTGCTAGCAAAAGCTTGTTCACGTTGATCTTAGACACGCCAGCTTGGACGCATGATTTCATCAGCTCAGGAGTGAAGTCATTGGTCCCGTGCAAGACCAATCGAGCACGCTTATTGATTTGCTGGTAGACACTGTGAAGCCTAGCACACACAGAAAAAAAAAAAAAAACCGAGTCCAAATTAAAACTAATTCTCATGGCAAATGCTAGCAACAGTAACCGTACCTTTCAAAGTCCAACTGCGGCCCTCTGGCCCCGTAGTCTCCATGGATGTTACCGACACTCGGCGCAATGGCATCAACATCCGCCGAAATGAAGTCCTCCACGTCTTCCGCACTCGTCAAGATGCCTTCAACATTGCAATTAGCAAGCTACTGGTAGCACCAGGGAAAACTGTGGCTGGACTGATGCTCCTACCAGCTAGATCACCGGTATCCATAATCCCATCCTCGCCGCCCTCGATACGGCCGGTCTCCGCTTCCACCGCTATCTGCTTCGAGTGGCAGTAGTGTTTCAATGTCCTGGTCTTTTCAATATTTTCTGCCCTCTCGTAGTGGCTCATGTCCACCATGATCGAGTCAAAAGGATAATGGTCAGCCGCATATTTGATCTGTTCTTCATCTTGGGCGTGGTCGAGGTGGACTGCAATTGGAACGGCAGCCAAGCGAGCTGCCGCCGCTGCAGCATACACAAGAGACGGTGTGAGTTTTAACGAGGAAGGGAATAGCTGAAGTATAATGGGTGATTTCCGGTTATTCGCAGCCTGCACAAAGGCAGTCACATGCTCGACGTTGTAACTATTAAAGTGTAAGTCACAGCCAAAACACCATCAAACAAGGATTCATTCGCACGCGATTGCTGCAATGACTCCATAACCGCCCTCCTCTGCCGACCTGAGGATCTGTAACGTCTTGTTCGTTTCTTTCCAGGACATCTTCAAATTTTGGCATTCTTGTAAGGCTTGATCTGATATTGGATACGAGTTAGTTTGGCTGGAATTGAGCACTTCTTATTCAATTTCAGAGCTTCACATGCCTTGGATGCCTTGCAAAACAGGCCACCACTCGCAAACGGAGCATCTCCGATGCCCCACTGCCTCTCCCGCGATTGGCTGCCGGGCAAATGTGCCTCGTTGCGAACCTCCTCGTTTTGCTTGACGAGTCAAACTACGTACACTTAGTATAGTCACAGCTCTTGCATGTTAAAACGACAGAACCCACTTGTCCGCGCTAATTGCATCTCTTCGAGACCTCGCAACGCGGACGCTATGCACCACAGCTATGACAGATGTAGAAACCAAAGTGGCTCGCCGTAGGAAACCGCGCAAGTCGCGAGGCCGAGGACTCCGCACTACTGCTGGATGGTCAGTCATGACTTTCCATTATCCGCAGATAAAATTGAATGCTGACCACCTGCAGTCTTATATGCAAGCAACGTCATGTGAAATGTGATGAAGAACGTCCGCAATGCGGCCCTTGTCGCAAAGGCCAGCGCCCGTGTGCATACGAGCCTCCGGGGACCGAACATGAGCGTGACAAGGAAAAACAACATGAACCACAACAACGTCAGCATATTACCACCGTACAAGGTCAGCATCCAAATGGTGATGACAACACTATTCAGTCACCGACTGCATCACGCGAGGGAAATTTCCAGCTGTCGCCCGTGTCATACCGCACGAGCGGCATCTCGCCGAGCACGGATATTTCATCTAGCCATGCGCCCTACAGCTGGTTTGAGCTACTTACCACAGACGTCGCCAACCTTGGCCAGGACTTTCTGTTGTCACCGTCAGGAGAGACGACCACAGCTCTGGGATTATCACTGGCTGTCGATAGTGGTTCACCCTCAAATCCACTGCTCGTACCTCGAAATTTGCGAGAAAAGCAGAGTTTCCAAGCCGCAGCGTTTGGCGATATCTCCGCGGCAAATACTAATATCCCACCTGTTGAGACTCCTGCAGTTGTCAGAGATGACAGGTCTTGTTGGACGCTCGCTGCACCAATTCAGCTGAACTCCGTTGAAGCTTCTATCTTCACGCATTATATCCACAACCTAAGTGCCTGGCAGGATTTTTTTGATCCTCTTAAACACTTTGGAACCCTGATACCTCATTTGGCACTAAATAACACTGGGCTTATGAAGGCTTTGTTGGCCCTTTCAGCAAGGCATATTGCTTTATGTCAGAATAAAAATTCGACCGGGCCGGCTCAAGGTCCCTCAAAACATGATACTACTAATGATGCGGAAGCACGTAGGATCAGCCGGGAGATGTCTGTGCAATTCTACTTCGAGACACTGCGATATATTCACAAGGCCATGCACTACAAATCATACACGGGAAGCCAAGAGTTACTAGCTACTGTGATTCTAATCAGTACCTATGAGATGATCGACGGGTCGAATCAAGACTGGGAAAGGCATCTCAAAGGCGTTTTCTGGATTCAGCGTTCGCAGGACAACGACGGAGAATCTGGAGGGCTACGCCAGGCTGTGTGGTGGACATGGTTACAGCAAGATATATGGGTTGCATTAATAGAACGTCGCCGTGTATTTTCGTTTTGGCATCCTAAACGACCTCTCGCAACGTTAACATCTCCGGAACTAGCATGCCGAGCTATGTACCTTCTTGCTCAGTGTATCAACTACGCTTCAAACGAGGAAAGAGAAGGTAACCCGATTGATCAACGAGCTCAAAGGGGGAATGAGCTGCTTCAAATGCTACAGGATTGGGCCCAGCATCTTCCGCCTGAGTTCAGTCCACTTCCGATTATCCAAAATCGAAATGATACGGTCTTTCCACCAATATGGATACATCCTCCGACGTATGCAGCTGCGGTTCAGGTGCATTATCTATCGCAAATCATCGTTTTAATGCATCGCCCGTTAAATGGCGGGCCTCTAGACTACAGTATCGTGCAGAGAACTATTCGGAGAGCAGTTGACATAGTCTGCGGAATTGCCAAAACTATAGATGAAGGCAGTACTCAGGCTAATTACATCTCTGTTCTCTGCCTCTTCGTTGCAGGCACCAATCTTCATGTGAACCAGGAACGAGCTCTTGTCCTCGATCTCATCGAGTCTTGCGAACAACGGATCTCCTGGTCGAACAGATCATTGCGCACAGAGTTAGAGTCTGAATGGCGCAAGATTGATGTTAGCGAGAGCTCGCTCGGGAGTCTTTGATATCTGAATTCAATCACTAATTTGCCTGCACTCATATGTATTTAGTAATTAATGACCCTGTATTAGGGTAGTTAATCTGGGTGAAGAAAACTCCGAGTGTAACGACAATTTACCCACCCCAGCACCACGCGGGATCCTCGTTACGAGGTCTTCCAGCCTGAATCCGAGATCTTTCGTCAGAGGAGCAAGCAACAACTCATCTGCGCATGTCAACCCCGCATGGTAAGAGTCGCTATTCTTGCCGAGGTGTGGATTGAGTTGTTTTACTTCTATTTGTAATTTACTATCTCGTTGTGCTGTCTGATTCGCTGCCCCTACGTGTAGTAATAAGCTTATGTATAAGAAGGACAGAACCCCTCCATTATGATTAACTTGATCGTCGAAAATACTCTTGAGTTATTCCTCCTCCTCCTCCTCCTCCTCCTCCTCCTCCTCCTCCTCCTCTTCTTCTTCTTCTTCTTCTTCTTCTTCTTCTTCTTCTTCTTCCTACTCCTACTGCGACTACTAGATTGAACATCGTCCAATTCGTTATTTCAAGCCCAAGAATTACATAAAAAATGACGTCCTCTTCCGCAGCTGCCAATAACTCCCCTCAGCCATTCCTCAACACCATGCCACCGGCATCATTCAGCTGGCAAATTACCCTGGCGGAGAAAGTGATCGCTATTACTGGAGCAAACCGCGGTATTGGATTAGGAATTGCTGAAGTTTGCCTCGCCAATTCCGCCAAAGTCGTCTTCTCCCTCGACATCACCGAGCCGGGAGACGACTTCAAAGCCTTGGCAGAGAAGTTCCCAAACCGATTCGAGTATGTGCAGACAAACGTTACGGAAGAAGCGAGCATCGAGAAAGCCATCAACACAATCGTCGAAAAGACTGGCCGCATTGATGGGCTCGTCGCCAATGCAGGCATGACCAAGCACCAGCCCGCGCTCAATTTCGAGAAGCCCGAGCTGCAGAAGCTATTTGACCTTAATGTCTTTGGTGCATACTTTTGCGCTAATATTGTTGCTCGGAAATTCATCGATTTGGGTATCAAAGGCTCGATTGTCATGACCTCTAGTATGACTTCGTACCGCCCCAACCGAGTAAGTGAATTGTATACCCGTTCGCCTTGGCACGCTATCCCAGCTCCAAGCCTTCATTTGGCTGTTCTTGGGGTCGAAAGTTCATTGAGCTAATGATTCATCCACCAGGCTGCCCCATCCGCTCCTTATGGCGCCACGAAAGCCGCCGTGCGCAATATGTGCCACACGCTCGCTATGGAATGGAGCAAGCACGGTATCCGCGTCAACAGCATTTCCCCCGGTTTCGTCAAGACTGCCATGACATACTACGTCGAAACTGCACCTGACTGGAATCTTAAGATGCAATATTATGGTGGTATGCCTCGGTTAGCGGATCCACGAGAGCTGGGCGGCGCATACGTGTACCTGTTGAGTGACGCTGCTAGTTATACAACGGGTATCGATATCCCTGTTGCTGGTATTGTGGGAGCCTGGTAAACGGGTTATGATTGATCTTTGTTTTGAAAGCGTTCTTTCTGTTCTTTGTGTATCATTGCAGATCAATAGAAAATACAGATGGCAACCTTAGACATGTTAAAATTGCATATATTAACTAAACGGATGATTAGATATGATTGTCTTGTCATTCTGTCACATGGATTATTTTTGACGTAGTACATTCAGCTCGTTAAGTCAACAAGGAAATGATTTTTCACACACCAAAATGCCATGTAGCTGAAGAACCTGACAATCTATCTAGATACCTAACCGGGATACAATCTTCCCAGCTGACTGAAGTTCATGATACATTTATTTCATAGTCTTGCTGAAATACTAGCTAAAATTATATCGACATAACGCTTGAAACATAACAAAACTAAAGTGACAAGAACACAGAAATAAATATTTTAGGCATTCTGTTCTCCAACTGATAACCAAGACCGCGCAGCGCTTCATTGCATTGAATAATGACAATAGAAGAGCAAACAGTAGAGATAACTCATGGCACCTTGCCAATACCAGAGAAGGATGTGACCCATAATAAGCCGCATTGAACCCAGGGAGAAACTGTGGGATTTCTCGACACTTGTACCCTGTACAAACTACAAGTAGGCAAGAATGCCCAAATAACGTGTCTGTTGAACATGCTGAAATATGAAGCAATGCGCAAGCTCCTCTCGTAGCAGACTGGGCAAAGCTTGAGCCCACAAGCAGAGGTGAAATCTTTGTACCTCTTCTTGGTATGGTAGCGCGATATCAAATGGATGAATGGAGTTTTATTGTGTAGTTATGTGCTATGCTGTCACGAGAAGAACAAATTCTGGGAAACAAAGATATTCTCGCAGATATTTAAATATCTGTTTGTAAATAACTTGAGATATACACCTTCTAAGGTTATAGTGCTGGGTGACTCTGTTAACCATAGCAGAAAAGCGCTATCCTGCTTAAGCGCTATTATACATTGTACCTTCTTTTAATTTTTGAACTTCTTCGATTGTTGAATATATTTAAATAGTGCTCTTCTGCACCATCTTTAATATTCAAAGACAATTTCGATTGTGATACGCCCTAGAACGGTAGCCACTTGCAAGGCATTCATTGAACATTCATCCCGAAGTCCTTTCTATTCACGAGTTGCGCTATAGGAATATGTCAGACATATTACAGGCTGATAATAACACTTTTAGGAAGCCTTTTTAATAGAGGTTTATATGAGTCATAGAAGTACTCTCTTACCATCAGATCAGGGAACCACAGGAAGGATCTCTCTTAAGAACTCCTACAAAATAGTAAATATCGAGCTCGATTTTGCGGGCAAAAACGGAATAGTATCGCGAATTTATTTTTAGATTTGGTTTGGAAATAAGGAGTAGCACTCACTGTTGGTTAGCTCTCTTGTCCTTATGGTCATCAAGATGTTTCATTCTCTCTGATGAATTTTGAGACTGTCAAATGTTGAGATTATCCTGGCACAAACTTATTAAAAAATAATGAAATGGAGAAAGCAAGACAGACAATCTGCGATCAAGCATTATATAAATGCTAAAGGTCTTCGTCTTATTTGTCTACGGGTAAGTGACAAGAGCCTAGATTTCAGACTTTAATGTCAGTTCTTTTTCGCAACAGCGACTGACATTTATCTAGGTACAGCACCGCGAGAATTTCCATCACAAGTCGTTATCACTCGATGTTCTTTTACATTTTTCCAAGATTTGACGTGCTCCAGCAAACTCAAGCTCAGCCATTGTGTCTTCCCACAGTATATCCATGATCGGTTTGCCTTCTGGTAGATAGACGAGTTTGGTGAATCTGAAGATAGTGTTTCCTCGTTAGTATGCTTCAATGTTTCGATATATGTCCAGTAAATGACACTTACGGATGAATTTTCCAGTCCATGCAGAAACATCCATGTGACTCCTTTCCCTTTACCACACAGGCGTCTACATAAGTCCAAGCCCCATTTTCAGGTTTCCGCCCAGTCAAACCTTTGTAAATGTCGAGGAAGATACCAGCACCACCCGTCACATCTCGGTGCAGTTCCGAGCCTTTGCACATTCCTGGCTCAACCATGTTGACAATTACGTCGTCTGCGTTGAGATACTCGAGCATCCGCACAAAGAACAGATGCCCCAGCATCTTGGATGAGAAGTATCGCTCCACTGGGTCCCATGGCAAGACTTTAGTGTCATCGAACGAAGACAGCAACGGTCTCTCGTTACGATTTGGCATCTTTGCCCACAGGGCTACTCCAGAGCTCACGATTGTAAGTCTGCCCGGGGTACCAAGAGGCGCTTTGTCTTTGGCCATTGGAAGCATAAGAATTGCCAAAAGAAACGTAGACAGATAATTCACCTGAATTACCTCTTCGTGACCAGTTGAACAAAGACCAAATTCGCCCTTGATAGCACCCGCGTTAAGAATAGTGATATCAAGTCGAGGGAGGTCTGCCTGCACGCGTCGGCAAAATGCCTGAATAGAGTTATACGAGGTCATTTCGAGATGCCAGACCTCTACTTTGGCAGTTGGGTAATCGAGAAGGAACTTTTCGGCAACAGATTTGCCTTTCTCTACTGATCGCACAGCCAGAATTAGACATGACAGTTTCAGGGAAAGAAGGTGACGAGCGCAGTAGTATCCCAGCCCCGAACTGCCGCCGGTAATGATTGCAACTTGACCAGTGAGATTTGTATCTTCTGGTGCCCGTTGAGATCTAGTAAGGAACTGGGACTTGACAAAAGACGAAAAAAGGCTCGTGCCTGCCTCGTGGCCAAGCTGAATCGATTTGGAAGGCATAATGTATTTTCCCAACAGTGTCAAAAAACAAGGTAAAAAAGCCAAAGAGCATACAAAAATAATCTAAAATTTTTTCTATCTATGTCAGCTGCAGCATAATCTATATATTTACCTGGGTAATCGCGAGGCTTGAAAAATTACTTAAAAGGGAATACAATCGATTTCTTGGCATCGAGTTGCCACAGTGGAAAACCCCCGAATGCGATTGGCCATGGAATCTATGAAGATCCAACCAGTGAGATCTAGTACGCTTAATATAGGCAGGCATGCACTGGGTGGAGACCTTCTAATGTGGTATTTTGCAAATAATGAGATCAAAATAGGCCTCGGGAAAACAATGCCGCCATCTACGTAACTATATGTAATCATCAAGAGCATATGTTTTCTGAGATTGGGTAAACGGGCTCTTGTATATGCCTGTGTTGAGGATTATCTGCAACCTCAGAGTCTAGGATTGGTAGAATATAAACTCGATGACTGACTTCAAGATCTTATAAACTCAAATTCTCCACACTAGCGAAGCCGGACAAAACGCGGCGTACAAGTTGCCTAATCCGGTAATTCCCGGCATAATAAGTAGTGACACGGCGCCTACTAGTGCGCTAGATTTTGAATTTGGCCATCAACAGAATACAACCAAAACCAGTGTTTCTTAGAAGCATTAGTGTCCTAGGTATGGATGCCATGAGAGTATAGGTGGGCCAAGCTGCCCCATGAATGTTCTGAAAGATGTCTCTGGCAGAATAATCGGAAAACGAACATAACTGCTTACCCAGCTCGCCGTCGAAAGTCCGGAGCTATGGCGCTGTCTTGCAATTCTTTTATTATTGCCACTGACAAGAACAGCATTAAGCCAGATGGAAAGTCTCGAAAACTCATTCGCCGGCAAGTCATGAAAGGCAAGAACCGCGAGCGCGTCGCTCCTCGACGACTGGCTCCAAAGTCTTGGATAAATCGCAGATACGACGTACGTGTGCCACAGATACCAGAGCAAGACATGCTACAGATGGGAGAATTTATGAATCTCCATATCGGTTCTCAGATGAACATTTCTCCGTCCCTTATAGGATTTGTCCCAGGAATGGAGCCGCACATGTTTCAACTCATCCATAAATGTATGATCCACGATTCTACTTGAGTCGCAGTCACTAACTGCGATGTGTATCCAGTTATCAATACGATGCAAAAGGCAATGTATCCTGTTGAGAACTGCATAGATCTAAACGAGGACGGGCGATGCTGGTACGAAGGCTTCTGTCGTGATCCTGCATTCGGCCAAACTGTATGGCACAGTGCTCGGGCCTTCTTTAATATCAGCAAGAGCAACGCAATGGAGTCTGTGACAAACATGGAAATTAACAAGGCTATTGTTATGCTGCGACAAAAACTTGCATACCCTGGTTTTCTTATCACCGACTCGACCATATTCACTGTCTTAGCTTTAGCCATGATCTCAGAAGCTTTCCGTGATTATGAAGCGGCCAAGCAGCATATCCATGGCTTATATCAAATGATAAAGCTCCGTGGAGGTATCAACGCACTTTCTCAGAAGCATCCTTTACAGCTTAAATGCTGCAGGTTAGTACACAATTGTCGAAATTTTTATGATATTACTAAATTAGGCACCCAAAAAACAGATTAGACCTTATGTTTGCACTACAGACCGCCTCCAAACCGTTGTTCTTTGCCGAGAACAGCCTGTCGTGGGAGGCTTATCTTCCTAAACATGAAAGGCTCCCTACAGTAACACCACTCGATACACTCGATGATGCAACTGATTGGCGTTTGATTAACGTGTGGCATGACCTTCGCGAGCTCATAACCGCCATCAACCTCGCACATCAAACAAAGCGAAAACTGTCTTCAACGTTATTTCAAGAGGCACTTGTGTCGGTGCAGTATCGCTTGCAACACTTAACTTACGAGATTTGCGACCAACATGAGGTCTTAAGACTGGCCTTGCTTGTTTTCTCTACTACTACGTTTTTCCACGCCCGTCTCATTTCCACATGCTACCGGGACTTTTTGAGGCATCTTGATATTATCCTCCACTCAACGGACTACTATCTCGATGAGCGGAGTTCGAAGCTAATTCTGTGGTTCATTTTTGTTAGCCGGTTATCTGGAATATATACGCCAGAGGATTATTCTTGGATGCGTAAACAAGTGCTGCAGATAAGCAGGTCCTTGAAACTGTATGATTGGCATGGGATTAGACAGGTCCTGAAGACATTTCTATGGGTAGATATAGTCAACGATCGGGTTGGAGGAGCTTTTTTCAGTGACGCTGCGAGACTTGAGCGCATAGATTCAACAATACAATAGTTTGATCCATCGTTCCATGTTTATTACTTATAGAACAATCTAGGAAGTTGATTCTGGTTGGCCTGGTCCCTGTGACGTCACTCCGCGGCTCTCCGCATTCCTGAGTTTAGCCCAGCCAATCAGCGACTCCACGCATTGTTGAGGCTGACACCTCAGGCAGGTAGCGACCACGTCAATCCGGAGCATAAACAAACGTCTTCTTTTCTACAATATTCTCTCCTCGAACCATCTGTTTATAAAATATTGTATATGGAGCTAGTAATCCACCTTTCGACATAAGCTTCAGGACACCATGTCGCAGATCTCGGCGTACTTCGCTTACCTGGTCGACAAGGTAGACAAATGGGCCGTACTTGCGCGAGACGTGATTGACCAAACACAGCTGCGGACTCTGGTTGGTGTGGCTGGTATTATCTCATCATTGTTGACCTCTTCAGCATATACCAATGTCGCGACTTGTCCTGGTTATCTTCTGAAAGATGTGGTGCAAACCACTGCTTCACTAACCGCAACCCTGCAGTTGGCCGGCGAGCCGTGCAATGTGTACGGGCAAGACATTGACGACTTAAAGCTGTTAGTCGAGTACCAGACTGGTAAGTAGCTATAAAGGTCACAGCTAGCCATAGCCCGGGCCAGAAAAACAAAACAGAAACAAACTAACATGGGAGTGGCAGACGGCCGTCTTCACGTCAAAATCTATGATGCTGCAGAAGACGTCTATCAAATTCCGCCCGAAGTTCTTTCCTTCCCCCAAGGGAACAACGACACAGCCACCCCATTGCTCAAGTTCTCATACATCGAATCACCGTTTTCATTCGTAGTACAGCGTAGCGATACTAACGAGACCTTATTTGATACTTCTGCTGACCCCTTGGTTTTTGAACCGCAATACGTGCATCTGCGCACATTGATGCCACAAAACCCTAATATCTATGGATTGGGTGAGGATGTGGATTCGTTCCGCCGGCAAACCGATAACTACAAGAGAACAATCTATAATGTGGGCGATGCTTTTCTGCCCAAGAACGCCAATCTATACAGCAGTCATCCGATATACGTGGAAATGAGAGAAGGGAAAGCTCATGGAGTATATATCGCCAGCAGTAGTGGCATGGATATTTTCATCAACAAAACAGAAACGGGCCAACAGTATCTCGAGTACAATTTGATTGGCGGTGTTCTCGACTTCTATTTCTTCGCAGGCCCAGGTCCTCTTGACGTGGGACGGCAATACGCCGAGGTTGTGGGCGCGGTCAGTTGTGCTAAGCTCTTTCCATCTTGAGGATTCAATCATTGATTTATTGTTAGCCCGCCGAGCAAGCCTATTGGACTTACGGCTTTCATCAGTGTAAATATGGATATGGGGATGTTATGATGGTAGCAGAAGTTGTCCAGAACTACTCCCAAGCAAACATTCCTCTGGAGACAGTGTGGTCAGATATTGACTACAGTAAGTCTGTTCTCCTTTAAATCATATTTTTCGAGCATGTGAGACATACTGAGCTTACAGTGAACCTACGACAAACTTGGACATTGGATCCCGATCGGTTTCCTCTTCACAAGGTCCGCGAACTTGTAACGTATCTTCATGACCATGACCAGCATTACGTCGTCATGGTTGACCCTCCAATTTCCGTCGATGATGCAGACTCCTATGACAAGCTAATACAGAGTGAATCCTATTTCAGAAACAACGATGGCTCCGTGTTTTTAGCTGGCATGTGGTCTGGTGCTACAGCGTTTGTCGACTGGTTTCATCCAAATGCTCAGGACTATTGGAGTGGGCAAATACTGTCCTTTTTTGACGAGCAGACAGGCGTGGATGTTGATGCAATTTGGATTGACATGAACGAGGTACTTTTTCTCCGAAAGAATAGCCATAAAGCTTTACTGACGCTGGTATCTTTTATGTAGCCTGCTAACTTTTGCCCATATCCCTGCGAGGATGCAATTGCCTGGGCCAAAGATGCCGGTGTACCTCCTGCACCACCATCATTGCGAAAGTCATGGCCCCGATTACCCGATTTCCCAAATGACTTTCAGCCTCCAAGCGCACAAAGCCTTAGCAAACGAGAAGCCGATGGAGAACGTCTTGGGCTTGCTGGTAGAGACCTTCTGAACCCGCCTTATCCTCTTGGAACAATAGACGGAATTATCTACGGGGGCTCAATTTTCACGGACAGGTACCAGTATGGCGGTTATGCGTTTTACGACACCAAAAACTTGTTTGCCTCGAGCATGATGCAGGCGACACGAAATGCCATGCTGGAGCGACGACCTAATAAGCGCCCCTTAATTATTTCGCGGTCCTCTTTTGCGGGAGATGGCAAGCGTTCTGGACACTGGACTGGTATGTATTCGGTTTGATACTGTCATGGTCATGAATAAGTCCTTTATCAAAGAAGATACTAGGATTTATAAGTATATACAACTAATTCAAATACATTATAATATACAGGAGACAATATCTCGTCCTGGGATCACTACCGCATTTCAATTCGACAAAACATCGAATTTGCAGCCATCTTCCAGATGCCAACTATCGGCGCCGATGTATGTGGCTTCAACTACGAGACGTGGGAAACACTCTGCACACGATGGGCTGTCCTAGGCGCATGGTATCCCTTCTATCGCAACCATGCCGACATCACCGCGCCATTCCAAGAATTCTACCGATGGCCACAAGTAGCCGATGCAGCTCGTGCGGCAATCAAGACCCGCTACCAACTCCTGGACTATTTCTACACTGAATTCCACTATCAGACCGTCGACGGCACGCCGAGCACTATCCTACCGTTATTCTTCCTCTATCCAAATGACCCAAACACATTGAACATTGAACTACAATTCTTCTATGGCCCATCGATCCTCGTCTCCCCAGTCACGGACGACGAATCGACTATTGTCACATTCTATCTACCTGCCGATACCTGGTATGACTTCTTCACGGGGGAAAAGTTATCTATTGAATCCTCTTCGCAAGGCACCTGGATCACCCGCAACGACGTCGCCTACGATGAGATCCCAGTGCACATCCGCGGCGGATCAATTATTCCCATGCGCATCGATGGCGCAAACACGACCACGCAATTACGCCAACTCGACTTTGAGTTGATCATTGCTCCTGGGACGGACGGCCATGCGGAGGGGAGATTGTATCTCGATGACGGAGAGAGTGTGGACCAACCTATCAATGAGGACGGCGTTCGTGCTACGAGTGAGATTTTTTTCACATATGACTTGCAAACTGCCAAGTTGCATGTTCGTGGCCAGTTTGGATATGATACGAATGTTAGGATTGCGAGTGTGTCTGTTCTTGGGGATGGGAAGACCGAGCATAATGTAGACCAAACACCGACGCTGGCTCGGTTCCAGTACGGTCGGACGGTTACTGTGGATAGAACGCTGACTGGTGAGTTCAGCTTGTATATCGGTTGAGAGTATGGATAGTACATTTGAAATTATCAATCATGCATTCACAATAATTGTATATATGTATGTATCTATCAAACAAAAGGTGATTATTACAGCTGAAAATGTAGTTGTCATCGGTAGACATGGTATCAATATGTACACGAAGTGAAAATAACACAAAGGCCTCACAAGCTGTGAAGATGAAGAGAAATTATAAAACAAAGGTCAACCTCTATTAACTTCAACTCCTTTATCGTTCCAAACACTCGACACCAACGCTGGACACGTTAAAATATAATACTGTCATATCGCATGACCTGAAAGACAACATCACTGGGATATCGTAAAAGAGAAGAGAAGAAGAAGAAAAAAGTTTGGGTCAAAATTTTATATAACCACTTCCTCGCCAGATTGCAGCGGCAGCGTGGTATCAGTTGCATTGACGAGGGTGTGCTCCAGCTGGTTATGAAATTGCTCATGCAATCTAAGAGTGGTATACTGGGTCACGGCGTCCTGTAGCGCAGACACGGTCTGACCTTTATCTTGCCAGAAGTGGCGCACAAACTCGCCGGTGCAGCCGAGCTCGGCTCGGCTAGGATAGCCGTTCGCTTCTGCGCAGGGTAGCGAGATTACCTCGGATTCCCCTGAATATTCGTAGCGCAAATAGTTGCTGAATGCTGCCTGTTCGTGACTCCACTCGTAGCGCCACTTGGAGCAGTTGGCGTACCGGTCTTCGGTGACGCAATCTTCCCAAATGTTAAACATTTCGGTCGCGCGCGGGCTTGCCTGGGCGATGATGAAGCCTGTGTTGAGGTTGACGTTTCCATGCTCGTCTTTGTTGAAATCCATGGACGGGTCCAGTGCCATTGCTATCAAGGTCTCACTGGTGATGTTCCAGTGGTTGAAAAGCCATTCGAGAGGCAGATGGTGATGGTTGAAGACGGCGTCGGCGTCCATGAAGACAACATAGTCGTATGTCTTGAGAGCTTCACGGATCATAGGCACCTTGACCCATGTTTGATGTCGGTCCGTATAACTAGGAGCTTGAATGAACTTGTAATCGTAGCCGTGGATCATTGCTAGAAAGCGTCTTACTGTTAGTACGTATGTACCAGCAACAACGTACTTTCAGGCGTTCAAATAAAGACTAACCGTAGAGATAATGGCCGAGCATCCCGGCCGTATGGGGGGTCAAAGCATGGTAGTCAATCTCGTCGCGCATCATGCCGCCCTCTCCATCCAGCGAGCGCGTGTCAACATCGAGAAGAAGAACATTCCTGCCAAGCGGCTTGGTGAATCGCGGTGGTTGCGTGAGCTTGTATTCAACGTTGTTGTCGCCGATGAACGACTCGGCAGTAATGGGATGGATGAAGGGTTTGTATATTTGCGGAATCAAACGCCTCAGGTCTGAGTGTCGAGGATCCGACGATGGCTTGATATCTTCAAGAGAGTAACTCCTGTGGGAACGTACCTATTAACACGTGTTGCGAGGCAAGATGCAAGGAGGGGAAACATACGATAGGATGTTCGAGTCGCCCAGGGACGGACTATTATACGCAAAAAAGATCACGAAAAAGGTGACCAAGACCAGCACAAGCGACAGCGGCCATCGACAGTTTGCCGGAAGTCTGCGTCTTCGTTCGGGCGTTGGGAACTGCATGATCTCTCAGCAAACGGCTCTTCCAGCTTCCCTTTTCCTTGTTCCTCTGTCAAGGAGACGAGATCTAAGTTCCGGGGCAGGGGGGGCAGATATTACCAGAAAATCGAATGACTCCGCTTTGCGCGACATGTCATATACAGTATAGTAACTATTACGGATTCGGAGTACGGAACGAAGGTCGGAGAAAAGCTAAAGCGAAAGTGGGCGTGGCGAGATCAAAGCAGGCATGAGCTGTGAGCGAACGACAGGATCGATGAACGAGAGACGCAAAGAAGACAACGAAACGAGAGAAACGAGACTTCCAAGAGTCGATCAATGTGCCAACCTTGGAAGTTGCAGGGGCAAAATTCGGTGATTGTGGACGCTCGCCGCATGCAGCCGGGCGGTCAGCCTTAGGCAGATAAGCAATGCAACCGTCGTCACAGCTGGTACGGCCGCCAGCCAATCAGGCCACCAGCCTTGCCGTATGAGGAATAGCGCCTCCCGCACTGTTTCCATAATCGGAATAAACAACCCCGTAGCTCCCTAATGCGGCTAGGGTTGCAATAGTCACTGGACCCGGCGGGGCGGTATTTATTACAGAGATTTCACGCTCGATACGCCGCACTGTGCGACAACATAAAGGGGACATCAACCACACACAGTACGGAGTATATAAGTTGGTATATACTAACTAGATAGTTAGTATCTACCTGTACCCTGATATCGCATATCTATGCTATGCATATTTCCAGCTGCGAGAGACGGTCAGATCCGTATCAATCTTACAATATCACGCTACGGCCACGGAGTACTTACAGCCGCACAAAGTCAACACCGCCACCGGCCAATGGACAGAGCCTCACAGATATCGCTCGCTTCGGCCGGGTAAAAGAACAGTTAGTTCAGCTATGATGGAACTCAGTTTAACTGGCCATGGTCTCAGCGAGCAACCCTAGGGCTCGACCGGCGGAGCACGAACAGGTGGCTAACCTCCTGGGCAAAATTGCCGATCGTATTTAAAATTTGATCACTGTTTAGTCTCTACTAGTGCCCTGTACTATTCAGATTCGAGAGGGCTTTGTAAAGCCGTCTTCAAATTTTCCATCTGAGACACAATCTCGTAAACTATCCCCAGCCGCACAGGCATACCGTACTACATAGGCACGTTTATGCACGCCAGCGTGATTGCTGGCCCCGAACGCACACGGTTCTTGTAAGACACGGGAGTCTGATCGCCCTCCTTAAGCGTTCTGGAGGTGCGTTCGTTGCTGGCCTGATTACTACATAATCACTATTTCCGGATGCGGCCGGAGTCCGGATTCCTACCCAATACATCGTGATTCTGTATAGTCTATACAAGCGAGAGCATCTAGTTAGGTATCGCCTCCACTAATTGCAACCCACTCTAATCAAATCAAAGGGCCCTCAGTGACGCGCCATTCAAACCAATCATCGCAGACTGCCGCTTAGAATTCGCTGACCCTCTCTCCGTGTCCAGGAAACGTCAGGCTGGCCATGGGAAGAAGCTAGATCCTACTCCGTACTCAGCCGCAGAAAGTTTGGATGGCCGATGAATGATTCTGACAAAGACTTTGTTCGCTGACTATTCATTCATCCAACCCCTGAGAGCTCTCTATGCAGGATTAATCACTACCCAGGGAACAAAGCAAGACATCGAGTCTTGCGGTAGTGTAGCCACTGGTGGGTAGGATCATTATTAGTATAATAATTTTCTTCCAGTGTGATTCATTCCTTGGAACCAACCAGTCTGCCAGCTCAGAAAAGTCGCCCGCCATGTCGACAGAGGAAGAAAGTCCTACTTTGCCTATGATCGAAAAACCGGAGGAAAAGAGAAAAGGCCTACATCCCGTATTTTTTATCATGTCAGTGAACACGCCCCTCAGTTTGAAAACTGCATTTTCCGTTGACTCAATGCGCTAACACCTGGTAGAGCTTGGATTGCTCTAAGCTCTTGTTTGATTCTGTACAATAAGCAAGTCCTTGGCTATGGGGGTTTTGGTAAGTGTTTTGGCCCTCCTACATTTAGCACACAAAAATGTACTATTGGCTTCAAGAATTCTCACTAATCGGTCATCCACTTACAGCTTTCCGTAAGTCGCGACGCCCTGGGTATACTTAGCGGACTCAGATTATATCTAACAAGAAATCCAGCAATTATCCTCACAACATGGCATCTCACGTTTGCTACGATCATGACCCAGATCCTCGCCCGGTTTACAAGCCTCCTCGATGGCCGCAAGAGGGTCAAAATGACCGGCCGTATATATCTGCGCGCCATCGTACCAATTGGCGTCTTCTTTAGCTTGAGTTTGATATGCGGAAATGTGACGTACCTTTATTTAAGTGTCCCATTCATCCAGATGCTCAAGGTAATTATCTCCTGTCCCAATTCTTTGTACCGGTCAAAGGCTAAGGGCATATATAGTCCACGACTCCGGTGGTCATACTCTTTTTCACATGGACATTCAAACTCGAACCCTATAGCTCCAAACAACTTATCAACGTGTGTGTGATCGTGATCGGAGTCATGATTTCCTGTTTCGGCGAAGTCGACTTTGTTCTGGTGGGAGTGCTCTTCCAGATCGGAGGCATTGTCTTCGAGGCCGTCCGCCTTGTCATGGTCCAGCGTCTCTTGTCGTCCGACGAATTCAAAATGGACCCGTTGGTCTCCCTCTACTATTTTTCGCCTATTTGCGCTCTCATGAATGGTGCGGTTGCTGCTGCTGTTGAGCTGCCACGATTTAGATTAGACGACGTATGGCATGTGGGTGTGTGGACGTTGATTGGGAACGCCGTGGTGGCATTCATGCTCAATATCTCTGTTGTTTTCCTTGTATGTGTCATGAAATTTCCCTGCTTCTTTACTTTTCTTTTCTTTACTAATTCGATTTCACTGCTTCTAGATAAGCAAAACCTCGTCCCTTGTCATGCGCCTTTGCGGTATACTCAAAGACATTCTGATCGTCATATCCTCGCTCATCCTCTGGAACACGCCATTGACCGGCCTGCAAGTTTTGGGATATACCATTGCGCTGCTGGGGCTAATCTACTATATGCTTGGATACGATCGCATTGTGGGCTTCTCTTCGCGTGCGACGGGCATGATCAACGAATACCGGGCCAAGAACCGCCTTATATCCATTCTGATCCTTCTACTTGTGGGCTTTATGATAGTGCTCACAGTTACGGGTCTCTTGGCTGTGAAGTATGCCCCGGACAGCATACAGAATTTGAAAAGTTGGGTGTACTATACGACAGCAGGGGATGATACGACATAGATTTCTGCATTGCTAGGGAGTTATGGTTTCTTTTAGTTTCTTTTTTCTTTTCATTCTTTTCCTTCTTTTCTAGACTTGTATAATTATTAAAGGAGCCAGTGTTGTCTGGTGTGATAATCCAACAATACTCATATTGCAATATATTATTCTAATTGCTCGTCTGTGTAGGACGTGTAGATATCTTGAGCGCAAATATCGTCAAAATAGGAAGAGTGGAACCGCGGATTCTGTGGATTGACAGTTGAGAACGTTCGATGGTGGTATTTGACATCATCACTTGAGCAGGTTAGCCGAGAACGAAGAAAAACAAGAAATCGAAGATTGCAATAATGGATCCTATATCATCCAAAAATATAACTGGACTAATAATATATCTTATCAAAAACACTATTCGGGGCAAAAATATCAATTCTCAACAATAAATCAAGCCGCGTTACTACTCACCACCACCATGGCTTCCAAAGAGCATTTGATCCTTCTCACAGGCGCCTCTGGCTTCGTCGGAGGACACATCCTCCACAGTCTTCTTGCTGAAGGCTACAATGTGCGATGCACTGTGCGATCCGAGTCATCTGCAGCGTCTATCAGGAACACACACAGCGCATCCAGCAATCAGTTATCGTTTGCAACTGTCACAGACTTCACGCATCCCGATGCCTTCGACGATGCTGTCCAGGGCGTCTCCGGAATCATCCACACTGCTAGCCCGTTTCTTTTGCAAAGCAATGACCACGAAAACGACCTCGTCAAACCCGCCATTCAGGGGACAGTGCATCTTTTACAAGCTGCATACAAGCATGCCGGCCCTCAACTATATCGTGTTATCGTGACCTCCTCCTTCGCGGCAATCTTAGACATGGAGAAAGGCTATCGCCCCGGATATACATATACAGACACTGACTGGAATCCGGCGTCATATGAGCAGGCAGTCTCCAATTCCAGTACCGCATTTGCCTATTGCGCGTCCAAAAAGCTGGCCGAAAAAGCTGCCTGGGACTTTGTTGAATCCACTTCACCCAAGCCATCATTTGCGTTGACGACGATGTGTCCTCCCTGGATTTTGGGTCCCAATATAGACGCCAATATTTCGCTATCGCATTTGAACGAGTCAACTCAGACCATCTATCAGCTGATCAATGGCTCTCTTTCGACGCCGCCTCCCACGGATTTCGCGGGTTTTGCCGACGTGCGTGATGTGGCGGAAGCTCATTTGAAGGCATATCAAAATCCAGAGGCAGCCGGTCAACGGTTTCTCATTTCCAGGGGCAACTTCAACTACCAGACTGCTTGCGACATCATCCGGGAGTCTTTTCCTCAACTGGCTTCCGAGGGCAAGGTACCGGAGGGCACGCCCGGCGCAGGGGAGAAGGAGGCAGTGTATAGGGTCGATTCGAGCAAAAGTACTGCAGTGTTGGGCATCGAATACACCCCGTTAAAGCAGACACTCAAGGATTGTGTGTCACAACTGCTTGCTGCGAGCGCCTAAGGGCTGGTGGCCTGAGTATAGAACTGTCAACGATGGGTTTTCAGGTTATAGCAGTTCTAATAAAGACGCGGATTGTTTCTTTTTCATATCTCAGCTAGCTAGCTAGATAAAAAGTCTAAATCCTAAAAACCAGTCATCTCTCAAACATTCTAAACAAGTAGAAGCTTCAGATCTTTAGATACTTGAAACATTTTGAAACTAAACCTTATTCGGCTTAGTGTCAGTCCGTGACTTGTCTCGCGGCGTTTGGGAAGGAAGCAAGATTTAACAACGCCTCTGCTGTCTCCTACTCACATCGTGCAGCATACCATCGAGAGTATCAATAAGAAGCGAGAATCTCAGGGATCGCGCTCGTGCACAGAAATTCTCTCCGAAAGAGGGCCGGAAGAATCGTCACGATGCGGGGAAGCCCGCTGTCAGAGACGGGATATAGAAACAGAGCCAAATCGAGGTCTGGTTGTCTGACGTGCAAGTAAGTCGACTACAATTTAACATCCTGTCTTTGTTCTTCATGCTGAAAGCACACCGGCTGACGATACGACTTCTTCAGGAGTACGTTATAATATGCGCAAGATCTGCGGTCGATGTTCTGGACAGTATAATAAGATAATATGTGTGCAATTGCATAGAAAGACGAATCAAATGTGACGAGAATCGCCCAATTTGCCAGCGATGCTCCTCAACCGGCCGCAAATGCGATGGCTATATGACACCGAGTCCTCCAGCTAATTCCTATCGTCAACTTTCCATGCCAGCAATTTCTCCGCCTAGACTTCATTCTTCCGAGAACGACCGCGAAATTCGCTCCTTCCAATATTTCTATGAAAGGACGGTGCCTGCATTAGCAGGATATTGTGGTTCTGAATTTTGGAACCGGCTGGTTTTACAGGTGAGCCAGCACGAAAGATCAGTATGGCATGGATTGATTGCTTTGGGGTCGCTTCACGAGAATTTTGAGAAGGAGCAGGAATTGCCTTGGATTGAATTCTTACGTCAGGATCGAAATTCCTTCGCTATTCGAGAATACCTATCGGCAATAAAAGCTTTGTTACGTCCCACTGCCGTAACACCCAATCATTCCATTCACAACGCTACTGCTACTGTCAATAATGTAACAGTAGATGTCTGCTTGATATCTTGCATATTGTTCACATGCCTTGAAGTAGGGACTTTTTATCCTCCATTTATTAATACATCTCGTTCACCCACCATTTAGATTCTCTCAGGTCACTATGGCCCCGCTATCAATCACGTTCGAAGTGGTATCAGAATTCTCGGAGAAGTCTACTATGACCCAAATTCTGGCACATTTCGCCATCCCCATCTCCAGCCGTCCACGGTGACAAGGTTGGAGATGGAAAATATGCGCAAGATTTTCGCGCGCCTTCAAAGCCAGTCTTTAACATTGGTGAGTTAATCCTCGCTTGGAAATATTATATTCTAAATGTACTAATTCCGACTTAGACTCGTGCCGATATGGACCATCCGGCAAAAGATCATCGCGAAATACCGGTGACTCCTCATATTTCAATAGATGTCCCCGGATCTTTCGCTTCCATTGCGGAAGCGCGTGACTACTTTGAAAGCATTTATCAGATATGCGTTCATCACTATCCCAGAATCATGCAGTCCACACCAGCTGTTGAGGCTCCTAATATGTCCACCTATCTAATCCAGCAATACGGAGCCCTATTTCACAAATGGCGCACTGCTTTGGTCCACTTCGAAGAGTCTCGTGGCGAGTCGCTAACTACGAAAGAACGGATAGGCCTTAAACTACTCCATATTCATAAGAACAATACAATGATGTACTATGAGTATGCAAGATCTAGCGAGGCCGCACTCTTCTCCAAGGAGACGATGCCTTTCTCCTGGGATGATCATAATCGTCAATTTGAAGAGATCGTCTCCTTGGCAGCCTCTGTAATCGAGACATCTTATGATGCCAGTCCCTTCAATCACTCAAATGAAGGAAGAATCCGGCCATCATTTTCGCTTGATAACGGTGTGGTTGGTCCGCTTTATAACGTTGCTACTTTGTGTCGCGATCCGTTTATTCGCCGTAGGGCTGTTGATTTACTGCGTTCAGCACGGCGGCAAGAAGGAATTTTCAACAGCGACCTCTGTGCAATCGTCGCGGAAAAGATTATTTCAATCGAAGAAACTGCTGCTGAGAAGGTCATTTTAGACTATCAGAGCGATCTTCTGTCCTTGGAATCTATCATTTCTAACAAAAAGCTGGAAAAACCGGGGAGTGAGATTACGAAAAGTTCGGGAATACCCAATACCGTGCGTCTGACATATGCTTACCCGAAATTCGACATATTCAAGAAACAGATGTTCTTGACAATCGGCCAGTCGATGAAAGCTGATATCAATATCCCTTTGCCTGCGATGAGCTTCCTAGTAGATGTGCCAAACTAGTGCCATTATTACCCAACGTTTGCCATAATCGCTAGTGCCTTTTGTGATGAAGGTATCCATCCGTACATCGACATGTATGGGTTTTCCTCATGGCGCATTAGAACACAATTAGGCGTATCTCATTACTATATATGGAGGAGATATATGCAGCATCTATACGCGCTGAATGATTTTACATCATGCTATTGAACAACGAAGGCTATTCCCGCCTTATACATTCAAGATCACAAGACTTGTGGCAAGGGCATCCAGTCCTTGTACTGTCAAAGTGTTGCCGGAAAGGTCCCACTCAATAGATCCCCAAGGACTTGATGCAATAGATGATGCCCAAAACGGCAACGGAATCGTCACGGCAGACGATGTTGATGCATAATCCAAATTCACAACACTCACCATGATCTGTTTACCCACAGTCCAGTAGGACACATCTAGCAAATCGTTGCCCTTGATGGGAATTGCTTTGGGTTTTGCGCCAGTCACAAAGTCGAGCGCTGGCGAATTTGCCAGAACTTTGGATTGCTGCGAATTCGCAGCAGCGAGAACATCCGTTGTCGGATATGTCCATAGCATGATTGACTTTGCGCCATGATTTACGGCCAATTGATTCATAACCCAGGTCTCATTGACAGTCGGATCCCGACTCCAGTACTCTTCGCCGTCGAATGATTGCGGGACCGCCCAGCGAGGCTTGGGCCATTGTCCGAGGTATTCTTGGTAAAGGGCAAAATCATCCAAGCGATTAGAGACATCTTGCAGCTCACCAACGCAGTTGTCACAGCCGCAGTCTCCATAAGTGACGTTACATGGCGTGTCCCATTTTTTGGAAAAGGTTGCATTGATACCAATTGGATAGGCGTCTTCCATCAGATAATCCGCTCCTGCGGAGTAATCCTCAAAGTAATAATTTTGACAGTTCAGCGCCAGTCCGATTGGGTGGTATTTGTCAAGCTTTGTGATGGTGTCATACGCAAGACTGGTAGAATTCAACGGGTCTTGGTTTCCATCTGGCTCGTCAGCTGTATAATATACCAACAGACTACTATAGTCCTTGACCATAGTCACCTGTTCAGCGACCGAGGTCAAATTCGTATATGTTCCGCGCATGTCATACTGGAACAACAAGTTCAATTCATCCAGGTAGTCTAGAATCGTGGTCAGGTTGGCTGAGAACGACGGAATGGGATGGATTGCGGTATATCCTAGGTCGTAGTATGCCTTGACATTCTCAAGACTGAGCTCCAGATAACCGCCATAGTTGGTGTAGAACCCAAAGGCAAAGAATGGAACAAATTCAAAGTTGGTGGCGTTGTTCTTGAAGAGCAACCCGCCATTCAAATTGTCGATTTTGGTCACACTGCCCGTTAACTTGTCAGGCAGATAGTACAATTGCGTTGTTGCCGTATACACTTGCAGTCCATCCAAGGATAGACCATACAGTTTGATGTCGTAGGCATCGAATCGCGGCTCCAGCAGACTGATATCGAAGTCGAACAGATTGTCGGTGGTGTTTACAGTGACGGCATTCGCTACAAGGACTTGGCCTGTCGATTCCACTGTGATGGTGAAATACAGGTCTGTGAACAGCTGAGACGCCAAACCCGGGACTTGAATGTCTTGGTGATAGGGCTGGCCATGGTACTGTGACAGTGCAGCATCAACGATGAACGAACCTGTCTTCTCGGACGATACATAGATGTTGTACCGCGGCTCAACCTGCACATACAAGGATTGCGTTGCCAAGGGCTCGGGGGCGTCCAGCCAGCCGCTGGGAATGGAATTGGGGGATCTTTGTTCTTGCAGTTAGTCCTGTGTGCAGCAGCTTCAAAGCAAATCCGATTATAGTGACCATACCCGCTCTCGTATGGCTTTCCACACCAGCGTGGAATGTCGGTGGTGGTGGTGGCTTGCAGTGCAGCGGCCCCTTGTACGGCCAACAAAGCCGCGAGCGCCGCAACCAACATGGCTTGTGACTTGGGCCTTTTTTTATTGGATTCTGTGCTGTGATTTGCTTGCCAAGTGTGCCTGCTCCCGGGGTAGCGCGTGGCAAGGGCGCTGATTATATGTACCCCGTACTCTCCCAAATGTAGATGTACCTCAGGGTAGTAGTAAACATCCCCGGCGGGTACCTGAGGTATCAATGCCCCGCGCCAAAGGTTACATTCTTCTTATCGCGCGGCTTCACATCTATCTCGCGAGCCACGTACTCTTACTCTAATATACTTTATATCATACTGCAACTCTGCAATCGCAGCGTCGGTATATGGGATACAGAATATGCAACAGTCCGGGTCAATGGCCGCGCGAGGTTGGGGTTGTCACCGCAAGATCGCGGAACTATTCTATAAAACACGCCGCTACCTAATGGGATCGTTGCCAACATATCTAACTATCTATCCAATGGCTCGCTGGGCACTATACCTAGATCTTAAACGCCCATATCCCTCCTCCGAAAGCTTAATACGCGCTTAATACATGCCGGAGGCCTCGACGTTCTCCGTGCTCGGATTTGCCTTGACTGCTCCGGCGAGTTCTCCGATGATGGCTGCTCTTTTCCCAGCAGAGCTTGAAATTGCAGGTGCATTGCATAGTCACAGTAACCGCACGAGAGCTAGGTCGAGGGCTTGAATGTCAGCTTACATCAAGTACTACCTTAGCAATGACAACCTTGAGCAATTATACGCACGAGATATACCGACTGCCACAAGAATTGTGCGTCGATCTCGGCTCAGCCGTTTAAATAAAGGAGATTTAAGAGCGGTATTCTCTTAAATACAGTCAGATAGAAAAGGGCCTGGCAGGCGTATCGATTCCAAATCACCGCATGTGACGCTCGATGTGTGAGAGTAATAATGTTGGTTCAATTTCCTTTCGAGGAGATCAGGACTACGGCAATTATCGAACTTTTTCTTTTCTCTCTTGTCTGGGTCTCGTGACACCAACTCGAATGTCAGCATTCCAAGCAAGCGGGTGGGCCCTCGTTCTCTCCTTGCCGTGGTAAGATGCGTGTTTGCACCCCTATTCAGGGAATGGAGAATATCCCTGGAGTATGCCACACTGAAATTCTCCGCATACTGTTCTGTCCTAGGTTGGCTCACAATTTACTGTTATGTTCGTTATACCAGGCCTGATCGGTTCATATTTTATCGTTCATTTATGGCATGACTAGGTACCTGCTTCATGGCGATGTCTGCCGGTAAGATAGCTGGCCTCGTGCACTTCAGACAATGCTTTAAACAGGCTGTATTGGAACTTATTGTATTGCCACTTGTCATCCGGCACGGAGCTAGGGTCTTGCACGTTCCTTTAATACTACTTGTAGCGCAGAGACTGTAAAGGTGAAGGTATCCTGAGCCCCTTGATCGAATTTTACGCCATCCTCCCCAGGAGCAAGGACCACGTCAAAATTCAGAGCAAAGAGTACAATTGCCAAGCGGAGCTCCATGAGAGCAAGTTGCTTGCCAACACATGAGTATTGGCCTGGTTTGTGTCAGTAACATTAGTCTGACAAAGAAGGCAGGGGATAGTATAGACTCACCAAGCTGGAACGGGAAGTATGCTTGTTCATTCAAGATCATTTTCCCCTTATTTTCAACCAGCCATCTCTCAGGGAGAAACTTCTCGCCTTCGGGAAAGTTCCTATTGTCTCTCTGAATAGTGTACTGTGGAACAACAACATTGACATCCTCGGGAATCCACACCTCGTCGATTTGAAGACCGCCAGGAGGCGTTACACGTTGCTGGCCGCTGGGCACAGCTGGTTTGAGTCGGAGCGTCTCGTTGATGATAGCTTCCAGGTATGGGATATCGCGCACCTGGTCGTAAGTAAACCCTTCACCGATTTCGGAGAAAAGACCGTCGAGTTGTGTTTGAAGTTCTTTGAAAACGGATGGATTGGCCGTGAGGAAATAAAGCGCATTTGCCAAAGTTGCACCCGTTGTATCACTTTGATTATGTTTAGAAAGAGCATATACAAGTATGTGTAGGATACATACCTTCCTGCTATAATCAAAAGACGGCCATCCTCTTGTAGAGCCACTTCACCGGGCGGTGCAGATGAGTCTTTCTCTTTCAAAGCCTTGATCAGCCAAGAGATGACATCAGTGGGATCTTGGGATTTCATTTGTTCCCATTTCTAGAAATGTTGCGTTAGTTTCGACAGCACGAGGACAGATTTTGACACTGGGGGAAAAGAAAAAAAAAAAAACAGCATACAGTAATTCTTTCCTTCACCTGGTCGTGACAATATTCGGTAAATGTGCCATAGCTTCCAGTTAACCCGGGAAGTGAGGCCAGTAGGGACAAAAACCACGGCAGGTGAGCCAACAGCCCTAATATCGCCATTTGCTCATGCAATCCTTTAATCGCTCCGTGTTCCTTTGCTTCTTCAAGCTGTTTGAAATCCTTCCCAAATCCGATAGCGCCCATCACATCGAACGTTAGAAACATAGACCATTCCGTGATGTTTACTGGCTCGCCCGTACGCGTACGTAGCTGGTTTATAAACACGTCGACTTTAGATCTGACCCTCGGAGCGTAGGTGGATATCGCTTTGAATGAATGGAAGTCATCAGAATAGGAACAGTAGTTATAGCTGAAAGAATACATCAAGAACATACCTTTTACACTGAAACCGCGATCCCACGCCCGCCGGCGACGGCGATGAACGTCAACATCTCGGGTGGAATTCAGTGAAATTATGGTCACATCATCTGAGACCTGACTGTACCAAGTTGACCTCATACAAGCGGACTTGGGACCATTAATGGCCTGGACAGCCGATGGGCGAATGATGGAAATCTCGCGCGGGCCTAAATGCGTGGTCACATAGGTCACTTGATCAGTTTATCCTGTCGTGTAATGATCCGTTATCTAAAGAATGGTATTTTATGCATGAACCGACCTGTGCGGACAAAATCACCATACTTCTTGTGCAGGTTTTGCAGCTCAAGGTGATACTGAAGATTTTTCGATGCAAGCTTCACGGCATAAACCCGGCTTAGTTTCGCGCCCCAGGGTCCGGGGAAATTTCGCAGCCGGTGAAAGAACAGTCGATAAGCTGCGATACTAGCGGCTAGAGAGACGTTGAAGCACAGGCCAGCAAAACAAGCCGTTGTAAGGGCAAGCAGCCAGCTCAGATCGAATAGCTTCACATAGATTCCCACCAGAGTAGCCCAGACAAAGAGATATACTGCTGACAGGTGCCAAAGTCGGTAATCAATTTCGATTTTTCGGATGCTTAAGTGAAATGCCACTCCCAACACAGCGAAGGTGGCGGCCACCTGTAAAAGACCCGGCGACAGGAGGGTGAGGACTGTGGGGAGCTGAGCTTTCATGTTGACAAGAGCCAGTACTTTGTTGGCTCTTTTTGTGGAGTATTGTGCGCAAGAATGTGCTCCTATTCAACTCGACTAAAAGAGCATAACTACCTAGCCAATATGAATAGTTGTCAGATTCCTTTGAGTTTTGACTTAGGCACCATTGACAGACGGCTGGGGCCAAATGAGCAAATCTGAAAAAGAAAAAAAAAAAAGAAAAGAAAGGAAAGGAAAAGAAGAGAATTGACTGCAAGGCAAATGTTAGCTAGAAATGACGAAGGAATATAAACCAGTGAGTTTCATTTTCCACCCCTGAAGAGTCATAATACTACCAAGTATAAAGATAACCCAAGGATATAACAAGCTATTTGGTTAGGTACATACTTACTTGAGCGGAGCTATGTGCCGCATGAAACTCTACAACGGTCGGCCTAGCTTTCGGACAGTTGATCAATGCGTTCTAAAGAAACGGTCTGTCTCGACTCACGGCATTCGCCACTTTTGTCGGGCTCGCTAATGCGGACAGTCTTGCCTTCTTGAACCTGAAGAGTCCAGTGCTAACGCTCTAATGTAAGACGTAAGCTGTGCTCCGAGTCCGTGCCATCCTTGCTTAGTGTTTAAAATGGCTCTGCCGTGCCGCTGGTAGGCAGGAATGCCATCCGGTTGGCTGATTACAGGCTCAAAAGGCTGCCAAATTGCAGCAATCCCCAAGCTGAAACCTGGCCGCGTAAATAGTGTCAGCTTTAGTATTGGGCCGTTTACTTGTGTTGATCCATACTCCGTAGTGCGGCCTGTCAACGCGGCACATGTCGAGCCGAACCCTAACAAGCTCCCGTCACAGAAGAGAAATTACCTGAAAAGGAAGCCACTGGAGCGGCTACAAGAACCGACAAGTGGTAAACAGCGGCACATATCCATAGCCTAGAATTCTTGATCCAAACTGACAGGTGGAGCAACCAGATTTGAAGTAAGCCTTTTCCGCGGGTTGCTCTAAACTAGTCGTTGGCACTAGCCTACGAATGGGTGAGCATAACTCTCAGATTTTGGCCTTCCAAGGTCGACAAGGTTATATTATATACTTTTATATGCTTCCAGGGCACACTGGCTTGATATATTCAGCCATACGAAGCGCTATATATGTTTGTGACCTTGCCGACAGGATAAGAGCGTAGAACGGTCTAAATATTCGATATACCATCGGTGTGATGTACATCGATTGATGACGAAAAATGCGAATTGTTACAAAGTCTATAACGACCTCTACAAGGACACGGTCGCTGTGTCCCTCTAGTCCTTGTTACTACTACGTACTCTGCGGTTTCTAAGTTGAATACTGGTACTAATACGAAGCACTAAAACTTAGCTCAATGAAATCGGGGTCACAGCATATAAAATAGTAGAAATGAAATAAAATTTACTAGTACTACCATCCCGGCTCGCTCCTACTTGAAAACTTCTGTCGCGTGCGGAATGAAAACAGATCAGCGCTCTAGTCACTGTGGACATCTTAGCGGCTTCAACTAATACCGATAATGTCTCTACAGTCTGAATACGGCAACGCCCATCCCCTAGGATTCTAGCAATGAATTACAGACCTTGTATTCATATAGAGTCGAGATATTTATAGGGAATATCTAGGCCATTCCATCTATGGTTTGCGTTTTTCTGTCGTTCCAATGCCATTGAACTGAGGTTACGCCTTGGTTTTTAAATAGAGGTGGCCTCCTACCCCGGGATTTTGTCACTATTTCTTTGCACGGGGTCGATGTCACGTCTATCAACGGCGTGATTGATAAACCTATTGACAAGAAAACCCATCTCGATTCATACTCTTAAAAATGAAAACACTCCAGCCTGCAGCTAATGGCATCTCCACCGTGTTTTGGTTGTTGTCAACAATAACAATCTGTCTACGGTTATGGTCGAGGTATTTCATTATAAAAAACTTTGGATGGGACGATGCTGTTATGAGTGCAATTCTGGTGAGATTACCGTGCTGAACTAGGATACATCGGTTTCTGACATTTTCCGGCTTAGGTTTTTAATGCTGGTCAACAAGGCATGTTTTATCTTTTTGTTCGTTTTGGTGGCGGATTGTAAGTGTCGAAATCTTCCACAACATTGCACGATTGTGTTTGTCTTCAATGCCTCGATTAGCTGGGCTAACAAGAATCTCTTAGGCATATCGGAGATGTTAGCACCGAAGAGCTTCTCACACTGACAAAGGTATGATAATCTATTAACTATACTTATGCTACGTACTACGTTTGATCACGAAATTTTCATTCAACGTGAATTCGAATCTAATAATCAATGCTCCCTAGGCGCTTTTTGCCGAAGAGATATACTACATATGGATGCATTTTACAATAAAAATGTCCTTTCTCTTCTTCTACCTTCGAATCTCGCATACTAGGCAATTCACCTACTTGGTCTACGGAACAATGGGTCTTGTTACGACCTTCACAATTATAGCTTGGCTGATTTATTGTCTTCAATGCATCCCGCTTGCGGCATTCTGGGATGCAGCAGCTTACCCCGACGCTAAGTGTTTGTCTACGAAGATTACATATTATGTTGCTGTAGCATTGGTAAGTTGTTTTCTTTATCTATTATAACTGTTCTCGAAGTTTCAACATATATTCTAACCGCGATGTCTTAGTGTATCACAGGAGACCTCATAGTTCTAACACTACCCATTCAGCCACTGTGGAACATGCAGGCCAGCCGTCGCCGCCGTATTGCATTGATTGCCGTCATCACTTTTGGTGGAGTCTCGCCTCTAGTCTCCTTCCTCCGTATAATAGTCCTTCACGAGTTCGAGGTCAGCCCAGACTTCACTTGGACATTGGGGAAGATGGTTATTGTCTCGGCAATTGAACTTGACGTCGCCATCATGGTATCGAACGCAGCATCATTGAAAGCCATCTGGGTTAGATATATCACCAAGAAGCCATTCGACTCGACGGGTCAACCAGGTTCATCATCGTACCAAAAGCAGAAACATTCCGCTGCATCAAACGAGCTCTCTGAGCTGCCATACGGCTCCCGGCCTAAACGACTCAGACGCACTCGCGTGGCATCTATTCCTGGTGACACCACATGCGAGCGTGGGGAGCACTGGCATAATGAGTCTGAGGAAGAGCTGTTCCACCAAAATGGAATTAAAGTCACATCATCAGTCGACATGGTTAGTAAAAGAGACAGGTCGACATCATCTGCGGAGTTGAACCGGAATTATTTTGAATTTACTAGAAAATAATATTGATACAACTAGCTTGCACTGGTGGCTGCTTGGACCAACCTATCCAACGATCACAGTGCCATTCCTTTGTCTGGCTCAAGGCACGAAGACCGAGGGGTTGGAGTTCTGTTATACATAGTGGGTAGATCCCAAATGACGAGCCTCATGCCAGCCAGGTTGTGTACCCGAAAACTAAAAGACTCGATTGGCATTATCTGTGTCACTCATTGATTCAAAAAGAGAGACAAAAATTTCAACAGACATTCAAAGAAAGCACATTATTTCTATAGCGAGGTACAGCATATCCAGAAGTAAAACTTGGAAACATTTCCCAAATATTTGAAAAATGCAACATAAACTTGAGTTTATTTCTATTTTTCGCCTTGAAGTTGCATCACAATGGCGCCTGCGGTTCCTGTTCCCATAGAGATTGATGGTGTCACTGCCTTCATTGGATTGGCACAGTCACCAACAGCAAACACGCCAGACATGGATGTCTCATTAAACATGGGAGAGACTTTAATATCACCGGTTTCTGTTTTTTCAAGCCCAAGGTTTTCTATGAAAGGCCCGTTGACGACGTAATTAGGAGCATGCGCCTATCAGTGAAGGAGACAAAAAAAAATATCAGCATTACATATCAACTTGTGAAGAAAAGAAGGGCATATACGACGGAAGAGTGAATGCTTACCAAGAATGCCTCTTTAACATGACTGCCATCCTTGAAATAAATCACAATTCCGGCTCCTGTTTGACTATTCTCCAGCCTAGCAATTGGACGAGAGTCAATCTTGAAGCCGTCATCGCCGGCTATCAAACTCTGAAGCGTCGATGCCCACTCGTTGTCTCCATTTGTGTAGACGGAGACTTGCTTTGTCAGTCGTTTTGCCATACGAATTCCATGCGTGGCTCTGTGGGTCGTTCCAAGGAGGTCGGTTGCTAAAACGCCGGCTGATTCTGCTCCGCGCTCTTCATACCCGTCACAGAAGAGACAGTGGAATCTGGGGTCAAATGTCAGTATTGAGTCGATTGAATTTTACCAAGGACACAAACTTACATGCTCTGTCCCCAACAATCCGCATAACCGTCGATGTCGGGGAATACATCTTTCACTCCCGTTGCTAGGACAAGTTTCTTTCCTTTCCAAGACTGCCCATTGACGTCTCTAGCCTCAAAGCGACCATCTGGTCCTTTGAATACGGCCTCGATCCCGACATCGAGGAAACGGATTGTCGAGTATCTCGCCAATAAATCATTGCGACCTTGTGCACGGAATTCCGCAGGATCACGATGGTCCCAGCCCAGAACATTGTGCATGTGTCTGGTCTTTGCATTGCGAAACACGCCTGTGTTGAAGACAACTGCGGTGTGCAGTTGACGTGCAAGACCAGTAGCGACTGAAAGTCCGGCTGGACCTGCACCGATGATAAGTGCGTCGAAAATTGCTGCCGGGGTCGTCATATTATATGGTGTGGCTCGTTCGGTCGAAGACTTCAAAGACAAATCAAGCTGCCAGCAATGGCTCGCAATAGTCTCGATTAATTGGCAAGTATTCAAGTCTTAATTCAAAGGGTTCTACTACAGCTGGAAACTATCGAGAGGGCAGATGCTAGTTATATACCAACCTAGATAGGTACCTTGCTAGTCCTCTCGGAGACTTAACGGAGACATTGAGGAACTCGCTTTCGCTACACATTCTTCCCCCCCTTTTCGATGTGAAAAGTCTCTAACTGTCTGGGCCCCATGGCGATGTCTTATTGAATGTGGGTTGGAAAAATGAAATGGTACGTTGCGAGACCCGGTCATGCCAGTGTCCTAGGTAGATCACTAGAACAAAGTGATGAAATCTTCGCTATTATGACTCGCTCTTTGACTATACAATGCAAATTTCTAGACTTGTAATAATCAACGACGAGAACTGCGACTAAAGAAAGTCTTATGTTGGATGTTCACGTATCCTACAAAGCACACTTGTTATCGACAGGAAGATGAACGCTGTGTTAAAAATCTCCACGATATAAACCAAAAACACCGCACCACCCCTTTCCACATCTATGCTTATATATTCTTATTTACATTTCCAAATGAAAGGTAATAAAACTCCGTTACCCAGCATATGCATAACTCCAATTCATGCACATATCTATTCTGAACCCCGACGAAAGACGCCATATTTCTGCAAATCATGCAGTATTCGCTATAACTTGTTTGAGTTGCTGCAACGAGAGGGGCTTAATCAGATAGTTGTCGACCCCGGCAGACAAAGCCTGCTGTTGCATTGTGGCCGACGCAACTCCTGTAACCGCAAGGACCGTGACCGGACGAAATTCCTGCTGTCTCTCAAAGGCTCTAATCTTTCTAGTCGCAGCTATGCCGTCCAATACTGGCATCGAAATATCTTTATACAGTAGCTTTTGGTCAGAAAATCACTGTTGAATAAAAACAACCATTCCGGACTTACCCATAAGCACAAGCCCGAATGACCTTGGACTCTCCTTATACTTATTTAAGGCTATCAAACCATTCGTGGCTGTCTCGTAAGTGTGACCCAGTTTGCGGATATATGCAGACAGAACCTGAGGAAGAAAGGAATATTAGTATTGACCCAAAAATAGTAAGGAGATGTATGAGGAATTCGTTAGCCACGAACCTTGAGATTTATCTCATTATCATCTACGATAAGCACATGTAGATTGTTATTTTGCTTGGACACATTTCGGAACTTCGACACTGGGGAACCCTCGGTTACTAAGGGAGTCAGTCGTTCATGAACCGGCGTCGGAGATTCCGAAATCTGTGCATCTATAGCTGTCTGGTTTCGTGGTACCCGTAAAGAGTCATGCACTGGTTGTTTCGTGGTTTCGTTGGCCTCCAAAGTCCAGTTCAAGGCCTCGAGAATTTTGCGAGGGTAGAAACTTTACCGCAATTATGATTCAGTAAACAAATGTAAGTAACGAGGGGAGGAAAGATTACTCACGGTGGATGTATAGAAACGATTTCTCCTCTGTTTTTGAGGTCGAGAACGGCCGAAGATGGCATTATGTCGCCTAGGACTATCAGTCGATTAAAGCCAAATGTATCAATTGACCGTGATGGCTTCTCCCGAATCATCTTGTCTAAAGTTTCCTCTTCCACAATAGCGACATCTCCACGCGCGCTGCTGAAAGTTTCGGCAAATGACACACTCCAACCGGAGCGGTGGGTGATTACATGAGCGAAAAGGCTCTGAATACAGAGCCTACGTTTCGCTTCCCGACTCAAACTGCCTGTTGGCACTTCTGTCAGCTCAGAATATCCATTGAACCCTATGAGGCAAAATTTGATCAATTTCGCTCCATCAGGGACAGGAGTTTGCGACAGAGAAAGCAGGGATGCGTTCGGCGCAGGGTGGATGGGAATGAAGACATCCACCTGCGTCCCAATGTCGCGTTCACTTTTCACATCAATTGTGCCTTTCATGAGACCGACTAGTTGCTGCACAATGCTCATACCCAGTCCAACTCCTTCCGAAAGCGAGTCCTCCTGTGCAAAGGGCGAGAACAATTTGTTCCTTAGAAAATCAGCTGACATTCCGTGTCCAGTATCGACGATTGACAAGTGAGCGACTTCGCTAGTGCCTTGAGACTCCTTCCTGAGCTTACGCAGCGAGACTTCGATGAAACCAGCTTCTGTATGTTTGAGTGCGTTGCCAAAGATATTCATGATAATTCGCCTCCAGGCGCCGGAGACAGATTGCAACTTCCAAGCATCTTGTTCGGTAATGCGGAGAACAACTGAAAGATTGCCATTGCTCTTATCCCCTAATTGCATGGCTTCGGTAGGTGAAGAAGCAATGTTACGTGAAACAGAAGCAGCATGCTTCTCGAGGTACAGGGCGTTGACAACTTCCTCCAGTAGGACGCCGAGGTCAAATGTTCCGACTAAATTAGCCGTAGAGTGATGTGAATCATTCTCTGAATCAGCTTTTGTCAAATTGTTGATTTTTGTGAAGTCCAACCTGTAGAAATAGACTTAGTCCTTCGAATATATGATGAGTATCAGACTCGAATCCACTTACAAATGATTCATCGTGTCCAGAAGAGTAAGTCCACACGTCTCTAGCATCTTAACTAGATCATGCTGTTCAGGCTGTAAGGGAGTCCCAAGTAGCAACTCGGCACTAGCCAGCATTCCATGCAGAGGAGAGCGAAGCTCGTGACTGACGGACGAGATAAAACCGGACTTTGACTTTTCTTGTTCAAAAGTCGTCACTCTTGCAACTTCTGAAATTATTGTGTCTCCGAACACTTTGAAGTAGTTAAATTCTTCCAACTCTAGAGGTCGCTCGCTATCGCGAGACCAGATGAGAGTACCTGCCAGCCACTGGCCTTTATTCCAGTCCCACAAGGGAAGGAAAATCACGGATTTAGCTTCTGGGAAGTAGCTTAACAACCGTGCTGCCGTTTCTGCGACATCACTTGGATCGCTTTTATGCGACTCCGGGCTACCCCAGAATGCTCGTGCGCGTATATGAGAGGTTGCCTCATGATCTGCGTCCACTGGTTCATCAGGGGAAGAAGGTAAAATGCCGTCTAAATCGAACACTTTTCCCCGAGGGTATTTGGTGATCAAATGTTGAAGGAACGATTCCGTTATTGAGTAGATGGTGGTGTCATCTTGAGTGGTAGCGTGGCCGAATTTGGGCAACGGAGAACTGAGAACTTTGCACAATGCGTCTTTTGTATTGGGAGGAGAATTGCTTGCATTATCAGTGTCGACCGTCGTTGGAAAAGGCTCCCAATCTGTTGACTCTAGGGAAGGGCCACTTAAAGAGAGTAAGTAACAAACCCAATACAGAAGGAAGGTTGGAAAAACTTACATCCCAGAGTTGCAATGGCAGGCGTCAAGAAATAACACATCATCTAAATCCATGGATGCTTTTAGCAAGGTACACGCATGAGAAAATATGGCTTCGATGCGCCTTGAAATAGGTACGTCTTCCTTAACGGCAACAGAGGTAGCGCCTGCAGCGGTTGTACCCACGACAGATTGCTTGCGATTCACAGATGGTTTTGTAGTTCTATCTTTGGTGAAATCATCGATGCTAGGCTGGGAGATGGCAGTCATGTGCAGCGGAGAGGAGATAGAAGTACTCGCTGTGAAATTTGAAGAGTCCTGCCTCGATACCAATGGTGAAGTCTCGTCAGTCACCGTGCTTGATAAAGATAAGTATTCCATCATATTCGGATGCAAGTCGTCTAATGATGATTTTTTTGACAGATTTGGTAAGCGCGTCAACGGTGAGATGCTTTGTTGCACATTCGATGATGGTTCATCATCCGGATGACCTTTCACAAAGTCCGTCAATCCTTGCACTAGTCGATCAGAACGCGCATGGTAATGTACCATTCTGACATTCTCCAGATGGCGCGAGATTGAATCCGAGATTTCTTGAAGCGCGACAACATCGGCATCACTGAAATTCTGTCGCGGCTTGTCATCAACTACACAGAAGCTACCCAATACATAACCGGCAGGACTATACACAGGAACCTCCGCATAGAAACGAAAGAAAGGCCATCCAACCACATACGGCTTATCCTTGAAGTTATTTTCGAGGGTGAAGTCACGAACGATAAAACGAGTAGGATTCGCTGTCACATTGGCCGTGTTTTGCAATTGAGGAACATGCTGACCGGTGAACAATTTCATTGCATGTGGACAAACGCCAAACACTAGGTCCAGTGTCGTAACGCCTAGGTATATTCCATCGTTCGGTAGATGCTTTTTGCTGTCTCGTAAAGAGATCGAAGCCGTCGCCTCGGATATAATATGTTGGTTTTGGCCATCGATCAGAGAGACAAATGCACGGTTACATCCGAAACGGTAGACGCCCAGCTGTACTAGGGCAGTAAGGATGATATCTTGGGAAAGTGACGGGGTCCGCTTCCTATCCCCGTCTAACTGAGGCGATGGAGTTGCGTTTGGGGATGTTGAAGGCTGGCGAATAGCACTGTAATATCTGTTCGATAAACGGCAATCAACGATTGTTCAAAAAAAAAAAAGGAGCAGAGCATGCACACTAACCTCGACAAATCCCGTATCCGCTTCTTCTCAGCGTCAAATGAAGGTAACTGACCACGCGCTGGTAAGGCGGACAGCGGTGTTCCCATTCTTCACTTTTTCTTAATAATATGATCAGTAAGCGAACGTGCCAGCGCGAGGCACATTGCGCATTGGTTTCTGAGAAGGAAGGCGATCACAAGAGGGGGAAAAGAGGGAAATTGGGCAGGTTTCGCTGGAGAAAAACAGCCGACACCTCTGATTCGCTGCATGCGTTCCCCGACTATTGACTGCCTTGGAAAGATGGCTCGACAACTAGTCCTAGTTAGTACTAGCGCATTAGCAGCGGGCCCTATCTGGACTGCTCATTCGTCGTTTGAGTGGGCGGATAGTTTGGACTGGCGCCTGTGAGTGGCCAGACCAGCCAAATTGACGTCAACAATCAATCCAACGGGCTTCTAGACCACATGCCACATGGCACGTGCGGCGAGGCTTTCCGCCAATCACCGCTGAGGCCTATATGGGTCTATTGAACACTGTCTACACAGGAAGGGAATAGCGTGGAATTATTTTTAAGCGGGCTATGTACACATAAAGTAATAAAGTAAAGATATACGACCAATACTAACAGTTCAGGATATCAAAGTAAATGCACTACTGCTACTGCTGCTAAAATTCTTTTTTTCTTTTTTTTTTTTTTTTTTTTTTTTTTTTCACGAAAGGACGAGCTTCTGAGCTTGGGCATCTCCGTCGTAACTAGCCAACGCCAGAAAACTCGTATCGTCGTCGAGTGTCAATAGGCCAGCCCATGAAGCGCCTGAAGGAAATGCCTCGGTCATGTCTCCCCAGGTCGAGCCACCGTCGGTACTAGTAAGGACTTGGATGGATGCATCATTAAGGTCGTTTGGATCGTACATAAAGCTCACGACCAGAGTGCCACCGACATTGATGACCTGCGGGGCCTGCGCATTCCAACCGGATTGTGCCTCGTAGACAACTGCACGGTTGCCCCATGTGGCACCGCCATCGGAGCTGGTCTGTGAGTGGACTGAGAAAAGGCCACCGTCCGTTTCAGACTCGAAGACCATAATGAGGTTTTCACCATCGACTGTCGCAACACCGATCATGCCATCGCGAGTATCGCCGTCACCTCCGCTGCTGATGACAGTAGCCGAGGTCCACGTGGCGCCGCCGTCGGTTGAGGTTCGCATCAAACTTTCCTGGTCAACACCGGAGTCCTGGCGCGAGTAGTACAGTTGCAATGTGACGCCATCCTCGGCCATGCGCAACAAGGGCTCCCAGTTACCGTCGGTCGGGCCCGGGTCCGATGCTGGGGTGCTCAAGTATGACCATGTTGCGCCGTTATCGTCAGAGTAGCAGATAGTGATGCGGAAGTAAGTGTAGACGCCGTCCTGGAGAGAGTGGTTTCTGAAGGCAATCAGGATACGACCATTGGGGAGCTGGAGCGGATATGGGTTATCGATGTCTGTGGTCGACGTGGGTCCTGATGCCACAGTACCGGTTTTTGTCCAGCTCACTCCGTTGTCAGTGGAGGTAGCGACAGTGATAATATGTTCATCGTCCGGGGTAGCAGTGTAAGCAGCGAGGATGGAACCGTCCTGGAGGTAGTTGGCGCGTGGATATGTTCCACTTCCTATAACAACCTCTGAGCCGGAGACAGCTGGTACAGCGCCCGTACGCTTTTCAACTGGCGCGGCCAATGAAGAGGAGGAAAAAAGGAGAAGAGCTGCGGCCGATAGCCGAGCGAGGAACTGTTGTGCGACCATGGCAACGAAAGATCACCTTCTGCCAATGTTGTAAAAAGGATGTGAAAAAATTGGGTTATGTTGCACAAGAGCTGGTTGTGTACTGAGATAGTATCACGGTAGGCAGTCTTGGGCGGAGACGAGGACCCCTTATATAACCCTTTGATCAAGCGCTCATGCAAAGTTTCAATCAAAGCTTAGCATGCAAATGCGGGACATGGCAGATGCATTGGAAGTTTCTAGCTTCAAACTTTCTGCTACCTGTGCAAAATCACCAAGCCATGCTAGTTAGTTCAAACTTAAGTATAGTGGCAATGCCGCTGCACCATGAGCTAACGATCTTCAAGCTGATGGAGCAAGCTACCGATGTCACCCGGACGTAGCATACATAATTTTCAGGACTAGGAGCACGTAATGCAGGTGCACTTGGCACTTGACTAGCACTTAGCGTTAGGTACATGGCTATTCTACCCACTTGGCGACAGCAGGTCACGCTGTATTACGTAGGTATTTTTGGCCTTGCAGCCGCAAAAGCGCCCACTTGCGGAGTGTTTACTCAATGCCGATTCCGCAATCGTCTTGATATAACTTCCTAAAAAAAGTAGCATGATAAGCAGTAAGCAACTTTAATCTTCAGCCGGCTCCATAGGGCGTACTATTTATATCGGGCTGTGCGGCAGAGCAAAGTTAATCGGCTCGTTAGGGCTTATTGCGGGCAGAGCCTTGCAAAAGGCACTTAATTTTACCCATTTCAGGCAAAACAGACAACTCCACCCATTATATTAGTCAAGAAAGCGAGCAGAGGGGCAGTTATTAATGAATAGATACTGGACATGTTCTTTAGCTTGCCAACTGACTAACCTTTTTTGAGAGAAACAACAAGTCTCAAGGTTGGATGCTACTGTGACTTCAGCTAATACCGCCGCCACCAACAATACCTGGCAATTCACCAGTGGCTTTCATTTGGCACCTCCCGGGATACCACTCTCTGTTCACTTAGCGTCGAGTATATTGAGGTAGGTATAGCATGCGTTCGAAATGATGACATCTTAGCGGGGGTTTGGCTTCTACGTGGGTGCCCAGTTCATCTGTACACAAATGCGCCAAGACGTTACTAGGTACATGCATCCATGCATCCTCGTCAAGCCACCGGCCCTAGTACTGTGGAGGCTTTAATAATAATATACAAGGCCGGATACGGCGTAGTGTATGTAATTTCTGGCATTCGGCGGATGCAAAAAATCTAGAAGCAATCGGGGTTTCATTTTTCCATCCAGGTGTATATAAACGAGCAACAACATGCCGTTCCGGTGCACGACTCGAAAGCTGGGAGCTTTCTACTTCTCCCCTCAGACTAGTTGGAGATCTAGTCATTTAGGTGCGGCTCGGTCGACAATAGTGCCTGGATTTCTGCAACCTCAGAAGGGGCATTCTAGCAGTAATTCGTGTCAACCGGCATTCCAAAACTTGAGACGAGCCACGGAGTACCCGTGGGCCATCGGACGTTCCGGCAGTTCACCTAAGCGTCTAATCTGATGCCGGGTTTCACTATAGTGAGCCAGCAAGCCGCCTAAAAGTTTAATCATAAGACGAGGATCCCGATCCTTAATGTCATTATTTGAATGATTTCCATCGCTCCTCAAATCTTTTGTTTATTTCTTACTTTCTTGTTTTTGATTAGGGAAAAAAAAAATTGTAAAACTAATCGCCATGGGCGCCAGGAACTGTCCAATAATTTACATGAAAGCTAAAATAGTACACATGCAAATCTTGGCCCCAATGTATTCGTATCCCAGCAGCTAGTATACGTACTTAATTTCTAATCTTCAACACATTCGCGCCGCTTTACCTGGTAGTTGGGGGCAGGATGCGCATACTTAGTTGAATGACTAGGCTTTGAAGTTTAAGAATACCACCTCACAATGCTGCTAGTACGTATATGGCGCGCCAGGGCGAGATGTACCCTAGTAGTGAAGACGAATGCAACAAGAGAGGGATACACGTCGCTATCCCGTATCTAAATGCCTTGGCTAATGAGGTATGTTTAGTTATAGCACGGTCACGTTGGCTTGCCAAAAATTCCAAGGTCGATTTAGAGCCTTCTTTTCTCGGCATACAATTATAACAGGTCTGTCAGATGATATACCAATTTATATATCCTTTAGGATCTCATGCCTCCTAACATCGAATACCAATGGTAACTCCATCCGAGTATAGATAAGTATGGAGTACAATACCATGTCTATTTCAGTGTTGCATACCCCGGCAAATACCTAAAAGGGGCTGCAACTGCTAGCATGCCATTCTAGTATCTACTATTTATAAAGATCAGGGGAACGGGCGCCCCCTATGGAGTACTCTGTACGTGTATGTTTATCGTTAATAGTTAAGTGCTAGGTTAGTGCTATGCAACTTTGGAGGATCACCTGTAGTTAGCGCTAGAGCATGATCCACGTTGTAGTACAACAGCTTATCTGAACTTGATTTCCAGTTTGAGCCATATAAACATGCAGCCATCTGCATCAGTGACCATCGCCTTATTGGGCAAATTGAGAGCGAAGATGTCTCTTCTACAGCGAACACCCGCGAACGTGCTGAGTAGTATGTACTATGCGGCGTACGTGTGCCTCTCTTATTCTTCCTATCTCAGGAGCTACTCCTTACAACATTTATATGCTACTAAATGCAAACAACATGTACCCATCGGGTTCAAAGTCGGAACACTAACATTCCGACACATAAACACATCTTTCGGGACTACATAAAGTTTCCCGATCCAAAACAATGTTACTTTCCTACCTTGTAAGGTGGCGTCTACTAGGTCTTGTCCCACCCACTATGCCTCTTTGCACTAGATTTGAGTAAATAATCCACAAAACTGCGTTAAGGATTTGAGTTGGCTGCAATATCAGCCACAATACTACATTGTACATACAATGCTTGAACTGCGATGAATTGGGGCTTTCAGAAAGCCTTGTTATAGGATTCGGATCACGAATAGACTCGATTTATGATCAAACTTTAGATTTAGTGGAACTGCCGCTGATTTAACAATCATATGACGCTTGCTCTCATATTGATTGCATGATTTCACATCTGCTTAGTGCGTCCAAATAAAAGCCTGTAGGCAAGCCACCTGCAAGTAAGCCGGTAAGCAGCCCACGTGCATAGCAGTTGTAATAGCTTAATATGAAAGCAGTCATGTTAAACTTTTGTGTGGCTTTTAGAAGTATTTGTGTTGAAAGCTATTCAGGATCTAGTTTTCCGCGTTATCGATCATTCTTTTCTAGCCTAAACCGTACCAATATAAGGTGCTGTGTCTGAGAACGTGGAACGATATGAATGGTAGAAGTTGGTCGTCTTGATCTATCTCCAATGTAAGGTATAGTGGTTGTGCCTTTTCTAGTTTCCACAGACATGAGGAACGCCAGTCATGCCCAATCTTTATAAGTTTGCTTAGATCAGTCTGCGCTATTGCATACTTGCCATCTAGTTCTTCACTTTAGATATAGCACACCGGATGATGCGGTTCTTTCCTATAGTGTCCCTGAAAGTTTAGAGCTAAGACAACCTTCAAGTCAACTAATTAGCGCTCGAAGTTGATGTTATCAAGAACATATAACTAGTTAATCCCCTGTCAAGGGATTAAACGAATGATATGTTCAAAGATCTCGTCTTGTCATCAACGGTCCAGATATGCTGAGAACAATCTGAGTTTGGAACACTGGATACATTAATGAGGAACATAAATAGAGTATGTCCTCCATCGAGGCAGCCATATCTACACAAACAGCTCTTCAGATCTTAGATGGATCGCGTAACGGCACACTTGACCAGGCCCCGCCTCGAACATAGTCTGGCGAGCCAGCTTCCACACTGTCGATGGCCATATTACCCAGCTTTCTCCACATGTCGCCCTTGATGACGAATCCGTCCTGGTCTTCGTACTTCTTGCAGAATTGCTCGGCATTTGCGAGGGCGCGAACAAGCTTGCACGCGTGCCCGTCGTCGTGATAGATCTTGACCCGCTTAAATATATCCTCCCAGGATGAATCTTTTTTTGACTTATAATTAACAATCTCGTCAAGAAGTAGCTCGGGAGGCCTTGGCGAGGCATACATGGCCAAGTCCATGCGGATTTTCCATTCAAGGAGTCGGGTCTTACTGGGCATTGACAGCCATGGCTGCTGTAGAAATGAGCAGAAAAAGATGCCAAGGTTTACAGCGTGTATGTAAAAAAAGTCGAATTTGACCTGGTAAGGCGGATTTTGCGCGGCACCGGTGAAGTATACTTTCAAACGTCAGTCAGTCAACATATTAATTTTGCCCTGGAAAGCTCACCGGCTGCATTAATCATCTCGGCTGTTTTTTCTTCCAGGTTCTCCTCTGAGACATGTACTTGACTGGCGTACTTGGTTATGTTTCTTGAAGCACGATCTGGGTCTGCATAGATCTCATCCAAGAGCAGGACGATGGGTTTGCTATCTGAACCCTGGGCTTTAGCAGCTTTCTCACTGTCGATTAAATGTGACGCTTCCCGGTTGTGGTGAACGGCAGCTTGGGCCAAAGCCTCTGCAATAATAGCAGGCTGCTCAAACTCGACGCCGAAGCCTAGATGGATAATTGGGTGAAGCACACCACTAAACATGCGTACGAGCATGTCATCTGCCCGCGCATCTCCATTGAATACGTAGTCGTTAAGTACCTCCTGCCAGCCCTTGTGGCTAATCTCCTCTCCAAAAAAGACAAGGAAGTTATGATAGTGTTTCTCGTTGCCCAAATAGGCCTTGTATCTCTCTGGATTGTGCATCTCCGTCACAATGGACTGCTCGAACGGCAACAATGGTCGTTGGTACGACACATTGTCGTCCCAGCCTTGCCTGAGCTCGGCGACAGTTGCATTAAGGGCGAATAGAGAGAGGAGATGGTGGGCGATATGATTCTACTGTATAGTCAGCAAAGGTGTGCGGCATTAGGTCATGCTGAAGATGGCGTACATGAAAGCCCGCATAGTTGAAGAATATGTGATGTTTCTCGTGATTCTTTTGCAATAGCTCGCTTGTCACATTGGCAGTCTCTGATGTGATTCCAGGAACACGGAACACGAGCTTCTGCGACGGCGAGAGGTGGACTTTCGAAGATGAAGCCATGGTGCGAGATGAAGAGGCACTCCACGGGTTAAAGTTCCAAAATGCGGACCTGCGGGCGAATCGACTGAGCATGACCTTGGGGAACATGTAAGTCTACTGTTTTTCACCAGCACTCCAAGGAAGAGTTTTCTCGTGGCGCGCAAGAGTGATGCTTCTACCCTCACTAGTTACGTTCTGTTCTAGGCTGGTCGTTGGGCGCTTGCAGCTTAGTAAGCGAAGAGCTGCGAACGACGACTTCTCTCGTATCTACCTTGGATTCTCTAGTTCCGAAGGCCATGTGCAACATATGGCACTTCGCGCACGCAGGTCGATTTGCATTCAAACAAAAGATCCAGCAAATGCAGATTGACTAGACTATTTAGAAGTCAGAATCAACCCCAGACACTCCCTGTGGAACGTCTAGATAAAGCTCCAAATGGCCCGGAGGTTCCTAAATATTGCGTTCCGCCCGCCATGATATTCCAGTCAAGTGAAGACGTCATGGATGCAAGAGTCATCATCTCAGACTTCGGGGAGGCATTTCTTCAAGATGAAAAGCGCAATGAATTACACACACCGATCTTGCTCGCCCCGCCAGAAGTATTTTTCAATGAGCATCTAGGCATGCCTATAGACATTTGGACTCTTGGATGCACTCTTTATGAGATTCTTGGGGAACGCCCTCTATTTGAAGGGTTCATGCCAGACCAGGACCATGTAATCGCGGAGATGATAAGCACTTTAGGACATCTTCCAAAACGCTGGTGGGACAGATGGCAGCAAAAGTCAGACTTTTTCCACGAAGACGGTTTTTGGAAAACAGACACACACCGCAGTCATGCGCCGTATTCCCGGCCCTTGGCTGAGCGACTGCGTGTTATGGGACGAGGAGAGCAACCGTCAACGTGCGAGTTTGGTGTGGAGGAAATGACATGTCTCCGGAAGCTTCTAGCATCAATGTTGACGTTTGAGCCTGCTCAGCGTATCACTTCTAATGCGGCGGTTGCATCGGAATGGATGGAGAGGTGGGGGACGCCAGCTATAAAGAAGACCTGTACGAGTCTTCGCGATACTTCATCCTGAAGAGGTGATTGCAACAGAGAATTGTCATTATAATTCAGAGTCATGGTCAATGTCGTCCAATTATTGATTATTGACACTCGTAGCATGCGATATGATGAAGGAATCCATGGAACCCGTGGATTCCGGACATCAATCTTCTCTAAATCTATACTTATCTATACTAGTCACACTTGATGTATAATTGCCTACCATACAGTAGTAATATATTCCTGAAGTGAAATGACGAAAAGTAGTCTCGTCCATGAGTTTGACAGCGTCGAGTTACTACGTTGTGGGATAAGCACTGCCTTTGGTCTGGAGCTTTTTGGCCCATTGATATAGTAATAGAAATAGTTGAAGAGTTTCGTCTATGAGAATCAACTATCATTTGTAGTGATGCGTGTCTCTTTCATATGTGATTTATAATGCGGTTCGTTTCGGTGTATTACGAAACAAAGAGGCCTGATAGTGATAGATTCTAGGTAATCCTTCTCGTTTAAGGATAATCAGATACTAGGACAGGAAGTTGTGGGCAGGTATTCATCAGCTTCTCTGGATTTCCGACTAAATAACTAAGTCACGCGCATGTTAAATGTGCAATTTGGCCCGTGCCGCTTGGCTCTGTAGGCGTATTAAGTATTTTCGTGATAAGCATGAATGAGACGTAATTTTCCGAGGATATCGATTGACCAAACCATCCAATCCCAGTGTCCCACTTGGGTCCGTCCAATCCATGTTTATAATGAATCAATCGAGAGAGCTGAGTCAGGAAACAAAAAAAAAAAGAAACGAAGACTAACTAGACCAGACTCGGTTAGGAATTCGGCGTTTGGCTTTGGGCTGGCTTTTCCCCAACCGAAAAACGCCGGCTGGGAATTTTCAGCAATAATCTCAGTCTGTCTATTCCGATCTGGCCTTTTGTCGGCTCTTGGCTCTCAATTCGAGTGTTTCCTCTCAAACTGCCTAAGAATCCAGCCCCGCGGAGCTTTCCCACCACGAGCCACTGGCACAGCGAGTATTCCGGATGAAGCCATAATCCATGCGGCTTTCCTATTGCCAGAACGGAGTTTTCAGCCCGGAGAAAGCCAATAAATCGCATTCCTAAAAGAGCAGCGGCAGGAAGGGGGCCAGAAATGGAATGGAGTACGGAGTAAGACCATCGGAATTCAGACTCGCCTATTCGATTCTCAGCTTAGTAGCGTGGGACAGCGTCATGCTGCTGCCAATGGAACGCATTCCATACTTTATAGTTGCAACTAGTCGGTTAGTTGTGGTGAGAGACCGTACAACCAATCGAATCATACCCCGCGCCCACCCGATGATTTCGATTGTGCTCGGTTTTTTCTCCTCCCCCAGCTCAGCTTCGGTTTTGTTCTCTTTCCAATTCTGCTGATTTGGTTTATCCTTCCTTGTTCTCCTTGTTTTTGGTTTTGGTTTTGTTTTCCCCTTCCTTCTCATTTCCTTCAATTTCCCTTTCGCACACCGGGATTCAGTCTCCATCACAATGGCGGACGTTGCACAGCCAAAGCCGGCCGCTGCACCCGGTCGAGAAGAGCGCATCAAGTTGAGGTCGGCCTGCGATCGCTGCTCTCTGAATAAAATCAAGTGTAGCCAGGATAAGCCAGAGTGCCAGCGATGCAAGACACTAGGCGCCCAGTGCCATTACAGCCGGTCGATGAGGATGGGCAAGCCGCGCAAGTCGGCCAAGGCCAAAGCCATGGCGAACGCGAAATTGCCGGGGAAGCCAGTAGCAGAGGGTGGCGATGCAGACAGGAACAGCAGCAATAGTAGCCCCGTCGGCAGTATCGAGCAGCAGCAGCGTCTGGCGCCAGCAGCAGAGCTACAGTGGTCCGCCGACTGGAGCTTCGACAACCTCTTGGCCGCCCACGATCACATGGGCGGCGCCTCAGGCACCCCCGCCGCGGCGGATCCTTTCAAGGCCTTGTTCGACCAGCACAGCAACAACAGCAACAACAACACCGTAGTTCCCACTGCCGATATTATGACCGTCGATGCACTCTCTGCTGGTTACAGCCACTCGGACGATGCCTTTCTCAGCTTTCCTCAGTCGCCCCTCTCCCTGCAGAAGCCGATCAAGGACGAGCCGGAGAACGTCTACCTCTCCCCAAGCAGTTACTACGCCCCCTCCTTTGACTCGACGCTGCTCTCCACTGGGTCGAACTCGCCCTTCGAGGACCTGGGCCCGTCTCTGCTGTCCCAGTCCCACGACTGCACGCAGTTGGCCCTGGAGACCTTGACGTCACTGTGCCAGCCCTCGACGGCGCAGAGGACCGGAGAGGGACAGCCACGTCCCACCATCGACCAGGTGCTGAAGATGAACAGCGAAGCCATGAAAAACGTTTCTACCATTCTTGCCTGCAGCTGTGCCAAGGACTCCTCGTTCCCAATGCTTCTCAGCACCATCTTCAACAAAGCGTTGGCCTGGTACCGTGCCGCAGTCGAGTTCCATGACATGACGGGTGACACCATCAACTGTGTCAAGGAGGAAATCGTGCATCGGCCCATCAGCGTCGGAGGATACGAACTGGATGACGAATCCAGCGATCTCATGAAGATCCAGCTCGTGCTGAACTGCCTGCGTATGATGTCTAAGCCCGTGAAGCAATACATCGAGGCGTATTCCAGCGTTGCATATGGTCCTCGGCCAATGTCACCGTCCTCAACAGACGGGAGCTCCTCTGATCTCAAAACCTCTGATGCCCATCTCGCGGTCGGCATGACACAAGTGTACTCGACAATGGGCACCTTCATCCAGGGAAGCCTGCGATCTGCAATTGATGAATTGCAATCGAAGCTCGCCTTGATGGGCGGCCATCTTTGAATGAAGATTGGGCCTGCCCATTGAATTCCCTGCGTTGCTCCTTGTCGTCTCATTTGTTGTCGTCGAAGAATCCTATTTCTCATTGAGGTTTTGGATCACGCATTCTTCAACCTTCATTTTCAACTAGCATTTTCAACAGGTGTTTTACAGGTGTTTCAACAGTGTCTTTCAACAGGATCTATACCCCATGGGAATTTCAACAGGTGTTTTCAACATGATATTTTAGCGGATTTTTCAACATGATACAAATAAGCTCAACGCTTTATAATGTTCTCAACGACTAATGACTTGGACTGGGACAGGAGCCCAGCTGTGACGGATGCGGCGTTATACTATTGATATTCATTTGTTTTATTTCTTGTTCCTTTGACCTCGTCGCGAGTGGACTCCTTAACGTGACTTGTGCGACGTACAGGATCTTCAACACATACCTACAACCAATGGACTTGGATGGTGCAATTTAACACGAACACACACGATTTGACCAATCCGAATACTGGATAGCCGAACCAAATGTCTGATACAATTGTTATGTATTGTACCAGGAATATGGAATAATATCAACCCAAAGCTTATGTTGACATCAGTCATCATTTGATTTCGCTTTTTCTCTTTGTCTATTCGCACGATTCTTCTATTTACAAAACTGACCATGTCCAGGAAACATTTAAAACAAAAGACACAATTATTGACCTGACCTAGGGCCGACTCATCCAATCACTTATTTTCCGTTGGCGATCACAGTAGCCTTCCCATCCCACTTATTGTTCTGCGCAATATCCACCATATACCTTGCTACACTAGCCCTCGAAATGCTAGGCATAAACGACGCCTTCTCACCCTTTTCCCCCAATGAGACCACCGTGTCCTCCTTCCCATTCGTCAACATCGCTGGCCTGACCACCACAAACGAGATATCCGCCGCGCTTTTGAGGGCGTCCTCGGCACCCTTGTGATCTGCAAACTTCGTCGCCATAGGTGTTGCCTTGACGGCTCCGCGCATGAGGAAATTCAGCCCCGGGAATGAATCACCCACCCCGAACGCTGACATATATATGATTTTGATGGATGTGTCGACACTTCGTACAGCACTGACAAAGTTATTGGTGACGTGCGTGAGAAACAAGGCGCCGTTATCGAATACCGCTCCCTTGGCGTGGGCAAGCGTGATGATGACTGCGTCAGGTTTGCGTGGCGTATCAAGAGCCTTTTTGATATCATTCATGTTGACTGGCGTGCCTTGGATGAGCTTCAGGCCTGCTCTGTTTGGGACAGAGGCCGGGTTGCGCACAAGCGCTGTGATGGTGTGACCTGAACTGGCTGTTAGCGCGCAGGCCTTGATTGAATAAAACGACAAGAAGAACAAGAAGTGACTAACCTTGGCTGACTAAGTTATCAATGACAAGGCCCCCAGTCTGGCCGCTGCCGCCTGCAATGAGCACGTGCATGATGATTGGATAATTTCTTTGATATTAATAAGTCGTCTGTTGTTGGTTTTTGTTGCTTTTTTTCTTGTATGAAAACAAAGGCTTGAATAGATGTTAGGTCAATTGATAAGTGAAAAGAAAATGCATCTTGCAGCAGCAGCAGCACCTATCTGTCTTATATAAGTTATCCTTAAATCAGTGTCAGCAAAAAGTCTGTAACTAGCTCATGGTCAATATTTGACGCTTTACAAATCAGAGTCGGCTTTACGGCCTCCGATTCCGAAAGAGGTAAAGTTAATCCCGAACTCCGTATCCGCTTCCGGCAAAGAAACCCGCTTAAGCCGAGGAGCCTCGTCGGCGCATTCGTTTCATTATAAATCACAGAATTAGGGAGGGAACGCAGTAATACACCGATCACTGTGGTCCTCACATCAAGACAAAGGTCCTGAAAGATCTTTCTTGTACCCTCTAACGAGAGCATAAAATATCAAACAGTTGTGCTCTTCTTAACTGGCTCGGCTATGCACACCGCCAATTGTCCCTGATTTAACAGGTGGTCAGTAGGAATTAGATCTTAAGTCTTTTCGTCAACGACCAACGCGTTTACATGGCTTTGATAAATGTGAGCAATTGAAGTTTAATGTATTTAAAAAAAAGAGACGAAGATGGGCTTCTGGCCACCCCGGCAATCATTCAATGACGGGAACCTGCGAGACGTCCAAGACTTAACTACTCCGCGTGTAATCCTCAATTCACCAACATCCATACAAAGCACTTATTATATCGACTGTCGTCTATTGACTCTGGCATTCTGAGGGTTTTAATTGGAGAGATCGTAAATTGTCGCACCTGATTGGTAGACATTTACATCGCCGCCCGGATCTACAGTCTCTGATTGGCTCGTTCGTAATTTACTATATCTGATTGGCCTCTGACAGCTTTTGATGCCTTCATTGACCTTCACCTTCTTATCGTTCTGGGAAAAAACTACCTCCTAGCAGAGAAATTGGGCGAAATATGGAAATGTTGGGTACATTTGAAGGGGGAATAACTAGCCGTAGCCGCAAAACTATAAGAAGACCAGAAATCCAGCATTCGATAAGTAATATTATTTCCTTCAACTCGCCATAGTACGTACAATATCTTGGTATATATACCTATCTATGTACCTCAAGGCTACGAAAAACAATTATATCAGTCAGTGCAATGAGCTACAAATCGAAAGTTGCAAGTTTTCTCCCAGAAAGGGACATCCCTGACCTTTCAGGGAAGGTCATTCTGGTCACAGGAGGTATGGAGCTACATACTGTCCATCACGATTTGTATATAGACTGACAATTTGCATAATAGGTAATGGGGGTTTAGGAAAAGAACTTATTCTTTCCGTTGCCAAAAAGAATCCAAAACAGATATTCATGACTGGACGTAATGAATCCGCATGCCTTCGCGCCATAGAAAATATCAAATGTCAAGTCCCGAATATTTTGCCAAATATCACTTTCCTTCAATGTGACTTGGCGTCCTTGAGTACAGTCCAGAGTGCTGCAGAGCATTTCCGTCGCGAAGCAGTCCGACTGGATCTACTGATTTGCTGTGCCGGCATCATGATCGTCCCCCCAGGCCTGACAAAGGATGGATACGAGATACAATTTGGAACCAATCACCTCGGCCACGCGTTGCTGACCAAACTGTTACTACCAGTATTGCTGAAAACTGCTAAGGAACCAAACGGTGATGTTCGCATCGTTGTCTTTTCGTCACAGGGATGGAATCTTCATCCCAGGAAGGGCATTGTGTTCGACAAGCTCCGCACAACACAGGCCGACTTATGGATTGCGCGATACCAGCTTTACGGCCAGAGTAAACTTGCAAATACTCTGTATACCGCGGAACTGGCGCGCAGGTATCCACAATTAACTTGTGTGTCTATTCATCCTGGCGTCGTCATGACGAATCTGGTCACTTCTACCACGGATATTGATCAGAAGATTGTCAAGCTCACTTCTTCGAGCAAGATACTCACTCCAGAGGAAGGAACGAGAAATGCTCTGTGGGCAGCTACAACAAAGAAAGAAGCAATCAACAACGGAGCTTACTACGAGCCCCTCGGCGATCTGGTGAAGCTGGGGCGTAAAGGGAACGACACGGATTTGGCGCGGAAATTGTGGGAGTGGACGGACAAGGAGCTTGAAACGTACACAAATGACGACGATTGGAGTTGAAAAGGTTCGCTGGCTTTTTTACGTTTGTTTTCCTTGGTTTCATTGTCGTTGCTCGTGTTTCCTATGTGTTTGGCGCTCAACGGATCGTCTATGATGTACTAGGTATTTGAACCCCATAATTTACATAAGATTCAGCATATAATTACGTAGCTAATCCTAAGTTTATTTGTCGTAAAGAGTAGCGGACTTGCTCAGGGTGAATTGGTTAGTCTTACCATGACAAAGGCCTTCATTGCGGCACCTGTAGCCATTTCCTGTTTAATAAAAAAGAGCAGTCTATTTCTACCTATGTTAGTAATGTACAGACTACCCTGTAGTTTTATAAAGCATAAAAGCAATTGCCACTGCATATCTCACACCATAACGCATGAAGCTGACAAGAGTAATGCACCGGAAGCTTTGTTCTTCATGCACAAAGCATTTACTGCACTTATCCAAGATATAGCCCCCAGTGAATAAAACATGTTGATGATGCATCATTCAAAATTGTCAACTTTGCAATGTCCCTAGCGAGGGACCGTCGTCCGTTAAGAACATATACATCGCCGAACAGCTACGGATTGTCCGCGACAATGTCCGAGCGGCTGCACCGCGGCCCCAGAGCTGCAAGCTATCTTTGACCCGGAACGGATGATCAATAGTATACCAAGCCCGGCGATGATGCGACAAGGGTCTGGAAATAGTAATGTGTCTCCTTATGCCTGGGACCGGAATCGGAGTCGGCTGAACTGCCCGCCGATGCTCCTTTTATATGCACCAATAAGCGTTGTTTCTCGGGGCTCGAACTACTTGATCGAGTCTACAGCCTCCTGACTATGCATCTTTGTGCCAGAAGGCGTTCTTTGTCGACGCAGTTGGTGAATGGATAGCTAAATATAAAACGAAGACATGCCTCGCTGCCATGGAAGTTTGTCGGCCGGCGATTCAACGAGTATTAATTCATAACTAAACGTGAATCTTATTTACTACTGCTTAACAATAGATTTTGCATCAAAATGGTCTCTAACTTTGTTGAGAAGGTTGCGATTGTTGGTGTAAGTAAGAAATCTTTCCCTTGGTGATCTTTAATATTCGCTGCCAACCCTCCTGGCGAAAAAGGAATCGGTTGATCTAGAACCACGGCATACTAAAGCTACGGTGAATATAGGCTGGTGGCCAAGTTGGAACCTATATAACAGAGGCTCTGCTCAAAACTGGCAAGCACCAGGTGACTGCGATTTCTCGCGAAGGCAGCACTAGTCCCATCCCTGCTGGTGTCACCGTCAAGAAGATCAACTACGCCGAGCCAAGCACCATTGTCGAGGCATTGAAGGGACAGGATGTTTTGATCTACAGCCTATCTGTCCTTGTAACTGATGAGGCTGACAGGCTCATCAAAGCTGCTGCCGAAGCCGGAGTTCCCTGGATTCTTCCCAACGAATTCGGATATAACTCTGACAACGACGCCGTCAACAAAGATACCTTGACCGGCATTCCCAAGAAAGCCCAGCGCAAGCTGATTGAAACCCTCGGGGTGTCTTCTTGGATCGGTGTCGGCAGTGGCTACTGGTATGAGTACAGTCTGTCTGTCGGTGGCTGGTCATTTGGATTCGACATTAAGGGCCGTGAAGCCACCTTCTATGATGACGGAAACACGAAGATCCACACATCTACCTGGCCACAAATTGCTCGCGCCGTGGCGAGCTTGCTTTCCTTGCCAATCACTGGTTCGGACACTACTCTCTCGCAATTCAAGAACAAATTTGCCTTTATTTCCTCCTTCTATGTCAACCAACAAGAGATATTCGAGTCTCTTCTCCGTGTGACCGGCACAACCCGTGACGATTGGAAAATCAGTAACCAGCCATCTGACGCTCGCTTTGCGTTTGGAAAGCAGATGTTGCAGAATGGCGACCGTCGAGGCTTCGGTATCTCGTTATACTCTCGTACGTTCTTCCCTGACGGCGCTGGTACACACCCCGAAAGCGCAAATGCTGCCTTGGGCCTTCCTGAGGAGAGTCTGGACGAATTCAGCGCTGTTGCTGTAAAGATGGTCCAGGAAAGCTACTTCGAGACCAAGGTTATTCCTCGTATTACTCCTTCGTCTTCTTGAGCATTGGGAAAGTTGTCTAGATGATAAGAAAAGATTTCAACAAGGCATGCCATGCCGCCCTTCACTTGAGGAAACCTTAGATGGAAATGAAAAATTCTGGCATGTAATTATGCTTTCGATGATATCCCATAAAATGACAGATGACGATAATGATACACCCCCCTTCACATATACAAGAGGTTCAAGGAACCGAGTGAGGCCAACACTACTTCAGCATAATCTTCCTGGTACATACAATTCAGTAGTTTCCTAAGAAAGATAACTTGTATCGACCCAATCCGCGTAGTCATCTCCCAGAATGGTAGAAATTTCTATTGGCGCTGAGAGCGTAGTTGCAAAGCTGGCACGAGTACCCTCCGATCCAGCACCGGTGTTGTCGTACTCGCCAAAAAGAACGTCTTCGGTATTTGGTTCACTGCTGGACCATTCAATCCAGCCCGCACTATTGATAACGTCGGTCATGCTCGTGTACTGGAAGACAACCCGGGCGTATTCGGTCCATGGGCGACCTGTTTCATTACCCCGTGTTAGACTTAGGGTTCCCTTCCCATACTTTGCAGTTCATCGTGAGAAGAAAGGATCAGACAAACCAAGATAGTAAGATCCTTCAGTAACATCGCTACCACTGGCAGCGGCAATGGCTGAGTTGGTAATCACATAATAAGAAGTGCCGGATGATGATACACGTCCGTTGGCTGTGATTGTGCCTTCGCTTGCAGCAAGGACTGAAATGTCACATCCATCAAACCAGGCTGTGGCATATTGGCCGAATATGAAATCACTTTAAAAGTCACGGTAAATATATCATCATACTTAATTCACGAGTTCATAGATGAAAAGGAGGGCTTGTTGACGTACATTGCACCTTCGATTAAACATTGAGCGTATACTTGGTTTCCAGTCTCTGCCAGTATAGTGTCTGGACAGGGGGAGAAGATATATTAATGACTGCTATCAGCGAAAAGAATTGACGTTCGTTACGTACCCTGGTAGCCAGTGAATTGACATGCGTAGTATCCTTGGTCAGTTGCGTAGGCACTCAAGGCGATGGCCTGAGCGCCCTCACCGTAAGTGTTAGCCACATTGATGTTGTATATCTTGGACTTTGCGGCGTAGTTTCGAAGAGTGCCTGATGACAAGAGTCAGTAAAGTTAGATGTTAAGAGGTGTTCTCGAACTAGGCTTTCAGGGTTGAAAGGGTAAATCAAAGGCCACATACCACTCAAATCGTCACTACCAGCTTCCGTAGCAGACAGGCCGTATGTGATAGTGACCAAGTTCGATGAATACGAACTCGTGCTGTCATATTTTCAGCATTTTTCATGTTCACTCCATTCTTACTTATTATTTTCGACTTGGCACTAACTCTTCAGTCTCTCCATATATGATAAGCTCACCGGCAAGACTAGGGATGTAGACTTGTTCTTCATAGGTGCCCTCCTCAATGAAGACGATCTGGGTCGCTGTAGACGTTGTGCTCAGTGCTGCCACTGCCTCGCTGATCTAGATTCATTTTAGTCGTGTATCCGAGAAGCCGAAACTAGATGGTGCCCATACCGTTTCATAATCACCTCCAGACTTTGCTACTACAATGGAACCAGAGGGTGGAGAGGTACGACTGGCCGCAAGAGCCGATATAGCACAAGCAAGTAGAGTGATGAATGTCTTCATGACGATCAAGTTCCGATTTGCGCAATGAAGAGAACAAGAAGTACCAATGTTTTGAGTAGGCGAGGGATACTCCTGGATGTTTCCTTAGGTTTCAGCGAAGAAAAAACAAGACTGTCATTCTTTCCCAGTTCTAGTCCACCAAGGGTACATTTTATATATAAACCCTAGAGCTTAATTAGGGGAAACATTATTCCAGAACGCAAGTAGGGATTATGCCGGTGAAACTTGACGAGACGGCCATTCCAGTAGATGACGAAGCTGCATAGATTTCCACCATTCAATTTCGGAACAACCTCTTAGATAGGCAGTAGTGGATATGGGGACCTGGTGGCCTAGCATCACTTAGGTTGAGGCTTTCTTTGGAAGCTCTCCGCAGCGAGAGGGCATAGGCATTGTGTGGTGGGTACAAGTAAATGGTAGGGATAGGCGTTCACTTCCCACCTGGGTAGACTCTCCACCGGCTATGGTGTATCCATAACCTTATGCAGGGAATATCTGATTTGCTTGAAACGCCGCCAAGTCCCTAGTGAAAGGTTGGTTTTGTAGTCGCATGTTACCTGGGTGTCAATTGATGTAATAAAATCTATAATTTGACCAGGTGCCCTCCCTGATCGGGTTCAACATCGAAGTGCACGAATCAAAATACTGAACGGCGTGCATGTATAGTTAGTCTGAAAACATTTTTCCGCGAGTAAGGACCGGATCTTGATTTCGACGATATGTGGATGGAAATATTTGTTGGACGACAAGGGCTAGGACTAAGACACACCCGCACGGTTTCTTCCGTCGCAATTATGCCGGTAAACTATAAGGCTAAAAGCACGACTACGAGTTGATGTAGACATCAATCTACTCATCTTCATATCGATTGGTGACTTGTGCAAATCTGTGTCTTCTGAATTAGTAAAGATAGTTAGCGGGGGTGTAATTATATTTCCCTCACAATCGAAGAATCTACATTTCCTCGGATATAGAAAATTCTTCGCTGAATGTCCATGTCTTCTTCTATGGGTCTGCATGAAACGCGGTTCATAACAAGCAACAATTTCGCAATTACCCTATTGTTTCACATGGAGATCCACATCTGGTCTCATCTATAGCAGCTCCCTCGTCATTAAGACTTGAATGAAATGTCAGTCAGATGAGTATCTGAATCCCAAACGCTGATTTTGGCTTATCGATAGTAGATTATACATAAAGTAGCATGCCCTGTGATCCACGAAGATGCCCCAAGACGCATGTATATGATTGTTCATAGGGGATCTGCATTCGCAAGGCGGTTCCTGGAAGATGTCGGATCGGATGCGCTATTCGGGCTAATTGTCGAGCTAGAGGAACGCAACATTGCTCGAAAACTGTAAGTTTGACTGGTGAGAATGAAAGCCATTGATCATGCACAGAGATAGTTAGAGGTTACATCAAGTTGTGTCCAAAGATTGTTTTTATTTTATTAGGTTATCAAGGATCAGAGTTACAGCTCATAGAAGCATGATCACGTGACCATTAATCATCCCGTGGTTTTGATTGGATGACGTATACCCTTGACTGCGTTCAGCCAATAAGAGCTCTCGCAGTCCGCTTCAATTGGTGAGTCTGCTGAGTCATCCCGCCCTCGAGCGGCATATCATGCCTTGATTGGCTCATATTTGACTTGGCAGGGCTATACTTTACCTAAGCCGGGTTAGTGCTGCATCTCCTGGATTTCTGCCAATCTCCGTAACGACGCGGGCTGCTCTTGCTTCGTCTTCCTCGTTGTCCACCAGTCACTCGTTTGGTTGTTTTTTGGTCTTGTTCACGGTTCTTGCTTTTCAGTTGATTATCTCGTCATTGCATGTCTGTCAAAAAAAAAATGTCGAACAACAAGGCCTCCGAACTGCCCACCATCAACCCTGGCGCTGCCAAACCCGCTTCGACTCTGCATCCCTCCGTCTATATCGCGTATGAATTTGGACCTCGTGCATGTTGTGTAACTCGGTTGTGCTGAAATTTGCCACAGCTCGTGGATTGCCCTGAGCTCTGGTGTTATCATCTTCAACAAGTGGATTTTGCACACTGCTGGATTCAGTATGTTGCCGCATCCGATCAGTTCAAGACTGTCAATGGTTCAACAAGCTAACCCAATTGCTGTTAAGGTTTTCGTATGTGATGCATTTATCTCAACTCCAGCAGCAAAGACTACTGATCACGCCCGATAGCTCTATTCTTGACGACATGGCACCTATTCTTCGCGACCGTCATGACCCAGCTCATGGCCCGTTTCACCACAATGCTCGACTCCCGGCATAAGGTTCCGATGACACAGAGCGTCTATATGTGCGTAACATTTTTGAATTGAAAGTGTCGCTGTTATCAACCAATCTGACCGTCATTAGGCGCGCGATCGTACCCATTGGTGTCTTTTTCAGTTTGAGTTTGATTTTCGGCAATCTGGTTTATCTGCATTTGAGTGTTTCTTTCATTCAGATGTTGAAGGTTGCTCACCCTCCAATGCTTTTTGACTTCATGGCATTCGCTGATATACTGGTCTTATTTAAAGGCTACCAACTCCGTCGCAACCCTTCTCGCGACCTGGGCCCTCGGCGTTGCGCCTGTCCGCCTCGAAACGCTAGGAAATGTCTCGATCATTGTAGTCGGTGTGGTCATTGCTTCGATTGGCGAGATCAAGTTCAGTCTCATTGGGTTTATCTGTATGTTCTGTTGCCTCCACAGAGATTTTAATCATTGTTGATTCTGAGATTCCTGTGCGATTGAATAAGACCAGGTTTGCGCTACCGTTTTTGAGTCTGTCCGCCTCGTCATGGTGCAACGATTGCTCAGTTCAGCAGAATTTAAGATGGATCCACTCGTTTCGCTTTACTACTTTGCGCCTGCTTGTATGGTCATGAACGGTCTTGCTACTCTCGTCTTTGAGATTCCACACATGAGCAAGTACGACGTCTACAGCGTTGGACTGGGCAATTTGCTGGCGAATGCTAGTGTTGCTTTTGCTTTGAATGTCTCCGTTGTTTTCCTGGTATGATTGCCCCTGTATTTCATTCGTCTTCCGCCAGGGCTCAGTTAGGTGGCGATAGTCTGCAGATCACTAATCGTTTATGTTTAGATCGGAAAAACTTCGGCCCTCGTTCTGACTCTATCCGGTGTTCTGAAGGACATTCTCCTTGTCGTTGCATCTATGGTTATTTTCCATGATCCAGTCACACTGATTCAAGCCCTCGGCTACGGAATAGCACTCATGGGTCTTGTCTATTACCGACTTGGTGCTGAGGGTATCTCCAATCTCATGTCCGGACTGCGCCAGTCAGCAAGGAATGTAGGGACAAGACGCTTGGTTTTCCTCACTCTTGTGTTTGGCGGTACTTACCTAGGCTTTCGGCAATATTCACAGAACCCCTCAGCATTCTCCAGCACCCTCCTTCAAGGGATCGGTTCGAAGAATTAAATGGCAGTAGGTGACAGAAATAGATCTCTACGTTCCTATTTTCTAGATCAGATGCTTTTTATACCTCTCGACTGTGACGATATGGCATTGACGAAATGATATCAACAATATATACACTTCACAGTCAAAAAGCCAGTGGCTCGCTTGGTGGAAAGGTATAAATATTTCTTCTCTTCTCTTCTCTTCTTCTCTTCTTCTCTTCTTCTCTTCTTCTCTTCTTCTCTTCTTCTCTTCTTCTCTTCTTCTCTTCTTCTCTTCTTCTCTTCTTCTCTTCTACTGATAGATTTCTTTCCTCTTCATCCCTTGTATTCTCTTTTATCTTTTCTTCGCCTCTGGGCCAGATTGTATATATAAGGAAAATATAAAAATAATTACATATTGACACCTTTGCTCGTGAAATCTTCGTGGGTAGTCAATGGTAAGAGGTCGACATGTATACAGTCACCCCCTAATTATCCGCATCTTCTGGATTGTCAGCAGAGCCATACCTCAGCTGTTTAAACCTCCCGACACGTTGAGACAACAAAATCGACATGCCCTCGATAAAAAATTGCACTAATAAGGCACAACAATGACTTCTTCGAAGATCCGAGCAGTCTTCTTCGACTTCATAGGCACATGCCTCACTTGCTCTAGAATGGCGTCATAACTATTTTGATTCCAACGCCGCCCGTCTTGCAGCCGGCTAGCCTCCTGAAGACATCGACATCACTCTCCGCAAGACCCTTGATGCCCTGCTGGAGAAGCATCCGGCGCACAAACCCCTGTTCGACGAGCAGACAAAACAGCGATGCATACTCGGCTGGCACTCGATGCCCGCCTGGCCGGATGTGCCGCTGGCAATCGAACAGCTGAAGACTGCAGGGTATGAGGTGTTTGTTCATGCAAAGGGCACGACGCGGCTGCAGCTCGATCTTTGCAGATCGGCAGGTCTCGCCTTCGACATGCTGTTTTCTAGCGAGTTGCTCGGCGTGTATAATCCTGCTCTAGAAAACTATCTTAGAGTATTGCAAATGGTCAAGTTAAGACCGGAAGAGTGTGTCACGGTGACTGCGCATGCGTATGATATTCAGGGAGCGATGTCAGCCGGGATGAAGACGGTGTATATTCATAGGTGGACTGATGATATTAATGAGGATATGGAGCTGGCCAAGAAAGAACATGACTTTTTCCTGGCAGGCATGAGCAATCTTGCCGCGGTTATTGGGGGGTTGGGAAATAATGAACCCGCAGATGTTTAGAAAAGAATTTCAGTTCGTTCATACATGGATGCATTTGTGTGGTGCCACTTTGGAAGTTGGGATGCTTTCTTGCCAATCAAGTAAAACACGGGAAAACAATAAATTGAAGGTCGTATGACAGCATTCAAGCCTGGATCGGAAATCAGCCGCGGAAAAGGCTCACTTCCAAGCCTTGGGGCCAAGATGGCGCAAGAACGCGTGAAGTAGGCCAGGTTACGTGGTCCCTTAAGACACGAGTGCAAATTTCTTGGCCCGAAACGGCAATTTTACGGGGCCTACAGGCGGAAGTTCTCCTCGGTTATGAGTGAGACAGTCTGTGCTGAAGGTTTTCAGATTCGTGATATAAGTAAGATTCACGGCGAAGTTTATCTAGATCAGATAATAAATAAGCGAACAGCCACGCACCAAATGGACGCGGGTCTAGAAGGATCAGATAATTTTCGGAGCGGATCTGATAACCAGCCACGGCGCTCATTGGCTCGCCCAGTCTTGCTACTTTAGTATAGCCAACTTGCATTGCTCGTTTAGGTGTCTTGCTATCATCGCCCCACGCACAAAGGAATGCAGGAACACACGGTGGGAGGAGCTGTTCTTCACGAGGTTTTGGAATGACTATATTATGCAGTCGTTCCCCCGCCGGTTTTCCTACAGGCTATATCACTTAAATCTCCCAATATGTCAGTTCAAGCTGCCCGCTCACAGCTGACACGAGTTCTCGTTGTTGGAGGCTCATATGCCGGTCTTTCTGTCACACTCAATCTCCTGGACCTTTGCAATGGGCTGGCTCCACGATTCTCCGGCTCGAAGTCGCCGGTAGATATAAGCCAACAGACACCAGTTGAGGTTACAATTGTAGATGAGCGCGATGGCTTTTGTATGACTTGACACTCCTTTCTCGGATGCCACTCTTCTAATACAGTATTTTGTTGTTTAGATCATCTGATCGGAACTCCGCTCGCATTCGCTTCCAAAACATACGCAGAAAAGGCATGGCTGCGATTCGGAGATATTCCGGCGCTCCAGACGCCCGCCGTAAAAATCATACAGGCTAGAATCACAGACGTTGATTGTGAAGACAAAGTCGCAGCCGTCACAGAAATTGGCACGCAGAACAATATTCAAATACCATACGATTATTTTGTTGCAGCGTCGGGGCTGAGACGGACCAAGCCCTCGGCTCCGTTGGCACTGACGCGCAAACTATATCTGGAGGAAGTTTCGGAGCATATTCACAGAATTGAAACGACCAAAGATGGCGTTGTTGTGATTGGCGCAGGTCAGATCCATATATCTACCTACATGTTCAAACATCCGTGGATACCTGGGTATACTGCATGCCAATGAAAACTGACTTTGTCTTATTTCCAGGTGCCGTTGGCATTGAAATCGCTGCTGAGCTCAAGATGGTCCAACCAGAAATTAAGGTCACGTTAATTCATTCACGTTCCAAGATTTTGTCGTCCGAGGACTTTCCGGACGAATTTAAAGACACAACACTGTCCCTAGTCCACGACGCCGGGGTCGAGACAGTTCTGGGTGCCCGAGTTTTGGACACTATCGAAAACACCGACCCTGCTTCGAAATCGAAAACTTACGAGGTGGTGCTCTCCGATGGCCGTCGCGTCAAGGCTGGCTTCGTGATTAATGCGATATCCAAGTTTCACCCGTCAGCGACCTACTTGCCGACCACCGCGTTAGATGAAGAAGGATACATCAAGATTAAGTCGAGGTAGGGCTTAGAAACACATATTTTAGTTGATTTGCTTAGTTCATACTGACTGAATTTAGTACCGAATTCAACGACGGCACACCGAACTCTACCTATCACCATGCAGCCGGCGACATTGCTCGCTGGCCCGGTGTCAAACGCTGTGGTGCCGCGATGCATCAAGGGCTACATACAGCGGTTAATATTCACCAGAAAATACTGAGCAAGCAGCGCGGTCAGACTCCCCAATTTAAGGAGCTGGATTCAAATGTTCCGCCCATGATGGGCATTGCAGTAGGCAAAAAGGCCGCTTCGTATACCCCTGCTGCTGGCACAAATGCGAGTGAAGAGGTATTGCGGTTATTCTTTGGGGATGACATGGGCTTTACAAGTATGTTACTTCCCGTTGCTAGACGGATTCATAGAGGAAAGTTTGCTGATGCTGTTTTCTTATGCATAGTTTGTTGGAATTATCTCCGTCTTGGAGACGCACCGTATAAAACAGGATCAACAAACGGGTCTGTGATTAACACCGCCGGCAACATCATGAGCTGGAGGAGACCGCTTCTATTCATATTCGATCTTTTTAGAATGACCGGGAGGAATCTGTACCAATTCGGCATCTTGAGTCTGAAGAAGTTTTCGCTGTTCTCCTGACTTTATCGGTCTGTTTTTTTGTAAAGTACCGAAAGAAAATCGCTGATATTTCGTACATGCATGTATGGCGTCCAGACTAAAGAGCTGTTCATACTGATTCCCGCCACGTCATTAACCAGGTACTATATGCCGACAACAACAAATGCCTGTCTATGTAACCAGGTCGAGCCAGAGATTAAGCGAGGTTCGCGAAAACTGTGAAACAAGACAGTAATCGTAATATACAGCGTGTGTATCCAGTTTTTATGCGTCATTCATACAATACAAGCGCGGTGGAGCTTGATTGTGGACAAGCCGCTAGTACGGGGCTAGTACGAAGAAAAGAGAACATTTCGCGGCGCCGGATCAGATTAGATGATCAGATAAGATGGGCTGTCGCGCGCTCTCCTGGTTTGCTGGCCGTCTGTGTGGGTTGTAACTTTTATGAAAGGAGGAACAGGACAAAATCACATCCGAAGTCGGGATTCATACAAGCCAAGCAATACGGCTATATAGTCCCTCCAGAAATGACCTTGCTCGTGGACAAGAAACGAGACAATTAAAGCGGTTAGTATTATCACGAAAAAGCATGAATCTGTACCCATAGCATGATTCCAGGATCTTCTGCCGCTTGCCGTACGACTAAAGAGGTCTGCATTGTGAGGTGGCCCAGGGCAAGCTTCTTTCTGATTAATTATCTGTTCCTCAGTGACTAATGGGCTAGAGTTATGGAACGCAGTCTCGATATAATTCTAAAACTGTAACGAGGTAGAGAGATTTTGATTATTGTTCAATATGAATGACGAATCTAGCCCCGATATATAATAGATAAAATATGGATTAAGCTTGCACATGTATTGCGGAGCTTTCATGACTGAACCCGGCCAGAGGAAAACCATTGGAAAGAGAAAAGAAGATCTGTTCCTCCTTCCCATTTGAGTAATGAGCGTCGTTGGTCTGCGAAATCGGCAGTTCGCAATCCACACAATCCATCCGACTAGGCGTGAGGTGGGATCGGCTTGAATCAAACTTTGACTTGGCCGCCGTCCGTGATATCCGCTGCGATCTTCAAGGGGGAGAGAAAATATTACATTCAGAAGAAAAACCCGAGTACCAGTGTAATGACGATGTATTCGTAATAATTCAGCGAAACCCGCCCCACTGCGGATCAGATAAGATTACGGGATCATACCGTCTCATCAGCAAATCACACACATGCCCTCCATCAGATAAATTTGCTTGCTCCACAGCCCCGCCTTGTTTTTCTTTTTCCTTCTCCTTTTTGTCCCACATACACACGCTGTTGTTCGTATCTGCCGGGTCTTAATTCCCGACTTTTCGCGTAATGGACACATCACCTCGTGGATCCTGTGGCAGTCGATGCTGCACATCGGCCTCGGTTATGCACCGGTGAAGCGGATGGGCATTAAGTCTGAACTGACATGGCGACAGACTGACAGTGATGTCAGGCGTGGGTTGCGGCATTTAATACCGAAGTTCATTGGAAGGCGTTAGTAGAAGAATAGACAGCAGACACGGGAAACAGCACGCAACGACAATACTTACACGTGTTCCTGTTAATTGTCATACGATGCATTCAAAGAACTAGATTTAACAGAAACTTCAATAACAAAGCTTTGAAACATTTACTCCCAAGTATCCAACACATGCTGTTGTTTTGAGTCAGAGCAATATACAGAGAAGTAGAAATTATAGTGAGGGTTTTTTTGGGAAGTAGTCCGATGGAAGGCTTTATTGTCTACTACGAGACTTTCATAAAGGTTTGAACAAACGTGAGCTTACAAGATTTTGTCTTTCTATCTACACATAATAAAAACGTAAACTAACACCCGTTTTATGTCTTTAGAAAGTCTAAATACTCCCGAGATCCCAAGGACATGATTCTACAGCCTGGCTTTATGCTCCACAGGCTTTCTGCTGGCGTTGATTGAGTCGACCAATTCGTCTGCTCGAACGGCAAGGATAGAGAGGAGAGTATCGCTAATCTGTACACAGTATGATTAATTGATTTGAAATTAGATATACATCGAGGACATATAGAGATGGAAAGGAACTTACTCCGTGGCTGGTTTCGCAAGAGCCCTGTAACCAAATAGCCGCATCACGCACCACTGAACCAGGTCGGAACAGCAAACGATAGTTCCTTTGCACCTGATATCCACTTTCTTCTGAGCCAGAAAGCAGGAGCGGTTTGACGTCCTTCAATATCCCGGCGAAGGGCCTTCTCTGGTAGCCTGTTGCTACAACCACCAAGTCGTACGCCTGCGTTGTAAGTTTTGCCTCTCCAGTGATTGTGTCCTTCAGTTTGAGATTTAAAGCATTCCCTAACTCAGCTACCTTGGCACCTGTCACCTCGCTATTGTGCAAGAGTGACAGTGTCCAATCCCGTGGATCTGGTTTGAGGAGTCTCTGCCGGTAGATCTTTTCGTAGATTCCTTCAATCAGGGGCAGCCGAACAACACTGTAATTTGTAGCTTTGTTCTTTTTCAAGCTTTGTTTGCGATTGTTCTCGTCGAGTGAATAAAACTCGTCAACGCTGGTGGGATCGAAAATCTCATTTACGCTAATCAACAGAATACAGGTTAGACCATGACAATGAAGCAAAATACTGAACTGATAGTAAGACTTACAATGGACTGTCATCACTCGGCCGAAGAGCCGAATCTCTGAAAATAAGAGACACGCGAGATTTTGGATATCGAGATTGCAAGTCCTCGGAGATCTCGACCGCACTCTGACCTCCTCCAACAACCGCAAACCTGTACTCGGCATTGTCATTTTGAAACCTCTGTGGAACATTTTTCAAATACTGAGAAGAATGAATTATCCTGTCACTGAAATCCGGGTTTTGCAGACCATCTGGAATGGAGAACTCCCCACCATTAGCCACAATCACATGCTTAGCACAGAAACGCTGCACGTCGCCCGATCGCACATCTCGAGCGTTGATCCAGAAACAATCAACCGCATTCCCAGAGGACGAAGTTTTCCCGGGGCTCACCCCCAAAACCTCCTGGCCATATCGTACTCGATCCGTGAAATGCCCCGCACACCACTTCATATAGTCATTGAACTCCTCGCGGAAAGGAGTATGCGTAGACAAATTGATGAAATTGGCAAGCCGGTTGTGTTTATGAAGATAATTCACAAACGTGAAATGCGACTGCGGATTGCGCATAGTGGCCAGATCCTTCATGAAGGATATTTGCATCTTCGTGCCGGGGAGGAGCATGCCAGTGTGCCAGCCGAATTCGGTTTGACGTTCGAGAAACAGCACATTTTTGCTCGAGAATCCTCGCTCGTGCATCGCAATGGCAATGGCGAGTGCTGCAGGACCGAAGCCCACGCAGACTATGTCGTATTGCGAGCTTTCAGGGCCTTCCGTCGCCTTGCCCTCATGCGGGGCATCAGTGTTGTGTGCTGGCTCCATGAGTGAGAGTGAGGAAAGAAATGGATGAATAGTTGCAGCTTAATTGATCTAAGATTTAAAGCAGACTCGTTGTGTGAAAGAGGGAAGAATAGCTAGGCCTGATACTTTTTTACTTGTCAAGCTCTACATGTGCCTGGAATGCTAGACCAAGAAAGAGTCAAAGCTTCGCTAGCTTTCGGCGTATCCATACGGAGTATACAATTACTAGCGTGACATTACAGGATATCCACCTCAATGCAATGCAGCAACGGTGTCAACAGGCCATGAGGGACCTAGAGCGGGGCAGGTACTGAAAAAAGTGTTTCTTTGGTGTATTTGGCCGGTGTCGGATTATGGATATCACACAACAAAAATTGTTTGTTTTGTGGCTTGTGTTGTGTTTCACGCTGTCAAGTGATGGCCGTAATTTTGACCTTGCGGGCCGGTTGGTGTCGGTATGTAACGTACGTGTTTGGTATCGAGTATATTACCGCTGGGTAATACGCCTTACGCAGCATATCGTAAATATTCAAGGTTGTCTCTGCCTGTGATCGGCAAACTTGTATAAAATCTTGTGTGTATTAGGGTATCGACGCCAGTCCCTAGAAGGGCAACGTGCCGAAGAAAAAAAATCCCAAGCTTGTCAGGTTAGATCCGATTATTTGATCTGCTTCCCAGCTGTCTCCCTGCGATCACGCAAACAAGCTATTAGCTGCAGCAGAAGCGGGTGAACTGGTATCGTACAACTTGAGCATCGATCAATCATGGGTGCAGGCTTGCAGACCAGCATCGCCCTTACTCGATTGCAGCAAACGCAGCAGCACATTCACCCAACTCGTGCCACTCATGAAGTTGTAAGACAGGCAATTGTCCACGGCCCAAGGACGCCGGAGTTGTGGCAGCTCACCCTCAGTGAGCTCCTAGACTTTCAGTGCCGAGAATACCACGACCGTGAATGCTTGGTTGTTCCCTGGACCAATACAAGGTGGACGTACGCACAGCTGCAGGCAGAAAGTGAAAAATTGGCTCGTGGGTTGATCGCAAGCGGAATTCGGCATGGCGACCGGATCGGCGTGATGGCTGGCAATTGCGAGCAGTATGTATCGCTTTTCTTTGCTGCGGCGGCTGTTGGAGCAATTTTGGTAGTCATCAACAACACCTACACAAGGGCAGAGTTGATGTATGCTCTGGAGCATACCTGTGAGTTGTAATATACGCTACCTTACCACTTTAACTTTTGTCTTTTTGGGACCTTTTCATCTGACGGTGTTTATTCAGCCTGTAAAATGCTATTCATATCACCGAATATTGGCCGGCACTCGCTCGAAGATTCTATCAACTACCTCCAAGGCCGGGATAGGGCCCAGTCTCTTCCCGACTTAGAAGAGGTAGTGATTATTCGCGGTCAATATCAGTCGGTGAAAACATATAATGACGTTATTCATGAGGGTAATGCTGTTTCACAAAATACAGCATATCGCCATGCCAACATTGTCAGTCCTTACGACGTCTGCAATCTTCAGTTTACCAGCGGTTCAACTGGGAATCCAAAAGCATCAATGTTAACGCATTAGTGAGTTTCTTCTGTTAACAGTATCTTTTTTTTTTTCCCTCTTCTTTTTTTAAAACGACTAAAATGTTGACTCTTCGAAAGCAATCTTATCAATAACTCCCGCTTCATTGGTGATCGTATGGACCTCACTGCTTCCGATGTCCTCTGTTGTCCACCACCACTATTTCATTGTTTCGGCCTCGTTCTGGGACTTCTTGCCTGTATCACTCACGGGGCCAAGATTGTTTATCCCAACGAAACATTTGATCCAGCTGCAGTTCTCGAGGCCATATCCAAGGAGCAATGCACCGCCGTGCACGGGGTGCCCACTATGTTCGAGTCAATCCTTGCAGCACCTAGACCAAGACAATTTAATTGTGGCCGCCTCAGAACGGGAATCATTGCTGGTGCTCCGGTGCCCTATTCTCTTATGCAACGGCTAGTCAAGGACCTCAACATGACCGAGTTCACGAGTAGCTATGGGCTAACCGAAGCATCGCCCACGTGCTTCAATGCATTCACTCACGACTCGGTTGAGAGGCGATTAACAACAGTTGGAAAGGTCATGCCTCATGCCAGTGCCAAGATTATCGATCCTAAATCCGGACGCACTCTTCGTGTGGGCGAACGCGGAGAGCTATGCATGAGCGGCTATCAGGTGCATAGCGGATATTGGAAGAATCCACAAAAGACAGCGGAGACACTGCTGAGAGATGAAGATGGAACAGTATGGCTACGAACAGGTGACGAAGCAGTTTTTGATGCCTTTGGATACTGTACAATCACAGGTCGTTTCAAGGATATAATCATCCGCGGAGGGGAAAACATCTATCCTCTTGAAATTGAAGAAAGATTGGCCGCTCATCCGGCCGTATCCCGAGCCACGGTGATTGGAATTCCGGATCAGCATTACGGTGAGGTTGTAGGGACGTTCATCGAGTTTGAGAAGGGCGTTGCCAATCTGCCTTCAGCTGAAGATCTTCGAAACTGGATAAGGGAAACATTGGGCAGACATAAAGCGCCCAAATATCTGTTCGTATGTGGGTCGCATGATCTTCTTCCTAGGGTTATTCCCCAAACAGGAAGTGGAAAAGTACAGAAACAAGTCCTGCGCGAATTGGCAAAGAAACTGGTGCACAGCGAAACACAGACGCTGCTTCAGTAACGTCAAAAAAGTTAAGCCACTTATGAGTCATGTATTGTCAGATCATTGAAAATGAAAAGACACACTACGATTTGTTAAATTAGCTCCTGCTTCATAATCTCGGGACGTTGTTCGAGAGTAGAGCCAAGTCAGTACATAGTATTGGGTTGTTTCTATAAAAATAAAAGGTAGATGAGTCTTTAAGCGAACTACAAAATATGCAGGGTTATAACTAAAACAAACAAAGAAAGAAAAAAAATTGCATCCTTGTTCAACAAAATTCAAATTACAGATTATCTAGTTCTTTGTCCTCCCCATCTAGGTACCTTCTATAACAACCAGCCTTGATTCCCAATGAGTGATTAAAATCACTTGCTTCACTTACCATTGGCGTCCAAGTTTCTCAGATTCCCCCCTTGTCCGAGCTTCAAGTTGGAGATCTCCCCTCACCAAGAACAAGGTGTTTGTCATCAGCGATGGTGCCTCGGGCATTGGATTCGAAGTCGTCAAACTTCTCTGCGCCAAAGGAGGCAATGTTTACATTGCTGGTCGCTCGCAAGGACAGGGGGAGGCAGCCATTTAAGCTATAAAAATTACTGCAGGCTGTGGCTCCGAATTTAGTGAAAGCGAGGAAGTTAGAAAAACATTGAAAATTATCTGGCCAGAAAGTTCTGGGATTTTTGTGATGAACACCACCAAGGAACATGCCTGCTTTGCTTCTGCGTGTCTTCTCCAAAAGAAAAGAAAATTACTGCAAGTGAGATCTAATATTATTATTCATTATACGTTATATATTATACCTAATCGAGGTTGAGTTCCTCAGTCAACCAGAAATGCATCAAGTCTAGTAAACATGTACCTTGGGCATATCCAAGCTCGACACCTGGGCAATGGCGCCTAGTCCTTATGTAGAGCGTATGCTCGTTACTGACATGACGAATTTCGATCCAGAGAAGAGAACCACTGCTCGCGAGGCGTTGGAACATAAGTGGTTTGAAGGTGTTTAGCAGCTGCCAAAAGGATTTAGTGATTTTTGACAAGATATAAGCAATAAGAGATTCGATGCTTTCCTACATATCTCATCAGAATAACCTGAGCGCATCTTGGCAATGACATCTTCTCGTGGCTGTACAGCGTTTGACGACGATCTCGAAAGATGCCTGAGCGGCGGCTGACGGCCTGAGGCTACAAATAGGCCCCTTTTATTGGCCTCAGGCACGGCAGCGGCACATGGCGCCAAACTTGGTTTAGTGTGCTGAGCCGAAAAGCCAATGGCAGAGCATCTCCCCCACGTCATCGTTTTTTGACTTCGTGTTATGAGAGCTTGGCTGAGGACAGCGCTGAACATAAATAATCCAGCCTGCCCTACTCGAAGCAATGGATTCCCAGAGACAACGACGTCAACGAAGATACCAGCACCAGTACAAAAAACTAATTGACCGAGACAAGTCCTATCGCAATGGATAAGAAATCGGAAACCGCCAAGGTGAGTTGACAGCCAGACAGCTAGTATATGACTGTACTGAGAACAGAACCAACACAGTATGCGCAGACAGCACAACTAGATGAGCCATCGCCACCTCCATACTCAGCACGCGATACGCAAGAAAGCCAAGTGCCGTCGCCATACCCTCCACAATCGTACCACATGCAGGCCCCGTTGCGAACCCTCAAAGCCGAGTACACCAAATGGACACTTACTGGCCTGCGTGTATATGACGCCACGACATCAGAGAACCTTTACGAAGCCAAGATTAAATGGATGAAATCAAGTATGGCATTCACCAAGCCCGGTTCTACGGACCCATTTGCGACGGTGAAATTCCACACCTTTACTCCCAGATGGGACATTCAGTTCGATGGCATGGCCTCGTTCACAGTTCCGCTCAAAGGCAAGCTGAACTACAAAGGCATGCACACATCTCTGGCATTACAGAATTCCAGGTTGACATGGAAGTGTAAATATCATCTAAGCACTATGGACCTTGACTGTCGGGACGAACGGTCAGTCATGATTGCTCGGATGCAAGCAAATGTCTGGAAATATAAGAAAATATGCAGCATCGAATTCTTTGACGGTGAAAGCAGTGTCCATGGCCCCATTATGGATGAGCTTGTGGTCACTGGTCTGGCGATGCTGGAGTATGTGTTGATGGTAAATCCGGGTATGGTGTCAGGGTCATGTTAGCTTTTCGCCTGAGTCGACATTTTTGCTTTCAATTTGGCGTTTCTGCTTATACCATTTATCAATACTCTTATAATACTTGCAGCTAGCTTTAGCCTGAGATCCATTTAAGAATTGTTGCGACTTTCCCCAGCTTCCAAGATTTCCTGCCTTGGAACCTATCAAGTAAGTGAAACTGCTCACTAGAAGATATGGATTGGGTCTTTATGTCTATCTTACATATGATACGCGTTCCAATAGGTGCCGTGCCTAAGTCCATGCCGTGACTCCTGGAACAATATTTTCCAAAACTTCCTTCAGTTCCGACCACACATTTTCCTGTGCCTTTCGTCCCCCATCACTGATAACAAACGCTGACAGGTGTTGATTACTCACTTCGCCATTACTGATATAGGCACCGTGGCTCTCATCTCCAACAACCGCACTAGCCACCAAACATCGACTACCGACTTCGGTTTTGCGACCTAAGAGCAGTTTCATGAGCCAAAGACTAAAACCAGCCTCACGGGCTAGTTCCGAGTGACACAAGCCCGGATCGGTCATGTTCAGGATGATTTTGGAGTTTGTAATCTTCGGTGCAAGCTCTCTAACAATTAAGACCTCCAACAATTTCGAAGTTGGGTATCGGACTGTCATATCAGACTTTTCTTTGTTGCTGAGGTTGGCAAATGTGTTTCCCTCCTTGTATTCCGGGAAATTGGTCAGAGCATGCGCCCCACTGCATACGATGGTCCAACGAGGTTTTTTAGTGGGATTCTTATCCTTATCCGCTGTTTCTTCCATTTTCGGAAGCAGCAAAAGGCCAAGCAGAAAAGTACTGATTACGTTTACTGTTATCGTGCGTTCCTGGTTTTCTGCAAACTTGAATTGCTCCGTTGCGAGTCCCGCATTCTCCAGTAAGACGTCGATTCGCGACAGCTCTGTAGATGCACGTTTGGCAAATGCTTGCACTGAAGCATAGGATGCAAGGTCCAGCTCCCACACCTCACACACATTCTCCCTCCCCGTCGACTCTTCGATGGACTGCTTGGCTCTCTGACCGGCTGATACGTTGCGAACTGCAATGATCACCTTTTCGGCGTCTAGTCTGACAAAATGACGGGCTGCTTCAAGTCCGAGGCCGGTATTTGAGCCCGTTACAATGACTGTTTGGCCCGCAAAGGATTTGACGGGGTATGGCGGCGTGACAAACAGTTGAGAGTATAAAAAGGTGCTTAGAAAACCCATGGTGGAGAAGTACAACTCGTGGTTAACTGAGAGTGATAATTAGGCGATTGTTCGCCTGGGCACAGAGAGGATAACTGGGTATAAATATTTGAGTTGAAATCCTACCCAGGTACTTTTAGGGCTAACCAGATATATACCCCGACTTCTCCATTGCCTGCGCGGAGATACGGGCGGATTTATGAGAATTTACAGGCTGTGACCGCATGCATGCGTGGCATGACATCTTCGATCTGATAGTATCCAATGATCTATTATTCATTGATAGAGCAACCCTGCAACATGACAAGTGAATCCATAAAGAATAAAGAATGACCGTGGCTGGCCACCGTCCACTGCGCGCTAGACCGCATCTGGCAATTCCATATTGAAGCGATATCCTCAAGTCTCGCCAGACTGGGTTCCGGTATCTCCGGTAAACTAACAGAGCTTATTGTTCAGTAAGCACCGGAACAAATAAATCGCTGCATTTATAACCAATCACGTCTCTATCTTCTTCGAGCAGACAGTTTTGAGCCAATCGTATTGCACGATATTTATCTATTTTATAAAGTGTTCCGATTATTGGGTGGTATTCTTATCCACTATACTGTTTGCGGATTAGTTCCATGGAGAGTCGGAGGGTCATCGATGGGACGGCAGCAGCCCGCTGTTATCACTTATAAACAGAGTGTTATACACGCGCTGAAGGGAAAAGACAAATAAGATACGGCAGCTGGGAATCTACCATGGCATCTCCCCTTCATGCTGAATATTCAGAGCATGCACGGCCGCTGCCGCCACCCAGCCGTCGCAGAGACAAACCCCAGCTATCCTGTAACCTTTGCAGAAGACGAAAGTATGGGCCATGCCACGATATACGTTGTAAAAACCAGATATCTGATTTTATTCCCTCCCAGGCTAAAATGTGACCGTGGCATGCCGTGTGATGCATGTGCTCGTCGTGGACTAGCTCTGTCGTGCACTTATCCGGCTTCCACTCCACTCCAAAGTGGTAAAAGACTGATTAATCCGTCTTCTACGGCTATGCACAATAAGATTGCCAACTTGGAGAAACTAGTACTATCGATGAAGAGCCAGAATGGCTATCCCACGGAAAATGGTCAAGTATCAGAGTTGAATAATTTAACCGATTTGCATAAAAGCTTTGGCAGGATTGGGTTGGAAAATACCGAAACGAATTATGTCGAAGGTTCACATTGGACTGCGATTCTGGATGGGGTAGGCACCTGTCTTTAATTGGGCTATGACGTTTGAATACTAAACGTGCACCAGATTGCCGAATTAAAAGATTACTTTGACGATGATCCAGAGACGCCTGAAGAAGACAAAGAAGATGAAAGACCTTCAGGCCCCGGCCCTGCACTTTTGCTGGGAAATTATCAAAAGCTTGACCGGCAACAAATACTTTCAACGATTCCACCAAAGCATGAAGTAGACAGACTTGTTTCAACCTTCTTTAATACACCAAATATGTATTTGCGTAAGAGGAAGAGAAAACTCACTATATTGCCTCGTTTGTGCTGACAAATTAAACAAATAGTTGCTCTTCACGGCCCAACCTTCCTGGAGGAGGTAAGGATCTGATCCCTTATAATTAGTATAGAAAGAGAATTTTTTTGGGCTAAACTTTGCCAGTACGATCGATTTTGGAAGTACCCTCAAAAGACATCCACGATGTGGGTTGGCTTGTTGTTCGGCATAATGTGTCTTGCTTGCATATACCAAAAATCTATAAATTCAGCTATGAACATGCCGGGATTAATGGAATATAACTGGCAGACGCAGCGCCGAATTGAGCTATACCGAGAGCGAGTGATCCAGTGTCTTACACTTGCCGACTACACCAAGTGTGGACCCTATACATTGGAGACATTGATCTACTACCTATCCATTGAATATACTAGTATTACCGACAATCAAACCGGAGTCTGGGTATTACTCGGGATCGTTGTGCGAATAGCAATTCGAATGGGCTATCATCGAGACGGGTCTCACTCCCCGCGTCTATCGCCTTTCCAGACAGAGATGCGTCGCCGGATCTGGGCAGTCATTTACCTTCTCGACTCGGGGGCAGCTGATCAGTATGGACTTCCTCGAATGATAAACCAGTCTCTCTCAGATACAAAAGAACCGCTCAACCTCATTGACGAGGACATCGGCCCCGACATGGAGCAGTTGCGTCAACCCAGACCAGATTCTGAACCGACCATGATAGGATTCCTCGCAATCAAGAACCGACTCATAGCAACGCAGAACACGATTACAGATCTCACAAGCTACCCGAACAAAGCAGTCTCGTATAAACAAATCATGAAGCTGGATGGTATTATACAAGAGCAGTTCCAAAGCATCCCCCCGGCTCTTCGAATGCGTCCATTGAGCAAATCGCTCTCCGACAGCACGGATGTGATTGCAAATAGATTGTTCCTCACTCTTATTAGCTACGCGTCACGCTGTCTGCTACACCGGGATTACTTGATGGCGGCACACTCCGACGATAGATACGAGTATTCTCGCAAAGCATGCATTAGCGCCGCACTTGAAATCTTGCGTATCCAGGAACACGTCCGCGAAGAGTGCCAGATTGGAAGACGCCTATATCAAGAACAGTGGAAATTCCAGTCTTCGATTAAACATGTGTTTTTCCTTGCAATGACTATTCTGTGTGTGTATCTGAATCGCCATCTGGGAGAAGGACCAGGTAAAAGCAGGATTGGTGACGAGTCATTGGCGAAGATAATTCAAGCTTTGAGCACGTGTTATGAAATTTGGTCCGAATCTAGTGACGCTTCCCGTGAAGCGAAAAAGGCTGCTGAAATGCTGCGTCTCGTCCTTGGGAAGACCCAAAAGCCAGGAAGACTGAATCAGACGACGCGAGCCGCCGTTGCTATGAATCATGAGCCGTCTGCTGATGCAATAGGTAGGTACAATTGACTGGTCGAGCTTATGAACACGGTATTTGAGTAGATTTGGTTAACTTGCCTTATGGATACAGACCCCTCGCTATTGACCCCAGACCAGTCGACCCCAGACCAAACGTTGTGGGGGAATTACGAGCTGGAAAGTCCCTGCGATATGACTCACTTGGATCCGATGAACACTGGCGGGGCTGATGACTTGAACATAGTGAGTTCTGCATGTGCCTTGATTGATTATATCTTACCTAACGAGTTGGACAGGGGGATTGGAGCCTGGATTCCTTGACGTCGGACAAATCGTTCATGGACAATGTCGTAGGCTCTGACTGGTGGGCTCAATTTGATGCCCCATCTAGAAACCAATCATTTTATTAGATTATATCCCGGGTACTAATATGCAATTGAAATGTACCTACCACTGTTGGATACTCTCATGTAAGAAACAGATATACTTTGATTAGTTGGTGTAAGCTACACCCTCACTATTTTGCTGACAAACAAGGACACGTGCATAGAAGTGCTTAAATTCAATACGTTATGCCTAAGGTAGGTAGCTTATCACCTTGCGTTGTTCGTGACTAGCCTGGATAACTGCAGTGAAGACTAGATAGGTCTAAATATGTGCATTGTGAGTTTTCAATGGCTATCACCTTCATTTGAATGTTTGGCATTTGAAGCTATTCATAGTGGTGATACCTTCTGGGAACCATTTTGTTCGTCATAGGCCGATCAAAATATTGAATTATGGAGGGATGCGTTCAAGATTGAGCCGCTCGCTTCTGAGACCGAATTTGTTGTGGTTGAGCTACGTTCATCATTCATTTGTGAATCCTTGTTATTGGCAGCTTTCGTCATTGAAAATCATCGGCGCCAATCTAAGAACCATCATATCAATCAAGTCATGCACTCTGCTACGTGGGTACCTATGACGACGGACTGATTCGCTTTCCATGTTCTTTTGTGGATTCTCGAATATTGCGACAGCTGACTACCAATAAAATGTACGGCGTTGATGCCAGAGCTAATATGTGGGGATTATCAGGATGCTCCGTTTTGCGTGGCGAAAATGCGATCTCTCCATCATGAGAATGTCACTATTAGCCAAGAGGCGTTCTCAGCCTCTATGAATACCGGGAATATTTTAGTAGACGGCTTGATATCTTTGTTTTATTCTTAAAAAAATTTTTTTTGCAGGTTGTAAAGGAACGAAAAGACCATCACCATATTCCAAATCACACAATATGGCCAACAAAGTAAACAACGATCATTTCAAACTGTCTTCTCTTTTCAATGTCAAAAATAAAGGTAATCCTATTCTGAGAGGCCTCGTCAAGAAACCCATTTGTAAGGCTGACACCAAAACAGTGGCATTGGTGACCGGAGGAGGCTCGGGCATTGGCCTCATGGCTACACAAGCCCTCGCAGTCAACGGTGCGAAGGTGTATATCGTCGGTCGCACTAAGGAGAAGCTCGAGCGTGTAGCCGAGTTGTATGGCAAAGACATCGAGGGTCAAATCATTCCATTGCCGCCAGCCGACGTTTCTACTAAGGATGGAGTGGCCAAGGTACATAAGGACTTTGAAGCTCGCGAGAAGCACCTCTCTATCCTCATAAACAATGCCGGAGTATCGAGTACTTCAAGGGATAACACTGAGCACCAAGATCCGCACAAGCTTCGCGAAGCACTCTTTGACCAGGATGCTCAGACCGCAGAGGACTGGGAATCGGTGTATCGAACAAATGTCTGCCAGCTATACTTCATGGCCACATCATTTTTGCCCTTGCTCAACAAGGGAACCAAGATTGAACACGGCTGGTCTAGTACCGTGATTAATATTTCGTCTATCTCGGGCATCGTCAAAGTTGCTCAGCATCACTTCAATTATAATACGTCCAAGGCTGCCGCTATTCATTTAACTAAAATGCTTGCCCATGAAGTTTCCTCTTCAGGCCTCAAAATCAGAATCAATAGCATTGCCCCTGGCGTGTTCCCGAGCGAGATGACGGCGCAGGAGAGCAATGAGGCCCAGAAGAGCTCTCTGCCCAAGGAACAGTACGAGGGCAAGGTGCCTGCGGGAAGACCTGGAAACGACAGAGACATGGGAAATGCAGTGCTTTATGCGACGACCAACCAATATGTTAATGGGCAAACAATTGTTGTTGACGGAGGCTATGTTTTATCAGCGGGCTCTCTCTAAACTATGTAAACTATACTTCCAGAGATTGTCAGATATCTTACTGAATATACTATGATCTCATCTTCAGACCAAATGCATTCCATTCAAGACAACTTTTTGAGCCACAACGGCATACAAAAGCAGATTTCATTTGCTCAGAGACCTTGACGCAGACAATTGCCATTATGAGAACCTGACTGGACGTACTCAAAAAGCTTTCACTGATTCCTTGACGGGAAAGCCGAATTCCATATCAACAGGCAAACGAAGACCATTGCGCCCAACAAACCGCACAACCTGTAGTGTAGTAGCTGAGTAGATCCAACAGTAATTCCACGGACTACCACACCCTTGGACATAACAAGACTGGCAACATTAGGCATCTCTTTGGCCTGAGACAGGAAGCCAATGACAGAGACATTCTCTCCCATCTTCACGCAGCTAATGCTCTCAGCGATAGCCCCGAACCACCTGAGTACGTAATCAACGCTCTCGCCGTTGGTAAGGCGTAGGGTGTCCTTAGACCATTGGGGGTGCTAACGCAATAGTCGTCTCCAAACTTGGTTTGGCAAATTTGAGTTTCTCGGAAATTTGCAAACATCCCTGTGTCCTTTTTCAATTGATACCAACTTGCATATTAGTCTAATTACTTTGTTTGTCAACAGCTACTCCAAAAGGCAAAAAGGAATTCCGGATCGATCACGGTATATTTAGACATCTCGTCAAAGGAGGAGAGGACGGCAATGCCACGGCGGGCCAAGCTATCACCACGAATAGGTAACTAACTATTTTTACTGAAATTGAATGAGAAGGGCTGTCGGAAATCACCCTTTTCACTTCCAAGTAGAGATCTCCAGAATAATCATCATACAGACAGGTTCCCCCATTGGTTGACACAATCTCTGAAAACTCACGCTGGCGATATCTCTGCTTATCTCCGAAGCCAACTCGCTAAATCCAAGATTCGCGGACGGTCGGAGGCTCCCAAACCAAGCTGCAAAAATGAAAAGAAGAAAGTGATGACTATAAAAAGAGCATCAAGCCTAGATGGCTGGCCTCTTGCCATTCTTCCAACCGTCTCTGAAATTCCTCAGATTCTTCTCCTATAGCACAACACCATCATGCCTTCCATAGCTGGTCACACCCTCCTAGTCATCGGAGGCTCATCTGGTATAGGCTTTTGCGTTGCTAAACTTGCTCTGGCAGAGGGTGCCCGGGTAGCAATTGCTTCCTCAAACGCAGAACGAGTTACCCATGCAGTCGAAAGGCTATATCAATCCTCGGATTCTGAAAATGCGAAGAATGTACTAGGATTCACCGTCGATCTCAAGCAACATGATATCGAGCAGCAACTTGGAAAGCTTTTCACAGATGTCAAAGCGGGCTTCGGAGACGAACTACTAGACCATCTCGTCTTCACTGCCGGAGATGCCATTGGATATCGCGCAACAAAGGACATCGATCTCGACTTCATCCAACAGAGCGGAATGGTGCGATTCGTAGCTCCTCTCTTGATTGGGAAGCTTGCTCCACAATTCTTCAAATGTCAATGGTCGACTTCCATTACTTTCACCAGTGGAAGGGTCGCTGAAAGGCCTCTGCCTCAGTACACTGTCATCGCGGCCTACGCAGCAGGAACTGGAGGTGTCACGCGAAACCTTGCCCTCGATTTAGCACCCATCCGTGTCAATCAAGTCAACCCTGGAAGTGTTCTCACTGAGCTCTGGGGTCCTAATGGTGCAGAGCGTGCTCAAGAGGTATCTAAAAAGACGCTTCTTGGTAAGGTCGGCACACCAGAAGACACGGCAGAAGCCTATATCTATCTTATGAAGGACACCACTGCCAACGGGACTATTATCAACAACAGCGGCGGAGAATTGTTGAGATAGAGCGAGCCTGTCAACGCCAAGATAAATACCATTTCTATCGTTTGAAGCACCTCGAAAGCTTCCCCATGTTCTCCTGTTCTAAATAGCGAATATTCATCAAACCATGAGCTTGATCAATGCGGGAGATCTGTATGATTGGTGCTTAATAGGGCTATCCGACGAATTTCCCGAATTGAATAAAATCCTGATCTTCCTTTAACCTTTCCAGATCTTCGTCTCCTAGACAAACGCCTACAACAATGTCGCCTTTAAGCGTCTTGGGTAAAAAGTAGACCAGACCCTCTCTGGAGCCCTCAGCGAAGCGTGGCCTTCGCACAGCGCTAGGAAATCCAAATCCAAAATCAAGACTATAGCAATTCTCCTTGGCCCACGAGCTTAACCTGACGTCAAGTTCGGGATTACCTCCTGGAACAGCTACCGCATGTTGTGCGTTCTTGTTGCGGGCGATGGCCGTTGCCAATTCGCGAGTCCTATGATTCAGCGATGCAGGATCGAGAGCAGAACGAAGCTGTGATGCGATTGTTCCTAATGATTGCTTGACCACATACTCAAGCGAGGAGGTATGTATTGTTGCATTTGTTACGAGACCAGGGTATGTGCTCGGGATTGAGAGATAGCGACGAACGTCGACATTTCGTGACAGAGTGGTTTTGCATGTTGACATTTCGTTCTGATACCGCGGTAGTCTGGATCGACTTATAAATTGCCATATAAATGCACTGAGAACATCGTCGGTTGAGACAAAATCATTTGTCCCTGTAGGGACACTGGCCGATGCCAAAGACTTCAGAGTGGCTAAAGATGAGGCCGCAAAGGAGAAATACGCCCAGGTGCAGTTTGGCAATGGCGGAGCTTGCCTTTGCGGTGTCTCAATATTTGAGGCAACGCTGGTATTTCTAGGTAGTCGACTGTCCGCAGAATTTGGTCCGTTATCGTCTAGTAAAGGGATAATGTTACGGCGATCCATATTACAAATCGACACTTCGGAACTCGTGAAAGGCTCGTTTCGACAAGCTTTAGCAAGGAGGTACATTATCTGGCCTTGACCAGCCATATCCATTGAACCATGTTGACCATTCAAGGTGAGTAACAGCCCGCCGGAGACGAAGTTGGCTTGGATAAGGAATACGGAGAGGTTGTCTGAAGACGGCTCTAGCGTCTTGCATGGGGCAAATGTTGACTCATCTATCATCCTGAACGGAAAACTGGCTTCCAGCAGAGTGTTCCATGCCGGTGCTTGGTTGTTCTTATCGTAATGCTTCACGATAACACGAGACTGCTTTTCAGAACTCCTGATCTTGAAAGTGTCGTCTTCGTTGACAATCTTTCCAGCAATCCAGGGCAAGTTATCCGAGAGGCATTTGAACCCCTTTTCAAGAGTATTGACTATGTCTGTCTGAGAGGGAGAGTCGCTGCCAAGCTGAAAACAGAATGTAATCTGTGTATATAGCTTGTTGATGCGGGGCTGTTGGCCGAGAATATCCAAATGAAAATCGGCCATAGTAGGCACTTCATCGGCAAAATTTCTCTGAGGAGAATAGCCAGCCTCCCTTCTATCTCCCATTATTTTCTTTCCTGGGAGGAGTTGCATGATATGTTACGTCTGTTCTCGATGGTCTTCAAATAGCTCCTTGTATAAAACGTTCGCGATCCCGATAACGGGCCGGTACATATTATATATGTGACGTCACGGGCTGGATGTCTTATCATTTAGGCTGATAATTGAGACGATACGATTACTGAAACTACTCTGAAAAGCCAGCTCTAGTACAGTGGAAGTTCCTGGTAGACTGAAAATCATGTTTAAGCGGGAAAATCTGGCAGCTAGCTGAAAACGCATATGTATTGTTCACTATCTAAATAAACGCTTGGAAGATACTATTCCAACAAAAACATCAGCTTAGATCATATAAATAGTCCTTCCGAGTTATGCGTTGTATGAATATGTTTGCCTTGGATGATCTTTACTCATCTAGACCCAATTACTCGTCCTCGTCCTGTACAAAACTTTCCTCTTGTTTCAAGGCGTGGGTTTGCTGCTGCAAAGTCTCTGAATCAAGTGCTCGAGACTACCAAGGATGTTAGCTCATACTGCTCCAGGCGTCGAATTTTATAGTCTTACCAGTTTGTCCGCCTGTGCATCACGCTGTTCACGAGGCTGTGTGAGATAATGTATGGGCCCGGCTTTTGCGTTCAGCTGCTCCTCGACAACGCCCTGGACGTTTTTAACTGCACTGAAAAGGGCATCTTCTTCGTCTTTTGTTGGCGAAAGAGCAGTACTTTCGAGCTCCATGCTTTCTCCGTACGTCTTCTGGAGCCTGCTCTTGAACTTCTTGGTTTCCTACAAGGTCGTCAGTTGATTCGAGATTTGTGTAAAGCAAAATCCTCTTAGTAACATACCTTGTTAATGAGACCTTTCACCGCAGCCTGGCTGGTTTGGGCGTACTGCTCAATTTCCTTGTACCCAGCAGTCACATTATTTTGGAGAGTCATCCGGTTTACCAAAGCAAGACCATTCACGATGTAAGGATCGTGGACACTCTTATAAAATTCAGCAACTTCCGTGAATTGGTCGAACCCAGCCCAAATAGCCACAGTATACTGCTGCAGGATGACACGGTCTATCAGCGCATTTGGCGAGGAGATTGCATCCTCTACTGTACCCTTGAAAGGGATGACGTTGCCTTTGACCAAGGTTTTAATCTGCACCGAGAGTTGTGTGAAGAAGAGCCGGAGCTGGAGGATACAGTCTTTGAGTTCCACAAGCAAGGTCAGGCAGTTCCTAAGACAGACCTTGACAGCTTCCTATGACGACGATTGATTCAGTATTAACACTGCAGAACACAACACAGTTTAAATAGATCTACAAAGCATAACATTGCAGCAAGCTTACCAGAGTCACTTTGTCGTCCTTAAGACTATCTAAGTCCGATTTGATATTGTTCATCTGAGTCTGGAATGACAGCAATTGACTCCTGGCCGTGTCGGCAATTTGTACATCTCCCGGGCAGTGGTTACTTTGAAAGATGCCGCTTCTACAGCCATCTGGCTGGCGGTTTTGCTTCCAGCAGAAGCCGCTGCCTGTAGATTAGCGCCAGGCAGCCGGGGGTTCTTGGATCCAGAGGTTAAGGTCTTATTCTTGGCATCGAGTTTTTGTACGTCTTTTCTGGACTTTTTGACCTTCGACTGCCATCCAAAAACCAGTTTCGAGTCCTTCGGGGGCGGTTTCCAGTTGTCTCTCAGGTTGCGACTTGTAGTTCTCTCCACCTTCATCTCGCTAACAACCTACATAGAAATTATCATAGGTGTTAGAATATGGAATGTTCAACTGCCCAGAGAAAAGTACCTACCGTGTCTGCGTCACCGATGGCCTTGAGCAAGGCTTTTCCAACCTTACTGTCTGCTTTGCTGCAAGTTTCCTCGCAAAAGAGCCTTGACAATCATAGCAACCTGTATTTGTGACCAATCAATCAGTCAACCAGTTAACGTAGCTCGGAAACGCTCAATTCCTGGCTACCGTGTTCTTGACCAACTCAGAAGTGCTGCGGATCTCTTCCATATGTTTGTAACAATTCGTAAAGGCAGTACTGCCTTTGTTGGCTACCTCAATCAAGCACGTGGAGAGATAGAGGTGTCTGTTTGCGGATATACGGCCAGTGCGTTCATTCCACTAGAGGTCATAAACGTCTTCATACCCTTTAAGGTACTCGGATTTCTTGTTGGGGACCAAAATAATGCCTCGTGCATCATCGCGCGCGGCTGTCAAGGTGCACAGCGCCAGAAGCTCCAAACACAATGGAGCCATTCCAAGGTACGCTAGCCATCCGTGTTGGGTATATTTGACCACGATCGCCTAATGGGTTTGTCCTGATCTCTCATGTTGCCTGTGGATTTCGTTGATTTGTCTCGAACGATCTCGGTGTCCCACAGGTGAAGGGTGATCGATCACTTTCCCAAAATTGAGGGAAATTGGAAGAAGGCGAAAACAGATTGAATGACGTTGGTAGATAAATTAACCTACGTGCCAGGGATGCCAAACCTTAGGACATGTTTCATCACGTTCTTTGTATTGTTGTTCTTATCTGAACGAAACGGCAGGCCAAAATGAATATCCTTAAAGTGAGGAACCTCGCTACGCTACGACCCTATGCTAGAGGTATCCCCCATTTGCAGATTCCGCCCTGGTAGAATTTTGCGCAACACACATCGGCCACTTTCAACATGCCTTTTGCGATGTCCGGTTGCAATTTCTCCCTGCAGGGAGCCCACAGGATCTGTTTTCTTTCGTCGCTATTATGCGATCGAGGAAGAAAAAGTGGAAGAAGTGACCAGTTTAGATGATGTGGAGGAAATCGAAGAAGCGCTACAAAAATTGATCTCCGAAGGAAACGATATCGCATCGACAATTGAACGGCAAAACGAGGACATCAAAGTTGGTTCAGAGCTTATAATCCATGCGGTATACGACTCGCTAGTTGATGTGTCGCTGCAGCTAATCAATAAAACATACCCAGAAGGACTCGGCGGCTTGATTGAGTTCGCCCCTGACGCATATACTTGTTTTCCGTCCGGAATGGAGCGGTGGATTAACCAGGTATGCGATGGGATAAGAGAGCATGATACATCCAAAGTGCATCAGCCTTCTTTAGATGACGCGGTAGAAAATACGATCAGGTTGTTCAACCTGGTTGAAAGAGCTCATTGGTTCAGTTATCTAAACGAGCTTTCATTCCACAGAATTCCTATGTATATCTTGTGTCTCCACTCAAATAAGATCGTGGTGCCAATCAATCGGATTCTATTGGTTTTAGTAAAACTTGTGCGACACGGTTGCAAGAATATACGTGGTTCATTTGGGTGTCAATAGTATACACGCTCTATACGACCACCGTGCTGTACATATCGGGCACTCAGCACTGTCTCTCGCTGGTTAGGTCTCACTTTCAGCGCTTAGCGAGGTCGATCCTTGCTTGGCTAACGCATCCTACCCCTTGAAATTCATTGGCATCCATTATTGAGTATTCCACTGCTTTGCACATGCATGACAAAAGGGAAATACAAAGACAGCTCACGCCCTATGCTTTCGGCTTTCGCTTTGCAGTCTTAGCATCATGACTTCATTGTCTCTCACTTGCATAGTCACGTAAAATCTTTGAACTAAAAGCTATGATAAAAGCAATGAAAGATACAAGATTATTGGATAAGTTTCCAATTAGTGGCACAAAGAAAGTACATATGTAAATAGTACGCCACGTACGTATGTTGAAATACCGCCATTCCTGAACGCGTATCTATGTAGCTATGAAAAGGCTCATCAGCAAATTACTTAGTATTCTCAAGCTTGAAAGCCGCCTTTAATTACACAATCTTCATTCACTTAATCCCTGGAAGCCAAATAGCTTCCATGCTTAAAAAAGACTCCCATCACCCTATCGTTCATTATGTTCGGCTCTAGGTTGTTCGTTGCATTTGTTGCACGCACTGCCCTTGCGCAGTCGGTGCAGATTGGCCTTCCGGATGCAGGCACCGTTCTGAACCCTGGAGAAGACTATACTGTTCAGATACAGTGTCCAGTAAGCGCCCTTGTCCTCGAAGCTCTAGGCATGGCTTACATGATTATCATAGGACTCGTTGACGAGCTCCCAAGAAGTAGCCCTGGTTATTGGCATCCAACAGTGTCAGAACGGTCATTGTTTTCCTCCGGACGAAACCTTGGGCAATTTGTTATATAGCGGATCATTCAATCCTCAGTTCCATGAGCCGAGCCTCCCTCCTTATCAAAACTTCACTGTTCACATTCCGGACACTATGTCGTCGGAGTCTGCTCTCGTTGGCGTAGCACACTTTGCTCTCGTGGGGGTAAGTAATACCGAACTCTCGAATATTACAGTCACCTTCCTTATATAGACTATAAACTGACTTAGTATCCGGGAAATAGGATAGTTTTGCTCCTTTAATCGATTACCACAACCAGAGCGTTTCAATTGCATGAATTTACTCGGAAAATATCGGGCGTTGACTTGTCAGAGTTATCATTCATTGCAGCTAGATTTTGACCCACAGCATTTCAAAAGTATCTTCAAGTAAGTTTGCATAAAGAGTCATAAGATATTGTAACGGGTGCCCTTGTCTAATAATCATTAATCAACGTGATCGGCGACGGATACTTGAGAAAAAACAAACCTAACTCCCAAGCAGCACTGTAAACTTGACTAGTCTTTATGTGACAATACTCCGTAGTCATTATTGTAAGGCAATTTCAAACCCTTAGTGATACCATGTCTAGGTTAACTAAATCAAGTTCAAAGATACCAAATGTTGCTTGTCCTAATTAATCACTACTAGAAAGCCCATCAAGCCGAGCCACGGCATAAGGAAACGTTGACATAATAAATAAGCCTAAAGCGAAATCTGGACCCAATGTCATGATTATACTGTAATTCGCTCTTCAATTATGTCCTAAAGACACTAGCTTTGTAGTCTTTAGCAGCGCAGAGATGCGTTTAAGTGCTTTCAGTGTTTAATCGGAATGACTTTTCGACGGCATGCCTGTCACCAATAGTAGAGGCAATTAATTACCCATCAAGTGCTCTGAGCCTTCGAAATTAACCAGCTTGACATAGCTCATGCCATACTTCATACTACGTATCCGTACCATGGAATTGACAAAAGGTTCTAGAACCTTGGAATTTCCCAGGAGCCTACCTAATCGCACCTATGTAGTAGCATTTAATATATCTTATACCTCTTCTAGGTATAGTCAGTCATAATCCATGTAATTCCGCACACTCGACGTTTCAAAAAAGTGTCTCTAATTCATTTAGTTTGATGCTACTAGTCCTGCATCGGCGGTTTAATTATAAAAGTGACACTTGGGGTCCAAAAGCCACAATACATGCTACCATGCAAAAAATTTCTTATGAAATGCCCTCGTTACAACCATATGAACAAAAGTAGTCTAGCAGGGTATATGATTATGCACACAACTCTCAATTAAGAATAAGCACATCCACGGACCTCCGCATGATGGCCTGCCTGCTGCGGAGTGAAGGATTTTTTCTTTCTTTCTTCGAAAGCCCCATTCAATATTTCTAACAGGACAAACGAGTGAGTTATGAGATAGACTGGGCCCAAATAGTCGATAATCTTCACCGTTGGGTATGAATATTTAGCTAGCAGGCAGACGAATATGAATTCTGTCGCTTCATTCGAGGCTCACTCGCCATCTTCCGAAGATACGCGCCTTGACAGCGTTGATGAAAAATTGGGGCATGAATTCAGCACTTTGGAGGTCGTCCCTCCCAGCAACCTGGAGCACTACCAAACACCATCACAAGTGCGGAATTCTTTCTACCGTAATTGGTTTCAGTCAAGGTTTGAAGGTAAAACAGAATCGTTCCACTTCTATTTCGATTTACGTGTAAAACATCAAATATGACTCATTGGATTACTGATAGTCAAGCGGGCTGTTAGATGACAAGATTGCAATCATTCCTCCTCCGCCTGTTGCCGATTTTAAACCCACTACCCCCGGCACTTCGCCTGAAGGTGTAGGACCAACTACCCCAGTAACAATATGCGGCATGCCTCAGCGGGCTTTCTGGATAGTCTTCGGTGTAATAGCCGGTCTTTTGGCTCTCGGCGCCATTATTGGAGGTGTTGTGGGAGAAATAGAAAACAACAGGTCACCCACGCCAGTTGTCACTGTCACGACCACTGTTGCGCCGAGCTCCACTGCTGCTACTACAACTTCAGTCTGTGCCGGAGGAACAGGAGAGGGAAATCTCTCTGGACTTTGTTCTTTTGCCTGCAGCTATGGATACTGCCCGGCGGGTTCGTGTACATGTACAGCTTCCGGCACTCCGGTTCCTACACCACCGACCACAGGTGTTGATGGCGTGCCTCTGTCAGGCGAAAACGAGGCATATGAAGGACTGTGCAGCTTTTGCTGTAATCATGGATACTGCCCTTCCAGTGCGTGCACCACAAATAGTACATCAGCGTTATATACGTCGGTTACACCTGCATCAACTTTATCTATATCGACCTCATCTATACCAACATAATATACATCAGCGTCGTCTACATTTGTCTGATTTCCGGTCGGGAATTATTTACTTGCAGTATGTAGGGTCAGTCCAATAATGGATTATCCATTTGTGAAATTCTTTCATCCTATTTGATGTAGGATAAGGTTATAATGGGACATCGGGACGGTGAATATTTTGCGGGCGATATATACGCCGTATTCAACTATGGCATCTTTTAACTTGTATCAGATTGTGGCATTCGGCCTTGGAAATTCACCACCAAACAGATCAGCAGCATCGAAATCCAGGGAGCTCCAGAGAGAACTGAGTGAGTAATCTAGGAAAGGCGCCGGAGGCAACAGCATCTGGCCGAATGACCCATAATTGTCATCTGAATTGTAATCCAGGGTCCCGTCTACTTCTTGATTCTTAGCAATGTCCCCACTTCGCTTGTTTTCACGCCTCATTCTTGCACGGCGAGCGACAGTGTACGATAAATTGGAGCTCATCCGGGAGCGTACTTCTGGGAAAGGTTTAGACTGGGCCGGTGATGGAGAATCCCGAGGCATATTGCCACCGGGTTGGTTTTCCAGTGAGCATGTTATTTCGATAATTTCACAGATTCGTGCAAATATATCATTGTCTCGTACTGAATGTGGTTTCACATACGTCAACACTGACCTGATGGCATTATTTCTTGTAACGGAGTCTTCGCGAAGGTCATCGTTGGCATTCGTTGATAGTTCTGCTAGATGTAAGAGTAGCATCACCGCATATATCAAGGCATTCCTCTCAAAGATGGTCCATGATCGACCAATACTTTCGCTAGGAGTCGACGTAGATGAATCCGATGGAGATACTGATACTGAAGAACACCATGTGTTAATCAAACGAATGGCAGTTGTGTAAATCTGTGAAAGAAAGTATGTCGTTTTGTAGCCAGGGGGCAATGTTGATAGAGAATGAGAGGAAGAATGCGGGGTTGTTAGGCTGTACGAATAAAGAAAGAGTTTTTGATTAAGGAAGCATGTCTTTGCTGTCAAACACCACGAGTCCCAGTTGGCAGCTTCAAGAGTATTCAGGTCATTTTCAATGGACTCAATCATCGGGATTGCATCCGGAAGCAATCCATCTGGTGTGCCTCCATAATGACCCAGCAATTCAGAAAAAGAGAACGACTTGTAAGCAATTTGAAGCAAATCTGTAATTGAACGTGGACAAGCCGTGCGTTTTTCTTGGACTGCCCGTAGTATGGAATGGTCCAGCTTTACTGTGGAGGGAATCCCTAGCTGGCAGCTCAGGCTGGATGGAAATTTCAATATTAAACCTACTTGTGCATATGTACGTACTAGTAGAGGGAAAAGACAAAGCTGCTTACCTTTGATTAATAATAAAACATGAAAACCAGGTTTTGGAGCACATCACAACGTCTTCCTTGGTTTGTTGATGATGAGGACGAAATTCCCTGAGACGGTCGGGGCGATGGATGCCCATTTGCAAAGCCATATGTGTTGCACTCCCACAGTACACCCATGACGGGTCCGTGTTCATTCCTTCAAAAGGAAGTGGCCAGCAACACAACAGTAAAAGGGCGTGGATCAACGATAAAGATGGCGGCATGGTTGATGCTATCTCAGTGCCGGCCAACCGTCGTATTGGCTGTATCAGTTTCAAGTATAAGTTCAAATGGGTGTTTGAACGCCCTGACGCAATGGCCATGATGGCCCAGAAAAGCAAGCGGCATGATACGCAATCTCGAACTGTCGTTTTCAGGTCGGACAGCAGCGGAAATCTGGGATGATAGTAGCGGTAGAATCTGAGTTTTCAATGCATTAGCTTCCCGTGGATACCCTTCCTTGAACCATGTCATATACTCTTGAAAAAGATCGCATATCACAGTCGGCGGTATCGTGACTTCCTCGAGCGTCTGGGGATCACAGAAAATACCCGTTGACTGAAGATCAGGAATAATCTCCTCTGTGGTTGGTGGCTCTTCGTATTGAATCGATTGTTCTCGACCTTGCGGAGAGTTTGAAGACTCATCCAGGGTGGATATTCCTTCACCAGGTAGTGCCCTAGGCTCAGCTATGGTTTCCTTAAGCTGACGGAGTTCATTTTCCAGCATATGCAGACGTCTGTTTACTATGGTCAAATTGATGCATACAAAACACGAGCGAAGACCACGGGGCTTACTGTCGGCGAGCTGTCCGGCGAAAGGAGGGATCAATGGCACAGCTCTTATTGAATTTTTCACAGCGAGTACAGGGACTGGGGAATTTCTGTTTGGCGTCACATTTGAGCTAAAGAGATGCCTGTTGAGTTAGTATTATTCTATCCAGCATAAGAATTCACAAATTTTATTCACAACGTTTGGGTTAGATCATACTTTCATCTGCCTACAATGCATGCAGGCCATGCCATTGCGCCTTCGCAGTGGCTCTGCAGAGGAGGAACTCATGTCTGGTGGCGAGCAGAAACAAGATTGATATCACACTAAGCAGGCAGTCCGGGATGTCGATGAGGGAAGAAGACGGCGGAATGCGGGAATGCGGGCCCCTGTACGGTCACAAAGCGTTTTATGCGTGTATCTATCGACATGCTAGGTAAGAGATGGAATAGTGGCCCGAGCCTGCGTACTTTGCAGCCAATCGGCAGCGCCCACGGCGGCTCCTGTGACCTCATTTTTCTCCCTTTTCTAACCGAGTGTGGGCTAGCGGTAATGCAATACTGGATGCTGATTGCTCGGTTTTTGCGATGACGTGAGCCCTTTTGGACAAGTCTGTAATTTATTTTCCCCGGAAAATTATAACCAGTCAACTATCATAAAGCTTCAAAACGTACCCAAACTTCTCACACTGCCTCATTTAACTCGCGCAGGTGATGTCATGCGGAGATTTGAAAGCGAATGTCGCTTCACAAGCGATTTTCGCTTTGACTTACAAGGCTGTGGCCAGGACGACGAGGAGAAAACGCGAAGTATTTAAAGGGCATCCATGTATCATGGCCAGGGGCGTGAATCCTCCATCATCGAGCTGCTATATACGCATTTCCTTCACATTTAGCGAGATCATAGAACATCGAAATGGGCTCAGTGCAAATAGCGTTGGATCGAGAACTCCGGATCTTCACGCCAATCGGCACGTTGGGCTATGGCTTCAGCGAAGAAGTATATTGGTCAACCATGGCGGAAGGAGTAGACGCTGTCATACTAGACAGCGGGTCAACCGATTCTGGGCCAGCAAAACTTGCTCTCGGGATTTCAACGGGGACTCGTAAGGCGTACGAACGGGATCTTGGAATTTTGGTCGCTGGTTGTCACATCTACAGAAAGCCACTTCTCATTGGTTGGTGCTTTCTTTCATCCAATCATCTGCTTGAAAATGGTCCTAACATCTACGCAGGTTCGGCCGGGGGAGATGGCTCTACAAGAGGAGTCGAGTTATTTATCGGGATCATTCGCGAGATAATCGCGGAAAAGGGATATAGACCTATGAAGGTCCTCAGTATAGATGCGCAAATTGACAAAGGTCTCGTCCGATATCAACATTCGAAAGGCCTCGTGAGGCCTTGTGGAAAAGCGGTGCCGGAATTGCAAGCTCAGGACATTGACGACGCCTCAATAATTGTTGCTCAGATGGGTATTGAGCCGTGGCTGAAGGCAATGTCAGAACAACCAGACTTCGACATCATAGTGGGGGGCAGATCATACGATCCTTCCCCCTATGCAGCATATTGTTTATTCAGAGGAATCACTAGCGACTTAGCCATCCCTTATCACATGGGTAAGATCATGGAATGCGGAGCACTCTGTGCAGTTCCCAAGAGTAGAGAAGCTCTTGCTATTGTGCGTCAAGATAGCTTTGACATTCGTGCGCTGGATGATCAATCTCGTTGCACTGCTGTCTCGGTAGCTGCCCACACCCTTTATGAAAAGACTAGACCGGATATCTTGACCGGCCCAGGTGGAAATCTTCATCTCGAGAATACCACCTACGAAGAGTTACCCGACCAGAAAACTGTGCGTGTCCGAGGCGCAACTTTTGTGCCCGTCAAACCTGGTGAATACACAGTTAAGCTTGAGGCCGGACGTAAAAGCGGTTTCCACAGCATGTTTATTGGCGGATTCACTGACGCCATCCTCATCAGCCAAATAGACGATTTCCTAGCTCGCGGCACAGCATACGTCAAGGCTAATCTTCCCTACGAATTCGATATCGACTGGCGAATTTATGGCAAAGACGGAACCAGAACCTACGGACAGTTAAATAGATCCCCACCGTGGTCTTTTGTGCCACCTGAGATTGGTATTTGCTGCCATGTTCGAGCAAGCACCCAAGATGAAGCGACCAACGCCGCTCACATGGCCCGTATTTTCTGCGCGCATGGACCTTATCGAAACCAGCGAGCAACAGCAGGAAATTTTGCAATGCCCTTTGCTCCCTTGGATATTCCATTGGGTGCGACCTCGGATTTCTGCATTTATCACACTATGATTGTCAATGATCCATCCGAGCATTTTCCGATTCATGTGGCCAATATACATGGAGAAAATACCGCGCCAACAACTCCACCCGAAGAAGTCGCCGGCAAAAGATCCTCCGGATCGCCGACAAAGGGGTTGCTTCAAGGTTCTGAGACCGGAAAGTCGGTCCTCAGTGGCTTGCGAGAACCAGCTCCAGGTCATGTCTTCTTGGCTGATCTGGCGGAAGTCATCCGGAGTAAGAACGCAGGGCCATATGAGTTGACATTCGACGTGATGTTTCCCAATGCTCAGATGGCGAACAAAGTCAAGGACGCAGGTATACTCACTCCAAGCACTATTGCAAACCTATACGATATGTCCGAGGACGATGTGATCGCTTGCATGTGGTGGGACCCGGCTTTTGCATTCAAAGCCACAATCAAGCGGCCGATAGTTAGTGGTGGGTTTTTTGAGAGGGATACCTATGGAAGCACTCAACACATGCCCTTGATGCTTCTTGAAGTACCTGTGGGTTTGAAGAATGGTTTGAATGGGGTAAAGATTTAGGAAACGTGACTATCTATTTTCGACTATTTGTAAGTTATTTTGTATTTGTTTAAAGCGGGATTAGTTAGTTTTCGGTATCGCGACATTTCTTTCCGCAGGTATCTCAATAGTAACGGTACATGGCTAAACAGGGGCGAAGCTGAAATGGATTATTAAGTTTCATATGTTTGCATACACTGCACTATTTTCCAAGAATATTGCTGCTTCACGAGGGCACCCTAGATTTGTAATAACCATTAAGGAAACATGTATATTGCTTTTATGAGATAGGACTGTCAGTAATGCGCCACCGGTGATACTCTTTTATTACTCGTTTAAAAATTGTTAATCAACGGTTCTCTAGCTAATTATTTGGTTGGGTTTAGACTTTATGACGTGCGGATCAGTAGTCCTGTTTCGACAGTGATATGATCCAATTCACGAAACAAATCGAGACCTTCTTCTCAATGACGGGGCATACTTTAGAAGTAGAAGTGGCACTGGCAACGCAAGGACAGCAATACCACCTAGCAGACTGCACCCCGGACCAACACCCAGGTTATCAAACATCGGTCTGGCAGCCAGAGGAAGGCCGCACGCGATTAGAGAGCGCAGCATTGTATTGGCTGAAACCGCACTGGCAGCGAAGACCCCATACATGTCGACAAGGAAATTGAGGCATTGCTGGAACACGATATTGAAGCCGGCGCCAATAAAACCTGATTTATATGATTAGCACCTACACCGTTATTTCTTTTAATATGCCTTATGGGTGTTATTCTTACCTCCAGCAACAACAGGAAGAGCCCAGGAATACTTGGGATTTGCTGTCCACCCAAACCAGAAGAGCCCTCCAACGAGGAACACGCCACCAATTATCATCGGCGGCAATCGTGCTTCTGGAACCGGCTTGCCGTTGTTCTTTTCCACAGCTTGCGCGTATCGAGGCTGGTTTCCAAGGTTGACAACTAACGCACTGCAAACTCCGACGAATACTCCAAGAAAGGGCAGCGTAGACACTAGAAGACTGTAGCCGCGCTGGTCATTGAAGACTATCGGGAAGGCTTCAAGAGTGAAATATACTAGACTATACACAAAGGAGGCGTACAAAGCAATGAACATTATCATAGGTTCTGTGAAAAACATGCTGGTACGAACGTAGAAACCCATTAGTTCGCCGGATCAACGTCGAAGTAGGCAAGAATTTGGCACTAACCGTATAGGGCGACTCAGATGTTTTGTCAAAATGTTATTAAGGTTTATTCTTTCTTTCTCGTGGGGGTGCCAGTATCTCTGTTCGCCGGTTTGGTTTCTCAACCGTTCTGCTTTCCGCTTTAACAAAACAGGAGCATATGTTTCTGGTAATGCAAGCAATGCCAGCGCAAAAATACTAAAGACGAATATGGCGTCAAGATATTCCGTCCCTTGCAAAACTAGTCAGTAAGTATTGATTTAAGAGAAGATCGGCGACAAACGACATACAGCGCCATCTCAAGTGCGAATTGACCGTCAAGGCAGCCCCAATTATCGGCCCAATAGTTGGGCCACCAACGATGCAGAGAGAAACAAATGTCATAGCGGTGCCACGGGTACGAGGAGTAAACATATCTCCCAGAGCCGCGGGTACATTGCTAATCGGAGCGGATGCAAAGATACCACCCAAGAATCGAGTAACAAGAACGCTAGCAATATTCTTGCTTGTTGCACTTCCAATACTAAACAGGCCGTAGGCGAACACGGCTGGGAGCATTCCCCATTTTCGTCCATATGTTTCGCTAATAGAAGCCCAGATCATGGGACCAAATGCCCAACCTAGGATCATTGAGTGATATTCGTTAGACGCGACATGGTCTAGACATCTAGGTGGATTACTTCGGATAAACTCACCGAGAACAAACAAAGACAATGTCAGTGTAGCAACCTCTGCGCCAACATTAAGTTGACTCTCAATCTTCGATTGCCCTGGAGAAACGATTGAAGAGCCCAGAGAGCCACTCAAAGCCAGCATGCTCATCTGGAAGGTTAGGAAGACCTTGTAGGACGTTTTGAAGTTCTTGGGGTTGTCCGGGTCGCCCTCGTCAAACTTCACAACCCAGCTCTTCTTGTTATCAGACTCTGGTTTACTTCTCGGTAGTTCATGGCCGAGCTTGGACAGAATCATGGGCGAGGCTATATCTATTCGTGGACGATAATTTGAGTTGGTCTTCTCTATATCGGCCATTTTCTTGGATGCAGCAGTTCAGGGTGTTATCCCTAGAAGCGCCAAACAACCTTGAGTTCGTTAAAGCATAAGATTACCAGGGACAAGGCGGCATCGGCCTGCATTTATACTATGCGAAAACTCCCTTTGACTTCAAAGCACAGATAAAACAACCCAGCCCTAAGTACCCAATTAGGTCTAGTGGCGGCCGCCAGTACCCACCCGATCCCACCGGGGCTCCACAATCTTCCTTGGGGACCTTGACGACATTTATTATCGTTGCATATTTATTCTTCACTCTTCACTGCGTGTCAATGATCCCTGAGCATCTGGCGGCCGACACCATTCCAGGTTGGTTCTTTCAGGAGAGCATGGCGTTTGTATTCCAGAGGCTCCTATATTTTCGCTTTGCCGACACCGTATCTCGGAGGTGCTTTATCCGATGCCGATGATCTTTTACAACTGGACCATCGAGTCCCAGCTAACATGAACAAGGCCCCCAGAGTGTGCGTTACCTGCAAGACGCGTAAGAAGGCCTGTGACAAGTGGTTGCCGCAATGCGGCTACTGCGCTAAAAGGGATTTGGCGTGTAGTTACAGTTACGACGAGCCTCCATCTAACAGGCCTCCCCTGCAATATGCCTCTCCCTCTGTGTCTGGCCCGGGTTCAGGCCTGCCGGATATATTGATATCGGGCAAGCAGATGACAGCAGACGACATGGTTTATGATCAACTTCGTCGCATCGTATCTCTTACAAGAACCTCGATCCCTCAAATGTCTGATGAGTTCTTCCGTGGTGTCCATAACGTCTTTCCAGTTGTCTCGGCGGAGTTTCTTCAGGCCAGTCTTTTGATATATCAAGATCAGGTTTTCCCCGCGGATTTCGCTCTTGTCATTCTGTCAATGTATTTATTGACAATGCGATCACTCGGAGACTCGCGGCTCACTGAGACTATCTCTGCTGAAGCTTTTTATGTGACAATTAAGATGCTTTTCGGCCATGTACAGGCGCTCAAGTCTTCGTCTATATATTTGTTTCAAGCTAGTCTTCTTCTTGCCACATTTGAATATGCATGTTGTCGGCCATATGCAGCATACTTGTCTATAGGCACATGTGAAAGAATGGCGGTTATTCTTGACAGAGTCGAGAACCGCCAACAAGAAGACTGCTCACCTCGAAATCTGAGGCAAGTCCTCGGAGAGGACTCTTTCAGGGGGGTTATTCTCTTGGAAAGGTCAGTGGGCTGAAATAAACCCCTTGGTTCGTTACATATATACTGGAAACGAATGCTAACGCGTATTAATAAAAAGATTAATAGCATGTGAGGTTGATGCTCCATTTGGACCATCACTTACAACTCACCCAGCCCCTGTCAAGTTACCGCAGGACAGCATGTCTGCAATTACAGGTACGGTACACCGCCTGAAATAGTTACTCTTGGTTATCCGTCGGTCTAATAGCATACACCTTTTTAGATACTGAAGAGCAAGCTGTCGATTTACTTGGTAGAGTACTGTTCTTAACAAAGTCGCCGATTAGCTTCAAAATCAGAGGCCTTCAAAAAGTTGGCGTGGATCTACAGGATTTCCTTTCGGACATATTGGCTGCCGATAGTTCAGCCTCGCGATGCGCACCTTATGTTGTAATCGCCACTGCAATTAGGTATGCTCCGTAATTTGACACCACCATATAACATGAGTAGACACCAACATGCGTTTTTACTTGATATTTGATCAGGTCTCTTTTTCTGCTCCATCAACACCTGCTCAACAATCTCCTAACCTACCCCGGCCACTCAGAGGAGCCCTCGATCATGCAGATATCGCTCAATGCACTGAACACAGCAACTCGAATAATGATTGATACTTCCCGAGACCACGTAGATCACGGCATACCGCACGATCTGGATACATTTCCACTCTGTGGTGGTTACAATCTACGCTGTGCTATGAAACACCTTAGGGAGTACGGCACAATAAGCAGTCAAGATGTTTCCGCGGATCTGGCAAAGTTGGAGAGGCTATATTCTGTTTTCTGTCAGAGGTGGACACCTCTGGGAAATCAACTCTACAGCTCTCCATAATTGTTAGATTACTCACCAGACAGCTTTTCCGGGACTACAAGGCCAGTAAGCGGGCCAAACCCTCCCTTTTTGCCGTCTGGCGTAGTGAACCAGCCCTCCATAGTCACGAGATCGCCATCTTCCAGCCAACGAACGCTCTCATTTGCGACTTTTGGAAGGCCGATATTTGCAGCAACGGCTTCTAAGAGACAGCCGCATCCCACGGGGGAGGAGGGATCCCGTGATACTGGTGTCTGTATTGTTTTGTGAGCTGCATCATACCAAAGTAGTAACCACTAATGACGGGAGCCCTTTATCGTCGCACGTGGTCTAAGCTGGACTATACGTACTGCAGAAGAGTTTGTTCCAGAACCTAGCAGGTCGCCTGTATGCAAACCACAGCCACTGGAAGATTGATAGGCAATCATCTGAAGAGAGTCCCAATAAGAGTCTTTCAAATATGATCGCACAATCTGAACAGGATCGGATCCCTTGCCTTTCAAAACATCAGCACCAATACCAATATTTAATCAATTGCCTTGCCTTGACTCACGGGACAAAGACACTGAAAACTCAATATCATACCCAGCATGATTGTTCGGGTCGTTTTGCAGATGACTGGATATTACCGAAGCGTTCGAAGCGACCGGTTGGACCAAACTCCCTTCAAGAGCCTCTGGCGTAACCACCCAGGGAGAAATGCTAGTAAGGAAGCTTTTGGAATGAAACGGCCCGAACGGGTTCATTTCATATTTTTGGATGTCACGTGCAGACCAGTCGTTTAAGAGAACATACCCGAAGACGTGTTTCTGGGCCTCTTTAGCGCTCACTATTTCTCCCGCTTGCACAGGGTGGGATATGAAGCATCCCATCTCCATTTCGAAATCCAATTCACGTGATGGCTGGAGTTGGACGTGACTGTCGCTTGGAGTGACAAGGAAAAATCCCTTAGGCCGGATGACTTCAGTTCCGGAGACACGGACAGATGATACACGTCCATTATAAGCCATGGGATATTCCCAGAATGCCGGCGGGATGGGGAAATTCATTCCTTTTCCTGCCTGGAATTTGTACATTAGTTACAGCCCAGACCAAGGTACATGGAATGTGCTGGCTATATATTTACAGTATCCGCATGCACTATTGAACTGTAGAAGTCTGTGTAATCCGTCAAACGCATAGGCATATGCATCTCCGCTTGCTCCAGCGGCACGAACGCTTGGGATTGCACTTTCACATTGGTATAGAAAGGCGATTCGGCGTTGTTCAAGTTCTCGATAATTGTCAGTCTGACATACTGGCGAACGGCGAGCGGCAGCGAGGCAAAATCGTTAAGAACGGGCTATAATCATATACTTTGATCAGTAAAGTTGCTACACTTGATGTTGCTTAAGAATTGACACACCTGAAGGAAAACGCCTTCGAGCGAATCGGCATGGTCTGCGTGTGTAAAGACGTCGTTTTGGACTAGGGTGTTGAGATCGATAATCCATTTGCCAACGACCGTCGCAGCTCGGCGGGCCTAGAGTTATGTGAGCTAGATTTCAAGATCACTGGACTGTCTAAACAAGTTTACTGTGGCAAGCACGAATGGGCTTGGGTTAACTAACCTGGCCTGGTATGCTGTATATACCAAACGGAATGTTGTGAATTCCGAATGGACAGTCCTCGGCAACCTCGACAGGAAATGTGAAGGCGGACATTGTGAGAAATTCTTGTTGAAATTCACGGACACTGCAGTGTGATACTTTCAGGAAGTTAATCAAGTCAATATTTCTACTGTCTACCTATATACCTACCCACCATCTGCAGGTATGAAACGTCACGGAGAAAGTGACCTCCGACCGGGCCGACTACTCGGGGCATCTATGCAGATTTTGTGTAACATCGATATTGTATACAAAAGCGAGGTTTTAGCCTGAGGGTTGAAGGGGTGAAAAAGGAGCAAATACGATCTCCAGAAAATGGGAGGATGAATAAAAAAGTAAAAAATGGCATACAGAGAAAAGAATCCTCTCCCAGCACCCGGATTTGACGAGGCTGTGGTCTCCATAGTGCCCTTTGAAACTGGATGGATGACAATCAAAGCCTCCATGGCAATTGATGGTTTAAAAGGGCGATTTATAGGAACATCATGGAGATTTTTCTTGCAACATGCTCCATCAAACACCAATTTCTGGTTCGATCTTGGACTGGCTCATGTATGATTCCAATAGGGTCTATCATCTCTCTCTTCTCTCACACAGACACACACATGCGAAGCGTGGGTATTGAGATATATCACTTGCATAGGACCTCTCACTCTACCCGCCTCGAATCCAACGCGTACAACACAAGGTATTCTCTGCCACACCAGCTGAGCGTGATCCAGGACAAGATGTCATATCTGTTGGACAGGATCCCAAGGACGTAAAGTACATTATTGCAAGGTAGGATTGTTTGACAGATGATGCTGAGTTGAGAGAATTTGTTAGTTGAGCTAACGATAGCCAGTCACGCGCATTGGGATCACATGTTTCCAGCCTCCAAGTATTTCCCTAATGCCAAGGTTCTCTGTCTCGAGGGCACCCTCAAATGGACATCCAAGTCATGGCCTTCTGAACCAGACAGCGGCTTCGATGGTCGCATATGGAACAAGGAGGAGTCGGAACTACCCATTGATGAAATTCCGTCTCCTGTCACAGCCCCCGAAAAGTGGCAGCCGTTAGGTCCGTTCAAGAATGCCCACGACTTCTTCGGTGACGGCAGCTTCTGGTTGATCGATGCGCCGGGACACTGTCCTGGTAACCTGGCTGCTTTGGCTCGTACACGACGGAAAGATGGGAAGCTAAAGTGGGTGTTTTTGGGCGGAGATTGTTTCCATACGCCTTTGTTTCTAAACTACCCAGATGCGCCTTTTGGAAAGAGCCTAAAGATCACTTCTACAGGCTCTCACCATGAGAACGAGGAAGAGGCAAGGCAGATCATCAAGCAGACCGCCGAGCTTAGAAGAGGCGAGGGTGACGATGTCTTGATTTGGTTTGCGCACGCCGATGCACTAGAGGACGCGTGGAATTTCTGACAATACTGTAAGCTAGCAGAATTAGCGTTGTTTTATTTGATCGTACCAGTTGTTCTATACCATCTTCGGGTTGCAGTCACGTCTACGCAACATGTTGTCATCATTGGAATTCATTGGATGAGCAAGCATTGGGTGGCCATAGGTGCCAGACAAGGTTAGTTTATCAGGAAAAGGGTATTTTCAAGCTGATTTATTATGTACTGTGGACTTGCTCGAAGCCTGCTATGCTCGTGGTCCGGGGAAGGTTTCAATGCGGGGGAATGTAGCTCCAGGTCGTTCATTCGCTGTAAATTATTTATCCACCAATCGCGTCACTTCTCTTTCCATTACCTACGTACAGCACATATATTGGACGACTATGACTATGACCTGCTAGATACCTGCGAACATCGTGCTTTATATGAGTCAATTGGATGGCAATGAGGGCAGCATCATTTGCCAATCCCATTATCCCCGGGTTCAACCCGGATCCGTCCATCGTCCGGGTGAATCACGACTATTTCCTCGTAACATCGAGCTTTGAATACTTTCCAGGAGCCCCTATATACCATAGTACGGACCTTGCACAATGGAAGCTCATTGGCCATGCCCTAACACGCACAAGTCAAATACAAATACAAACACCGGAGCCCGGTGGTGGTGTCTGGGCCACAACCCTCCGCTTCCATAATGGCACATTTTATATTGTGGCTGCCAGTTTCGAGCACTATCGCCCACAGGAGGACGATAGGGTTTGGCCCCTTGGGTTTTATGTCAAGACGGACAATATTTGGGATTCAGACTCGTGGTCTGAGCCGGTGTATTTCGACCAAGTAGGATTCGACCAGGATGTAAGGTACCGATTTACTTTTACTGACCTATCAGGTCGCAAATTCAGTGGTCAATAACAAATTTCTAACTGCGAGTGTTATCATAATAGCTTTTTTGGGACGATGATGGTGCTGTCTATCTCTCTTGTACACGCCGCAAGCTTCATCGGACGCCGGGTGCCAACTTGAAGGACTTCGCAATCCACATTTGCACCGTCAATCTCGAGACCGGTGCTTCTACCTCAAAAGCTCGTCTCATCAGAGATTCGACATCTGCTGTCTCGGAAGGATCGCACATCTTTCGGCGAGGGAAGTATTACTACCTCTTTACAGCCGAAGGCGGTACTGAGAGTGGACATAGTGAATGTGTATGTCGAAGTGATCAAAGCCCCTTTGGGCCGTGGGAACCTGGACCGAACAATCCTCTGTGCCATAATGGAGGCCAGGACGATGTGCAAAATGTCGGGCATGCAGATTTGGTCGAAGATGAGCAAGGAAATTGGTGGGCGGTGCTGTTGGCGGTTCGGCCAGTCAGGAAGAGTGAAGATAAGTGGGAGTCTTCTGTATTCGGTAAGGTGTTCAAGTATCCATAGTAAGAAGGAAGTCGATTGCTTACATGTCAAGGTCGTGAGACATTCTTGGTATCAGTGGACTGGGTGGATGATTGGCCCGTGTTCAACCAAGGCCGGAAAATATGCCTTGAGGCGACCTCGCAGAAACTTGTTAAGCACAATGACTCAGTGGTCTGGACAGACAGATTTTCCGCACCAAAGCTAGAATTAGGCTGGTACAGGAAGAGTCAGTGTTGGTCTTTTGATTATCTACAAAAACATTGCTGATATATACGATCACAGACACACCGCGAAAACAAGACTTCTCCTTAACTGAAAAGCCTGGCTATCTTCGACTGTATGGTGCGCCCTACAGGCTCTGTGACCCTGCATGTCCAACTATGTTCCTGCGCAAACAAACCCATCGGTCCTGTAAATGGGAGACGCGTTTGTCGTTTCTCCCGTCCACCGCATATACTGAGGCTGGAACGGTTGTGTGGATGGATTATTTCACACACTGTTCTATTGGTATCCGACTGAAGCACCCTGCCAATAATCAAACTGCTGATGATATTACGTATAAGGATAGCCATCTGCAAAGAATCATTCGATTTTCCCCTCCGGCCGGAAGTGGCAGCGACATAGTTGAGTGGCAATTGACTAGCTTCCACTCCGATGTGATACTTCAGGTTGAGTGTGGCAGCAAATACCGATTTGGCTTCCGAGAGTTCAGCGATAAGTCTGAAAGCTGTGACAAAGACCAAGATCAAACTATATGGGTCGGCGAAGTTGCCAATGAGGTTATGACACGGCCTCCTCCAATTGGTGCGCAGTTCACTGGTGTCATGTTGGGATTGTATGCCTTGGGCGAGTATCATCCATGCTCTACACCTGCGGACTTTCACCATGTGCATTTTACAAATTATGGATGAGCCTCTCTAATTTTTGAGATTACGCTATACTTATGAGAGGTCAATGGGATGTAAGTTGGTGGTACGTACACTGGCAAAAATTGTTATTTATTAGAAAGATCATTTTCCAGTCCTTCCTCGTAACAAACTTATGAGAAACCTAGTATTTATCTATTTTATCTTGTTCCAAGGCTACGGAATATAATAGCTGAGTCGGGAAATCCACGGTCAGGATTAGGGCTAACAAAGTGGAACGTTATCGACTCAAGAGAGACTTCACTTAATGGCCGCCAAATGGCTTGCTTGGAACGTCAAAATTCGCCACCAAGAATAATTGGGGATATAGACAATTGGAAACATTGTGTGACTCGCTTGGCAAATGCAGACCAAAGGTTTTCATCACAATATAGCAAATCCAAATTGAAGCTAAGAGGTCCTAGCACCAGTCAAACGACTCGAGCCTACCACCGGATAAGCCGAATCCCAGCGAGGACAAGGCGCTAGGGGAGTTTCTCCCATTGGCTAGCCCATTTAAGCTGCTTGCATTAGTCTGGGGTTTGGGGAAGCTGGAGCACGGGGTTTGTCTTAGAGCGCCGTGACTGGTGGAATTATTTTCTGAGTGACGAAGCTTGGTCCGGGGTAACTATAGCACTAATAAGCTGCCATTGCTTAAACGCTTAGATGGGATAAGTAAACATGGGAGAGTAAGGATAAATTCTCGCATCTTGACCGCTTATTCAAATTTGTTCTCTTAAATCAGGTATATGCTCTCTTGCGTTCGCCAACTTATTGAGAGCAACTCGGAACTAGCAGACTACTGCGAACAATTGCAAAACACCCAACAATGGCGGTTGGTTTATTTCGCTCGAAAAGAGCGTATAACTGGTTAGAGGTCTCCTCTTGATACTGTTCTATGTATAAGGCCACTAATCCTCGTTCCTTCCTGTTCCCAGGTACATATCAACCGTCGCAGCAGCATGCATGGTGTTGTACGGATATGACGCTTCGGTATTCAATTCGGTACAAGGCTCTGCCAACTGGGTCGCATGGTTCAACCACCCAAACCAGAGTCTGATCGGCGGTATAAACACTGCCTATACAGTGGGCGCCATCTTTGGCGGATTCTTCCTCGGAGGGCCCGTGGCCGACTTTCTAGGCCGGAAGGTCGGTATGGGAATGGGATGCGTGCTTGTCATCGCTGCAACATTCATGCAGGCATTCGCTCCATATCATAATATCGCGTGCTTTATAGCTGGGAGGTGCATTATCGGTGTTGGACAGGGGATTGCTTTGAGTACGTCCCGTAATATTATCCCAATCTCAATAATTGATGCGTAACTAACGTACGCCTTACAGCGGCGGGACCTATCTACATCGGTGAACTGGCGCCTCCTCATATTCGCGGCAAAATCATGACTTTGTGGCAGACTTTCTACTCAGTGGGATCGTTCATCTGCTTCTGGGTTAATTATGGATGCACAGAGCACGCTGCCCGACTCGGTAATTGGGATTGGCGCATGGTTATTGTATTCCAACTGTTAGTTCCCTGCATCATTCTTGTGCTCCTTCCTACTCTTCCAGGGACGCCACGATGGTACATACAAAGGCAGAACAACGTTGAAAAGGCCCGCTCCGCCCTGCAACGCGTGCGCGAAACTGAGGAGGAAGTGGAGGAGGAGCTGAATCAGATTCGCGGGGCCCTCGAGTACGAGAAAGAAGCCATTTCTAGCTCCTACAGCGCACTCTGGAAAGACCGCTCCGTTCGCAAAAGATTCCTCTTGGCTCTAGTCCTTAACGCGGGTCAGCAGCTGACTGGGCAGGGGTCGTTGAACTCTTATTCCACCATAATCTACAAAAAGGTCTTCACTTCTGCCAGCCAAATCTCACTAATTAACGCCCTCAATGCCACATTCGGCATCCTCTTCACGCTCAACGCAATCTGGATTGTCGACCGGTTTGGCCGCACTTTTCTTCTTGAAGTTGGTGGCATTGGAATGTGCATCTGCATGATCATTATTGCAGCAGTCGAGACCGAGACACCGACTTTACCTAATGGGGCAAAGACGGAATCTGTTGGCATTGCGCTGGTGTTTTTGCTCTTCTTATTCATTCTATTCTGTAAGTCCTTCCACCCTTTTTTCTCTTCAGTTGGTTTTCTGAAGCACGCAACTAACTGACTGCCATCTAGACAAACCTTCCTGGGGCGCAACAGTCTGGATCTGGACGTCTGAAGTATTCTCAATGAATGTTCGAGCACAAGCAGTGGGAATGGCGTCACAAACACAGAACGTTGCAAACACTATATTCAACCAGTTCTTCCCAATATTTCTCGACAACGACGGCTTTTATGCTTTCTATTTCTTCGCCGGGATTAACCTTCTTCTTGCAGCGTTCGTGTTCTTCTTCGTCCCGGAGACCAAGCACGTCCCGCTGGAAGAGATCGATGTTCTTTTCGGCGGTTCGAACCACCATACTCAGGGCGAGAACATGCTGGTGGAGACAAAGTTGGGTTTAAGGCCAGATAATGATGAGACAGTTGCCACAGAGGCCACCAAACCAGTGGCTTCTGCACATATTGAAGACTCGAAGGTCTAAGCTGTGTGTGTATCTTATCAGTCTTGATATATATAATGTGGGTATACCCAAGAGGGTCTGAAAGCTTATATAAATCCATGATTTCTGTCTTTGTTCAATTTCCGAGCGTAGGGAAACGTGCATAATAGCTGCCTGGAGACTTTCTCTCTGTTACATACAAGTGTCGGCGTGTCTCACTGTGTGATCCTCGAATGAGACTAGGATTTGACAGACAAAAAGGATGTCAATATTGTGGGTATTTCAGCATCAACATAGCATGACATGGGAGAACGAACATCAAAGACTGCTTGCTACTCACCGCCAGGAGAAAAATGAGAAATGAAAGCGAATGGTCGGTGAGCACTGCGCAGGGACATGTGGCCAACCAGAGGGTGCATTAGTAGCGATCGCCACTGACGCAAACATTCCTGGTCTAGAAGCGATTTTATGCATTCGTTACCTTGCCTGCCTTTATCTGCCGTATATTGTGAGCTGTAACAATGAGGCCCACGGGTATAAACATTGGCGGATTCCCAGGCGGTTGGAATCCGATGAAGCCTGTTTGTGTGCTCTCGTTTGCTTGGATTTGTAATGCAGAAAGAGGTCTCTAGGAGCTGGGGGCAAGATACGTACTTACCAGGGTAACACGAGCCACCTGGTTATAGAGTAGTGGGTACTTTAAAACTGGCTATATTTGACTTCCTGCGAAATATGAATTTGTCTCCTTACATTGCTCTTTGCTCAATCGTTACATCAAACCCAGAATCCTCCTATCATATTATATTGCTAGACTCAACAGTGCCCATTATTGTTTGGTAGAAAACGACATGGCTGAGAAAATACCAACAACCTCGAAGCAGTGGAACGTCACAGGCAGCGATGGATTTGATTCTCTGAAATTCACAGAGCAAGCAGTGCCAGAATTAGGGGACAACCAAGTTCTGGTCAAGAGTAAGTCTCACAATCACAAGTCTACAATACCGTTGAACATTCAGTAATAAGAAGACTAGTCCGCGGTGTCTCCTTGAATGTAAGTCTACCTGCTACATCAATTGCCCGTCATTGGCACTAAATAGTCACGGAACTCAGTCCCGCGACATCCTGGTCGCCCAAGGAACCTATCCATGGAAAGTCAAACCCGATGTTATACCAGGCTCCGACGGAGCTGGGGTTGTCCTTAAAATCGGGAAAAATGTGACTCGCTTCCAACCCGGTGATCAGGTCATCACAATGCTCAATCAGCAGCACCTTGGAGGCTCCCTCGATCCCAAGACAATGAGATACGGATTAGGAGCCTCGGTCGATGGGACTCTACGTACTGTTGGGGCCTTTGATGAGCAAGGCTTAGTGGCTATGCCTCAAGGGTTGAGTTTCGCCGAGGCTGCAACGCTTACATGTGCCGGACTTACGGCTTGGAATGCGCTTTTCGGCTTGCAGGGCAGGCCGTTGATGGCCGGTCAATGGGTTCTGACCCAAGGCACCGGCGGAGTAAGCCTGTTTGCTATCCAGTTTGCAAAAGCCGTAGGAGCAAAGGTTATTGCCACGACCAGCTCAAATGAGAAATCAAAGATCCTGAAAGAGAAACTGGGTGTTGATCACATCGTTAATTACCGTGAAACTCCAAACTGGGGCGAAAAGGCCAAAAGCCTCACAGGTGGCGCTGGCGTTGATCTAGTCGTGGAAGTTGCTGGACCTTCGTCGCTAAAACAAAGCGTGGAGAGCGTCAAAATGGATGGTATCATCAGCGTCCTTGGCTTCGTCGGAGGTATGGAGAGTAAGGAGCCACTACCCAGTATTCTGGAATGTTGGATGTCTCTTTTTACTGCACGTGGCATATGGGTCGGTAGTCGGCTTCAGCTGGAAGATATGTGTCGTGCTATTGAGGGCAATCCGCAGAAGCTGCGTCCTATTGTTGACAAAGTTTTCAAACTTGAAGAACTGAAGGACGCCTTGGGGTATTTGGCATCTGGGAATCACCAGGGGAAGGTATGCATTGAGGTTCCATAGATTGAGGCGTACGGTAGCTAGATTTTCACGTTACAGTAAGACCGGTATGGGACGATATAGAGAAAAATCAATGTTTTACGCAAAGAGCAGGACATCCGGCCATAATTACGCATTCAAAGCAGAATCCGACAACTTAACACTTACGAAGTCAGTCAGCATCTCTGTTTTCCCGCCGGTGGCCCAGGACAAGGGTTAGCTATGCCGAGATCGCCGAGAGCCACACAGCCTCTACAACTCGACTAAACTTGCCTGGCTCTTAACACGCCTTGGCTAATTATCATTCCATTCAGGGTCCTGCGTTTGCCCACGTCATCACCGTGCGGTCCGTTGGTAGAGAAGAAAATGACAATGGGCCTACTCTTGAGACCACTCTATCCACATGGCCGAGCGGTTTTATAGGTTGTTACTAGCAGGCACTAAAGGACCCGGCATGTTGGACATGCATTTGGCCTAGGGATAATATCGTAGGTAATAGGTTGTTTAAATACTCAGTAGATACCTATGTGCGGACATTGCGGAGAACCTCCGAGATCAATTGGTAATCAATGGTCAGGATCACGTACTTAACTGTTTCTGCAGCTATATAAGTAGTTCAAGATTCTCTTTCTCTTTTCTTTTTTTTTTCTTTGTTTTTTCTTTGTTTTTTCTTTCTTCTTTTGCCATATATCTAGAGTTGCGTCTTGCTACATAGTCATTGCATTCCATCAAGCGGACACCGTGTTTCTGCGAGATAGAACAAAAAGCAAACGGTCCAAGTGGCGGGGTACGCACCTCGGATTTCGTGCCGACATTTTCATATTTTCGGTGAATGTAATCATTTTATCAACAAACAAAATGCATGCGCCTACAGCTGCAGTTGTCAAGGCAAATGGATTGCCGTATTTCACACCGGCCAACAATGCCGGCGTTGCCCTTAGCGAGGACACCAGCTCGCTGCCCACGCTCTTTCGTCCCTTCAAGATCCGCGATTTCTACTCGAAGCACCGCATAATTGTCTCACCCATGTGCATGTACTCCTGCGATCCAGACCCAAACTCACCGAGCATTGGTGCTTTCACAGACTTCCATGTCGCCAGCTTAGGCCATCTTGCTCTCAAAGGTGCTTCGCTAATTTTCACCGAAGCCCTGGCTGTGCAGCCCAACGGGCGCATTTCGCCAACAGATGCGGGCCTGTGGCAACATGGCACCGACTCCGCGCAGTTCACCGGTCTCAAGCGCGTTGTGGACTTCGCCCATGCGCAGGGAGCCAAAATTGCCGTGCAATTGGCCCATGCCGGGCGCAAATCAAGTGTGCACGCGCCGTGGGTTGCTGCTGCAAATGGAGTGCGCAGTTTGTCAGCAGGGACCGAGCATTTCGGCTGGCCGGAAAATGTGGTGGCGCCAACAGGAGGGCCAGAGTTCCTTTGGTCCGCAAGCCCGGAGGACAGGCAATATCATATTCCACGAACCCTGGCAGTCGACGAGATTAAGGAAATAGTGGCGGCTTTTGGAGCATCCGCTGCAACAGCAGTCAGGGCAGGTGTCGATGTGATTGAAATTCACGCAGCTCATGGCTATTTGATCCACCAGTTTCTGAGCCCGGTGACCAACAAGCGTACAGATCAATATGGAGGATCTTACGAGAACAGAACGCGCTTTCTACGAGAAGTTGTAGCGGCAATTCGGGCTTCGATACCATCAGGCGTACCGCTTTTTCTGAGACTCAGCGCGTCAGAGTGGCTTGAGGAGTCTGAGTTTGCCAAAGAGTCTGGTAGTTGGGATATTGAATCAACAATCCGGTTGGCCAAAGAACTCCCGAGCATAGGAGTGGATTTGATTGATGTCAGCTCCGGTGGTAACAGTAGACACCAGAAAATCGAACCGCACACGGACTATCAGATCCGGCTGGCTGCTCGAGTACGCAAGGAACTGCACGCAGCCGGCGTCACTAATCTTCTCGTCGGCGCTGTTGGTTTGATTAAAACTGCTGAAGTGGCAAAGGATATCGTTCAAGGAGCTGACGGTGCACAAGAGCTTGTCAAAGATGAGGCTCATGCCGCGGAGTCTCTTCTCCGCGGCCCCGAGCCCCAAGCAGATGTCGTTTTTGTGGGGCGCCAGTTTTTACGTGATGCGGCATGGGTGCTCAATGTGGCCAAGGAGTTGGGCGTAAAGGTTACTGTGCCGAATCAGTTCGGTCGAGCTCTATGATCCTCTGCTACATCACCGTAATTAATGCACTGTGATATTCAATTTGTCTCCTAGCAAGAGTTTGCTATTGTTATCTAGCGCACAATATCTAGGTTAGAGGTAGAGGGCAATAGACAATATTCTTCATAGCGAATAACTTCATACATAACTCTGTCGTTCATCACGCTATTGACGTCCGTCAGCCTACGATACAAACCACTTCAGCTTAACTAGCTTCCTATGTAGGGCTGTGGACTATGCATGTACGGACAAGTTGAACAGACGCAAAGGCAGACTACGTGATGAAAAGGGGGGGAATAAGAAGTGTCTCGCGTATAGAATGACCACTGGGCGGACGATTACGTGTATGGTAATATCAAACCAGCCATGCCAACCACAAAAGATTGTTCGGCTACTCAATAAAGTAATGCTCCATGAATATCCATTGATGCGTTGAAAAGATAGTATAATGAGGGGAGGGGAGAGAAGGGGGAAAAAATATAACCCCGGGCTGCCGCGAGGCAGTCTCCCAGTGAGTGAGAGGCGGCGATGTTACCGTTACACCAGATCGGAATGGATGAAGGTTTTCTCGATAATAGAATTAATATTTGATCATTTCGAAAATGTCCGCAGGGCGATGAATGATGAAGGTATGAAAACGACGAGGAAGATATTGTAACAAAGATACCATTGTCTAGGTAATTATGTGTATATAGATCTAAGTCTTGCTCCTTGTATGTCCGTTTGCTTGTAATGCTACCTCTCTAAATATTTAGGCATTGTACACCTGACATTATGTATATTTCATGTGATATGGATCGTTATATGGAAAAAAATCTTCAAAAGCTAGCACTTCTCTACTTATTTCCTTTTCTCTTTACCCCTCCCTTCCATAAAACGCCACCTTGTTATTACATCTTAGGCATACCAAAAATGTGAACAGAAAGTAGAACCCAAGATAGCTTCCCATCAGGCGTTAGGGCCGGCTCACAGGATCCGAGGATGCCCGATGCCGGGACGGTCCCCGACCTTACGAGAGTGCTATGATTGGACAAAAATCATAGCCGACGTTAAACGTGATTCGCCCGATTAAATGGTTGAAAATTCCCTTTCCCGCCTTTTTCCGCATCTCCGACCAATCATGATAAAAAGCGCTTAGAGCCTCGTCTCGAAGCATCATTCCAGCCAATAAGCGCATGCACCGTTGCGCTAGTCCCCATTAGCGTGAAAACTTTAATTTTTTTTATCGAGTTTTTTCCCTGTGTTTCCTGTTTCGACCTTCTGACTCTCGAAAGCCTTGTAACGTGACGTCAGCTCGTCCTGTCAGCCACAGGAACCACAAACCTGCCTGTGGAACGCGAGGGGGAAAGAAAGTTAAAAAAAAAAAAATCTGAATTGCAAGGTTTGCGATATCGGCATATGTGTCGGCTTGTCATGGTACCTTTTCCAAGGCACGGGAGGATTATTCGGGAGGCGAGGCCCGGGTGCAAGAACCTCGCCCCTGGGCCTTGACTCTCTGGGTCGAGATAGTCCGCGTGATAGGCCCCAAGATTATTGAGTAGCAGCCTTAGAGTTGCCAATCGGAATCGCTGTGTCTTCCTCCTTCTCCACGTGTTCGTCCGCACCAGCACTTGGCTGATGAACTCATCCGTATCTCCGTACAGCTTGATGACGATAGAAGCATTCTAACACTAGCCACTGACTATACTTGATCACCAACTAACACGTATTCTTAACGTCCTCTCGATCCGACTAATATCCGTGCCAGCTCGGTTTGTATCGGGCTATATGCTTATCCAAGTGGGGTAGTCCCCCTGGTTATCAGGGCCCAGACTTTATCCCAGACGCCGGAAATGGCATCAGCTCCGCCTTTCAAAACAAAATGTGGAGATGGGGACCTGAGCGTACCTCGTGGAGGATCGCCGCTAACCTGGTTGCCCCTGCTTCCCTGTTCGATCTCATTCGATGTCTTCCAAGGGGAAAGATTTGGCCCTGGTGAGGGAATTTCTGCAACCATGGAACATTAACAGCCATGCTGAGTCAGATACAGGCACCGTTGGCTATATAAACCCGTTGGAAGTCACGGATGGAATCTGCTTTCTTTCCTTCATCATCAATCGTGTACATCAAAGTCTTTCTTTGACAGTCATTCTCTTCTCAATTTTCTTAAGCTTTTTTTTGTCTTACACTCCTTGAAACAAGGCACCAGAGTCTATCCTTATTCAACTTTTCTGTCTTACATCATTCAAAATGAAGTCCCAAATCATCGCTGCCTCCGCTCTTTTCCTGGGTGCCTTCGGCCAATCCACCATCTACAGTGGAACTGGTTTCGGTACCTACTACTACGACGTCGAGGACATCCAGGCCTGCGGCACCGACTTCGAATACCAGAACATGGGCAATGTTGAGTGCAACCAACTGACCGGTCTGACCCTGGATCAGATCGACTCGAACTACCTCGTTGCCATGAACAACACTCAGCTCATCTCAGACCCATCCCTTTACTGTGGAAAGAAGGTCGTTGTCTCTGTTAACGGCCAGGCGTCCGATCTACCCCTCTTCATTGGTGATGGATGCCAGCGCTGCGGCACTGGATCTGCCGACAGCGACACCTGGAATGCCGAGGGAGCCCCAGGACTCGACTTCAGCTTGACTGTCCTCAACGAGCTGTCTGGCAACAGTGCTTGTGACGATGGCCATATCGATATTACCTGGGAAATTGTGGACGAGACCCTCTACAACTTCGACACAAACGCTCCAGGAGAATCCACCGGACCTGTCTCCCAGTAAGATCTGATCTGGACGAATACATATATACATAGCCGACTTCCAGTCTCGGGTTGGCATCGCACGATATCCACACTCGTTTTTTTTTTTTTTTTGATCTATAGACATGGCTGTGCCTAGATACTTACATTTCACCATCACGTATTATTATGACTATCTTTTTGGAGCTGATTGGAGTCTCTTCTTGGGAAAAGTGCTCCTTCGGCGGTTTCTTCTTATCTGCTCATAGAATCTGTGTCTGGAATACATGGAGCTGTTTATAGAATATTTATTTATACGAAAACCACATATTTCCAACGTCCTCATTACTTGCAAAAAAAATATTGAACTGTAAGGTAGACTTACGCTGACTTATGCAGTGCAAAATTAGAAGAGAAAGAAAAATAAGGGGTTCTTCAAATTTTGGAAAGAATGGAACCAACGCCACATGCTAATATTCGTAATGACGACACCATTCTACCTCAACTTGTAGGTACGCTCATCTATGCACGAGTCTACGACACTGTGAGGAAGGACTCTATTATTATTGTTGATGTGAAACTGACATACTAATGAAATTCGTGCTCCATGATTGCACTGTTAGAAGCTAGGAAGATAGTGGCAAACAATCATGAGGCTATTTATCTAAAAATTCCTGTTAAAGTGGTATTATAGCCAAAATTTTACGCAACGTTTATATCCGATATGGTGTATCGGTAACATCGCCGCCTCTCACTCACTGGGAGACCGCCTCGCGGCAGCTCGGGGTTCTCGTGTCGGAGAATTTTTTATTTTTTATTTTTTTTGATTGCCTACGGTTTTCTGTCTTTATCTTTTTCCTACCGAAAAGATATATCTCTGGGATGAAGCATGATGTCTCATGATCGTTGAAGGCAACATTCCACGGGCAAGGCTTACCTACCGATCAATGCAGGATTCATGTTAGATACATAGGCTGCGTGGGATGCAGGCGAGAGTTACCGTGCAGACGGCCTAGCAGTTCGTCTAAATCTTCAAAGCCTTGTCGAAGTGACTCGGAACGCAGCCCCGAAACCACTATGTGAGCTTTATACTGCGTGTAGTTAACTGGTTTGAGATGGCATAGCTGAACAGGGTAATAACCGATTCAAGACTAGTACGTTAGTATCTGTAACATCATTGGCTAGTGGAGACTTGGCAGCACGCTTGTCTAGGATCTACGTCCCAGCAAGGACTCGATTGAACATACGCAGGTATGTTCGTTCCTCTTCGCTTCCCTTCAAGCTTTCGCTTTTCTTTTAGATTCGGGTAATATGGTCAACTTTGGTACCTTTACTTCCCTCATATATTCGGCCCACGTCGCTTTCCTAGGCTGCAATGTGCCAACCAATAGTTCGCAGCTTGTGGACATTGTTCCAAAGCGCGAGGTTTTGTACGTTGGCGGACGATACACAAACGGCATGGTATATCTCGCTTGCCACTTGGTATACGCGCACTCTGACACTGGGAGATAGAATAATGCAACGAATTCTACACCAACGACCATGACAGGACAGATTTACGTCGAGAAGCTTTCCCCTAACCCAGCCTCGGTGAACCCACCACTTCCAATTATCTTTATTGCAGGCGCGGGTCAGACCGGCACCAATTTCCTTGATACTCCAGACGGACGGCCAGGATGGGCATCCTATTTCATATCCAAAGGCCACACAGTCTACCTCTCAGATCAGCCTGCACGTGGCCGCTCCTTCTGGTTTCCCGGACAGGGAAGTGTCGGGTATATTGGCTCACCCAGTGAGGTCTCTGATATCTTCACTGACGTAGCAAATAACGGCAACCAATGGCCGCAGGCCGAGCTTCATACACAATGGCCCGGCACTGGTCGTATTGGCGACCCAACTTTCGACGCTTTCTACAGGAGCCAGATACAATTCCAAAGCGACCGCTTCATAAGCGAAGAACAAAATGCGCAGGCTTATTCAGCTTTAGTAGACCTCGTAGGTGCCTGTTATATCATCAGTCACTCTCAGGCGGGTGCATATGGTATTTTCACACACCAAAATGTTATGTGACTCGTCAAAGTTGTTGCTAATGATTGAGTAGGCTGGAGGGTGGGCGACATGCGCTCAGATCTTGTCAAGGGTATTGTTCAGCTCGAGCCGTCTGGTCCACCGTTCACGCTTCGCCCACCGTTTGGAAGTGACCCGGCTTTTGCTTTTGGCCTCACTGACCTCGCAATCGGATATGCACCAACCGCAGGAAAGCATGCCGAGAATATAGAAACAACTGTCGAGCCAGCAATCGACGCCGAACACAATGATTGCATCATGCAGAAGTCCCCAGCGAAACAGTTGACGAATCTACGCAAAATTCCAGAACTTGTCGTTACTGGCGAAGCATCGTTTCATGCGTCATACGATTATTGTACCGTCAAGTACCTGGAGCAAGTTGGCGTAGACGTGGAGCATGCGGATCTGGGAAAAGAGGGAATTCACGGCAATGGACACATGTTCTTTATGGAGAAGAACAATCTTGAGATCGCAGACCGTGTGTATCAATGGCTGCAAAAGCACTAATCGACTATGTATCAGACACGTCATATCTGAACCGTTGGAAGAAAATCGGCAGAAGCAAATCAGCTATGGCGGTATTTTCCTTGATTCCCAAGGCGCTGTAGCATCGTAACATAAGATTCAAGATGTTCACCCATTCTACAGGATTCATTGTTAATACTCAATTCGACCTTATGTATATGAAGGCTTTCAAGTGCTACATTTGCTTGTAGGCATTCCAAAAGTATATCGGACCGGGAACGTCTCAACTGTAGCAATGGAAAGAGACAAGCTCGTTACCGTAAAGGATCATTAACTTGTTTATCGATCGCTAGGCTTAATGTGCATCAAATTCCACATACGTGTCCCTTGAAAGAAACAAAGATCAAGAAAAAGGCATGGATCCTTTTTTGAGTGATTGTACTTTCTGTGCCTACGAAATGCACAGTGATAAGTACAGATATCAATTTTTAAACCATGAGCCACAACGGTTAAGTTGTGATATAGAGATAAGAGTCAACCAAACAATGCGATAGAAAACATAGTAATTATGAGACATCATACGTTGTAAATAGGGACCGAAGGGGATGATCCCTGTAAGATATCGGTATTCGTACTTGGGCGGAATTTCTTTTCTTTACCAGCAGTCTCAGCATCCTTGGAAGCTTCTTGAACCTCTAGAATGTCAAACTTTTTCTCTGGGAGGAGGTTGTAGACGGCTTCTGCGTATGTCTCATCTATGCGGTATAACTGCGCCAGATATTTGACCTGAATGTGCGGATACTCGACCAACTTCAGTAGTCGTGCAGTGTTTGAGTGCAAATTATCTCGGGCCTGCTGCGTCATAACCCGTCGGTACAATAAACGCGGCTGCGTGTATTCTGACGCTTTGCCCTCGTGGTAAAAGTGCGATTTGCGACCAACGTGACTGTCAGCAAGTTGGTATGGAGCCTCTGCCGAATCAGGCCGGAACTTGTTGACGAAGCTGTTCGGCGCGTACTGCGGGTTTTTGGCGTGGTTGGCGTCAACTCGCAGCGGGCCGTCGAAGTTCAGGGAAGAGTAGGACGAGACCATGAAGGGACAATTGACTGAATTGCAATTAGCGGATTGGGGGAGAATGTACACTTATATATGAATTTGTTGCTTACCTGGGACTTGATGTAGGTTCACGCCAATGCGGTGGTATTGTGCATCCCGGTAGAAAAACATACGGAACTGCAGCAGTGGATCAGGGCTGTCTTCAATACCTGGAACCATGCTTCCCGGGGAGAAGGCGGCTTGCTCAACATCCCTGTGAAAGTTTTCAGGGTTTCTATTCAGAACGAGTCTTCCGAATTCGTGCAGCTACGTAGAGTTAGATGCTGCCTTCATGCAATCTTTCGGCTTCGAAAGAAAAAGCAAGTAAAACTCACCGGAAATTCATGCTTTGGCCAGACCTTGGTAACGTCAAATGGATCGAAGCCGAGCTTGGTGGGATCTGCTTGGTCCGGACGCATTATTTGAACATGTGCGGTCCACTTGATCTCCTCGCCAGCCTCAATGGCCTTCCACAAGTCGCGTTTGGAATAGTCGGGGTCTTCGCCGCTGAGAATGGTTGCACTGTCTGCGTTGAATTGTTTCTGGCCATGCTGGGCGATGAAATGGTACTTGATATAAACAAATTCACCATCCTTGTTTACCCTGGTACACGTGAGTCCGGGATCAATCAAGTAGTATCGGGTCTCCTTGGTAATCAGCTCACCACTTGAACGTGTGACATCCGTATCCATGCATGTTCCTCCAACCAACAGGAGTCCCGTGGTCGCTAAAGAACATCATTCCAGCATGATTTCTGTTAATTTGTTAGTACAGCAGGAAAAAACGGTTTGAAGTGCGAGACATACCCTTCCGGAGTATTGGCAAGAAGATCAAAGAGAGAGTTCGTATCGAGCAGAAAGTTTTGAGGGTTACGATACTGTGATCGAATAACATCGGGCCCTTGAATGGGGTCACGACAGAAGAAGACAGGCTGTCACATTGTCGTGAGCTCCAAGGGTCAACCATCTTTGTCAGAAGTAGAGCTTACAAAATTCAGTCCTACTATGTCGTAGTTACCCTCTCCAGTGTAGAACTTGATAGCGAAGCCCCGAGGATTCCTGGCCAAATCGGGAAACTCCCGGCCGAGAGTCACAGTCGAGAACCTCATGAACACCGGGGTTCTCAGACCGGAAGAACTCAGGAAATCGGCCTATTGAGAAGAAAGGTTTAGCGGCTTAGCACACGGTCACATTATGGTCAGAATTGCCTGACCTTCGTCAAAGAGGACATATCCTTCGTGCTCTCGAAATACCCGAAGGCTCCGCTTCCGCCTACGTAGCACAATGGTAAGAATCATGTGAAAAGATTGGGAAATGGTTGTTGTGCATAGTACATGGATGAACCATTCTCTCCAAGTTCTTTGACCGATTAAAATGCTGCTGCTTCTGCAGGAGAAACGTGTCCGAGACTAGAGGCAGCCCGCCTGCCGTCTTGCTGTGTGCAGGATCCGGGAAGGGAATACCCTCGTTGTTGGTAAAATAGGGACCGTCATCTGCTCGTTTGCCTCCCTCTTGGACGCCTGTCAACTTTGCTGCAGTTCTGGCTGGCCCCTCGTTTGCGCCTTGAAATAGTGACGAGCGCTGGACGACCCTGGGATCAATACCAGCTGAACCTACTGCTTGGCCGATAGCTCGGAGGGGGTGAGGTTGGGAAGCCATTGCTCGTCTATTGTTGAATTGCCAAGTTTATTAGGTACCTTTTTGTGTGCCTAGTTGATGCGATTGTAGCGAATTTTGAGATTTGGGGTCACCAAAACGAGTATTTTATAACTACTATTATTATTACATTCAAAACCCGAATATCCATTATTTCACGCTCATTATGACACACATATAAGGTTCCAAGGTTATATATACGTACAAAGATGTACAGCAAACCTAGTTGTTGTGTGCTGCAAGCGGAAACACACCTATCTCATGATGACAGCTGAGCTGATGATACCTTAATGATGCGGTTTGCCATATTCCGTTGCCAACAATTCTAATTTTCAAGTGTTCTAAAATAAATGCAACTTCTTCTGGAAGTAATTGATTTCCGGGGCCTAGATCTATTATTCCCTTGGTGTTGTAGATATACTTAGTAATCTACTATGGACTACTTATACGTGATAATATAGATGGCTTAAAACATCACCTATAATCACATACTAATTCAGGCAGGAAATCTAGGAGAAATAAGATTATTCAAGTCGTCTGTAGAGTTGCAAATTCTCAATAAGTCACCATAATATGCCTACCTAGCCAGCCATCCAAAACTATAGATGTAGATCCGCTCCTATGTATATGTACATGTCTCCCTTGACTCACTTGCTCTCCCGCTTTCCTTCCTCGGCAATCTTTTCCACCTGTTCTACTCTCTTTTTCAACACACTTTGGAGTTCTTCAAGGGTCTCCTTGAGAACGTCCTCTGCCTGGTTACCCTTCTTTTGAGCAATATTCTGTAGCGATTGTAATTGGGGAATCACGTTAGAACCGCCCGGGACCATATTGAGCCACTTGTCCAGACTGGACAGGTCGGTGCTATTCTTCGCTTGTTCGACCTTTTCCTTGACGTACTTCTCCGCGTCCTCCACTTTTCCTGAAGAAGCACTATCTTTGACACGGCCCCATAACTCCTTGAGATTTCCTTTTCTTAAGGTATCGGCATTCTCTTCGATAAGTTGCTTGAGCTTGGGGCTTTTTTCAAGATACTCCCGGGATTCTTCTAGGCCCTTTTGCCACGCCTCATCGCCAAGTTTCTGAAGCTTTTCCTTCTTCTCCTGGATCAAATTCTTGATCTCTTCCACCGACTCCATACTAGCGCCACGCTGTATAATGCTGGAGATTTGTTGATAAGTGCGGTTCACCTCCTCTGTCGCTTGCGGGCCATAGGTATCGCCCATCTGCTTCAGTTGGTCAAAACTGCCACCAACCTTCTCCTTTAGCTGAGGGTTGTTGTCCAGAATGTTCTCCGCGGCGTTCCCAGCCAAATCGAACAAACGCCCGACATTCTTTTGCAGGATCTGTAACGCTTTCGTAGCCGAGGCCGTATTGAATCCCTCCTTCTTCAAGAGATGACTCAGCTCATTATAGGCATCCGTGACTATTTCGTCGAACTCTTTTTCGTGGTCGTTACGAATCTTTTCAAGGTTGTCAAATGTGGTGTCGACATAGCCGCGAGCACCAGGAATGAAGACAGCATAGCCTTTGAGAGTATCTCTCAACCAGCGAAACGCCTCATCTGGCTCCGGTGTGTTCTGTGCGATTTTTTGTTTGGCCTGCTCGGCGTAGGCTTGCGCCGCTTTGCTGGTTTTCACGAGCGTCTTGGCTCCGGAGAAGTGATACCAGGTGTATCCTGTCACGAAGGCAACAGCTCCACCAGCAAGGCCACCGATTAAAGCAGGATTGCCTGTACCAGGGGAAGCTGCATGGGATGCAGTGGATTGAAAGCGATAGTTGGCGAAACGCGCTTTGCATTGAAGTTGCTGCCTGGCACATCGTGCAGTAGGCCTGGCAGTTCGTCCAAACATCTTGAATATTTTGTTGAAGGTAAAAGTAAATAAAAGTCGATCGAAATAGTATTAGATAAAAGACTACCTGAACGTTTTATTAGGAGAAAGATGCCGAGAGCTGCAAACGGGTTTGAAAACTTGGAACTTGGTGGAGGAAGCTGTTCTGACGTCATGCAATACATCCTGGCTGTAAGGAAGGAATCGATATTAATATGATTATTTTTCTATGTTGGCTTTTTGTATTGTTAACCAGGGTAAACGTACTGTGTGCTCTTCGCAAAGCCCTAGCCCCTATGCACGGCGGAGTCTTTATATGTACTACCTACTTAGGCAGGTAATAGTTCTCAAGAGAAAACGATTAGTTTCAACAAGACATAGACTTATCGGTTGACTATATATAACATTCTCTTGGTTTTAGCCATATGTAGAGAGCAAAACTCAGATCCTTAATAACTTGAAACAAATAATTCTTTATTAGACTGCCAGATTGTTGTAATAGTCACAACGACCAGAGCAGTTTCCAGTGCTATTTCAAGCTCACCGAGACTCAAATTCAAGCTTATCTTTCGTGTCATCAACAATGACCTTGCCCTCAACCTCGAGTCCCTCCAAATGGGTCGCCTGAGCAGAATCTAACTTCTCAAACTTCCTATCGATCTCCTCGAGCGATAGCCCCTTGGTTTCAATCCAGAAAATCGCCACAAAACAAAATTGCACGACGTCCCAAGCCCCATAGATCATATATGTTTTCCATCCCAGTGCATTAAGCGCGAAGGGCCAAACAAATACGCTGAAGATTCTAATTGATGACATAACATGTCAGAAAAGTGCATCAAGCATTGGAAGAAGGGGGAAGGGGTGGGATAGGTACCCGCCACAAGTAACGGCAAAGGTCCACGCGGCCATTCCGTTACTCCGAATGGAGAAATTGAGGACTTCCGGTGGGTAGAGGAGTGTCAAAGGTGTGATGCCAATGGCGTAGCTGGCTTGGAACAGGAAGATCATTGCGACGTTGCCGTAGATTCCCGAGTTGTTGCCGCCGCTGCCATAGACTATATGTCCATCGGAAGATTAGACTTTGACGAACAAAGAAAGGCAATATAGATTTGAAAAAAAGAAAGGAGAAAACGACAGGATGCAACTAACGCTTTGTGAAGGCGCCGACCAAGAAAATAAATATGGTCATGGCTGCTACTGACACAAGACACATTCTTTTCCGTCCAGCGCGGTCGACGAGCCACGTTCCGAGGCAAGCGACAACAAGACACTAAGCCGTTAGAATAATGTTCTATCGATGTAGTGCGTGGTTAGTGAGTTAAATTATAAGTTATACATTATTTCCCAATGCGGACCCAGATTGTATCAAATCGGACTTACGATTTTGAGCTGCGTGGTTGAATTGGTTATGCCTGCGTTATCCAGAATGTCGCCCAAATAGAACGTGACCAGATTGTTTCCTAGACAAATTCTTGTCAGTAAAGTGGCAGAATTAAAGCAGTAGGGCGAAGTGAGCAAAGACTCACCACTCGACATGGCAAGAACAGCCACCGACACCACAAGCAATAGCCTCTTTCGAGAGCTAGGTATTTTGAAAATTTCTAGATAGGTCAATTTTTTGCCACTCGTGCGTTCCTACTCAAGCGTGTCTAGAATCTCTTTGTGTTGGATAATTGTAACTGGATCAGTGATATCGGAATTACTGTGAGTTGAAGCTAACGAGACCAGAGCATCGTGCAGTCTCCCGCGGTGGACTAACCACCGCGGAGACTCCGGCACAAAGAAAAGTATTATCAGGCAGAAGATACTAAAAGGGGCCTGAAGGAGGCATGGAACTCGCCAGGACCATGAGCCTGGGATCTCGGCGGTTCGATAGGTCACCCCTGCGGCGATCAAGGAGCCTATGTTCCAAGTCGGTATTAGTGATGGCGACAAAATTGGCATACTAGTGAAATAGGACTGGACTTACCGACATAGAAGACCGAGTAGATGAAGCTTAACCCAGATGCGCGGGTGTGCTTGGGAAGTGTTTCGGCCAGCCATCTAGATTCACCCTTTAGCTCAAACTATACTTCACACCTGCATATGATAGCCAAAGGAGGAAGTACGTCGAAGCAGCAATCGGTGATGTGCCAGCGCCAGCTCCCAGAATCATCCGCCCAACGACAAACATGGCAACCCCCTGGGCTCCTGTCATCAAGGCCGTGCCGATGAATTTGAAGCAGATTGAGATCAAGACGCCAGTACGGCGACCAACGCGATCCACAACCGGGCCCATGAAAGTGGACACGATGGCCCAGCCGAGGAATGCTGAGGCTGTATTCAGGGACTTGGTAGCTACAGTGAGCTTCAAAGTCGCTGTATATGAAGGTATGATGTTGATGCCGTTTCTGTGATGAGCGTTAGCACGCAATGGCGAGCGCGGGAAGATGCCATTACATGAGTGCGGAGTCATATCCGGTAGTCTGTTGTGATCTCTGTCAGTCGGTGAAGCTTCTTGCGCTATACATTACAGATTTCACATACAGTTGCGAATATGCACGAGGCCAGAATGAGCAAGGCGTTGGTGGCCTTGCTGGACTTGTAAAGCTGGAGTGGCCCTCGGGCCCCGCTGAAAAAGTGCATTGTAAGACTTGAGTCGAATTGGCTGCTACTCTCCTCACAGACCTTTCGCAGATGTAAGAAGGCCCTTTTGCTTTATGTTCTGCCTAGACAGAAAGATACATTCTTATCTAGCACTCGCTATCAGGCTACGTATCTGAAACCAGATCACTCTCCCCACCTACATACCCTAATCTTGCCCCATCGCCGTCGTCAAGGCCGCCGTTCTGAGAGAAAAAGCCCTCGACTACCAACAGAAAGCTTTTGCATAGCTCAACTCATTCAACACAGGTCTAGACATATCCAAGCCCTCAACATAGACCATAGACAACCTCCCCGCCATGAACGGAGTGCGCTTATTTCACTCGTACGGCGTCGTACACGAGAAATTCATGTGGGATGCGCGCATGGAGCCGGGTGTGCTAGATGCCTTTACGAAGCTCTGGGGGACAGACGAACCTCTTGTTAGCTTTGACTGTCTCAATGTAACCTTCCCTAATATACCCGACCTTCCAGCTCGCAAGCCCTGGCAGCATGAAGACCAAAGCCCCAACAAGCGCGGCCTGCATTGCGTTCAAGGCATCATTAGTTTATCGACCTCGGGCCCTCGTCGTCTACCCTGGATCGCATTTACTCAACGATGAATTCTTCGACGCACGCCCAGGCAGTGCCAGTAGGCAATACCTGAAAGATATCTACATATTTCCTGAATCCGAGCTGGCTTGGTTCGAACAGCGCGGGCTGAAACCACTTAAAGTGTGCGCCCAGCCCGGAGATTTGATTCTGCGGGATTCGCGCACGATCCACTATGGCTCTGACCCGACGGAGAAGGGAACTCGCATTCGGACAGCTATATACGCGACATACATGCCTGCTCGCCTTGCGAATGCGGATCAGTTAGAGAGGAAGAAGAAGGTCTTCGAGGAATATGGGAACACAACACATTGGCCGTTTGAACATATTGAGCCTGGATCGAGAAGGGCTTTGCCTTTGCTCAAGAATGGCGAGGTCGATCCTCGGCTAGCAGAGAGGAACAAGCCACTTGAGATGCCGGAGATGTCTGATAAATTGTTAAAATTGGCCGGGGTAAAGGCTTACTAGTTTCGCTGATTGGCATGTACATACTAGTCGCGACCCATGATGTAGCTGTAGATATGTCTGGATGGCATTTACTCTTGAGCTTACTCACACACACAAACACACACACATCGCCGAATAATTATATACTTTTGAGGCCGAGACGGGGCTAATATTATGCAATGCCAAAAATAGGCTTGTCTATCTGCGATCGGATCTGAGCTAAATTAACCTGGCGGAATAGATCCACCAATCACGAGCCGGTTTCTCTAGATCACATTGACGTCAGCGATCCTTACATCACAAAACAGCAGAAATCCGTGTCACGAACGAATTTGATCGTGAATTGAATGACACGAAGCAAACATACGGCACATAAAATTATTGTATGATGTGGCTATTCGGGTTCTTTCACGCTTTGGCAGATTATCTGCTCTCCTGGATCAAAATGGCGAGTTGTCAAAAGAGCAAGCATCTCACACATGTGGAAGATTACTGACGTTATGAACAGATCCAGAATAGAGAGGTAGGCTGGAAAACGATACAGCGCAGGGTACGTCTGAGAAGAATAGAGAAGCCCGTTATTGGAATATTTGACTTACACATCTCTCTTTCTTGCGTGGAAGACTGGCCGAGAAATGCGAGAGCAACAGCCTTTATGGAAAAAGCTGAAGCTATTCGCCCTTTTCAATCCCTTAACAGAGTGGCTGGATACGACGCATGCCATGCGGCTTCACTTACATGCCGAGAATGTTCATAGCGGTCAGACCATGCACAGTTGCAAACGTTTGTTGGCAGTGCTAACAGAGGTTACAGGCGAAGAAGAAGGGAGCTCTCTCTCGAAAGGCAAAATAAGAGCATTCGTTGACTTTTTCCACATTAACATGGACGATTTCGAACCTTCCAATATCGAAGACTACCATACCTTCAAAGAGTTCTTCATTCGCAAACACAAACCAGGCTCACGGCCAATCCACGCCGAAGGAGACAACAGCGTATCTGTGGTAGTCGCAGACTCCCGCCTTGTTGTCTATGAGACTGTAACTGCAACTAAAAAGATCTGGATTAAAGGGAGCGACTTTTCTATTGCAATGTTGACTATGGATAACGACATTGGAGATTTTTTCAATGATGGCGCAGTCGCTAGCTTTAGGCTCTCGCCTCAAGACTACCATCGTTATCATAGCCCAGTTACTGGTCGTATTGCGTCGTACAGAAGTATCCCCGGAGACTATTATCAGGTTGACCCGATCGCTCTCCGGAGCGGTGTTGATATTTTGAGCAGAAATACGCGTGCCTACGTTGAGATCGACTCGGAATATTTCGGGAAGGTTCTTTTTGTAGCTATCGGTGCTACAGATGTAGGCAGTGTTCAGTAAGTACATCATTAAAGTCCACTGACAATCTGCATGAATGCATAAAGTTCTAACATTGGTCTAACAGGATACATGACCAGTGGAAGAAGCCTGGTAACTCTATCCAGAAAGGGGAAGAGTTGGGCCTGTTTCAATTTGGTGGGTCATCGATTATTGTCGTCTTTCAGAATGGGTTCATCAAGTTCGATGATGACTTGCTGAGAGTGAGTGAAAATGCGATCGCCATGGATGTTGAGGTAGGAATGAGTCTTGGAAAGGCCACAAAGGCGTCTTGAAATAGAACTCTGGAACCAAAAACTACCTCGAGCCATGCATGGATCGAGATCAAGGAAGGAGTTCTGAAAAGTCTTGTGCAGTCTTTTATAGTTTGTATAGTTATACCAGTGCGATTGTGAATGTTCACTTCAATACAAGCTATGAACTGTATCTATACACTTCTTATTCAACGAATTGAATTATTGAAGAAGACTAAAAAAAATATACATTATTTTTAAATTTGATAGTATGCACACAAGTGAACTATTGCACAAAACATCATTCATTTTCCACATATGAAGTCATACTATATTACAATGAAAAGAAGAAATAAAAAACATGATATTGAATCAAGCAAGCCTTGTATTCCCTCGACTAGTGATCTTGTGAAGCCATTCCGAGATCATTATACTACCAAAGATTAGCGAGTTGAAGACTGTCCCGTGTACTGTGCTTCATAGGGAATATCGTCCTCATTCGGACCTTCGTTGTAACGGTTCGCCGTCTTGGGTTTCGCATGGCGAAGGCGATTTCGATCTCCTTGCAAGATATTAGACGGGTCAATAGCGTCGCGCTCATCTTGTTCTATAATTTTGAATTAGCCCTGTGGCTGGACGATACTTGATTAACAGCTTATGGGCTAACACTTACCTAGCTGCTGATTGGAGTTGGACTGTGGCGGCTGGAAAGGATCGTCGTACGGTTTGTTGTCTGACTGCACAGGGATTCTACTGGCTTGATCTGTGGTATAGGATGAATCCTTGAAGTCACCGGTGACAGGAGAGAGGTCATTCTCCTCTTCGTAGCGATCTTCGGCCTCGCGTTCGTAGCGGTTCGACATGTCGCAAATAATTTTAATTTCCCGTCTTGATTAATCGCACAAATGATAGAGCAGGATATAGGTAAGTTCAATAACCGAGTTTGCAGAGCTCACCACCTTTATAATTGGTTTCCTTCGTATATCATCTTTTCTTTTCGCCCTTGATGATCACTGCATGCGGCTGTGGCAAATAATCGCGATAATGAAGACGTAAATTAGCTCGATACAGATGCCTCTACCGAATATTCTACAATGTCTCAATTCATCGATTTACGAAATTATTGCCACTGCTGGAGCAAGCAATACCGTGGAACCGGCTGTCGTTGGGGGATCGCACGATATCATATCTTGTTTTTGCAAGTGTTGATCGCATATGAAGTCGACAGGATGATGCATTGATGAGCATAAGCCAAAGATTGCAGAAATTGCCGCTCATCACAGCGGAGACATATGGAGACGCATTCGATCATACCTACTTGTTGCTGATGGTATACGGAACAATGGGAAAGCAGGGATGTTCTGCTGGCCAAACTATAAGAAGGCGTTGTGATGTCCTTTTCCATTCTACCTATTAAAAACTACAATTTTTCTTATAACACTCGAACACTTAATCCTCTCAACACAAAATATATTGTACAATTACCCTCTATATCTACGACTTTCAAAGATGACCTCGAATTCCAATCCAGGCAACTTCTCCAACCGCCCACGAGAGGAAGTGCGAAACATCGGTAAATTGGGTGGTCAGAGCAGCCACCAAGGCGGTTTTGCCAGCATGGACCCTGAACAGCAGGTATGTCACTCCGTTTAGGAAAAATTAGCGATGTGATAGTGACTTGTTACAGCACAACATTGCTTCCCAGGGAGGACAGGCCTCGGGTGGATCTTTCCAGCCTGGCGATCCGCGCGCTCGTGAAGCTGGACGCAAAGGTGGCTCTCGCACCAAGGATGACTACGAAGTTGAGGAATAATCGAAGTCATTACTCTCCTGTCCCTTTCACACAAACAATGAAGGAATTAATGAAGGCATAAGCTGGAACAGTTGCCGGGGACAAGCTCGCTCGCTTTGGGAAAGGATGATCATGTATTTTTTACAATATAGCCAGAAAACATATGTAATTGAATCCCGACATGAGATTTGTCTAGTCAGATCGTGTGCACATGCAGTAGGGAAGAATATGTGAACAATTTCAACATGATATCATTTGGTTATACACTATAGTGAAGACCTAAAAGAGAACCTGCCTGTTAACATCCCATGGATCCCTCTGGTCACAAACAAGAAATATGTCTTACTGCCATTGACTGAACTACATTCGGTTTCTTGGTTCAGCTGATGCCCTCGGTCTTTTCTATATCGAATGACGTACAATCAGGATCAAGCCCCCATTATGCTATTATGTCGCCATACTTGGTAATACCAGCAATCTGGTTGGACAAGTATGATTTCTCGCTGAAGCCAAAAAGTTATAAAAGCACTGATATACAACGTCTAAAATAATTATTTTTTATGGTGAAAATGTCGTTCTCTCGTGCTGCACACAGAGTCCTTCAAGCTTCCTACCCGACAACCATTGCATGCCGCGGTGTATCAAAACGCTGGTACAGTGCCACTGCCCCTGTCATGTCTCTCATCTCAGAAACAATCCAACACGATCATCGGGAGCTGGAGGATGCGTACAAAAAGATCCTCAGCAACCCTGATCTCAACGAGAAGAAAAAATGGCAGAACCAGTTTACATGGGAGCTTGCCCGGCACTCTATTGCCGAGGAGTTACTTGTCTATCCGGCCATGGAGCGCCACCTGTCTGACGGCAAACGCCTGGCCGATAAAGATCGAGCAGAACACCAGAGTGTATGAAATTGAACTAAATCTCCCTCCACAACGCAAATCCATAGCTAATTTGCTCATTGTGTAGGTTAAGGAGCAGCTCTACAAGTTCCAGAGTCTGCAGCCGGCCGACCCTGATTTCGAGCCCACCCTCCAGGGCCTTTGGGCGGATCTAGGGCAACATATCAAGGAGGAAGAAGAACATGACATGGTCGAATTGGAGAAAGCATTGCAGGAATCGGAATCTCAAGCCTTGGTTACCAAGTTCAACCGGACCAAGAAGTTTATTCCTTCGCGTAGCCACCCAAGCGCCCCAAACAAACCACCTTTCGAAACTGTGGCCGGCTTGATGGCTGCGCCTATAGATCATCTATCTGACATTTTCAGGTCATTCCCCGATGAGAGCAAGAGTGAGCTGCCGCCTTGAGCTTATTATTATGTGGATCCATGCTAGCTAGTCACTTGTTATGTATGTAATTTAATTAATTACACATGAAGAAATCCGTAATATGAAAATCAAGAACTGGCACAAAATAGATCTATGCTACTAGGACTCGCGCTCGATGGCAGACTTGGGAGTGGTCGCACATTCCTTGCAGTACATATAAAAACAAGGAAAAAGAGATACGTGGGGGGTAGAATACGAGCTTACATCAATGATGCACTGCCTGGCTTGGCACTCGGTCACCGTGACATGTAGAATTTCCTTGCTAGATGCATATATATAAGATGATGATCATGATCTTCAGTCATCATGGAGCAGTTCCTCACTCATTGATTTTTATGACAGACAACTTGTAGTCCAAGAAAGTCTTCCACCATGGCGACCAGCAAGCAGCACGCTAATAAGAGCACTCTCATTATCGTCTCGAATAGACTGCCGCTTTCTCTCAGAAAAGTGGACAATTCCTTCGAGAGCAGTACCTCTAGTGGCGGGCTGGTGACCGCGCTGTCGGGATTGACAGACTCGATGAACTTCAAGTGGCTAGGTTGGCCAGGAATCACGGCAGCAAATGACGAGGAGCAGGAAAATGCCCAGCGTGCGCTCGGAGAGAAGATGGCGAAGGGGATATTCCTTGAAGAGCAGCTAGCACAAGACCATTATGATGGATTTTCAAGTATAGGTTCCCCCAATACTGTGAAATAAGTGTTATTAACAAGTAAATCTCCCGTATAGATACAATTCTATGGCCCACTCTGCATTATCAGTCTGGCATTGAGTTCCGTGAGGAGTTTTGGGAAGCCTACCGGCAAGTAAATGAGATTTTCGCTGATGTCGTTGCGGAAGAAGCACATACCGGCGACTTGATATGGATACATGATTATCACCTCATGCTCCTGCCCTCTCTCTTGAGATCTCGTCTCCGGGCGCAGGGAAAGGAGTGCCCGATAGGGTTCACACTACACACTCCTTTCCCTGCGCGAGACGTTTGGAGAGGGCTTCCAGTCGAGAAAGAACTAGTCACCGGAATGCTTGCAAGCGATGTGGTGGGATTCCACACAGAGGAATATAAAGAGAACTTTGCAACTGCATGTGTAAACCATTCGTGAGTGTGTCCCCTTCTGCAAGATTGACGTTAAAAAAAAGCCGAGCTCACTCCCAATGACAGTGATGTGGTAGGACTGGAGGAAACTGATTGCATTCGCATGGGCGATCATCTTGCACACCTCGGCGTGTTTATTGTCGGTATTGACCCCATTAAGTTCAGCGAGACTTTGAAAAACCCATATGTTGTGAATCGCATCAACGAACTTCGACATATGCACAGCAACAAGACGATTATGATCGGTGTCGATCGGCTTGATTACACCAAGGGACTTGTACAAAAGCTCAAGGGCTATGAACGGTTCCTAAATGATAATCCTGAACTGCGGAATAAAGTCGTCCTGGTCCAGGTGGCCGTACCAAGTCGTGAAAATGTAAAGGAATACCAAGACTTAGAAGAAGAGATACAAACGTTGGTGGGTAAGATATGTGGCGAACACTGTGAGTTCCACCTAGATTTCATGATTTTTTTTCTTTCTATCTAAACGGCCCATTCTCAACAATGGTATAGGTGCACCGGATAACTTTCCATTGGTCTATATGCACCGTTCGATATCTTTCACTGAGCTCACTGCTTTGTATTCTGTTGCCGAGGTCTGTTTGGTCACTTCTCAACGGGACGGAATGAACCTAGTGGCATCAGAGTATATCGCGTGTCAGGGTCACAGACATGGGGTTTTGGTGCTATCTGAATTTGCTGGAGCTGCAAGCTTTATGCAAGAAGGGAGCATATTGTTTCATCCGTCTAGTACAGACCAGTTATCACAGGCAATATATCAAGCGGTGACTATGAATCAGGATGAGAGAAAGAAGAGATATGAGTCACTCTGTGACTTTGTCACCAATTATACAAGGTGCGCCTGATCCAGAATCTTCACCATTTGAAAGATGCCATGTTATTGATCAGCCGCTAAAAACACATAGTTCTCGGTGGGGAAAGGCTTTTATCGACGCCTTGCAGGGGCATGTTGGACCTAAAAAATGAATCAACATGTTTCTTCAGAAGATATAGTGTTGGTCGTTTCATTTGAATTCTGTGATAGCAGCATAAATGACGAATCTAACTCCTCGCGCCTGTGAATCCAATCTTAAGTTGACCAGAACAGCTCCGAAATTGTTGCAGACTGGGCAGGAAGTATACGCTGAACTGCCGAGTTCAAGAAATAATTCAAATACTGATTATCTATTAGAGAATCTATAAGTTCACTCTTATTCACTCTAAAAATTAAAGATGTATATTGCATTCACTAAGTCGACAATGGGTAACATTGTAAGACAAGTGTCGCGTGTAAATACTTGACGAAAAAACTTATAATCAATCAGAATCTGAGACGAAAGGGCCCTTTCCTCATGTTAGACAAAAAGAACGTGTATGAATAGCATTCATCAGCCTGTACATGACTGCGCCCAGACAGAGATTTTTCATCGAGGTCTCGTTGAATATAGCTCGAAGAAGCATATTTGCTAGTTGGACTTGAAGCTTTAGGTACTATAGAATCATTATTAGTCGGGTTCACCTCGATGCGGAAAGTAGGCCTAGCACTGACAGATTCAACGCCTTTCCAATCTTATTACCAATCCCCTCAGGGCAACCTGGTTTATGATAGGCGAACGAAGGTGGCTTCGATGCATGACTGTCATCTTCCTTCATCCGTTCATTATAGTTAGCCAAGTCCATCGTGACATGCAATTACTAAAGCATAATAGATCTGTTGCATTTGAAAGGGTAGGAAAGGAGGCATATGAACTTCCTACACTGTTCGTATTCTCCCCCTTTCCGCCGCCTTTCACAAATCCAGGATCTCCCATGGTACGGCCTCCACCGGTGTTGGTCGCTGGGGTTGGAGTGATGCTTGCACCACCTTTGACAGAGCTTGGTTGTTTCGGCGATGTGTCGCCTTTAGCCTCCGTTGGTTGTGTTGCCATGTTTGCTTTTTCGAAAGCTGTGAATTATGGCCAGTAGAATCATAGACGTAAGAAGTATCGACAAGTGAGGTACATTGTTATAAGGGAATCTGATGGTTGGGTGGCAAATCCAACAATCGTTCGAAAGACAAAGTAATGGTGATATCATTGTTCGAGAATTCAAGTTTCTTACTTTTTCTTTTGCTCTACACAAACAACTCGACAAACTAAGCTTTTTATTTCTATGAACCCTAAGTCAAGCGCGAAAGCCTTGAGAGAACATATTATCTCTGGTTTATAGTAATAACTATCCTTAAACGTGACAGTTTAAGGCTTACTAGCTTCCAAGATTGACTATTATGAATAATCTCAATACTCAGGTATTCCGGGAGAGGAATGGTTTTGTCAGTTGTCTGATTTTGATTCTAGTTAATGACAATTTGTTGTAATTGCCTCGATAAACTGCAACCCCCGCCCTTTTAAGCCGATGACACTTTTTGTACAATACCAAGATAGATTTATCAACAAGCACAGCAAAATGAACAAGAGATTGTACATATGGTTGTTAATACGAAATCATCCGTTCACTATCGGTGATCTCTTCCACTATGTTCTGGCTCAAATACTCCGATCTTCTCCATGACCGCAGTCGCGACTGGATATATCTATAAGCTTTCAAACGTTGACAATAAATCAGCCAACGTAGTGCCAACGACACAGCCGGTATCATATTCACCCGGATACACCGTCTGCGGCCCCGTTGTATTGTTGTATCCTAGTTGCAAAAGGGTGGATTGCAGCGAGTTATATTGAGGAAAACCATACCTTAATCTCGTCAATGTCTATTTATGGATTTGACAAGGAAAAATGAACATATTACTTACGATGCAAGGCCACCTTCTGGATCAGTAGCGAAAGCCACCCATGCTTTTCGCAGATAGTCTGCAATTTTGGCCTCTGCAGTCGTTCGTGCAACCAGATTCTGGATATCCGTGTCCGTATTAAATATGAGGGGCACCTCACTACCATGCCACGCCCCTGAATCTGGGTTTGTTGTCAACCTCAAATTCGGAAACTCTCCAAAGTACCGATATCTCCAAGTCGGGATGTTATTTTGCACATTGTACCTGGCGCGATAACTTGCTGGGCAGGTGTATATTACAAAGTTCAGATAATCCCATTGAGCTTCGGAAAAAGTCACCCCTTCAACGTCGAAAATGGCACGGAACAATCCTACTTCATAATTATTGCTGCCGATAAATAGAGGTCGTTGGATGAAGTTGCCTGCAATAGAGCGATTTACGTAGTCCGAGAAAACAATGATGTCGTCAACGGTTGGTCCAAACGATCCTGTCACTGAAGATATCCCGGTGCTGCTAGGGATTGCGTCTTGTACGTCCTCCCAATCTAGTGACCGCATGCAAATAAGCAACGTGTCAGGATCCGAACCTTCATCTCCGCATCCAAGGGTAGCCGTGACATTGTACCACGCATCGGCAGATGCACTCTCGGAAGCTTGAGCATTAGGGGACAAGACCGTGCCAGAATCAGAAATGAAGCCCGCAACGATGGGATCCTCGGTCCATGCGTAGCTATAATAGTCCACGGATGACCCGCCTGCCGACTGTCCAAAGATTGTGATGCGATCCGGATCTCCACCGAAAGCTGCAATATTGTCACGGACCCATTCTACTGCAAGACGTTGATCAAGTAATCCTAGATTGTTCGTTATATGAGGATTTCCTGGAAAGCCAAAGATATTGAGTCGGTAACTATAAGCAAGTCAGCATTTGACAGCTACCTGTTTTCTCTTGGTAGTGCCTGCTAAGCATCTTACTTCGCCGATATGACCACGACTTCCTCAAGGTCTGCAAGATGCTTTCCGTTGTAAGCTGTGTTGTTGGTAGTACCGGTGTTAAATCCTCCTCCATGTATCCAGAATAACACTGGCTTGGTAGTCTCATTAGTCGGCGGCTTTGCCCATACATTCAACGTTAGGCAGTCTTCGCTGTATTGCACTTCTGGTTGCTCGAGTAGATTCTGTAGAATGGCAGGGGCCTGTTTAGTGAAGTTGAACTCCCCGGAAGCCGCAATGAGTTCGCTCTTCGATGCGAAGGTTGCATTTGCAGGGCAGCTATAACCCTTCTATCTTGTTAGAGCCCCTAGTCAATCGCGGAGAAATCAGCATGGAATTGACTCCTCACGAAGTGTATAGTATCCATAGTAGCCGTGCTATTAAATGGCTCTGCGGGAGCCCATCGTAAATTTCCAACGGGAGGCTGGGCCTGCACTTCGTGTATGAGAAAGTTGGGAATCTGCTGCCAACCGGGTCGTTGCACTCACATAAGGTATCCCCAGGTACTCGATAACCCCCGAAGTCCCGGATGCTAGTTTTCCCCGCAGTTGTCCTGACGTTGTGTTGATAGTCAGAGAACTAGTCGCCGACCGAACTAATATCAACACGATGCCTAAACGAATAGTACGCATGATTATAAACATGAGGCTCTCTAAGTATATACTACTATATTTATCGGCGTTGAAATAACAACCCGGAATGTGGCCTGGTCTTTATACTACGTAGCTGGAACAACTTCCAGCGCCTACATGCGTCAGCAGCCACTCCAATGGTAAAGTTTGAATACATTAAACTTTCTGAAAACAGAATCTTCAGGTGTTTATGCAATCGCCTCCCCCTCGCTGGTGGGGCCAATGCAACGACTTCAAGCAGCCGTGCTCGTACACATTCACCGCTTTCGGTACTTTAGGATTTCTTTACGACGAACGAACGATGGGTCTTCGCGCAAGATACATACCGAACCGAACTGTATATGGAATCTTACATGGATCTTCGTACATGGTGAATAGTATCAATTACTCGGTCGAGAATTGAGAGAGAAATCAGTGAAGTCGCGTGCGAGTCGGGCTTCCTTCATTCCTAAATCTCCTCGTCTGTCACCACTTAACTTTCTCTCCGCGCATCCGTTGATCCATGCATTCGGGCCAAGACCGAAGCTACTCGGCGGCACACAATGGGCTGGAAGTTATTTCTATTTGATTATGAAGCACCTGGCTAGAACTCCAATCTCATCACCTGTGACCGTGAATACATCCGCTCCGTATAGGCAGGTTTAGAGTGATTGTGATGGCGCCCCTAGCGGCCCACCTCCGCCGCTAGCCGGGCAGCGGGCCCGGGCCGCATCCACTCGAAACTATTGAATGGATCCTTACTTGCTACGTACTTTAAATGATATTGTTGACGCTTCTTTAGTGGCTTGCAATTGCAAAATCTTGATTATAGAATGTCTTTTTCTTTTTTATCAATCAGATATGGGTATTTGAGTCAGTGGAAAACAGACAACTCACCAAGCCAGGATTTGCTCATCCATAGTTAGTTAGCCCGTGCTGACTAAGACTTGACATGTCTGTACGACCTCGGACTTCGTATATAGTCAGTCGGTACGGAGCACTCCGTAAGTGCTATGTAAGTATTGCATATTCGTAGGAAAAGGCGATGGATCGAATACGTAGCGAGGGTCTAGTTGCGTGGTTCCAGAGTACTTCGAAGATGACATCCCTAAATAACGCCGGTATTGGGTCAAGGCAAGACTATGGCTGACTGTGAGAAAGACTAGTGCCGGAAGACTGGTGTTGAGTTTTTCTATGAGACTATTCTAGAGAAGGAATATATCTGTACAAGGGTTCTGGAAGTCATAACTCCCCATACAGTTCCCGGGGCATTTGGAACGCCGAAAGGTGCATGTGATCAACTAACGTCATTCAACTTGAGGGGAACTTCGGATTTTCATACTGCCGACAAAATGCAGACTTGAAAATAATTATATACTATGCACCAAGGAATCATGGTTAAAGAAGTAAAAATAGAAATAATCACCGAATTGTGCGAGTCACGAATCGATTATTACTCGCGATCCTTTCTAACAAAGAGACGTGGTCACAAATAAAACAATAGAGTTCTTTCCTCCGCATTATACTTTTCATCTCGGCGCCGTTTGAATCTCTTAACAGCCACCTAGTTGTGATAGGTGACACTGTACGCACTGAAGCCAACTGGCTTCTTGGAGTAGCGGATCTTGCCAGAACCATTGATTCGCAGATATTTACCGTTCGAAGCTTGAAGAGAATACTCCCCACTGCCGAGGTAGGTAATGTTGAAGGTCTCAGCACTGCTGGAGGAAGTCGTCAATGTTCCTTCAGTGGCAAGATACCGTTGATCAAGGGCACTGGTAATGTGGAAAGTAGTGCCCTCCTCGGTAAGGGCATGGAGAACCCATCGTTGGGAGGGATCGTTATGGGTGGAGACAGCACGATTTGTGCTTAATGAGTCACTTTTGGAACCTAGGTTGGCGAGACCATAGCCCTTGCGCTCAAAGACCACGTAGTGACCCTCGGTCATATAGCCGCGCATGGTTTTGTAGCCGTCTTCAAAGTAGAGAGAGTCTTCTTCGGTTTGGTTGCCGTAGGGGATACCAGAGACGTACTCGGAACCAGAGCACGAGCCTGTCCATTCGATCTCGCAGAATCCGCTATACATGCCAATGAGTTCACCGTCGGAGTTGGCAATTGGGGTCTTGGGCACAGGGAGATCGGGAATACTGTAGTCAGGCTGATTTTGAATAATGTGATTAGCTCACGCGCCTAATGAGCTGGGTAGGAAAGTCACAAACATTTTCAAAGTCAAATGCATTGAGGAGATCGGACATATGCTCACGACGCCAGTCGTCCAACTGGGGGGTGGTGATGTTTTGATATCCCTTCGCAGTGAGGTATTGCTCTACATTCGATATTAGCTCACACTCGGTTCTAGGATCTCTAACAGTCTAACCAATGAACTGAATGATGGAAGAGTGATCACCACGTTCAGTGAAGACGTAGCCACCACGAGTGAAGGGAGAGATAATAAAAAGAGGAATACGAAGACCTAAGAGTTATATCAGTATACGTTGTAAGAATATACAACGAGTACTAACTTACCAGGACCGGAGAAAGTGTAACCTAACTCGCCATACGGATCTTCAAACCATTCACCAGCTGTGCCATTGGGGGAAATGAGAGGAAGGACAGCATCACCCCAGCCACCGCCCTCTGCAATTTGTTAGTTTGAACTAATTATGCAAAAAGGTTTGACGCCTACCATCGTAGTTGAGGAGAATAACGGTTCCGTCATAGTTCGGGCCATGAATGGCAGCATCGACAACTTGGTTGATGAAGTATGCGCCGTCATTGGGGGTATTGGGGGAATGTTCCTGCAATGCTCCAGGAGGGAAAACCCAGCTAACCTCAGGAAGAGTTCCATTGGCAGCAGCAGCCTTGAAAGCATCTAGTCCATTGTCACCGTCAAACGCAAGACCGCGCTGATACAAGCTGGAGTTTTTCGCTGCCTGCTGGAAGGCTTCGAAGTAGAACAGGCCGTTGTTGGTGGCCCAGTTGTAAGAGTTTTGGTACGAGCGCCAGTCGACACCTGCTTCATCAAGGTATTGAGCAAAAGCAGGCCACTTGAGGGGAAGACAGTCGAGGTTAGGTCCGGAGCAGGCTGTTTATTGGTTCAATTTGGTCAAACTAGACTGAAACGGTATGAGGGAAAGTCCATTCTTACTGTTAGCCTGCTGGTCATCGAGGACGACACCTCCGGCTCCGAGTTCTTGAGGGCCTCCTGGAACGTTGATGGAGCCAGACTATGGATTTGAAGCATGTGAGCGTTTGCTTGAGATTTTTTAATGTATAAAAAGATATACATACTTGCCAGAACCATCTGTTGGGATCGGTGTTGGAAGCAATGCTCGCCTTCAGATCATGTTAGCCAAGATCCACAAGGGAAGAATACAGACATGAACATACGTGGTAAGCATCTCCGACAGTATAGGCCTCGGCCAGAGCAAAGTGGTATGGGATATCTTGACGCTTGAAGTAACCCCAGGACTGAGGAGTGGAGATTTGGGCCCACATATTGTTCAGGCCGCCGTTGAAGGACTGGTGGGTGGGAATCCAGTTGTTGGGACCGGCACAGAGACATTGGCTCTTGTTGTAGTTCTCCTCACCTCCAAGGTAGTTCAGCCAGTAGGGGAGCAGATAATCGGTCTCATTGGTCAAGTCGCCGACAGGCCTAGACAGGGATGACTTATTAGATATCAGATAGCCGAGAAGTCAGAAAAAGAAAGAAATATTGAGTTGAACTCACTGATACCACACAGATTTTCCATCGGCATTAACTTGAACATTAGGGTCGGCAAAGCCACGAACGCCGGACATGGTTCCGAAGTACTAACTTTGTTATAAGGTGATGCTTTAGTTGCATACCCAGGCACAATGGATGAAACTTACGTGCTGGAAGGAACGGTTTTCCATCATCAACATGATGACATGCTTGACATCGGATAGAGAGGCTGCATTTGCGGCACTGGCAAGCGCCAGCAATTGAATGAAGGTCTGCATTTTTGCAGACGAGAACTCTTGACAAACTACGGGCAGCTTAGCATAGAAATGTCGTTGAAGGCATAAATGCCCTACTTATATACATGTCGACTGCTGTGTGGCAGCTTCTTCTCCGCAGTAGAAAGCGAGTCTCCCAGTAGACCTCGGGAAATTGAATTGCCATCGATATTGTTTCGATACGCATTTTCTACACGTGTGGTATTTCGAGCAATGTCGTTGGTCCACGAATAGTGCCAGTGAAAAAAATGCAGGAATTCACCAACATGGCTAGACAAGTGTTTGTCTTCCCATGTGGAGTAATTCCTCTAGATCGCTTGCCGACAAAAGCCGACTTCATCTCACTAATTTCCTTGGCTAGAATTGTAATCTACATACTAAAAAACTGGTCATGAGTCTTCCTGGACTATACTTTGACCACGAGTTCGTTCCAGAGTCCTTGGACGAATTTTAATCTTGAAAAGATCAAGTTAAAACCTTTGAGTTGTCTCACAAGGATACAGCCAATAACCCACCGTCCAACACTGGCGTAAACCGAAGGTGATCATTACATGGCGGGCAGCAGTAGGCACTAAGATGCAGTAGCGTTACAATATAGAACCAGGTCTACAATCAACTTCGAGGATGCGCATCGACCGCTGTTTAAACCTGCAGACTCCGGGGCCAATAAGCACTTGTTCCATGCTAATCTCAAACCTCCAAATGGCCAAACTGTAAATCAAGAAGACTTTGGATCAGATACTGCATACGAATGTTCCTCTTGGTCTCCTGGTCCAGTATAGATGGTTCTACAGGTGCATGGCTTCTTGTGAGATTACATTAGACCGACTATGTGTGGCCCTTAACAGCCTCTGCATACAGCATGCCTAAGAGTTTACCATGAAAAAAATCCGTCAGGAAGATGAACAATGCTTGGGTTGCATTGATTGATAAGGATTGACCCGCCGCATCATATCCACCCCGGCGTGGACTGAAGGGTCGTGATATGTACCGCAGTATGGTGCCATCCCGGAGGCGCGCTTCTTTGGTGTTTCAAAGCCTCATCGAATCGCTGGCGGGCGTTGTACAACGTGCAGATTTAACTGCGGCATCCGGTTCGGCTGTTGCCGACTGGGTGATACGTATGCACATGAGCCGGGTCAAGTGAAACACGGGCCAACTTATGAGCAACCAATGAGGAAGATTTATGGCGGTAGGAGATATCAGGATGAATTGTTTGGCCGGGCTGGGCATACTTTGCACTAGGCCAACTGGGACTCTTACAACAATAAACAAGGATACTGAAATGCAAAAGAGAGTACTTTTAGCGCCTTACTCCGCACAAAGCAGTTTATATTACTGTTAAAGTAGGCTGTATGATGATTTAGCTTGCTCTTGACATGCATCTTTAGCAGCGATTCACATGCGCAGAGAACAGGCAGTATATTTGTTTTTTTCTTTTCTTTTTTCTTTTTTTCTCACACACTTTGCACGCTACTTGTATGAAGTACCCAGCAACTGTGTGTCCGTCCCGTGCAGTCATTTGCGTCCTGACAGGCGGTTAAAGAGAGTGTCTAATCGGCTATATACTATGTTCACTATCCTATGCACGCTTGAGAAAATTGACTTGCAGACAAGTTTACTGGTAGGCAATATAGTGACTCGAGAAGTTCCCATGCTCAAGCTTGTTGGACGGCACAATTGCTTGTCTATCATTTATGCGATCAAGCATCATCTAGTTTCGAGTCGAGACTTTGAAACAAGTCTTCCGGTTGCGAATTCGATAGTGCATTTCCTTCCTAAGCACCGCTGGCAAATATATAAGTGCGTCCTTGTTAAATTCATGCAGCTTAAGGCGAAACCGGAAATTACTGAATCTATAAGTAGCTGCGCGTTTACACAATTTCCAGCTCTGATCAAATTATCTCAACAACACTTGTCATAACCTGCTTGGTTTCTTACGCTTAAAATACTTTTTCCGATCACTTTGCTACACCACGTCACAATAGCTCCAGCGTTCTCTACTACTGCTCGTGCTCTGCTTCGATTTCTCTGGAAAGGCACTGATCCAGTTCCAAAAGAAGGAAATGGCTGAATAAATACTTCAGCGCCGTCCTGTCCCTAGATGATTTTCTCTTGTTTATGTGACCGTTACATATTCTACAACGATTTCCACTGGGAAGCTAGCCTTTTTTTCACCTTGGGTGGCATGCAACATCATCTGTCTTACCTGACTCCGGAATGATCCTTTGAGCAGCCGTAGCTTGAGTTTTCATAGATATTGCAAGGTTGCTTGAGTGCTAATGTCGACAAATTGAGCTCAACGAGATTAAAGGCCTTGGCGTACAAAGATCTGGAAACTATCTCTATTGAGTAGTCATTCCAGGCATACATGCCCAGCTAACTAATTTATTTCAACATGGCGGTGAGAGTGGATATCTTATACTGGATAACAATATCATGTGATAGATTTGATGACAGCTCATGGAAGATTGAGCTGTTAGGGCAGACTATGACGTATATTTTCTTGAAAAACTAGACATGAATTCGAGCATCGAGGTAAAAAAGAAACGACGTAAAGAATGAAATTATACAGGGATGTAGGATGCTAAAGAGTTTCCTAAAAATTATAGTAACGCCCACTCACCCATGGAATCCCGAGATTTTCAAGTTTGAGCCACATCTGTATCTCGGTTCGGAGAACAGCTCTCGCACTCAATCTTCCAAGACTCAATCTCGTGCAGTGTCGTATCAATTTCGTGTTTTACCGCATGATATGCATCCGAGCCCATGAGTATTCGTTTAGGGAACGGCCTATCGTACCTTCCAACTACTGTATCAAAAAGCAGTTTAGCACAGATATCCGGCTCGGAAATGATACCCCGGGTTGCTGCATTTTTGACATGGTTCAATATTTGCGTTGTTGGGTTGGAAGGGTTATCGTAGGCAGGATGCCGCGGTTCGACTTTTAATGCATTGATGAAATTTGTGCGTATACTCCCGGGGGCGATGATTAGGAATCGGATATTCCACTCTGGCTCCATTTCTTGAGACATTGACTTTGCGAAGCCTTCAAGTGCAAACTTCCTTTAAAGTATAGTTAGGTTTGTTATTCTTCAAAGGAAGGGAGAGGAAATGGTGTTTACCCTGCATGGTAGAAAGAGTTACCCGGTACTGTCATCGATCCACCCATTGAGCTGACATTGACTATCGTTCCGCCACGGCGTCCAGGATTAATGTCTCGAAAGACTCGCACTGCTTCTTGCATTATAGACACCGGTCCCCAGAAGAGAGTCTCAAGGAGAAGGCGTGAATCTGCTTCTGATATCACTTCGGTGTCGCCCATGTGAGTGTATCCGGCATTATTGACTACCACGTCTAGATGGCCAAATCTATCCACAGATGATTGAATAGCGCTAACAATGGACTTTCTAGAGGTAACGTCGAGACCCAGCTTGAGAACTCTGGAGTCATCCGGAAGATAAGACAAAGTACGCGTGTTTCGAGCGGTTGCGACGACTTGATGGCCAGCATTGTAGGCAGTTTGTGCAATAGATTTGCCAAGTCCGGAGGAAGAGCCAGTGACTGTATATAGTAAGTGAATTGAAGAGCTAGGATGTGCCAAAAGACTTACTCAACCAGACGGTGCTTGAATCGAAAGGGATTGGAGGCGTAGGCATTTTTGACAGCGCAAGTTTTGGTAATCACTAGATTGATAAATAAAAATAAGAGTGTCCTGAGGAGTTTGAAATTTTACTAGGAGATAGGAGCCTTATATATTGCTAGAAGTTTTGTTTTCACTTTGTCTTATAATATAGATGAAGCAAAGCTAACAAGAGCTATATGTACTTCATGGTTTGCTCAAAGAGGCAATTGCCGAATATGGTCTAGTGCAAATACCGATGCCGCAGGCGCTATACTTACTTAGGCATTTGTACTAAATTGTGAGATCCACCGCTACGGTTCTCATTTCATTCTAGAAAAACCGGCAGCGTTCTCCCCGATCCTTTTCTATACATCTGATGAGAGTAACTAAGGACCACATCAGCAATCAACTTTCATTATGACCGAAAGGTTTGAAGACTCGTCATTCGTGGTTATCACAGGCCCACCACAACAAGACAAGAAAAAGAGAATTAGTCATGTACGCTCGCACATTAGAAAGAGCCACCTCCGACTGCAGTCTCGTCACGGACAGAGACAGACGCAGCAAAAGTTGTCACTGGTTCACAACGAACTAGCACTGGGCTCTCCGCCACGACAACTGACACAGCTTATGGATTTGCCATGGTTGCCCGTCTCAGACGCCGTATGTCAACGGCTAAAACGTTGTAAGTTGCTGCGCTACCGTTTTTTCTTTCTTTCCGTGAGTCATAAAATGAATATCTGCGCTTGATACGATATCGATAGAGATATGTGTTGGCAAGCTGAGACCAAACCATTGACATTACGAGGTTTTTGAATGCTAATACCGACAACTTAATTTCAAAGTTTTCCAACAATATATCGAGACAAGCACCTATTTACACCCATTTTTCCGCTCTATGATTTCGGCTATGGTGGTTCATGAACCGTTCATGAGTGCCAAGCTTGTGACAGCAACTACTTGGGACGATCTCAATGGACCTAAATGCGAGATAAGTGACTTGACTCTATTTCAAAGAGACATTTCCGAGAAGATTTTATTTGATACAACCGCGGACCCAAGAACAGCTGGCAGTGATATGAATATTGTTGCAACACTCACCCTTCTAACATTTGAGGTGCACGGTGTACTGCCCCTCTTTATATTACTGAGCATACTAATTTTTAATAGCTTGTCAATTGTAACCATGAAGCATATGTACGATATAAAAACAAACTTTTGAATATGATCGATAGCAGAGGTGGCTTGGATATGCTTGGATTTGATGGGAACCTGAAAGTCACCGTCTTATTGTAAGCACTTACCATCCTCCAAGCTGCCTACTACTCTACTTAACTATAAATACATAACTAGGATCAATCAGCTCGAGAAGGTAGCCAGGGGACTTTCCGAATTAGTTCCCAGCTTGGAACCTCTCTCTGAATGGAAAGTTAATAAATATGAAGTTCATTTCCCGCAACCGGCCGATTTCAGGATCTTCACATTTGAGAGAGGCGAAAAAGATTTCTGGGAACAGAAAATTAGCATATCCACCATTCGCCTGCTTAGTGATTTCTTCCAGATTGTTGGCATGTGCATCCGATATCAACAATTGTCTGGTAACCGTATTGAGCAGCAAGAAATGTTCACTCAGTGGCATTTCCTTCGAAGAAGTCTTGTTTCGCTCAAGTCAATGCCATTCCGTTATGGGACAGGCATAGATCGTATTTTGGTCCACGCCATTGTTCTATTTGTTTCAAACGATAACAATCTCGATGACTCTACTAATGAGCTGCGGTCACTTTTATGGGAATCCAACGTCGATGCTTACTATGGGCCTTTGCCGGGTGCCCTGATCTGGTGTTTAGCTGTTGGCGCAAGAAAAAGTCCGCCAGGGCCTGTTTGCAAATGGTTCCTTATGCAGCTCACACGGACGACGTGTCCATCAGCTCTAAGTGACTTTGTCGACGTATCAAAAAATCTTGATATGATCTTGACAGGGCTAGATTTAGTGGAATACGTGAACACTGACTGTTCTGTGCTATAGCCTATGATGTTTTTGCTTGTCGACGTTGATATTCGCAGGTTGGTGTCGGTCAATCAAGTGCTGCATGCATTTCCATGTATGCATAGCAGTTAGTTATGCTCTTTTGTGTAATGCCTGAGGCATCAAGATACTCTATAAATCTTTTTAACAATGTACTTGCTCTGATTGGCCGGCTAGCCGTTAGACACGGGGCCCACATACCCATAATAGAAAGGATCGATGGATCGACGGCCCTACTGCAAAGCGTGCAGGAGCTGTCGATGATGATTGGTCAAACTACATGCAAGGCTGTGCTGCGTGGTTGCAGCCCGAGGCACCCAGGCACGCACGAAGACATGATTATTTAGATATAAACCCCCGTATATTTGCTTCATAATTTATCCTCGTTTTGTGTTGTTTCTTTCCTACCTTTGTTCTCACGTGCAGTGATGATTGATGAAATGACAGCCTCGGAAAAATGACGAATTCCATTGTTTTGCTCAAAGCACTGCTGGCGCTCCTACCTGTTAATGGAGCGCAAGCCGGCCTAATAAATTACCCTCCTTTGCCAAAAGATCTCACCACCCCCTACCAGCAACGGCTCGCAGTTTATGGACCTCAAGGTGAGCATGTGGAATTGGAGCCTTTTTCACGTTGTTCAACTCTCGAATCATCAATTAATTAACTCGCATTATGGCAGCCGTCTCTGTTGGATGGAATACATATGCGTACCAATCTCAGAGCTGTGTTGAATATGGCACTTCTAGCGACGACCTCGACTCTAAGGTCTGCTCAACTGTCAATTCCACTACATATCCAACCTCACGCACCTACTCCAACACTGTGATATTGGCAGACTTGACCCCAGCGACTACCTACTACTATAAGATTGTCTCTACGAACTCTACTGTTGGGCACTTCTTGAGTCCCCGGACTCCTGGAGATCAGACACCGTTCAATCTCAGCGTTGTCATTGATCTAGGCGTTTATGGTGCGGACGGGTATACTGTAGATTCAAAGAGAAAGAAGGACACAATTCCTACCATCCTTCCAGAGCTAAACCACACTACCATTGGTCGCCTTGCAGCGACAGTTGACAACTATGAGATCATTTTGCACCCTGGTGATTTCGCCTATGCTGACGATTTCTACGAGAAACCCCATAATATCCTCGATGGCAAGGACGCCTATCAGGCCATACTTGAGCAGTTCTACGATCAACTTGCCCCCATTTCCGGACGCAAACTCTATATGACGAGCCCCGGAAACCACGAAGCGGATTGTACCGAGATCCCCTACACTTCGGGGTTATGCCCAGAAGGTCAGAGGAATTTTACGGACTTCATGCATCGATTTAGACAGACCATGCCCAACTCATTTAAGTCAAGCTCTTCCAACACTACTCTGCAGTCAATGGCTGATACAGCCAAAAGCCTCTCCAAGCCACCCTTCTGGTACTCCTTTGAATATGGCATGGTTCACGTTACCATGATTGACACTGAGACCGACTTTCCGGATGCACCTGACGGTCAAAACGGGTCGGCCGGGCTTGACAGCGGCCCCTTTGGTAAAAAGCATCAGCAACTAAGCTTTCTCGAAGCTGATCTTGCAAGCGTCGACCGCAGCGTAACTCCCTGGGTTATAGTCGCCGGACATCGACCATGGTACACAACCGGGTCAAGTTCGTCGAGTTGCACCTCTTGCCAAGCCGCTTTTGAAGAGTTGTTCTATACCTATGGTGTTGATCTTGGCATATTCGGACATGTCCACAACTCTCAGCGTTTCCTCCCTGTTTATAATAATACCGCTGACCCCAACGGAATGAATAACCCGAGGGCGCCTATGTATATCATCGCTGGGGGTGCGGGTAACATTGAGGGCTTGAGCGCAGTAGGTTCTGCACCGCCTTATAATGCATTTGTATATGCAGATGATTATAGTTACAGCACACTGAACTTTTTGGATGGAAACAATCTACGGGTCGAGTTTCTTCGGTCTTCAACGGGCGAGGTATTGGATTCGAGTACCTTGTACAAAGCTCATTAGTGAGGTCATATACATTTGATGGGACGACATGGAGAAACTGATATTTCGTTGGAATATTGTCTAGGAATTGAGAGTTCTTTTCAAAGAGGAAGTGAGAGCTAGACTTATACATAGGTGGAGCAGTGATGTAAGAAAAAATTGACTGAAACCCAATCGCATCAACTATCTCGTAAGTTTCCTTTTTCTCATGCGGATCTGATGTTATTGTATGGCCTACTTTGAATACGGTATAGTTGAAGCCTATTCATCTCTTACGGAACAATGATGTTGAACTTCAAACTTGGGATAAAGTATTTAATAATCCATACGTCTAGCATTGGTTCCTTAGACGAACCATAGTGTGTATGGAATGGGAATCATCCTTGAGCCAATCTTCGAGTAGATACAGGGTCTGCCATTAGTTATGGTAAGACACACTATAGATCTGAAAGCCATCTGCAGTAGAGGCCGCAGAGTCAAGTACTTCATCTCCCAGCACAGTCAAAAAGTTGCCCCCATCATACTGCAAGGAATAACCACCTCCATTGCCAAGGAAAGCAATTTTAAAGTCAGCCGCTAATTCCGCCTGCTGGCTGGCAGGTACTAGCAGGCCAAAGTCACCGATAAAGCGTCCATCGAGGGCACTTGAAATCTGGAAAATCCCGCTTTGCTCACCTTGGGAATAATGAATAACCCAGCGCTGGTTTTCGCTTTCATGACTTGACGTAGCCTGGCTAATGGAGATGAGGCCAGTGCCATCGGCGTCAGAAAACGGGTTTGTCAAAGCGAAGCCGTCAATTTCGAAAGTCAGATATCGGCCTTCTGTAAGAGCACCGACGACTTCCTTGAAACCGTCTTCAAAGAAGAGAGAGTCCTCAAGTGTCTGGTTGCCGTATGGCACGGGTGGGGTTTGGGTAGTGTAAGTTGCCTCGCAAAGAGTCGTACCATCAAAATTTCCGTCGGAGTCAGTGTGAGGCACCTCGGCAGCCGGAATGCTAGGAATACTGTAATCGGGCTTTTTGTTGAAGGAAGGTTAGCGGTATATTGGCACAAACGTACATAATACATATCTTAAACGAGATCACACCAAATGTTAGGATACTTACGTTGGAAAAGTCGAAAGCATTGACCAGATCACACATGTTTTCCCGACGCCAAGTTGCCATACCACTCAGTTCCACATCATTGTATCCCTTAGCTTCGAGCCATTTTTCAACAAAGAGGATTTGAGAATTGTGATCACATCGCTCAGTGAAAACTCGTCCACCACGAGTCCAGGGCGACACAATCCAGGAGGGAACGCGGAAACCAGGACCAGTGTACACCTGTCCAAATTCTCCCAATGGATCTTCAATCCACTCGCCCTGCGTTCCAGCAGGTGAATGAAATGGCGTAACAGAATCACCAAATCCACCAGTTTCTGGATTAACACAAACAATGATCAATTACGATTGCGTTCAAAAACGTAATATTAGAAATATCATACCATCATAGGAGATAATTAGAACAGTGGAATTGTATACAGGACTGTTGACGACTGCATCAAAGATCTGCTGTTGCAACCAGGCGCCATCCTTAGGCATCCATGGAGGATGCTCGGATAATTCTTCCTGGCCAACTATGATGCTGACTTGGGGAAGGGTGCCGTTGGCAGCGGCTGAAATAAAGTCGTCGAGGGTATATTGAAAAGAGTCTCCATGAATATGCAGCGAAGAATTGGTAGGTGCATCTTGGTATTGCTCAAACCAGGCATTCGGATTATCATCGAAGTTGTCAGTGTTTTGCCATACTTGCCAGGAAACGTTAAGGCGTTCATAGACTTCAAATGTTGTCTCCCATGTAAGAGGGTAGCAGGAGTATAGGCCATCTGGCCCGGTTTCGCAGCCTGTCTCATGTTCAGTAAGTCTTGTCAAATATCAAAAATAAACGCATCAGAATTGCACCTGGAGTTTCATTGTTGTCGATATACACGCCACCCGTTCCATTCAGATTGGTGGGAGATCCGGGAGCATTTATGCTTCCACTGACCCAGGTCACACGGTTTGGGTTCGTGGCCGTGATCTGGCCTTCTTGGTACATGTCATTTATGGTGTAGGCCTCAGCCATGGCAAAATGAACGGGGAGATCTTCCCTCTTAAAGTAACCCCAGCTCCATGGGGTGTTGTTAGTGGCCCAGTGGTTATTGAGGTCACCGTTCAAAGCGGCGTGATTGGCATCATAAGCGTTTGATCCGGCCACCATGCATTGGGTTGCCTCTGACCAGTTCCCGCCCAGGTAATTGAGGTACCACGGCAGCAGATAGTCTGTCTCGTTGGACAGGCTTGAATCAACGACTCTGAACCCGAGTATTAGCAAATTGCCCCGTACGTAACTTACATACCGTGACTCACTGGTACCAAACGGAGCGTCCATCGGAATTAATTTGAACATTGGGGTCATTGAATCCTCTCACGCCGGCCATTGTTCCAAAGTACTAGTATACATAATCAAAAGTCACGATCAGCACAAATCACTAACATAGAGTGTGGAAATGAGTTACGTGATTGAAAGCACGGTTTTCCTGCATGAATAGTACAACATGCTCAATCTGTTCCAGACCAGCGGCGCGCACAGGGCTGGCACCTAGGGCGGCTATGCCCAGCGCAACGCTCAAAGTAATTGCCATTTTGATTCACAAAATGTTTTGGATAGTGTTCCGTTTCTCGTTGATAAAGTAATAGATAAACTGGGGCAGAGAGTATAGAAATAGTCAGACAGATAGAGAGACCCCATAGCAATCATTTTTATTGGCTCTATTCCAACAAGCCAAGCATGACTGAAGAATTTCCACGTTACGGTCCTAGCCGAAGTTTCCGCAAAATGTTTGTGTAATTCGAGGTACCACATTGCATTCCTTCCACCACCGCGAGGTATGTGCCCCAGGCCAGTCAGGTGGCATTGCGCCTGCATGGGGATCAACAAGCAGCATTAAGTGGCGAGCCGTGTGGCTGTCAGCACGACTGCGGCATCAATTAGACTGGCTCTTAGCAACTAGCAGCTGCCAGCAAGCTAGCGCATACAGCGAGGCAGGGAGTGTTGGGAATTGCCAGTCGCACGTGCGGCCACCTGATTTCCCTGCTGGCTGCAGAGCCGCGCTAATCAGCGCTAATCTATTAGCCTCACCTAAACGCTTCCCGTCTCCGCTTGTCCCCACTGGCTCCACTTCGGCGGTCTAGCCTCTCTTCGTCCGTCCACTCGTAGACTGTCTAGCGTGTTGAATCTTCAATTGAAGCTATGTCACCCCGTGCCTATTTTCCTAGTTTGGGAACCCCCTAGGTTAGTTATCCTTGTGAGTTGGCTGCCAGTCACTCCCTTCCACATGTCTATCACAGTGTTCATACAATGCAGCGACGACCAAGTAGACGTCAGCAGCATGCATCAACGTCTCCAGGAATAGTGCTGCCGCCTGTAGTCGTACAGCAAGAGAGAGAAAATACCGAAGAAAATGGCAAGACCCATCACCGTGCGTCGTCATCAGAGACATCTGTTCTGCTATGTGTCTTGCCGTTGTTGGCAACATTAGCTCTCTTTATCTATCTTTACTACTTTTCTTATCACTTCAATGCTTACGGCAGTAAATTTTTGACCACTTTACATGGTTATGGGCTCATACCGTCGGCTTTCTCGGCCTCGCCAGACTTGGATATAGATAATCGAATATCTGAGAATGGAATGCTGCGGCCTGAGGATCACATTTATCGCGAAGCGACCATGCAGACGCTGAACTGGAGTATAACCTCGGGACATCGACGACCAGACGGTGTTAGAAAGAAGGTGTACCTGATTAACGGTCTGTTCCAACCGAATCATCTCTTGAAAACGGTTTCCTGATTGTTCGGCAGGTGTATTTCCCGGTCCTACGATTGAAGCACGCTCAGGAGATACACTGCAGATTCTGGTGCGGAATGATTTGGAAGATGAAGAAATATCATTGCATTGGCACGGTCTTTATATGAGAGGTATTGTTCACTTGGAGCCTCATTATATGATATGATATTTACTTAACGCTTATCCAATCAACAGGCGCCAATACTATGGATGGTGCCACGGGAGTCACGCAATGCGGCATTGGACCTGGAAAATCCTTTTGGTATAATTTCACTATTTCAGAAGCCCAGTCCGGCACATTCTGGTATCACGCACATTCCAACGTCCAGAGAGCAGACGGGTTGTATGGAGGATTCGTTGTTCATCGGCCGGTTTCTCCTTCCTTTCCTAACGTGCGAGGACTGTTCGAAAAGCATCGAGGTTTGAACGACAATATGTCGGGAGAAATGCGAGTCCCAGATAGCGTCGAGTACGTCTATGACAAGGAGCTTCTCCTGATGATTGGCGACTGGTACCATCGAACGGCTCAAGATGTGGCCAGCTGGTATCTATGGTGGGGTTCTAGGGGATATGAAGTGTGTACAATTTGAAAACCGGTGTTTTCTGTCACAAATGACATGGCTAACTATCATTCAGCCAGTTCCAGACTCTTTATTGATAAATGGGGTTGGTCACTTTAATTGTTCAAGAGCAGTCCCAGCACGGCCTGTGGACTGTATTGACCTAGCCGAACGCAGAATTCCTTTGATACTTGACAGGCATAGCACGTACCGTATGAGGATTGTGAATACAGGGTAAGGGCTCCATAACTGCATTATTTGATCGAGGAATGAGTACTGACAACCCAAGGTCCCTAACCGGAATCACCCTCGGTGTTGCCAAAGGAAAGCTTGAAGTAATTACCCTTGACGGCGGCATTCCCGTGGAGACAAAACCTCATGTAAATGACAAGTCTTCAGCTGGAGTCCTCTTCCCAGGTCAGCGGATGGACTTTATCTTGCGACCACCCAAGGACCGGGGTGACCATTATTCATGGATAACCGTGAAATTAGATGAATCGTAAGGCCATTGCCCGCTCTGTGTATAAATTTACCACATCTAATAAGCAGATTAAAGTGACTTCAAAATCGGAAACCCAGCTTTAGAGCCACTACAATCGTTTCCAATTCTCCTATCACCCGTCTCATCATCGTCCTTGTTATCAATACAGCCCGACACCCTGGAAGATGAAAAGAATATTATATCTTCCGAGTCGAATATTATCGACATTCAAAACCTTTCTTCAACGCCTACTATCCTTGCTGCTTTACCATCCAAAGCAGAACAAATTCATGTGGTGTACGCCAAAGTCGAGAAGCTGAGTCGTCTTCAAAATATCCCTCATGGCTTTTTCAATCGCACGACATGGAAAATGCAAAGTAACCCCGCGTATCCACTTCTTGGTCTTGCCCGAAATCAATGGGATAAACATCAGCTTGCTATTACGACCGGCGATAGACCTGTATGGATTGACTTTATAGTGAACAATTTAGATGAGGGGGCCCACCCATTTCATTTGGTAAGTGATACCTATCAAATCTGCCTTCCTGTCTTTCTGAAAGTGATCGATTAACTCTCTGTTCAGCACGGCCATAACTTTTATGTTGTTGCGGTCGACCAGTCAGCCGATGGCTCAACGTGGGGATCATACAACCCTTGGTCCAAGAACAAGATCAAAAACGGGCCATATTTACAAGACGGCAATAGCGAGGTAGTTCTCTATGACCTGTCGAAAGCCGTCCTGCGAGACACCGTACAGATACCCCGTCGTGGATACGCAGTGTTACGCATTCGAGCGGACAATCCTGGCGTTTGGTTATTCCACTGTCATGTCATGTGGCATCTGGTGGGTGGGATGGCCATGCTGATTGATAGTATGAATGGAAGTGACGATGTTGCCCACCAGCCATGGTTGGCTGTAGAGGGATCTGAATGTCGTGTTTGACGATCGTCGCTGGTACCTAGGAAGTGAATCGTAGAAAAAAGTAGACTTGCAAGAAAGACGAAAAGAATTTTTAGATACGGACTCAACATAATGGCCATCTGTATAAATCATATACCTACGTGAAAAATTATCAGGTTGAGTGCATTACAGATAGTAGCGTGCTTGATGGAAGGTTTCGCTTGATGGTAGCAAGATATTCTTGGGGCCGAGCCAGTGCGCTGGTACAGATACCAAGTAATAGCCAATGACTGCTCGCGCATTTGCATGGTAAAATTTCCTCATCGAACGGGCGTCCAAGCCCCAGGTCGGCGCCCAAGCTTTCATTCCATCACGGCTTATTTCATATGGCGACATCACGGGCCATTGAGACCATGCATGGTTTGTTCCGGTATGTTCTTCCAACACGTGACTTTTGTGGAAGGGATGTTCATTGCCTACAGTCTTTCCAAGAAACGCCCTCTCTTCAGAGTCTACGTCCTGGCCTTGTCGGACACGCACAACTTTTTCAATCTCCGGTTAGCGGTTGGCATCCTTAATGTCCTTATAAAGCAGTGTTTCTGTCGTGGAAAAGTCTTTAATAAAGCCTATATCCGCGATGGCCTCGGGGAACGCCGGTCTGACTTCCTTGTCCCAGAAGGCCCTGATTTTGCCCGTGACGCCTTGTTTCTGCACCTACTTCTCGTCTTCCAACTCTTGAATCAGATGCCTGCGGTAGGTAATGCTGGCGCGCTAGAATTTTCTTCCCATACTGGCGTTGCGTATATTTTGTGAGATGCTATGCCATTCCATAAAGTGCCGAGCAGAAGACTTCTCTTTTTCTTGATTCCTCTGTGTAGCTAACAGATATTACAGCCACACAACAAGCCACCCCGCTGCGCCATGTCAAGCACAAGGTGCTCATCATTGGCAGTCGTGTCTCTTGCTTGCAGGCCGCGTGTTGGCCATCCTTAATTGGCTAGCGTCGTCTCTCGCGGCTGTTTGCACGGCTTGTGCACTCCTCCCTCTCTAGGCGTACTGTATTTGCAAGTCGCAGGTCGGAGTTGATATTATACTCTCATCTGCCTAAGCCTGAAAAATGTTATGCATAAGTCGACCACATATCGTGAACAGCATCGGAGGAGGGAAGGTTGCGCTAGTCCCTATACAGCTAGTGGATATATGGGGCTGTGTAGTGTGTCCTGTTTTGCTTAGACCGGGAAACATTACATCCATGATTCCTTGAAGGTGATAATCTTCACCGTTAGGATCATTCTTACAGCGGAACGGTTTCCTATTTCAGCCCATGTCACCAAGGGTACACGAATATTCTTCTGCTGAGCCAAGAAGAACGCGTATGAGCCCAGTATTCATGAGCGGAGACGATCTGCAGTGCATGCATGAGTTCCTGGTACCCACCGCGAAAATCTTTATCCGCCGACGTCCCGCAAGATGATCCAAGACAGAAAGTTTCTCACACGTACGATTTCAACTTATTGAACTTAGCCAAGTCTAATTGTAGGTCACGGATTAGACTTTCTCTGTTTGGAATGGCTTCCGCGCATCTCAGCAACGAATACTACGAGATGACTCGATATGGAGTTCGAGTAGATACTACATGGGGCTTCTGGACTAGGCAGTCCGAAGACATCGGACCTCTGTAGAAGGTTATTCTCGTCGATATAATATGTCCCATGTAAGCACCGTATTGGCAGATCTACGTAGTCGACAGTAGTGGTTGCTTATTGGCATATTGGTATTGTCCAATCCAGCTGTCGGGGCTATCTGTTTAGCTGTTTCAAGAATCCTTCCCATTGGATATCATTATATATATCAACGGCGCAAAGAAAAGCCTAAACTTCATCCCGCTGAGTCTTCAGGCGGACACCGCATAAATAAAATCAGAGATGGGACACGCAATCGCTCTTGGCGATGGTTCTTGATAGCCCATTTAGTGATAATTATGCAGCAACTTGCAGGCGCTTAAGCACAGACATAATGAGCTTCACGTTCGAGAGTGGTCATGATGACCGACCATGTGTAATTCCCACCCAGTCTTTGCTAATAACACTCCACCGTTGGGTGTGGTACTATAATTTTTTATCTACGTCGAGCAATGCAGTACGTGGTACGCGCGTACAACCGCCGACAAGAATGTGTCCCTAACGTTTGTTGCCTCATGTGCTGCCTGTATTCTAGATTTCGAGACTCGTATTTCACGTGGGCTGTACGTAAGCCTCAGAAGTCTGGTACAAAAGCTACCCCATGGTGACGGTTATAAAAGGTGAGTTTCTCCTTATTGTCCAACCTACCTTCTACGCACCTTAAAACCGTATATCACTACACTCGCTTTGCTTAATCATACTTCAAACACCATGCGTGGACAAGCTCGCGCACCTCTCGCTGCTGCCGCGCTGGCAGCAACAGCGGGAGCCTCATCTCTCGCTGACCTATGCACGGTGTCCAATGTGCAGAATGCGCTACCAGCAAATGGAACGCTACTTGGCATAGAGTTGATTCCCTCAACTGTGACCGCTAACACAGTTTCCAATGCATCGGTCTCATCAATGTTCACGACGTCGTCAGATACCACTTACAACTACTGTAATGTGACTGTCTCCTATACACACACTGGAAAAGGGGACAAAGTTGTGCTCAACTATGCTTTTCCCGATCCTTCTCAATACGCCAATCGTTTTTATGTGCTTGGAGGATCAGGATATAGTCTTGCCACGGATCCAACGGAAGGCCTACCGTACGGAGCGGTAGGTGGAGTTACTGATGCCGGCTATGATGCATTCTCAAAAAGTTACGACGAAGTTTTCCTCTACGGAAATGGTTCAATTAACTGGGATGCTACATACATGTTTGCGTACCAGGCACTCGGAGAATTGACTATTGTTGGAAAGCCGCTCACTCAAGCGTTCTATGCCTCGTCCAACAAGATATACACGTATTTCGAAGGATGCTCCGATGGTGGACGCGAAGCCATGAGTCAAGCCCAGCGCTGGGGAACTGAATACGATGGAATCATTGCTGGTGCCCCTGCTTTTCGTTACGGACAACAACAAGTGAACCACGTGTTTTCATCCGAAGTCGAGCACACTCTGGACTACTTTCCTCCTCCGTGCGAGTTGGAAAAGATTGTGAACCTGACTATCGCTGCCTGTGATCCTATGGACGGAAGAACAGATGGTGTTGTATCAAGAACCGATTTATGCCAGCTAAACTTCAATCTCAGCTCTACTATTGGCGAGCCCTATTACTGCACTGCTCAATCCAGCACTTCTCTTGGCTTTGGTTTCAGCAAGCGCCAAGATTCAAGCATGTCTTCTTCTTATGAACCTGCTCAGAACGGCACTGTTAGTGCAGAGGCAGTTGCTGTTGCTCAAACAATATATGATGGCCTCCACAATTCCCAAGGGGAGAGGGCATATCTCTCATTCCAAATTACGGCTTCGCTAGGTGACGCCGCCACCGAGTACGATAATACCACTGGCTCCTGGGAGCTCGATATTCCATCCACTGGAGGTGAATTTGTCACAAAATATGTGGAACTCCTTGATCTCGACAATTTATCCAACCTTGACAATGTTACTTATGACACTCTGGTTGACTGGATGAATACAGCCATGGTGAGATACATGGATAGCTTGCAAACCACCCTCCCAGACCTGACTCCCTTTCAATCTTCGGGTGGCAAATTGTTGCATTACCATGGTGAATCGGATCCCAGTATTCCATCTGCATCATCTGTTCACTACTGGCAATCAGTTCGATCCATTATGTACAACGGCACTTCAGCGAACTCTAGCCTGGACGCCTTGCAAGACTGGTACCAGCTATACCTTATCCCCGGTGCGGCTCACTGCGGAACAAATTCGCTGCAGCCTGGTCCGTATCCAGAGGTAAACATGAACATCATGATCGACTGGGTTGAAAATGACGTGATGCCGACGAGACTGAATGCTACTGTAAGCTCAGGCACCTATGAGGGGGAGACTCAGATGCTTTGTCAATGGCCGTCACGCCCTCTGTGGCACTCCAACAGTTCCAGTTTTGACTGCGTCTTTGATCAGGGATCCTATGACACATGGACATATACCTTCCCTGCTTTCAAGATACCTGTCTACTAAAACATGTGCTAGACAGAACTCCTAATAATGTTCTGAGGCATTGTTAATGGGCAATACTTCATTTTAATGTCTTTTCATATACCTAATTTAAGCTCAGTGCATACTTATTAGCTCACACCCTTCTTGTTCCTGACTTGGGTATTAGGGGCTATGACTTATTGAAAAAGTGGATGGTTAACCAATTTAATGCCTATGAGCAGCCTTCTTTATGAACATCGGGCATTTTTACAGACTTTTTTTTAAGTAACAAGCAGATGGCAACGATTCCCAGATATTAAACATCAATGATTAAAAACGGGAAGCAATTTTGACCTGAGAAAATTAGCCGCCTATTGTATATAAGAACTTATGCTCTGACATGTCATTTACCGAATGCTCCAAGGAATAAATAGCATGACGGTCAGTGCTGCTGAAACCAAGACGCAAGTTAGAACAAAAAGTGAAAGCGTCCCCAGGACACATTGGGATAGCCCTAACGGCACATGTTTCCTTCTTAACCGCAGAAGCAACACTTCACGCAGCGTACGGTTCTTCTTCAGTTGTAAATATTCAAATGTGCACACCGTCATGATCGCCTGGCTTTTGGATAAACAAGAAAGGCCCGAGGTGGTTGTTCGTAGTTATTCATTCTAGTTAACTATAAACTCCGTATTTCCTATACTACTTGTAATCAATAGGTATCCCTGCACGCGATGGCTCCTTTTGAAACTGTGCAAATGATCATGTCAGGCTAAGGATGGTCAATGCGAATAAGCACCTTGGAAAAATGCTTCTTCTCTTGGAGTCTTCTGTAGGCATCCTTGACCTCTGCCAATTCGAAAATCACGTCGTCCGCAGCAGGAGAAATGTTTTTTTCGTCTACGAAGCGTACCAACTCCCTGAATTGACTTCTACTTCCACCAAGTATTCCCCGAACCATGCATGTGTGCAACAGGACTGAGAACAACGGCACTGGCTGGCCCTTATCGGCTACTTGCCCTATCACCGAAACAAGACCATCTGTACGCACCGCTACCAGAGACTGGGGCAATGTTTGGTCTCCTCCGATATCCACAACGCTATCAAAGCCACGACCGTCCGGGGTTAGTCGCTTGGCTTCTTGACCCCAGTCGTCGGGATTGGAATTGTAATTAACCGTGTGAACAGCACCGAGTTTCTTCAAACGAGCCGCCCTGTCCTCAGTTGAAGTCGTGGCAACAACAGTTGCACCAGCTGCCACGGCCAGTTGTAAAGCAGCGATGCTCACCCCGCCGGTGCCCTGAACAAGCACCCACGTACCTGGACCAGCCTCCCTGCCCTTTACGCCAAAGAGTATATTCCACGCCGTCAGCCACGTGCATGTCAAAGTGGCAGCTGGCAACCAGTCTAGAGATTTTGGGGCATGGACGAGGGCTTTCTCAATAAAGACACCCTTTGATTGTAAAGTTCCATCCATTCCTTGTCCCATGCTGCCCGGAACGTCCTCAACGGTAGCGAACGCATCGTCACCTCTGGTCTCGGCTGCCTTCGGCATATTATGTGTAACAACGCGATCTCCTGGACGGAATTCTTGAACGGACGAACCGACCGCCTCGACTATTCCGGCGCCATCACATCCGGGCACAATTCCTGCGGTCATCGGACCCGTGATGCCCTTTAGCATGTTAATGAGAGTCTTCGCAATTAAGCTGTGATGATGATGACATACGTTTGGGTCGGGTATGACGAGTTCACGATAATTCAGGCTAGCAGCGTACATCTTTACCAATACCGCATTAGGGGCTAATGTGTCTGCTGATGGTGCGCTGGCATTCTTCTGAAACTCCAGCGACGTTTCAAAGCCTGTTTGGCTGGTAAGAACCCATCGACGACTCATGGCTTCTTCTCGTTTCACTTGAACTTTATGGGAACAGTCGTAGCAAAGAAATACCTAGGGTAAAGCGCTCTAGGATATGATAACAAGTGGTTTCGAAAAGAATATCTCCAGATCCTGGATCTTCTCCTTCATATATCTTAGGCGAGACAGGAACTTGAAATCTTTTTCTCCGTTTGCCTAATTAGGAAAATCAGATTTAGGTTCATTCACAGGCAGGATTGCCTACCTAGTCTTTTGCTCTTAGATTTGAGGTCAGGCTTGAGGTCCACGCTCTTTTGGCTTTGACACTTGAGGTTAATGAACTATTTCCTAATTAGGAAAATCAGATTCCGCCCTAAAAAAGCACCCTAGTCCAATCAACGAGTCTACATGGATGGCCTGGGATCCACTTGTTGCGGGATTTATCAAGCGTCGTATTGACTTCATTAAAATTCTACCCTCGATACTCAAGAATTCGAATGTCCTCACCTAGAGCAAAGTCAAAATGGGAAAATCGGAACTCCTTTTTCTCAACACGACTAATGCACCGAGCCTCTCTGCACAGTCAGCAAAGCAAATGAGAGGCCACATCACAAAGTCAAATTTTGCCAAAAGACGCGCGCGCATTGCAAGATCTAGGACAGAAGAAACTAGCACCGCGACACATCAAGATCTTTGTCAAGGGATAATAACAAATCGAACTACGACTTCAATATCTAGCCAAGATGCACCATCACTGTTTGAGTCATCTAGTTTCAATGCGTGTCCCCGTCAGTAACCTAGAATTAGATTTGGTCAACAATAATATGCAAGTTGGGCTGACGAGTCATAGGGAATGACCTTCAAATGCTCATCCTTTTGACCTGTTTAAGGCCAGCGAGGAATCCCTGTGAAGCCGCGTGGTTTGAGCTTTTCGGCTCAGAACCCGCGCTAATTGAAGCAACTATGGCAGTAGGTTTGCGAAACTGGTCACCTCAGCCTTCCTGGCAATGGCAGGCAGAGCTGCACTCACAAAGAGCTCTCAGAATAATTATCCATAAAATCAGCTCTAGGAATACTCATACAGATGGTTTCCTCGGTGCAGTTCTCACGATGGCATTCGCAGCGAGGCAGATGCATTCGAACTTTGCCTGGGATATTCACATTGATGGCCTAGTCCAGGTTATTAGTTACAGGCGATCTCATGGGATAGATACACCACCATGGTTTTATAATATTTTGTTCATGTTCGTTCATAGTTTGTTCATTGAATGAGCACGGCTAATTGCTAGGTCAGGGATTCCATAAACCACGTTTTCAATTTTCCGCAACTATACCATAGGAGGGTTGTCGACGCTTTAGACAATGAAGGCTGCTCGACAATTCAACAAATAGCAGACATCACAGAAAGACTCATTGTGCTGCGAAGATCGATAGACCTGTATCACAAGCATAATCTGGATTTCAATTTTGTCGCAGAAGAAATTCAGCAACCCTTAATGACCTTGCAACATAAAACCCACGCCCTACGCAAGTTCGAAGATAACTTATATCTCCGCGCTGCAGTACAAACTTTTGAAATAATTCTCTACCTCGTGTGGCCATCACAATCATCGCCCAACCTCAATCGTCTCGCAGAGGATTTGAAGGAAACGATTTGCCACTTGCCGCATAAAGCCTGCCCATATATGGATCTTACGTCTTGCCTGCTTATCGTTGGGGCCGTAGCTGCAGGACACGGAACGTGCACCAGGAGATGGTTTGTTACCAGATTTACACGCGCAGCGCAAGAAATGCAATCTCGTGGTTGGGAAAACCCCTTGGAGATATTGGAAAGGGGTATTAGATCTGACGCCAATTTGATGGCGTGGTTTACGATGCTCTGTGATGATAGTGCTTAGTATTATATATGAATTAGTGGAATATAATGGTAGGGATCTAAGGTAGTAGATAGAGCATCTTGTTTTATTCCAAGGCTCGTATGTAGAGGTTTATTCTGTTTTTATCTATTGCTAGAGGTTCTTGTCACTTGTTGCCTAGGTATTGGACCTAGTTTCTAAGCAATTGATTTACAAGTGGCTGGTTGAGTAAGCATTGATTTAGATAGACTGAATTCATGAGAGTCAAATCAGTGGTCCATTCTTCAAACATTCCTAGAGCTGGCCCCTGTACCGGATCTCAACTCGGCAGCTCCTTGAGATTGAATGAACTCTGACCTACGTGCATATACCTAATGATTTTGCATTTTGTCCATATTCTTAACTGTCGTGGTGGATGTCAGTAGAACATCATCTCTAGGATGTAAATGCTTCTTAGAAAAGATTTATACTAATTCTCTTATGTATATTCAGACCTAGAACCGAGCATATTACTATGAATACAAAATTGGGTCGGAGATCGGTGAGTGTGAAGACCGTTGAGTGAATGAAGCACCGAATGCCCGCGGATAATGCGTCTTTCGTCGCAGATTTCCAACCGCCGCTCCGACAGATATTATTGTTAGAAGCGGACGTTCGTTAAACGTTGGTTGAACAACCTTCTGATGGGGAACCAATTTCTCCTAAGCCTACTGTCAGTGGAGCATCACCGGAGATAACAATAAGGAGCTCACTGTTGCTAAACAAGATGAGTGGTCGGATTTACCACAGTGGAGTATGGATTTTCTGCTGGTCTACTACTAGGAGCTAAGTTATAGACAGTTGTCGCATCGATCAACAAACTACGTATTTCAAACCCTGCCTGAATCCCCCAGAAAACCTATAAATGCCCCTTCCTGTTCACGCTCATTGCCTCTCAGTGAGCATGGTTACCTACAATTGCATCGGAGAGCGCTATTTCAACTACCCGGTTCTAGCTCTCCCAATATACACTCATATTTTTATTTTCAAAACTCGCAGAGTTATCCGAAGCAAGTAACACAACACATTATGTCTACCGAGCCAACCGTTCTCATTATAGGTGGCGGGCTAGGAGGCCTCACCCTTGGGCAGATACTGCGCAAAAAGAACATCCCTTTTCGCATTTTTGATCGGGATGCCAGTCCTGCGGCACGATCACAAGGATGGTGTTTAACCTTGCATTTGTAAGAGCACCAGCTTCTGGGCCTTGGTTAAATTTCACTTCACTTCTGACAACGTACAAAGCATTTTGAATGAGCTTAAATCCGAACTTCCAGAGGACATAATTCCACTTCTTGACACGACTTCTCATCTCCATAATTACGGAACTGATAGTGATGCGGCAATAATCGAAGGTGTCACTGGAGAAGAAGAATTGCACTTGGGTCCCAAGGAAGGCAGACCCTTTGTCCGAGCGAATCGAGTGAGGCTTAGGGAAGTGTTGGCCACAAATTTGATTGTGGAGTACGATAAATATTTTCAGCATTATGAAGAAACAGCGTCCGGCATAACGGCCCATTTTGCAGATGGTACCGTGGCAACAGGCGATATTCTTGTCGGCGCTGATGGTGCTCATAGTCTTGGTAAGATTGGACAGGAGAACACAAAGCAACCAAGGCAAATAGCTCAACCGATATCTGACATTGAACTAGTACGAAAGCAACTTCTCGGCGCTGAGAAAGCAAAGAATCACTTGCTTCCAATCGAAGTCTGCATGGGAGAAACCACTCTCAACAAAGCACAATATGAGCAAATCTTCAGGGATATCGCTAAGTCATTTTACACAGTCAACGCATCAGCACTATTTTTCTCGGGATTACATGGCGTCTCTGATGATAAAGAGACTGCTCGATACTACTGGATGACATGTCAGCAGAAGAATGTCGCTGACAAAACTGCTATTTCGAAGATTGAGTATTACCACAGAGCGGTTAATGCAGTGCGCCACATGCAGTCTAGATTTCTATTGCCCTTGTACAACACAACTCCTGATGAAATCGTGAATCCGCCTATCTCATTGGAAGACTTCGTGCCACCCAGTGAGGGCTTACCTAGGGGAAGAGTTACGCTATTGGGCGATGCTCTACATGTTATGACACCATGTAAGTTGGGAGTACCATTCGCAGAATTCCTTGCAGCAAGCATAAAAAAACATATCACCTATCGTACTAACATGTTCCTTTGTAGTCCGTGGGTCAGGAGGCAACTTGGCTATGAAAGATGGGCTAGATTTGGGATCCTTCATTGGTCGCAGCAATGGTGACATTCCTGATACCTTACAGAAATATGAAGATCTAGCAGTCCCAAGGGCAATAGACATAGTTCTAGACTCGAGGGAGAGAATCTTGGCTTGGACTGATTCCAAGAATTAGTCGGACGCATTGTGCACAGTAGTCAGCTAGACAGTTTCCCTTAGTAGAATCATATAATCTCCGCTCCAACAATATTACTTATAAGACTTTTTACCTAGAAACGGATCTCAAAGTCCAGAACGACTTCATAGAGAGTCGAACTATGATCTGTTTTTACTGAGAACAAATTCTTTCGGGTATAATTCAATGGTATATATCTTTACTCGCGAAAATAGATCGATTACCTAGATATGAGCATTAACCTGTTCGCATAAAATATAGCAATTCCTTGTACCTTACAAAATGTATATAGTCAAGACTTATCTCCCCTTCCAAATGATTTGAGGTATATTCTTCCGTAATAAATTTGGCCTTTTTGCATTTTTTGCGCTTAAGCAAAAGCCAACATGCGCTAGGTAAATTTGTGACGACATTATTGAAGAGATATCTGCGATCGAATAGGCCAAGGGCATCCCGACTGCACGTTTGGAATCGGGAGCAAAGGTGCTCGTTAACCGAGTCACTGCCAGCGTGTAGATAGAGCCGTATTCAGTGTTTTGGATTGTCAGTACATTAGCAAGGTTGAGGAATAATTCACCTACCTAAAGACGAGAATGAACACTCCAGCGTAACCAGCACTCTTGCTTAGAGTGCTCACATATTCAGATAATCAACTGACAAATACACAGCTTCAGACGATAAACATTCCACGCCGCTTGATTCTATCAGAAAGATAGACCTGAGTCCTAAGAGACATAGCACTAAGGACATAAATAAGGATGGCCATGCATCTTTGTCTACCTAGGTATATATCGGAATTGCCACAGTTTACCTTTTGGCCAGAAACTGGTGTCCATTATTACCAAGGTAAAATCCCCAAAGGAATGCACCAAGCTGAAAATAATCGCATCTTTGGATTGGATAGTGAGTTAGTTCAAAGAGAAACGTACAGAGGTTTTCAAAGCGTGGTGATATTTACGGCAGCCTATTCGTACAACCTTGCCAAAATGAATTTTATATATAACTTACATTTTATTATAAACTACAGTCTAAATTCCATAACGCATAAAGATTATATGATAGTATAAGTATAAATTAATTAAAACCTTCTATAATAATTATATTAATAATATAAAAATATTTCTATTAGCAAATAAATAAATTTAAGGTCTTAATAAAAAAAAGTAAAAAGAATTTTAGAACTTTTTTTTACTTCTTTACTTTTCTTATATATAATATAAGAAATCTTTTTTTATTTCTTATATAAAAATATTATATTTATTTAATTAAGAATAACTATTTAGAAGAAATTTTACTAAAATAATTTATTATTATAAGTAATCAATAAGCTAACTAGTAAGAGTTAGTTAGTTAGATACTTAATTAATTATTTCTAGTTAACTTAATTCTTAGCTAATAATAAGTAAAGTATTATAATGAAATAGACTATTTTCTTACTTAATAATCTATCTTATCAATAAAAGTTTAATATATATTATTAAATATAAAGTTCCTATATATCTAACTTATTAATTTACTTTCTTATTTTATATTTATAATTATTTTAAATAATATTATAAACTGCTTTTTATATTAAAAATCTAAGCTATAAATATACAATATATATAAAATATTCAGCTTACAATTTCTATAATTAGATAAACTTAATCTTTAAAATAAATATATTACTATCTCCTATAATTAATCTCTTAAAAGACTCTCCTCTAAGAAATAATCTGCCTAGATCTAAATTATATATTCTTTAAATATTTTATTAACTACTATTAAAATATTAACAAGCTATTTATTATAATTATTAAGAGACTATTTTTAGAATATAGTAAAATATATCTATATCTAATACTAGCAGTCCTATATATAATAATTAAGCTGCTTCTACTCTAGCCTTTTATATATTTTCTATAATAATCTAGCTATACTAGAGAGTACTCAAAGAAGAGAAGTAGATAATCTTTTATAATTAGACTTATATAATATCTACTCTAATTAATCTAAGTATCAACACTTATTTTAAAATAAAAGATAAATTTGTTAAGATGCTTATAAAGAATTTTAATATATAATCCTATATCTATAAGACATTAAATATATAAAAAGTTATAGTAGCTGGATAATTCCAAAAAAGTTAAAGACCTCTTATTATTCTATCTAGCAATATATAGGCTATAATAAATCTAAAATCTATTTTAATAAAGTACTTTCAAGTAATAAAAAAGAAAAAGAATAAGAGTTATTAATTTATAATTTATCTATATATTAGCATCAAGATAGACAAAGATAATATAAATAATATACTACTTCCATTCCCTATAAAAGCTATCAAAAAAAAAGTAACTCATATTCTAGAAATAAAAGTTAAGGAATCCCATAATAATAATAATAATAACAATAATAATAGTGATATAAAGATCAAACTCAAGCCTTTAATCATTAATATTAATGCATTTCACAACACTCAAAATACTTCTAAGAAATTTAATAATAATAACCATACAGATATCTCTAATAATAATCCCAATAATCTTCTTAATGACACCAGCCAAACTAAATTGCTTGAACTAAATACTACATTATCTAATCAGCTAAACAAGAAACAATTATTCAATATTCTAAAGAATAATAGAAAAAGCAAGGATTTAAATATATAGAATAATTATCTTAATCATATAGAATCTTCTGTTAATGCTAGTAAGAATTCACTATTAGATATACCAGCCTTCTAGATATATTATAAGAAGATAGCTAAATAAGAAAATCTATCTTTATTAATTAAACTTTTCTTAATTAGAAATCTTTCTTATATCTATATATTTATTGATACTGTGAGATATTTTTTATTTAATTACTATAACTAATCCTTCTCTATTTTATTTTAAATAAATATTACATAGCTTATAATACTAAAATATTCTTCTACAATCTAATAGCAAGCCTTAAGCTCTTTACTATACTACTCCCAAACACCCATTAATCTTAATAATTCCACTAACTCAAGTTTCTTCTATACATTGAAGTGATTCTATAAGCTTTGCTATAATTATTAATATATTTAATAATATATATAACTATCATCTAACAGGCAATCTTTTTATAATATATTTAAAGAGTATTTATTACTTTATAATATTAAATTATAAAGATTAATAATCTTAGCTAATAAATATTTATTAATATCTATAATTAAGATTAGCTTATATTAAATAATCTTTAAAAATTATTATATCTTAATTATCTATTCCCTACTATAACTTCTTTAAGAGATCTAGATTTAGTATTATTCTAAAATTATCTATAATATATAGATAATAATAATATATCATATAAGGCTTTTCTATTAGTAGATATTCCTAATCTTTCTATAGATATATCTTATAAATATTTTACTTTTAGACAAAATAATGAACTTCCTATCTAAATATAGGAATATAAATAGTAAAAAGCACAATATAGTTTATAATCTAGCTTTTAATATATAAGTTTTATTCTTAGATTTCAGCAAAAAATCCTTATTTTAAATAAATATTAGTGCTATTATATAATCTAAAAATCTAATTACTCACCTATTATAAGAATAAAAAATCTTTTAATAGCTGTTCTTATTAATTTTTAATATATTAATTTAATATACTTATCCCAAACCAATAATAATTATTAAAAGAAAGATTATAGTCTTATTGCTTTTATAAAGTAAAATATATATTTATAAGAAGTAGAGTCTTTATTTCTTAATCTGATCTAATCTTTATAGATTAAATATCTATATCTTCAATTATATTAAAGAATTGGTGAAGAGTATTGACAGCCATGTAATTGCTAATACTAATATATATCTAAATAATATAATATAAATAAGCATCAATTGTAGCATAGATCTTAATATTTTATAGCTATAATTTATTATGGCTATTAATTAATCAAATATAGTTTGGACCTAGTATAATAAATATCTAATAAACTTATTATAGATTATTCTATCTTCTCTGAATATTAATAAGATTAATCTCTTTGATAAGAGAAAATAGACAATCTTTATATATTAAGTTAATCATAAGATGTTAAAGAGCTTAAAGAAATAATACCTGGAGATGATATATATCTTAAAGCAAAAATATATATATAGTATTTTATAGCCAAATCTATTAATACTTTTACTATTAAGTTCAGTTTATATAATAAGGTATAGTTTATTATCTATCTCTGTATATGTGTGTGCACTAAATAAATAATATATACCTATTCTAAAATAAATTCGCTGTATTGCTTGTTGATTTATCTAAAAGTCTTTATTTTTTAATGTAATAGTTATTTTCTTGTCTGTTAAATATGCCTAGAAGAATAAAATAGTAATTTAGGTGTATAAGTGAGGAGAATTTTTATATATATGTTCTAAATGATAAATGCCCTATTCTTGTAATTAGTAATAAAGAGTGTGATTTTTAATAGAGATTTTATAGTGGCTTGTAAGAAATTCTAATATTGATTTTGTAGAGTGGTTATCTTTATATAGATTGATAATTTGTTCTTTATAAGGAAGAAGATTAATCTCTAGATAATCTAATATGATGCTAGAATATATAAGGTTATGAAGAAAAAAATTGATAAAAAGGTATTAAGCTAATTAGAAATATAGCTAGATCGCTTTATTTAGCTATAGATGGCTTGGCATTAATTAGATAATTATATATAATTATTGTAATGAGTTAACTATTTAATTATATATAAATAATCTCTATTATTTATTATAGCAATTATATAAATTCTTTTATAGATATTATAATATCTTATAGCCAGAAGTTTATAGTTATTAAATTTATTATTAAATGTAAGAGCATATATTAATAGTAGGATAATTAGAAAAAGGATTTTAAATATATAAATCCTATTTTCTAATATTTTTTATAGAGATACTTATTAAAAATATAAAAATTATTACTTTTTATCTAAAGAAAGTCATAATATGCTAAAAAATATCTATTCTAGTTAAACTAAGTAATAAATTA